CCCCCCACCGAGAACGCCGATCGCTAATGCCACCGGTTTGCCCTTCACCAGCACATCTTAAAGCGCCCGACGCCCAGCCACGCTAAATGCAAGCAAACAAAGACCAGCGATGAGTGTAGGCCATGATCCGCGCCAACTGTGCGATGCTACGGCGCAGCAGCCAGCCACGCAGGTACCTATCTGTGAACCGAGAACTCCTCTCGTGAACGGAGCTTAAGCTCATTCCACCTTCTCGCCACTGTCAGGACCATGTGGCCCCGGACCGGCTGGAGGAGGGATCTGCGGAGGCATCGAGTGCTGTGCCATCATCGGTTGACTGTAGGTGGTGCCTGGCGTCCCTCGATGCTGCTGAGGAAAGTGGTGCTGCTGGTGAGGACTTGAACCATAGGGCGCCTGATGCGGCTGAGGGAATGGACCCCGCATCGGAGTCACTAAGCTGGGGGTTAGCTTGGGTTTTGTGAGAAGGTCTTAGATACGTACTTGATCCTTGCGGCATTTGTTGAAAGACGGGGGCATATCCACCGTTGGGCATGGGCACAAACTGCTGCGGGGCATGTCCCTGCTGTGACCCTTGGTGGGTCATCATTTGCGCCATCGGTGGTCTCGGGCTGGGAAAGCCCGTGGCACCAAGCGGCGGAGGCATTGGTCCGCCATGAGGATAGACATGGCCCGGGGCGGGAGAGTACATCTGCATCTGAGGCATCTGAGGCATCGGCTGCATTTGAGGGTTTCCAGCGAACATTCCAGGGCCACTAGAATGCTGACTGACCATCATGTGCCCACCCATTGCCGGGGCTTGCGCTACAAATCCAGGCTGACGAAGGGCGACCGGCTGTCCATGAGGACTCATACCGAAAACAGGCATTGCTTGTTGAAATTGCGGCACCTGTTGCGGCATCTGGGGACCATAGACGTAAGGCGGCATACCAGCACGAGGCGAGGGATGCACTGAAGAATTCGAGGCTGAGAATTGCATATGATGACCATCGAAATGGTGAGGTGCACCAGGGCCATGATGAGGTTGAACGGCAGGGTGGCGAGGAGTATGCTGAGGAGTGTGAACCTGAGGCATGCCGTGACCTTGTTGAAGATGGGGAGGGAGCTGGTGTTGGTGGGGCATAGGACCGTTGGCAAGGGCAGTTTGGGGCGCTGCAATTGGCGGGCCACTGATAGGCGTCCGCTCAAACATGTCCGTGTAACTCTTGTCCTTGTTAGCGTCAGGAACGTCCGCAGCCCAGGTAGGAGGGGTCCTGTAGGCCTGCGGTATTCCGCCATTGGCAGCGTATTCCTTAGTCTTGTGCTCCGCCTCGACTTCCTTCTTCATGCGCTTGATGGGGTTGAACAACTCGGAAAGTGATGGCCGCGCAGAAGTTGTCGCAGGCTTCTGAGATCCAAAGAAGCTGGACGTGGGCCCTCTACGTGGCGCGGTCCGAGCCGGGGTCGGCTCCTTCTTGGGACTCGAGGTGTTACTCGTGCTGCCACCAGGAGTAAAAGTGTTCGCTGCGGGGTTGGGGCGGAATTCCATAGCCTTGACGTTAAACCTAGTGGAGATGCTCGAGGTGGGCGTGTGCGTTCCAGTTGATGATGATGCCGTGGGACCACTTGGTGGGATGCGCACGTCTGGAGCGGGCACCTGGTGGGGCATGTTAGCCATGGCCGCACCAGCTTTGTGCTGTTGTTGGTTCATGACAAGACGCTGACCCAACATGCCCGGCGCATTGCGAGGAGGCATGCTGTTGTGGTTTTGGCCGTTGCGATCCCCGCGAGGGGCTTGAGGGAAAGGACCTTGCCCAGGTCGCGGTCGTTGGTTGGCCTGGTTAGTTTGAAGCATGTGGCCAGGTTGAAGGGAAGCTCTTTGCTGTTGCTTTGCATCAGCGGAACCGGCAACCGACTTCTCGGCAACGGTCGAAACCGTAACCTTACGTTCCTCGGTAGCACGCTGGGAGTTTGCCTTGATTTCCTGCTGCTTACTCGGGTCCTTGGCTAAAATCGGAATCAGATCATCCGGGATGGGCGCGCTGTATTTGAAGTTGGCCGCGAACTTCTTCAAGTCATTCAGTTTCACGTTCTTGTCATGACGAGCGACATGACGCGCTCTCTCTTGGACCTTCAGCTTTTCGGTGGCCGAAAATTGCTTGAAGGAATCCAAGAGCTCGCTCTCCACAGTAGGCTTGCCAGGCTTTCGGATAGATTGGATATCCGAAGTCGTTGGTTGCTGAGATGCCGGAGCCTTTTGGGAAGGTCCGGTTGAGGCAGCTGCGGTGATATCGGAGGGTTTAGCAGCAGTGGCCGACGTAGAGGACGATCCCGCCGCAGGCGTGGCAGCTGGAGGCTTTGCTTCGTCGGATTTCGAGGCCATGGGCACTTGCGGCTGGGGTTTGGCGCCGCTAGCGGAAGGCTGCGGCGCAGCCGTAGCAGGGGGCCCAGGACGAGCCAGCTGTGAGGAGATGATTGCTGGGTCGAAGGGTGCTCCAGAAACAGTGGCTTGGCCCGTCGGAGCCCTCCTGGCGGGCGGGGTATATTTGTGTGGTTGCCCTGATGACAAAGGAGAAGCCTCGCGGCGAACGCCGCTATACTTTTCTTCTTCGTCCAATCCACTATCATCTGGACGAATCTGTCCGCGCTCTTCAGCAATGTGCGCATTGTCGGCGACTCCAGATTCGATTTCGCGCGCAATCTTCTCGGCCTCCGCAGCCTTTTGCCTGTACTGCGGGTTGTTACGGTCGATCTTCGTCGTGTACAGGTCCTCATTGTAATTGCTAGTGGCACCAAACAGACGCTCGTTTGCTTCAAACTGATCCCAGCCTGCGCCAGAATCATCGAGAGACAGATCAACGTCAGTATCTTGGCTCGGAACCCAGCGTTGAAGGTCACGTTCGCGCGACAAAATGTTGCCGGAGATGTCGGTATCCGTTCTGAAACCGGCGGGGGTTCCTAATGTTTAAGTCAGCACTGTAGTGGCGCCAACTCTTGGAATCGCAGCAAATACCATTACGAGACTTGGCTTGAGTTTTGTCCATGGACACGCCATCAACGTTCAGGCTAACGACATCCTTAACGTCAAAGGCCATGCAATGCTCCGGTCCAGAGCCACAGTATTCGTCCTGAGATTCGGCAGCGCCGTTTACTTGCGCGCCGGACGATGGCAACCGCTTAACCATCTTGAAGGCGTACCGCAACTCATGATCAAGGGACGCAGTCGAGAATACACCATGAAACCGCTCACCACTCTTGAGGGTCACAGTAGCCATTAGTCCCTGGAAGAAGCGTCAGCCTCACACTCTAACCATGATGTAGCAAGGCGATCCCAGCAAGCATCCAAACCACCGCTTGTCATTTGTGATCAAGGCACTCACCACAAAGTTGCTGATTAAGAATACCATGCGGTCATGCGCATGCTTGTTGTTATCCGACGAGGCTTGATTCGACGCCATAGCTTTCGGACCCGCAGGGGACTTTTGCATGCCACTTGATCCGTTCGGCAATGGTGCATTCGAGGGACGCTGCGTGATGGGATTCGTGCTGCCAGAGCTCCAAGCTTTGGGAGGCGGCGGTCTCCTAGGACAGAATGACGTGTTAGCCCGCACTGTCCATATGTACTGGGGCGCAACCGGGCGGGTCACAGCGACGCGATGCGACAGGCGCTTATCGAGGGAACAGTGGTCAATGGCTCGTTCGAAGCCGCGGAATAGAACAGGTGGTAGATATGCAGAGGCCAAAAGCGAAGGTGGTGTAACCGCGAGCTCGGGCGAAGTCGAGTCGAACCACATGCGCGGGGGCGTCGAGGGAACAAGTCGGTAGCAGATGGCGACCAAGCCGGCATTGGATCGGCAGGTCTGGGGGATGAGGAATCGGTCTCACCTTGAAGAAGCGTCAATGGGGCTGCCCGCCTGCTTGCGCGACCCGTCCATTGCCTTGGCGCTGGCCGTCGTCTTCAGTTGCGCCTTGTTGCCACCGGGGCCGGGGGCAGACTGGTTGCCGTTGGTGACGTTGGGGGACGCCATGGCTGGGGTGGGGAGGGTTGCGTCGGACCCTCAGAGGGAGTCGAGGTGGAGGAAGGAGGGCGGCGGCGGGCCAGGGAGCTCTAAGCTGGGGATGGCCGACTGGGGAATAGCGGCAAGCGGAGGGGTAGTAAGGGTAAAAAAAAAGGCCCGCGACTCCGTCGATGAAGGGAGCGTATCTGGGGCGGAGGCTGGGGACAAGGCGCGCCGGCAGGATGTCCTCGAGGTAAGGCCTGGGGTGAGCGCGGAGAGCACAGCTGGTGTTGAATGGTCCGTTTCGAAATGGCGCTAATTATTGGCCGGGGAGCTTCAGCGAGAGCAGTGAGCAGCAGACAACAACGTGGCGCCGCGCGCAAGACGGATGCAGGTGGGAAAAGCAACTGCCAGCCTCAACGAGCGGGAGGGTGAGAGAGGGCGAAATGAGGAGAGGGCGAGCGTGCCGCTGCTCTGGTTGTGTTGTACGACCCACAGCGTCGCGCGCCCATCCATCGACGGCGCACCAGGCTCTGGGAGCCATGGGCGGCGTCGCCTCCGCCCAGCAACGCCCGCGCAAGTTACAGCTATCGATCAATCTATCCACCGATCACTCAATCACGGCGGCAATCTATCTGTCTTAGTCCATCCGCAGCCGCGTGGTCACCGCGCAGAGCACCAGCCACTCGAGCTCCCCGGTCGCGTGGCTAGTGCCGGGGCAAGGCCTGGTAGTTTGACCTAATTGCGACTATGGATATGTAACAATGGTTTGCCCGGCGTGGCATTGAATTCTTTGTCTCCAGGGGACCTGCGTGAATGCCCAGTCGGGAGGCTCGAGGCTGACGCGTCGGCATCCTGCACAGCCGCAAGCTGAAGCAACTCAACCAGCCGTGCGAGCATTGACGTGCTAGAGAGGGCTCGCAGCCTAAGGCCTCGCAACAGTCGCTGGCAGAGGTCCTCGGGCGGCCGCGCGCAGGTGCCCGGCGTGGCGTGGAGTCCCTAGTCGGGGTAAGAATAGCACAGCCAAGCAACGGATCCCTGAAGCGTCTCGGGTCAGCGCCTGCACGTTCAACGGGCACATGGCCCTACTGTGACAGCACCCTTCACCTCCAGAACATGCAAAGTCCGTCCTCGGCGACCAGATCCAACCGACGGTCTCCCGCGACTGACTCTGACGCGACTTTTCACTCAAACACCTCCAGCATGGCCGACGACGCCGGCACCCGCTCCTCTTCAGCTTCCAGCCGGTCGGCGCAGTCGCGAAGGGCGCTGAACGTAAGTCCCTGCCACCAGCACCGCTGTGCCATGCAGGCTGAGATGCCCGATCTGCGCTGACATTGCTCTCCCCGACAGCCCCAGCAGCAGCTCTCGCAGATCGAAAAGAGCGTCACCCACCTGCTCGTCGCCACCAAGCAGCTTCTGGAAACCCTGACGCTATGGTCGCGCGGGACAGCAACGGAAAGCGAGGTCTCAGATGTCTACGTCCGCCTTGGCTATGAGTTCAACATTGCTTCTCGAGCCTTCAACGCCATCGGCGTCGACACGTCGGACCTCGGCAACGTGCCCGAGCTGCTGCGAAGCATCTTGGAGGAGACGCTCAGCCAAGAAGCTTCGCAGGCTAGCCTCGATCGGTTTCTGCCCAGGATACGCGACATCATCATCAACCTGTTGCACGGCCTGAAGAAGAAGCAACAGCGGCTGCGACAAAGGAGCAACAGGGACTCGAATGGAACAAACGGAACAAGCTCGAGACATGAGAGTCTGGGTGAAGAAGAACTCCCACAACGGACGTCGAGCAGGCAATCCGGCGGCCGCCACGGCAGTGGTGATTTGGGCCATAGCCATCCGGGGTTGCCGCCGAGGACAATATCTGCCCCGGGCCGGTCGTCTCCCAGCAAGTATGACAGTCTCCCAGCGAGTTCCAAATCTCCTCGCAACACCCGCGAATCTTCGAATTCCTCCTTGTCCAGCAATGCGGCGCAAAACATACCCATAATAGCCCCGTACCCTGACGAGGAAAGGATGCCTGCCCATCCTGAGAATCCAACACCAAAATACAATGTCGCCGACTTTCCTCCACCGCCACCGCCCCCCAAGCAGGAAGATGCGCTCTTGACACTGCAGCGCTCTGGAGAGTTGGAGCGTAGGGCGTCGCGGAGGTTTTCCGCATACCAAATCCAGAAACATCTGGGTTCGTCACCTATGCCTATGCTCCCGACTCAAACCACGCCTGTGCCCAACCGGGGAAGGGATGCGCGAGACTCCATGAACGCGGTTAGGAATCGGGCATCAATGCTTCCTAGCCGTCAGCGCTCCGCCCAACGTGTACCACAAGACACTTCGCCCAGCAGAACCAATAACTTGGCTGCACGTAGAATATCTGAGGAGCCCAGCCACGCGGATGCTACCGCCCCATCAATTCCGCCCCCCGAAGAAGAGGCTCAGGAGGAAAGCCCTGTGAAAACACCAGCTGACAAGCTACGCCCCGAGGACGCCGGCGACGAAAAGCCGGAGTTGGGCGCGACGGTAACTGGTCCAGTTGATGAGGCGGGACTTGGAGGACCGGTCGAGGAACCAGCCCAAGGCGGACTTGCCACGGCTCCCCGAGATGCCAAGTCTCCAACCCCTCAGCCTGGGGAATTCATCCCTCACCAATCTCCTCAACCTGGCAAGGAGTTGACCTTGTTCTTACAATACAAGAGCAAGATTAAGAAGTTCACGCTCGCTGATGGATACAACGACCTTTCTTTGGCCCGCCTGCAGCTCGCCTTCATCGAAAAGTTTGCGTGGAACACCCATAATAATGGCGTAGATTTGCCAGACATTTACATCCAGGATCCTGTCTCTGGCGTCAGGCACGAACTGGAGGATTTAAGCGATATCAAGGACCGCGCAGTGTTGGTGCTCAACGTCGAAGTGCTTGACGAAGTCAAGCGGCATTTTGACGATGGTCTTGGTGATTTGCGAAAGCTCGTTGAGGGCATAAAGTCGGCCGTCACCGACCAGCAATCCGCTATCCAGCGCGTCTCCGACCGCCAGGTAGATGCTGCAAAGGAGATGGCCAGTCTGGCTGCTGCACCCCCAGTTTCCGCCCGTGCCTCGGTTGTGTCTCCTCCTGCGGTGAGCGCTGCATCCACTGCACCAACGCCCAAGAATTCTGCTGGGCAAATGAGTGAGATTCAATCTTTGAGGCGCGACTTGGCTGTTGTTCGCCAGACCTACACCTCTTTCGTTGCGGACATTGAAGCGAGTATGGGTACAATTCGCACAAAGGCTGCCTCGGTCAAATCGACTGCTTTCAAGGCTGCAATTCCAACTCTATCCGGCGACAGTGGTCGCGCCTACGTCAATGGCGGAAAGAAGACCCTCAACGACGACTCCGAGAAAATTGTCAACAAGGTCGACGACTTACAAGATCTTGTGGAAGATCTGCGCAAAGACGTCGTCTCACGTGGTGTCCGACCCGTCCCAAGGCAGCTTGAAGCCGTGGCTAAGGACATCAGCGTTGCCACTTCGGAAGTCAAGAGGCTGCAAGACTTCCTTAAGAAGGAGAAGCCTCTCTGGACTAAGATTTGGGAGCAAGAGCTGCAGATGGTCATGGAGGACAGAGAGATGCTTACCATGCAAGAAGAGTTGGCACTTGATCTGCAAGATGATCTGGAGAAGCTCTCGGAGACATTTGGCTTGGTTGAACAAGCCACCAAGCAACAAATGCAGTCGACGCCGACGAACCGCGCGGCAAACGCTAGGGCTAACTTGCGCTCCATTGACGCCGATACGTCTGCTGATCCTCGCGAGGCGAAAGACGGGGTGCTTGGCGAGGTCAGGGCCCTGCAACCCAACCACGAAGGCCGCCTCGAAGCCATTGAGCGCGCAGAGAAAGCCAGACAACGCGAACTCGAAAGCCGCCGTGGAGGCGAGTTCCAGAGAGAACTTGGCGCTTTCGTTGAAGAAGGCAAGCTCAAGAAGAGTGGTGGTGTTGAGGAGATTGAGCGTCAACGCGTTATTAAGGACGAGCGCATTAGAAAAGAGGTGTTTGAGAGGCAAGCACAAATGGCTATCGAGCGCGAGAAAAAGCGGGCGGATGCCGCGGCAGCTAGGAAAGCAGCGGCTGCAGCGGAGGCAGAGAAGGCCGCAGCCCCAGAAGGCGAAGCTGAGAATGAGGAACCGAAGGATGGAGCAGCACCAGAGACGGAGGCTAAAGAGGAGCAGCCTGCTGCCACCGAAGGTGGTGAGCCGAGTGCCGCTGAATCTTGAAATCTTTGTCTCGGTCGCTCCGTCTGCTAACGGTTGTGGAGTAGTTGTGTATCAGGAAGTCCTTCGGGTTGTCCAAACCAAGGAGTCAACGAACCATGGTCCACCTCCAAACCTACACCGGTTCCGGGCTGTCGAGATAACGCGTCTTGGATGTCCAGTACCTGTTGGAGCTGTATCCAATCTGGTGCACACTACGCCCGTCACGGCGGCTGTAAAGCTGCGCAAAACTCCGGCGTCACACGAAAACATCAGGCTTGGCTCTCGACCCAAAGCGCACAAGTCCTCGCCGACGCCTTCAGCCTACAGCTTGAAAACTAAACGCTCGTTCTGGGGGCTTACCAACTTTGTTGGTTGGTGATATATGGTTGTCATGGCCAGTCTCCAAGCAACAGGTTCGCGATGCAGATTGTGCCATCGCGGATACTGCTTCTCTTTCTCTGTAACCTAGTTCTAGTGGCTTCACATTTCCCTTTGCTGCGTTAAGCGAGTACAGCACCATGTAGATTGCCGTTGGTTAGGCGTTTATTTCTTTCCAGAAGCATCTCGGTTTGTCTTCTTTTACGCGTCGGTCTACAAGCGTGGTGTGATTGGTTTAATGGTTTCTGAAGATGACAGGCTGCTGAACCCCGCGTTGGGGTAGGGGTTCAATAGCAGCAGTATACCACGAGTTCAGTTTAATTTGGAGCATGGGTTTATGAGGCATGTTTGCTGTTCATGAGATTGAGTTCCTGCAACGTTGTGTTGTACACGCCACGTTGGTGACGACTCGGCAGTTTGCACCCAAAAATAGGCGTCGAGTACTAGGTGCAGATGCCCCCGGTCATGCATGCATTTACCCGTCTTGAAGACGTTGGAAGTTGAAACGGGTTGCCTTTTTGGGCTGGGTGCAGATGGCTCGTATTCAATATTTAAAGCCGCCAAGCCAACCCATCATCAGTCACCACGGGGCTGATCATACGGAGTATGTAAGGCTAGGATTGGGAATACTAGTAAGTAATATAGACAATGGCTAACAAACAAGTGTCAAGCGGACACCTAACAACCTGGAAAGAGCCTCTAATTGGTGTGCTCAGCAGACAGTGCAGTGTGTCCTGGGTCTTATGTTAGGAGGTTTAGCAGCAGCTATTCAGAACGCGTTCAGAACACTGTCCCGAGCATTTCCGATGTTTGAAGTTGTAGCATTCTGCCACTTTCCCGAAGCGATTAGTGCGGCTGACCGCCCATTCACTCGTACCACTGTCTGCTCTTCGTGTTTCCCAATCTTTCGCTTCTGCCAGCCGCCCGCGTTGGGAAGAGCGTTCTCCGTAGCTTCGGCAACAAGACCTGCGAACGCGAGCCGACGCGCAGAAAACACCGCTCGCAACAAGACCACTGCGGGCACCCACAGGCATTAGCCTCTATTGCAACGGGATCCGTCTCGGCTTTCCGTGCTGCCACCGAGCGGTGGTATTCGTTGATCTCACGATGCATGGCAGCGAGACGGACCCCGGCACGGCCGAACAGGGTCTAGGACGGGAGCGCCCTGGCACGCAGGCCCCCTGCCAATGCTGAACTAGCGCCCGAAGGAGAAGCCGCTCGGGCTCGGGCGTTAACCTTGGCTGATAACCTTGTTGAAGCGAGAGTATGTGCGGGCGCGTTATGCCGGAATCGGTGCTGCTGCCTTTGAGATGTCGGTCCAGCCGGCGGGGCTTCGGAGGCGTGGTGGGACAGAATTTTAGGAGGGAAAGAGGCGAAGACGATGATGGGAGAAAAAGGGACGAGACAGTTGGTTGGGGAGAGACACGAGGAGAGAGGGGGGAGAAGGACAGGCGTGACGAGCCAGCAGTAGACGGCACCAGTGGTAATGGTGTTGTGGCGTCTCTTGGCCTCGCGGGAAACCGCTACTTATCTTGGCGCATTTCCGCTATCGCGAGTCTGATGACCATAGTGGGCAGAGGCGTTACTCTCTGAGGCCACTGCTGCCTTGATGAGGCTTCACCGTGAGATTGCAGCGGGCCTGCTGCAGAATCCTTCATCCGGAGATATACTCCATGGAGTCTGAGGTTGCTTTAAAACGGAAGGCTGACCTCCAGGGTCTTTTTCTTCTTCGTATCACTATTCACGATCTCTTCGCAGAAGTCGCTCGTTTGCCTTCATTGCAATACTCCCTCGTTTACTTTATTGGCAGCCGTATACCTTACCTCAGACCTGTGAAGAGTCAGATTTATCGACTATTTATATCTTTCAAAGATATATAATCGAGACAAACCTCAAACAACAGCAAAGAACAACAACAACGACAACTACAAAATCATCTTCAAAAAACTTCAAGATGTTTTCTTTCGGGTTTCCCCTTTTCCTTGCCGGCACCGCTGTCGCACAGACCACCACCATGGCTGTTTTCTTCCCCGGCCTTGAATCGAGCGACAGTTACGATGGTGTCAAGGGTTCTATCGTTGGCGTAGAGAACTCACTTACTACCGTTGCCTTGAGTTGTGACTACGACTCGTACATTGAGGACAAGTGCGACTACTATTTTGACGATTACACTGTCACCCTTGGTTCGAACACCTATGAGATGGTCACTTTGTATGAGGAGAACGACTACACGGAGACCTACTCGATGGGTTGTTCCCTGGCGCCCAAGTCTGCTGTGTGCACGTTCAGCTACTCGGGCGATAACGACGACTGGGAAGACTACTGCGTCGACTCCTACACTAGCCAGGACGTAAGTTTGATTATGAAAAAGAAACAACAGGGAAGGAAACTAACTGCCTTTATAGCCCGCCGAGGTTGCTAGCTGCATCCTCGACTACTCGACTCACCAAAACGCTCTTACCATCACCACCATTGGCGGGTCCGAGATGACGTACATGACTGTTACCGTCGCTGACGGTGCTGAGCTGCTCACATCTGCTACTGCCGGTGCTGCCGCGTCGAAGACTGGCAGTGCCTCCGCTACTGCTACGCCCGCTGCCTCTTCGTCTTACAGTGGTGGTGCTTTCGCATCTGACCACGATGTCACTTTCACCTCTTCTCCCACTGGCCTTGCGGCTACCCCAACCAGCACCCCTATCGCGAAGCAGGGCAGCAACTCGGCCGTCAGCGTCCGTGGTGGCGCCTATTTGACCGGCCTTGTTGGCTTCGTGGTGGCCGTCTTCGCCTTGTAAGGGACAGGGACTGCTGCTACACGAACACATGGAAAGAAAAGAAAAGAAAAAAAAGGAAAGAAAAAAAGTTGATGGAGAAACTGAAATACGTAATGTTTAAGGGGTCTACCAACCGTTGGACAGGACGAATATGTGTACCGATAATTGAGGTTTGATGGGCTTAGGAGATGAATAACATGATGTCAATGAAAGGAAGAAGTTCTACACCTACTGTTGATACATTGTTACTGTGCTTTCTGAGGATTTGTTTGGTGTGTTTGTTGTCAGGAGAAGCATCATCTTCGGACTATTCTTTCCTTCGTTGTGACTTGCCCGATTCGACAGACATGGAAAGTTGCAGATCTGCTCCAGATGATCAGCGGCTTCGCTGCAAATCCTTCGATCTCAAACATGAGATAGGTCTCATAATGGCCATCAAGGAAGGGCCTCATTCAACTATGTAGAACCCCCGTGAAGCAGATGAGGTGACGAGACTCAGATAAGGCGATGACGACGTCGTCCTCCCCACAAAAGGACGGATAGGCTTCAGGGCCGGCAAGGCGAAGCCGACGGAACGAAGCGCGTCCCTGACGATCTGGTGTGTAAGGCTGCATGAGCCTCGCCCGAAAAGGGCCGCGTCACGAGCGGAGACTTGGAGCACGAGGCCGGGGGCCGCGAAAGGCAAGCCAACAAAGCACAGCACACGACCAACCAACCCGAGTCATGCTTATCCCCATCTTATGTCCTCTCGTTTCGCGTCCCCCGTACTATTCTCCACACGCACGACGACGCCTTGAGCAATGAGCTGCGCGTGTGCTGGCTCTGCCTTTAAATCCGCGTCTCTCCGCCCGCTCCCGCAGCCACGGCTCCTAATCCTCCCCGCGCTCTCGCATACGACTCGGAAGGCGACTTCGACATGCGCACCCTGAGAGCCGACGAACCCGAGGCCAACGAGCCGCTCATTACCGGCGATGCCGCAGCGCTGCCGGACCCGGAGGACTACGACGCCGAGTTTGAGGAAGAGGTGGTAGATGAGAGCGCGCTGGCAGCTCCGGGACTGTTCATCTGGGCCCTCACATTCTCTGCCGGCGTCAGCGGACTGCTGTTCGGATACGAGTACGTAGAGCACAGGAATTGCGGCTCCATGGCCTTTGGCGTAGCAATAACTAACTCCTGCTGGAGTGTAGCACCGGCGTGATAAGCTCGACGCTCGTCAGCGTGGGCACCGATCTCTCTGCCCGTACTCTCGATACTCTGGACAAATCCCTGGTTACGTCTGCCACGAGCCTCTTCGCCCTTATGGCGAGTCCGGTCACTGGTGTGCTTGCGGATGCTTGGGGCAGGAAGACAGTTATCTTGGTGGCCGATGTGCTGTTCATTGTGGGCGCGCTTGGACAAGCATGGTCGACGACAGTCTGGGGCATGATATTGGGGCGAAGCATTGTCGGATTGGCAGTGGGCAGCGCGAGTTTCGTCGTGCCACTGTAAGGCATCTTTCCAAACCATTTGTCGGTGTTGTGCTCACAAGTCTTTGCAGGTATATTTCAGAATTGTCTCCGTCTCCTTTCCGCGGCCGCCTCGTTACGGTGGCCAGTCTGTTTATCACCGGCGGCCAAGTGGTTGCGTACATTGTTGGCTGGCTCTACTCCACTACGCCGCATGGCTGGAAATGGATGGTCGGTCTCGGGGCTCTACCAGCCATCATCCAATTCATGACGTTAGGATTTATGCCTGAGACGCCGCGCTGGCTCGTCAAAGCCGGCCGGAAAGAGCAAGCCCGTCGTGTGTTGAGAAAAGTCTACAGCGTGCCACCTGATCAAAGCGACAAGCTCACCGAGAGCCTTGTCCGGCAGATTGAGAGGGAAGTCCTAGAAGAGGAGGAAGCCGCTAACAGTAGGCGCAACTCTAATATCCCCAAGCGTGGGCTGGAAGCCAAACTCGCTGCCGTCAATGATGGATTCGGGGAACTAGTGGCAGTCGGCGGCAACAGGCGCGCACTCATCATTGCCTGCATGCTTCAAGGATTTCAGCAACTCTGTGGATTTAACAGTTTGATGTGAGCATCTTGAATCTTATGATAGATCGATAGTAGGATGCTAACAACTTTATCAGGTATTTCTCGGCGACAATATTTGCGCTGGTGGGCTTCCGCTCGCCGACATTGACGAGCTTATCCATCGCCCTGACAAACTTCCTCTTCACGCTCGTGGCGTTCCACTCTATTGACCGGATCGGCAGGCGCCGCATATTGCTCTACTCTGTTCCCATCATGGTAGCTGGCTTGGCGTTGTGTGCTGTTGCGTTCAACTTCTTGGATTTACCGGGCGATGAGGCTGCCGTGCATGATACAGCAGAGGCCTCACAAGGCGGTGCCTGGGCTGCGATCATCCTCGTTGCCATGATCGTCTACGTCGCCGGCTACGCTGTGGGAATGGGCAATGTGCCATGGCAGCAATCCGAGTACGTTCATCACCAGTCCAACAGACATACCTTCCTCAAAAACCACAGAACTCACCACTAACACCCATCCACAGACTCTTCCCCCTCTCCGTCCGCTCGCTCGGCTCCGCTCTCGCTACAGCCACCAACTGGGGTTCAAACTTCCTTATTGGCATTACTTTCTTGCCCATGATGGACGGCCTGACGCCCGTGGGCACGTTTGCACTCTACGCGCTTGTGTGCGTCGCTTGCTGGGTCACGGTGTGGCGCATCTATCCGGAGACGGCGGGACTGGGGCTCGAGGAAGTGGGCGGCTTGCTTAAGCATGGGTGGGGCGTGGAGGAGAGTGTGGAGAGGGCGAAGGAGAGGGAGAGGGAGAGGAGGAGGAGAGCGGGAGGGGTTTGCTAGGGCGTAGGCGTGGGTGTCTTGCGGGGTTTTGGTGGTTGTCCTGTAAGCCTACCGTTCTCTTTAAATTCCTATGGTAAATGTTATTTTGCAGAAACGAAAGAATTTAAGTTATGACATTATCTACTTATATATCCGCAGTACTATAAGCATGTACCCCGCCGGGTTGCTTCCTGAAAGTGCTTCCGTTTGGTAGGAGTCAGCTCGTCTCCATCCCTACTTTTCTCACCCACCATCTTCGGCCTCACTCATGCCCGAACACGCTGAACTTGCTCTCCTTTTATTGCTCCAACCTACAGCTGTGTGATTCTCGAGCAACCTACACGAAACTGGCTCATTACCGTGTACACCTTTGTCGATCTCCGAAGCTCAGCTCGACGAGCCCCAGCGCGTCTGCAAGACAAGTTGTTCAATATTAACAAAAAGGCATATTCTGTCTGCCCGAGAGCTGTCAACACCGGTCTATTATTGCCGATTTCTGCCACCAATGCAGATCGCTTATGGAGCTTGCAGTGACTCTCATCATTATCATCGGGATCAAACCTCAGCTGGCGCAAGAGTCTGGTCATGGACTTATTGAAATGCAGTTGTGAGGAAAGTATCGACAGGATAGAGCCTTCCGACGGAGTTTGTCCCTCCGCGTCCTGGGCCGTCGAAGCAGTGGGATATGCATATATAGAGCACGTCGTTCTGTGCAAATTCGGGAGCAGGCCATCTCTATCCCCTCCACTGTGAACTGAACTTATAAACATATCCTGCCAAACAAACTACCTCCAGGGTGAGCGTTTACAACAAACACTAATCACTGAGTGGCTAGTGAGTAACAATACTGTTAGATGTTCGCCAACACCAAGATCTTCGCCATCACACTCCTCGCAGCGAGCTTCCCCGTTGCTGTTCTTGCCGAAGAACCACATTGCGAAACATCGAGTGGCAGTCCCGACACTGGATCTGTGACAGACGTCATCAACGAAGCTCGTGGAAAAGACGGTAACCACCAGAACTTGAACGCGTTTGGCAGTCACTGCACAAACGTTGTCGAGCACAACGAAGCAGCTATCGCTCTCTGCGGCGACACCATCCCTCTTAGCGGTGCTGAGGTCGCTTCTATGGCCAACGATATTCAGCAGACGTCTGTCGCCGGATGGAAGGGTCGGCGGCTGGGTTAGTGGTACGAAGTACTCTATCTACGGCAAACCAATAAATTATAAGGTGGAGGTCATCCACTCGTAAAGGGTTCTAGATGGGAATGGGGGTTAGCAGAGCCAACTCTTTTTGTTAGCTGGGAGGTAGAGCTGAGAAGCGGGGAAGCTCTAGGTTTCTCAGCTCCATGCATGTAGCCATTCACTTTCGCTAATCCAAAGTGGAGTTCAGCTGTTTAATAAGCTAAGTGTTTACCACATATGTGATAGGATGCACCGGAGGTCCAGCTAACGGTGAGAAATTCATGTGAATATCTACTTTGATACTTTTATACTTTTATACGGTTGCATTCGTTTGAGCGTGCGATTAAAAGTCACCTACCACGCGATACAGCAAAAGCCAATACCAATTCACTGACCATAGTAAGACTATGCATAGACGGAATCGGAGACCAGTCCGATAAGCCTCAACACCATCCCAAAGCATCAATAGTCCGCAGTTCCACGCGCGGATGCATTCCGCCATGACAAGCAGGCACGACAACCACAAAAACAAAAGCACAACCGCGCACCCGCATGAACCGAGCAGACACGGGCTTGAGACATGACAGCAACGGCGTGAGCATTTCTTTTTCTCGCAGCTTCCAGAGCAATCCCGCCCCCGGCCGGCGTCCAGGGGCCTCCCTTGCACCGCGGCGCGCGCAATATCCGACAGCCAGGCCGTTTTTGTTTTCTTTCTTTCGCAGCCCCCTCCCCTGGGGGAGTGGGCGTGTCAATTTCACGAGGCCGGGCGTTTCAAACTACTACATATACGGGCTGTCTGGCCGCGCCTCCTTCTCGCTACTTCGAGCCTGCCTGGTGTCGCAATTTCTTTTACCGCTGGCGCGGCGCGCGCAATCTTGAGACGCGGGTTGCGGCGCGGCTGTCTGTCTCATTGTCGCTGTCGCTGGTTGCCGCAGCCCGCTATTGCACTCAGTTGCTTGTCACTGACATTTTGACATGGCGGTGGGTTTTACATCTACTATTACCCACCTGTCTGCGCCGTGTTTTCCGTATCCGTACCTACAGCACCTCCATTACTCAAGTCAGGACGGAGTTTGATGCCGACCGCGATGCCGTGCCGTGCCGAGCAGCCGGCACGCGATGAAGCCGCGATCCTCTCTAGGACTGTACGAGTTGAGCAGGTGCAGCCTCAGCAAAGGGCGTAGTGTAGGCCGTACGGATCTGCTGCTACGTCAGGCAGGCACTGCGTTCGGCGTAAACGGATGCCATAGGGCATAGGCAGCTCTGCCCTTGTGCGCCAGCGCGTCGGCTTCTTAACGGTCGATAGAGCGCGTGTCGTGCGAGGGCCCGGCCGGAGGCGTCACCGCGTTTAGACTTTTGGGCGCGCTGGAACGAAGGAAGCTGGAAGGACGGGGCAACGAAAAGGTGGTGCGAGGAGGAACGGCGAGTGAGTGATAGGTAGAAGCGGCTGTTAATGTTTTGCGGCCTGGATATCCAGGCGTCGTCGCGCTTCACTCTTCGTTTCGCGGCGCGGCGCCGCGCCGCCCAGCCAGACGGACAAACTGTCTCTTCCTTCTTCCAGCTCTGCTCTTCATTATTGCGACACGGCCAAATGTCTGCGCCTGACCGGTCGCTCGGCGCACGCCTCTGGCTCATCAGTGTCTGCCCGGGCCAGCCAGCAGCCCAGTCCGCCTGTCAATCAGTCAGGCTTCTTGTCATCGTCATCGCCGTCATCGTCGTCCTCCGCCGCCGCGCCGCCTTCCACCTAGAGTAACCATTTAGCCAGCCAGCCGGCGGGGAAAATGAGCGTCTGTCTGGCCTGCCATACTGTCCCGCTCCCTGCATAAGCCTCAATCCCCGGACTTTGGATATGGCTTTTTTCTGACTCAGCATCGGGGAATTGGCATGAAAGTACCATTCACACAAAATACTTCAGGTTCTTAGGAGTTGTTGTAGGTTGTTTTATCCAATTTAAGCAATGTTATCACAGAATAACAGAGCCGGTGGAAGACACTTGCGTGGGCAAGCCGCGATGCATGGTTGCAAATGACCCAACCGATGCCTATAAGACAGCTTTCAAAACACATCTAAAAATATTACCTGATTTAGCAGCGAAAGACCTATTGCCCATCGAGATTCTAGACTTCGATTTTCTAATCACGAAGGATAGGATGACAGCTACGAGGACTTCCTCAACCCTAAGACCGAGCTCCGCACCCGGCCTATCGTGGACCACGACGTACGAAGCTCAAGGCCATCATGTCACCCAGTCCAGTAGGGGCGGTTTCTTAAGAATGGTTAAGGCGTTCCAGCATAGGCAGCCGGCTGCGTTATTCATGAAGCAGAGCTGGGACTTAGATATAATTGTCGATGCTCTTTCCGCATATACTTTCACTTTATACGTGATAGCAGTAACGAGACTAAAGAGTGCAGAATACGGCACCATTAGTCTGCCGACACGGAGTTACGAGCAATTGATCTACGGAGCTCAGGGATAACGGCGAAGGGACAAAAGAGCATGCATGCATGCTCCAGTGCAGGACAAGCGAGGTACGAAGTAGGTACGAAGCAGGTACCTACGCGCCTTAGGAGCCGGTACTGCAGCCAGGTACGCCTACGCCGCGGCGCTTGTGGAGCGCGCGGGCGCCGCCGCTGTCGTCGAGGAGTGACGACGTGACTTTGCAGTCCATGAGGGTTTGCCTAGCCGTTTGCCTGGCTGCGCGTGGACGCCCGTAAATAGTCGACGAGTGATAGATCGCGGCCACGTACATACCCAGTGAAGCTCTGTTAAGCCAAATGCGCCTACATGCTTCGGAAGTACGTCTAAACGAACCGTGAGGGTGGAATGACAGCCAGCCAGTCTACAGCACAGCTACCCATAGATCCGCGCCTATTAGCCCCAACCCGCATACACACTCCTACGCTGGGTATAATGCAGCAGCAGCAGAGCACCAACGCATCCATACCTACCGCGCATCGCCTCCACCCTATCACCTCGCCCACGGAAACAAAGCACCAAAGCACCTGTCAACAAAGCAGCAGCCACCACCACCGCGCCACCAGATTGGCCGCCCGCCCTTTCCCTAATCCATCCGACCCAAGCCCAGCCCGTAATAGCTAGCCTGCACTTAGCTACCCAGCTAACCTCTTAAGCGAAATAGCATAAAGGGGGCCGGGGCCACCATCGGCTTGCCGGACAGGCACTGCGCGCACGCACGCTCGGCGGGCACCCAGATCCTGAAGCGTGGAAGCCCCCATCAGGCTCAGCGAGCCGTGGCAGACAGGGTGCAGGCAGGCAGAATGGCAGAGAGAAAGAGGCTGCCATGCTGCAGCGTTACCGATGACGACGCCGGGCAGTGCAGCGCAAGTTGCAAGCAAGAAACCCGGGCAGGTCCTGAGGCCGGACGGACACGCCGCCCTGCTCCCTACGGATCCTGTGCCCAGGTACAAGGAGCCTGACTCGCGCGGGGGAGAGGCGGAGGCGCCGCCGGCGCTGTCGCCTTTCATTCGCTGCCTGCCTGCCCGCCGCAACTTGTTTGCTTGCCTGCTTTGCTTTGCTTTGCTTTGCTTGTCCACTGCCCAGCAGCCTGCGGTTTGGCGGCTGCCACAGCCCGGACGTCGCACCGCGCGACGCCTCTTCTGGCCCGCCAGTCTGCCACGCCCACGCCCTCGCCCGCACCCTCGCTCTCGCCCCCGGAAACCCCGTCGTCATCACCGTCGTCGTCGTCGTCGTCGTCGTCGTCGTCGTCCGCCGCGTCAAACTTGGTCTGGGCTTTTGCTTTGATGTCCGCTAGCTTCTATGGCCTCTGTGAGATGAAAGTGCCATGCTACGTGCCTGCTTCGCGTGCCTTTTCAGGAATACTCCATAATCGAGCTTGATAATTCACTGATTGATCTGCCTGCTTTGTGTTGTGTTTGTGTGTTTGTGTGTGCGTGTGCGCGCGTTGGAAGCTAGCAGTAGTACTCTTACCTAGCAAGATGAAAGGCCTGATCTGGTCTGTTCTGTCTGGGTCAAAGGATTGATTGGACGCCTATTGAAGAACTATTACACCTCCTATGCGCAAGATGACGGGGAGAGACTAAAAGGACCATAAGGAAAAAACGGCAGCAAATAACACACCGACAGCTAAAAAAGGGAGAGGGCTCCTGGCAGCGTGGTAGTACGGAGGGCCGCCAGATATAAGGGAAAGCTCGCCTCAGTTCCCAAGACCAGGTGTGGGGTGGACCGGGGGCAAAACGAGATGATGGTTACGGAAAACTTGTCGTAAGATGATGTACTGGGGATGAAACACAAATCCATCCTACTTCATTCCGTGAACCACGGGTAAACTCGCCGCCTCGATCAACCTGAAACCTGATTTGTCCCTTTGAAGACTCCAGCCTATAGGTGAATCCGAGAAAGCCCTGCGCAAGACGAACGCCCCAGGTTGCCGAGAGTGAAGAAGCTCTAATATGTGTAATGGAGAAGCCTCCGCGCTCGTCTGCGTTGACCGTACTCCATTGTTGCCATCGAGCTTCGTTCGAGGATATCAAGCCCAATAGTCAACGTCGGAAAGAGCAGCAACAGCAGCAGGAACAGCAATAGCAACAACACAACAACCAGAGAGGGAAGGGGCTGGATGGGGTCTACGCGTCATGTACCCAATGAGTAATCCGTGGCTGTCGAGGTCTGCTGGTCCTGGCTTTACACAATCACGCACTTCTTCTCCTTCTTCTTGCGAGTGAGCAGCGCGGCGCGTGTCGCATGCTCGAAGACTTCGCGGACACCCTCGTTGGTCTTAGCCGAGCACTCGAGGTACTTGACCGCACCGATCTTCTTGCGAACATCCTCAGCCTGCGGGGGATCTGTCAGCTTCTGCCGTTGCCCGCTTGCATGTGTCAAGGCATCCTCACCTGCTCAGGAGTGACGGGCTTCTGCGACGTCTTGTGGAGCTCCTCGATGGTCTTGGGGTCGTGACGGAGATCCTTCTTGCAGCCAACGAGGATGATGGGCAGACCCTGGCAGAAGTGGAGAACTTCGGAGATCCACTACGATAAAGTTGTTAGCAAATGAGAGCGGCGTTTTGGGCAGACGCTGGAATTGAAACCAACCTTCTCCTGGACGTTGTCAAGCGAATCCGGGGAGTCGACAGCGAAACAGATCAGGATAACGTGGGAGTCGGGGTAGGACAGCGGGCGGAGACGGTCGTAATCCTCCTGACCAGCGGTATCCCAAAGGGCGAGCTCGACGTGCTTGCCGTCGACCTCGACATCGGCGACGTAGTTCTCGAAGACGGTGGGGACGTAGACCTGGTGAGACCATCAGTATCGGTGCGCGAAAAGAGCCGTCGTCTCGCTGGGTATAGTGACGATCGGAAGGCTATCGACGGGAGCTGACGCAGCTCGGCGGAGCGAGAGGTGGAGCTAGGGAACAGGGGAACTGACCTCAGGGAAGGTACCCTTGGAGAAGACACTGCAGACGATGGTTAGCCGGGTGGCGAGGAGGCGAGGCCGTTTGGCACGGCGTGAGGTGCGGGCAGACGGGGAGGAACTCACATGAGCAAGCAGGTCTTACCGCAGGCACCGTCGCCGACGATGACGAGCTTACGACGAATTTCCGCCATGGCTACGACCGTTAACAGGTGATTCTCGACGGCGGGGGAAGGCGTAGGCGGAAGGGCGGATGAGTGATGGGTCGCGGGTGAGGAAGTGGGTGAGGGTGCGGTGGTGGAAGAAAGCGAGGCGTACTTCGGGGCTAGGTTGAATGGCGAACAACACAGCCGCAAATGCGTCCTAGAGGTTCCAGGGGGCGGTCAAAGCTGGCGCCCAGGGATGGAGTGTCTGATGGCGGTGCAGAAGGCAGGCTAGGGCGGGGGCAGAGCGACAGCAGGTTGCAGAGCGAAGTGCAGCGCAGCTGGAGGAGGTGAGTGAGGGTGGTTCGTACGGGATCGTTGTCAAGAGCAGCCTGGAGGCCAGTTGCAAGCCCCTTTTGGTCTAGCCCGATCAAGAACTGGGCAACAGAGAAGAGGAGCGACAGCGTGCGCACCGCCAGATAACGCTGAATCAATCAATCAATCAGCGCCCGAGACATCAATGCGCCCGCTGATAGGCAGCCTCCCGATGCCTGCTTGCTCTGCCTGCTTGTCGGCGTTGCCCTGCCACCCGCCCACCGTCCTGAGCACGTGAGCCCTGCCTTACACGTGCCCAAAGTCTGGATCCAGGGTTGCGGCAGCTACATCATCCAACCGTGAGACCGCGTGCGCGTCCTGATGAGACATGCAAACAGACGGACAAGACACACGGGACTTATTGCTTCCCCAGTTTTCTGCACGCCCAGACAATCGCCCACCAACCCACGCGGCGATCCCCAGCTTGAGACATTTTAGATCAGCCCATTCGCTTGCTTCGCACTGGATGTGATACCCTCTCCTTGCCTCCGTTGCACCTCAGCTGCAGCCAAACGGCCTCCGGGTAGCTGTTGTCCAGAAATCTTCCGACCTGTCATGGCTTTTGCGTGATCTGGTTGCTTTTCACGCAACACGGCCAAGGGTAATGCATATGTCCATATGTACAAGCATATTCGTAGCCTTCCGAGCGCTTGTCGAGGCTGGCCCAAGCCTTATCTGGGCGACCTGGCATGCCACGGTCTGCATCTCCATCAATTCAAAACACCTCTGGTTGTCTAGCTATGTACCGTAGAAGCCTAGAAGCTTCCTGTGTTAGTGGTGTGCTTAATCAGTGCCTTAAGACCGTTAGCTCCGGGGTCGGTACCAACCTTGGGGCCTGCGAAGCATCATCGGGGCGAGCTGGCTACCGTACGTGAATTCACAGCACATCACAACCACTACCCATCACTGTCGCTCCCACCACCCCTGCAGCTTGCATTTCCCATCCCAGGCTCCTCCGCCTCCATCTTTACGGAAATAAATCCTCGCAGCCATGGCTGACGCGCAGTCGGACGCGGATAAGGTAGCTTGCCCCACTCATGCAGTGTGAAACTACACAGCTGACGCTCTACAGATCCGCAACAAGCGTCTCGCAAAACTGGGGGGACAGTCAGCGGCTCCAGCTTCGCCAGGCACAGGCGAAGCTAGCGGTGCTTCAGGAGCAGCCTCACCTACGGTTTCGGCGCCTCAAACCGAACAGAGCTCGCCGGCACCTTCGAGGACGGAAAGTCCTAAGATCACCACAGCACCTCCGGCCGCCACACCCAAGCCTGCTCCGAAGATTAATATCACGTCAAAGCCATCGGTACCACAAAAGCGCGAAGGAGATAGTCCAGCACGCGCGTCGCCGCGACCTGCTGTGCGGGAGTCGACAGAGGTCTGGCAACACAGGACCCTCGGCAACGTTTTCAGGATTACGCTGGACGAGAAGAATACACATGATTTGCACGGCAACAAGCTCACGTATGTGCCTGGTGTCAAGGGAGATCTGGAGGATGGAGGCAGCCCGCTGCTATTCAGCACGACGGTGCTGGACCAGGCGATATTGGAATCTGCCACTAGCCAAAGCAAGCCGCTGGATTACCTTTTGGCTTGCTGGAAGAGGATTTCAAGAGGCACGAGAGGTGCAAGCTCTGCCGACAAGAATGATCCGGATAGAGCTGAGGTGCTCAGGGAGGCACGGAGACTCTGCATGAGCTATTGCATGTTTGCTGTAACCATGCCTGACATGTTTGGGATGGAGCCGTGGTCGATCAACCCACTTGGCCACCACTTGTTGGTTGACCCTGAGGATGAGCGAGGACTTTGCCATGACTTTCTCAATGAGGCTGTCTCGCGGTTCGAGGAAGACGAGAGCGTCAAGGAAGCGCTCGTCGGTGCTATGGAGCAGGTCAGCCGCGAACTCTCCAAGAAGAGCATGAATGAGGATTTCAAGCCTTATGTTTTGGTAAGTGTGCTGGGAGTCTATAATGGCTAGATACTGACTTTATAGGCTTTGCGGAACTTCTGCCAGTATCCTCAACTGGTTACCGCTCTCTCACAGTCTCTCATGTTTCTTCCTTCCGACCTGGATGCGGTTCGTCTGGAGAATGAGACACTGCTGGGTCCTTATTTCAGGCTTTCACCACTGCAGGCCGAGGTCTCATTGAACTATTTCTCGGATGCCAGAACCAGAGACAAGTCAGCCATCTACAATGCTCAAAAGGCACTCAGAATGACGCTGCAAACGCATCAAGATGAGCTCTTTGACATTGTCAACCGCTTCATACGGACCAAGGATGCACGTAGTAACATGCTGAACTGGTTTGCGGCGACGATCAACAAGAACCATAAGCGCCGTGCCATGAGGGTTGATGCCAAACAGGTCTCATCAGATGGTTTTATGAACAACGTGACAGTTATGCTGGATCGGTTGTGCGACCCCTTCATTGACTCCACCTTCTCCAAGATTGACCGCATCGACATCAACTACCTGAGGAGGGATTCACGTATTGATATCAGTGATGAGACGAAGATCAACGCCGACCAAAATGCGTCGGATGCCTTTTACAAGGATAAGGTTGGGGGTGAAACCAACTTCATCACAGAGTGCTTCTTCTTGACAGTGGCTGCACACCACTATGGAACAGAGGCAGCAAACAGCAAACTCACACAACTTCAGAAAGATGTCAAATGGATGGAGAAAGAGTTGGAGAGGTTCGAGTCGGAAAGGCACAAGTATGCTCACAATCCGGCTCAGCTGCAGCTGTTTGAGAATGCCCTCAAGAAGTACAAGGATGCAGTTGAGAGGAGCCACTGCACTATCTTGGCCACGCAAGGTGTTTTGCTGGACGAGACAGCCCAAGGGCGGGCGATGCAGTTCATGCGATATGTCATCGTATGGCTACTCCGCCTTGTCAGTCCAGGATACCCGCAGCAAAAGCTGATGCTCCCTCTTCCCGAGGATCAGCCTGAAGCATTCAAGTGTCTTCCTGAGTATTTCCTGGAAGACATTGTGGATAACTTCAAGTTCATCACACGCATGATGCCACAGATTGTCACCTCCACGCAATGCGAGGAGTTGATCGTGATTTGCATCACGTTCCTCCGCAACTCGGCCTACATCAAAAACCCATATCTCAAGTCGGGACTGGTCAGCATTCTTTATTATGGAACTCTGCCTTTCTATGGTAAGTCCAAGGGTGTGCTCGGTGATGTTCTATTTGCGTCCTCTTTCTGCACGGAGCATCTACTTCATGCCGTCATGCAGTTCTACATTGAATGCGAGAGCACCGGTGCGCACACACAGTTTTATGACAAGTTCAATATCCGTTACGAAATCTTCCAGGTCATCAAATGCGTATGGGGCAATCCGGTGTACAGACAAAACCTTGGCACCGAAGCCAGGTAAGTACCTTCTAGAATTTATGGAATCTCCACTAACGATTGTAGGGTGAATCTCGATTTCTTCGTACGTTTCGTCAATCTTTTGCTGAACGATGTCACCTTTGTCCTTGACGAGTCATTCTCGTCTTTCCACACGATCCACAACCTCACAAAGGAGCTTCGTGACCCCTTCCCTGGCATGGACGAGAACCAGCGGAAGGAGAAAGAGGAGGCTCTCGAATCTGCCAAGCAAAAAGCCAAGAGTTACATGTCTCTTACCAATGAGACTGTCAGCATGCTTAAGCTCTTCACCGAGGCGCTCAGCGGCTCTTTCACCATGCCAGAAATTGTGCAGCGTCTGGCCGACATGCTTGACTACAACCTGGATGCGCTTGTTGGTCCTAGGCAAACGAACCTCAAAGTCGAGAACCCACAAGAGTATGGATTCAATGCTAAGAGCATGCTTGCGGAGATTGTAGATGTGTATCTCAATCTCAAGGAAAAGGATGCCTTTTGCACTGCTGTCGCCCGTGACGGTCGCTCATACAAGGCTGAGAATTTCACGAAAGCAACCGGTATCATGCGTCGCTTCGCATTAAAATCGGAAGATGAGCTAGCGCAGTGGGAGAACATGGCCGCGAAGATTCAGGCCACGAAGGAGGCGGAAGAGCAGGAAGAGGCGGACTTAGGCGAGATTCCAGATGAATTCTTGGATCCGCTGATTTTCGATCTCATGAAGGATCCAGTCATCTTGCCTGTGAGCAGGATGACAATCGACCGCAGTTGCATTCAGTCGCACTTGCTGTCTGATCCGCATGATCCCTTCAACAGGAGCCCGCTGAAGATTGAAGATGTGATACCGAACACGGAGCTGAAGGAAAAGATAGCCAACTGGATTGCGGAGAGGAAGGCGACTCGTGCGGCTGAAAAGGCGGCCGCCGCTGGTAGTGAGCCGATGGACACGTCTTAGAGGTCACCATGGTTTAAATGGGTTGTTCCGTTTGCTATAGCTATCAGTCCTTTGGCGTCAACGAACATGGTAGAAGGATATGAATGATGACGCAACAGAAGCCTTGAGGGAGCTGTCGCAATGCTGGCACAGTGGAGGAATTTTAACTTTCAAAGAACTGGAAGAGCTGAGTAGCTTGATAGTCATGTTCAGAGTTTAGTAAAATATCTTTCGACAAGAACCAAAGCGTGGTAGTGAGCATGTATCCTTTCTTATTCCTACAGTTTGTACTTCTTTTAAAGGTACAAGTGGCATAAATCATTACTGCTTGAGCCGCACAAGGTGGCGCATTACTCTTCCTCGTCCTTCCTCTTGCCAAATGCATATGCCAGGCCACCGCCGACCAGGTTAGCCGCGCACAATCCCAGTGTAGCGCCACGAATGAGGCCTCTCGCGCCGAACTTGGAGTACAATTTCTGCAACACGATTTGGTCAGCTCATGATGCGCTTGCCACAGTCGCAAACAACCAACCTGCCGCCTTCTTTGCGCCAGCAGAATGTAAAGCCCACTCCACGCGGCCGAGATGCCGGCAGCGTCCTTTTTGTAATCGTTGAGGTTCAGGTAGCTGGAGAGCAACAGGACAGGCGGGAAGAGCATTGGTAGGGCCTGGAAGGGGCGCATATGCTGGGCGGTGATGAAGGTCGCGGTCAGAGTGGGCGGGAGCGAGTGCTCTGGTCTGGTTAGCTTGGGCGGGTGAATAAATAGTACAATTAAACTGACCGCCCCAGGCGCGCAGCGAGTGCACGACACCCTGCTTGACTTTCTCCTCTGTGGGTTTGTCGGCCATTGTTGTTGTACGTGGTAGAGACTGGAAAGATGTTACCGGGACTTTACAGTCGTAGGTAGTGACTTCATAGGTGGGCAAAACAATAAACCCGGGCCGCCCTAGACACCGCCCGCGACCGCGCCCCGGCAGCCGCTATCTGGCATCAAAAAGATAGGCTCGGGGGTGACACTTTAGCAACCAACTCTCACGCATCTGTTGCTCGCGCAGCTTCCAACAGCCTCTTCACCGCCTTCGACCGCGGTCCACGGTTTGGGCCGCGCCCCTCCTCGACGCCACGTCCCGTTCCGTCTCCATCGCACCACGACCCTTCGTTTCCTTATCCCCCACAGCAAACCATGTCCGCGAAAGCGAGCGGCGCCGATACCTCGGCCAACGGCAGCGCCCGCCATCGCGAGCACCACGACGGCTCCTCCGGCCGCGCCTACACCGTCGAGCAGAAGGCCGCCGTCCTGCGCATCCGCCGCTGCAGCCCCACGGCCTTTTACGAGATTCTCGGTCTCGAGGATGTCAAGACAACATGCACGGATGGCGAAATTAAGAAGGCGTATAGGAAGCTGAGTCTGCTCACGCATCCGGATAAGAACGGTTATGAAGGTGCGGACGAGGCGTTTAAGAGTGAGTCTTGCTCTGGGATCATGGCTGGTGGAGGAGCCTAGGCAGTCGAGGAAATACGAGGGATTCATGGGCTGACACTTTCTCGCAGTGGTTTCGCGAGCATTCCAGGTCCTCTCCGATGCGGATAAGAAGGCCAAGTACGACAGATTTGGCGGCGATCCAGAATCACGTTTCGGCGGCGGCGGCGCATCCTCAGCCTCGGCCGGAGCGTCTCCGTTCAGTGGATTTGCACGGTCTCCCGGCGGCGCAGGACGGGGACCCATGTTCGAGGAGGAGATTTCGCCGGAAGAGATGTTCAGACAGTTCTTTGCCGGGGGTATGGGTGGTTTTGGAGGACCATTTGGTATGTCACCACATTTCATATGTCTTGGGGCACGCGGGACTGCACAAGAGAGCAACAGTCGGGTTACCCGAGAGGCTTGTTTGGCAGTTTATGCTTCTCGACCCAGGAGATCTCCAAGAGCAAGGCTAACTTTTCTCCAGGCGGCGGTCTCTTCGACACCGGCCCAGGCTTTGTCTTCAACCTCGGCGGCGGCCCCGGCATTCGCGTCCACCAGTTCGGCGGCGGGCGACCTCGTCGCCGTCCCGCGACCGCGGCGCCCGAAACACCACAACCCAGCCTCACGAGCGCGCTGTCATCACTTCTACCGCTCCTTCTCCTCTTCGTCCTCCCGCTCCTCTCGTCCCTCTTCTCGGGCAGCACGGCGCCCTCCACGGGCCCAAGCGTGAGCTTCGAGCCCGTCGGTCCGCCCTTTACGCAGCAACGCACCAGCGCCCGTCTCAAGATCCCGTACTGGCTCAACCCGACCGAAGTTGAGGATTTCAGCCAACGCAAGCTCAAGGACCTGGACCGCACGGCCGAGATCCGCTATATGAGCAAGCTGAACTACGAGTGTGATTCTGAGCGCCAGCAACAAAGCCGCTTGTTGCAGGAGGCGCAGGGCTGGTTCTTCATCGACGAGACCAAGATGCGCGAGGCGCGTACTATGCCGATGAAGTCGTGTAAGAGATTGGGCGAGCTGGGATATGCCCGGAGATGAGGGGGTTGTTGAGTCATTGCTTTCCCGTTTTAACGCTTTTTCCTATTATTTTAAATTCCCTCTGTGTTGGGCGTGGCGTGTGGTGCAGACATGCTGGATACTTCTCCGGGCCGGGACGGGCCCGGATTCCCCCTCCGTCTCTACCTCTGTTCTCTTTGAGAAAGCGGTTTGGCGGCAGTTGGTTGAGCGAGCTGGCGTGTGATGTGTGGTCCTGAGCGAGCGGCATGTGGCATGTGGCGTGTGGCGTTGGGGTGTGGCGTTGGGGTGTAGCGTTGTGTGGTATCGTGTGAGAAGATACATGCTTGCATGCGAGTGCGCTCTCCACTCACTCAAGAAGGAAGGAAGCGCGCAATGGCGAGAAAGACAGGAGTGCAAGCAGGCTGACGGGCAGGCTATTGTATTGGACAGGCACTTTATTGAGTTGGACGAAAGGAAAGGATGGGGCGGATGAGCAATGCTGCGCCGCGAGCGCAGCAGAACTACCTAATGTATGTATGTACGTATGACCTCGAGACGTTTTTTTATTCTACGATTGTTCTTTTCTCGCGCTGGTGTTTTGCCTTTGGGTACGCGGTACTGCTTGCGTATGGAAGCTGTAGTGGTAGTGGGCATGGGAGAGGCGTGTTGGACTTGTAATATGAAGAGAAAGGGACAGTGTCTATACTAGTGAGTACATAGGTACTCGGCGAAGCCTTGCTGCGTCTGCTCTCTCTTCGTGCAAAGCGCTTCCGCGTCGACATTTCTGTTTCTCAGCTTCGGCTTCTTGGTCCTGCCATCCACTTTGCACTGGAAGGAGCGCTTTTGGCCTCTCTCTGCCCCTCTGGTTCTGGTTCTTCGGCCTCTTGGCCTTGGGTCTTTTCGTTTCTGGAGTTGGCATTTATTTCCGCGGCTTTATGTATGGCAATGCCATGCTTGATAGTGCTGGGGCTGGGTGATTAGTGTGGGGTGGTGGTTGGTCTGTAAGCTTTTAGTTTCTCTGTTTCTCTTCTTCTTTTTTTGGCCCTTTGCCGCCAACGCGGGTCGTATATATGACTGCTTCGACGCCTGAGCCCTCTTTGTTGACTGTCGGTCGCTCTCGTATACGCTTTGAGGTGATTGTGCTCTCTAGGCTAGGATGTCTTTGCCTGGGTCGTTGCACGGTGGTAGCTGTAAGAGAAAAGGGAGGGGGTATCGTGAGGAATCAAGAGGGAGAGAGAGGATGGGATCATAGGTTACAGTAAGTGAATAGGTCTATGATAGGACACTTAAGGGGCAATACGCGTCATAGCCAGCGCTCTAGTGAAGGCTGCCTACAGAAACGTGCGGCAGTGTCGTTTTCATACTGATAGCAGAACTCTAATCGCCGACTGGACGGAGAGGTTCATGTAGGTATGGTGAGTGCAACACCACTGTTATGAGTAGACCTACAGACAGGTAGACAGGTAGATGAGGAACATATGCGGTTAAACAAGCGCTGATGTGCCGCTCAGTAGTCAGTGTAGTCAGTGTGTTCATTGTCAATGCTCACTGTGCTCAGTTTATTCACTGTTATCGTTGTAATCGGTATACCAGTTTTCTCAGTGAACCTAATGTACTCTGTTCTCGGTGTCAGTGTACTCAGTGTACTGGCCTTATAACCATACTAACATATACAACCAACATACACTTCCCATATCCTTTCATGCGCATACATACACAGCTAGGTAGCTAGTCCCTTGTCGTACATGGAAACCACTACACACTCCTTCCGACCGATATCCCACGTCTCCGCTTTAAAGTAGTACATTGTCCGTTAAATGCGCGTATCCTTCTTCTCCACAGCTCTAAAAACTTCATGAAAACCAGCTCGCCGGCCACCCCCTCATAGCGTGACTAGACTACTCATTCCAACATACAAACTTAATATTTCCCCAAGCAATATAGATGCAGCTGAAGCAACTGACAACGCGTACTACATGCTCCCATCTGAAAGGTCAACACCGAGCCCTCCATACTTCCGAGTCCATTGTCCTAACTCATCTCCTCTTTAACATGCAATTGTGTGTCAGCAACTCCGTGTATAGCATTTATAAGCCCTGACATACTTAAGAACCTCTCCGCCCACCCACGTACACCGTGTTCCCACACATGCGCCAAAAAGCCAGAACCTACCTAGGAGAAAATGCATGAGTGCGCGCCAGCACGGCACAAGCGTGGCACAAGTACCTACCTGTCTATCCAAAGAGACAGACAAACAGGCAAACGCGAAGCAAACACACACACATCATGCATTCCAACCTACTCTACCCCACCACAACCACAATCACACAGACAAAGACACAGACACAAAACCAGAGACACAGCCAGGCGCGATCCCCCCAGCGGCAGCACAGCAACAGCAGCAACAACACCAACACACACACGACGCAGCGGCGACGCAGCGGCAGGTAGTCCAAAGGACGACCCATCCAGCTATCCAGCTATCCAGCCATCCAGCCATCCAGCCATCCAGTCAGTCAGCCAGCCAGAGACAACCCAAGCCAAGCCAACCCAACCCAACCCAACCCAGTTCATAACAAGAAAAGAGCAAGCGCAAAAAGAACAATAAAGGGAAGACATGTACCGTAACTACTCTACCCCTACCGCAAGCAAGCTCGCTCCACGCACCGCGTGCACCGTAGGCTGGAACTCAAAAACCAAGTCGAGTCAAGTGAAGAAAAGAACAAGGGTAGAAGAAGAAGAAGGCGAAGTCGCGTGCCGTGAACCCTCTGCGCTGGGCCCAGACATCAAGCAAGGCAGCTAGCATTCTCGACCGCCCGCCGCACCCCCGTCTCATGCACGCAGCTAGCTCGCTCACACCCACGAAACGAAAAGCAAGATCTCTGCTCCGCGACAAACGCGCGCTAGACACTCTCGTCGACGGGAGCATGTATATATGTATGTATGTAAGCAGCACAGCGGCGACAGGGACGACAAAGAACCTGGGCGGAGGGGGAAATGCCATGCCATGCCATGCCATACGCCATACCATGTCAAGCCGACGATGCGAGACCGATCTCAGCGCCCACAGCCATGCCTGTGCGCGTGTGCAATTCCCGTCCCGTCGCTGCGTCCATTTCGTCCTTCATAACAGCCAAGCCAAGCCAAGCAGGCAGGTCCATTCCTCCGTTCCTTCATCCATCCATCCATCCATCCATCCATCCATCCATCCATGCAGCAGCAAGCCCCTCCGCGCAAATCTCGTGTCTGGCCGTTTGTCCATCCGTCCCTTCGTGCACTCTAGCCCATCCCATCCATGCAAGCAAGAACGCATTACCCTAGCCTCCCCATTCGCGTGTCCCTCACGGTATAGCCCACCCGCTAAACAAACAAAAAAGATCGCCCTCAAGCCAAGCCAAGCCGCGCCTCCCCCTCAAGGAGCGGGGTGGTCCTTGACGATCTGGCGGATCTTCTTGTCGTACGCGGCGCGGTCCTTCTTGAACAGGTTGAACGCGTCGGCCTGCGCGGGCGACTCTGGGTTCGGCTCGTCCAGCAGCGACTGGATGCCCAGCAGGATCTCTTTGATGGTGATGGCGGGCTTCCAGCCCTCCTCTTCGTTCAGGATCGACAGACACACCGTGCCCGAGGGGTAGACGTTCGGGTGGAAGAGCGGGGGGACGAATTTGCCTGCGGGTAAGTTAGTAGGTGTGTTTGTGAGAGAGCGGGAGTGAGAGGCGGGGTGGTGGGGCGACACTGATAGTGCCTTCACCCGCCTGACGCGACGTACACTTGGGCGGCTTGGTGGGGTATTCTGCACGAGATTGTCAGCGTTTGGATCTTGGCTTGACGCTGCGCGGCGGCACACGCAAACGGCCTCACTCACCCTCCGGAAACGCGACTTCCAGCTTGAAGACGCCGCCTTCCCACAGCGTACGCTCCTTGCCGGGAATAGCACACTCCCACTTTCTCAGGTCCAGGACGCCCTGCGCGTTACGGGCTGGCTTGGCGACAAAGCCAAACGGGTGATCGCGACGCCATTGCTTCCTGCGGTATAAGTCAGCCGGCCGGCGGCGGCGGAGCAGGCAGGGCGAGCGTACCTCTCCTCTTGCAAACGAGTTTGTGCGAGCGACATGGTGGCGGTGGTAAGGCCAGGCTGTAGTTGTGAAGGTGGGTGGAGAGTGAGCAGCGAGCGGGCGGCGTGGATTGTTTTGACGCAGGCGGGGAAAGCCGAAGTTTGGCCGGGCCAGACTGTTTGTCGGGCGGAGCAGGGGCCGAGTGAAAGGGCAAGGGACAAGGCAGTCCAGAGAAGAAGAAAGAGAGCTGTCGCGCTGGCTGACTGCAGGTGCTGCTGCTCGGGACGCGGCCCGGCCTTCGGAACTTGCCGCCTCCCCGACCGAGCCGAGACGCTTGACGCTGCTGTGCGTGCTGGTCGCTGGTAGGTGCTCATCTAGCCGGGCACCTCTACCCCAGACTGTCTGATCGCAGGTAATTCTTCTCTTGTCAATCAACACAATGGCCGAGCCCCAGAAGAAACCTGATGACGCGACGCCCGCTCAGCGCGTCGAAGAAATTCCCGATCCCGACGAGGACGACCTGGACGACCTAGACGGTCAGTAGAGCAACACCTCCGAGACAACGCGGCGCCCCGCCTTGTTGTCGCCAAACTAGACAGTCTAGACACTCCTCTCTGACAATCCTCTCCGCGCATCAGATGTCCTCGACGAATTCTCCGCTACGAAACTAGACGACAAGCCCGCTGCGCCCGCCCCCGCCAACCCCGCCCCCGCACCTGCAGCGCAGCAATCCGCGGCCGCGCCCACGCTCTCAGCCGAACCCACCGATGATGACTTTGCCAAGCAGCTGCAAGCCGGTATGGCTGCCTTGTTAGGCGACATGGGCAATTCGCCCGAGATGCAGCAGCAGTTTGAGAGTCTGCTGAAAGAGCTGGAAAGCGAGGCGCCTAGCGCGGCAGCGGGGCAACAACAGGCTGGAGCCGAGAGCTCGGCGACGGGAGCGTCTGACGCTGGTGCTTCTAAAGGTAGTGGAACCAAGGCCGGCGAGGACTCGTTCCAGGAGCAGATCCGCAAGACGATGGAGCGCATGGCGACCTCGGGACAGCAGGCGGACGAAGCCGCGGCGGCTAAGGGCGATTCGGCTGACGACATATTGGCGTCTATGTTGGCGGAGATGGAGCGTGGAGGCTTTGGTGGTGAGGGTGTAGGCTCCGACGAGGACTTTAGCAAGATGCTTATGGGCATGATGGAGCACCTTACCAACAAGGATATCTTGTATGAGCCCATGAAGGAGCTCGATGACAAGTTCCCTGCTTGGATGGAGAAGAATAGGGAGAAGGTTAAGAAGGAGGATTTGAAGCGCTATGAGGAGCAGAAGACGCTTGTTCGCGAGATCACGGCGAGGTTTGAGGCGCCTGGGTATTCGGATGACAACCCCAAGGACAGGGAATATATCGTGGAGAGGATGCAAAAGGTACGTCTCCGCTGTGCTGTGCCGTTAACATTGTGTACTGACGCCGGACAGATGCAAGCTGCGGGTTCGCCGCCACCCGATCTTGTCGGCGACATGAGCGCTGCGCAGGAAGCGTTGGGCGAGATGGATTCGGGCTGCGCGCAGCAGTGAACATGCACAGATACCCAGCTCCGCGTGTTGTACAGAACAGTGTGATTGTCGAAATGCACAGTCTAAACCCCACCACCGGTGTATGCTCCGGTCTAAGTCGTGCTGAATGCTGTACATGGCCATGAACGCCAACACGGAACGCCAGATATTGCAGAAACAGCCCAAAAATCCACCAACTCGACAACCCTATGACATGTCCATGGCGTCGTAATCATGTTCTTCAGACATATGCTCTTGTCTTCCCTGCTGCTGTTGCTCTTCTTGCTGGAGTGCTTCCATGAAGATGCTGTCGTAATCGTCCTCATCGCTGCCATAGTCGAACTCGTCGCCAGCAGGAAGCTCGTCCTCCTCCATCATCGCCAGCAACGCACGCAGCTCTTCGTCTTCCTGGGCCACAACATCTTCGACCTCAGCTTCTGCAAGCGGAGCGGACTGGGTCAACCGAGCATTGTAGCCATACGCGTCCTGTTCACTCTGGCTACTCCCAATCATCATGTCATCCTCGTCATAAGCATGAGCACTGGCAGTTGGCTTCACGTCTTCTTCGACCTCGTCCTCTTCGTCCGGCTCAGGAAGAGTAGGTGCCGATTTCGCGAGCCTCGCCTCCCACGCCCGCTGCCGCTGCACGTAGTCCAGGCGCATAATCTATGTCACATCAGCCCGTCCCACTCACAACGCGACAGACTAGCAGCAAACTCACCTGTTCGCTCCTTCCCGCATACCGCCGCTCGTCGCGATCATTTGAGACTTTTCGCAAAAACAAGTCGCGTCGACGCTCTCGCGTCGCGTCTGCCGAGCTGCGCTGCATCAGGGGGTTTGGTCGCGCGGCGCGAGGCGACTTTTTCTGCGCGTCCATGGTCGTCTGGTTGGTAGGCACAGGCCGTTGAAGAACATTTGTAGACCGTGGGGCGAGAGGCGAAGGGCGCGTGGGCGTGTAAGCGTGGGGTTGGGGCTGTTGTTGCTGACCGAGGGGCGGTGGGGCGGACGAGGGCAGCCAGGCGAGCATGGTGGGTGCGGGAAAGCGGTGGGTAGTTTTAGACTGGGGGTGAGGTGGCTGCGCTTGCTGCGGATATGGCCGAGGGTGCTGTTCGTGCTGGACGGCAGGCGCGGTGTTGACGTAGGAGAGCGATAGAACGCGTCAAGGCGAGACGCGTCGCGCGCTAAAGTGGTCTGGGCGCGGCCTGGCGGTGGATGCCGGGGTGGAGGGTTCTTCCGAGGGCTTGGCGCTGGGGACGTCGGAGGTCTGCTGCGGCGCTGTCTCTCGCTGCATCATGATGGAATTAGGCTGCATTCTGGTATGTAGATTACACTGACGATACCAGGTGCTGACCACCTTACTGGTAAATGATGTGTTCGTCTTGGGATTTGGTCAGGTAGGCGCGGTTGGTATTCAAGGCCGCATATGTGTAGGCATCTAACATCCATCACCGTCAACCGAGATTCACCGTCTGGCGAGACAGGGAACGATACAAGCAGTTCCTACGGAATGCTCCTTGTCTAGCTGCAAGCCTAAGTCCTAGGTATGAACGAAAGGGTCTTAGAGCACACACATACTACAAACACCTGAACTGGATTTCTTCTTCCACTCCGTACAAGCGTCAGTATCTCGTTAGGCGGTGAACCTCGCTTGATGGTGACGGACGTTATTCATAGGTATCAGTATCGAAAAAGCCAAAAGAGCTTGGTAATGTGGTCCGGGATGCGCTTCGAAGAAGACATCTCCGCGGAGAAAGCATGGTTCTAGAAGCACAAAAATCAATATTCCTCTCAACGAATGAGGAATTGTCGAATGCTAACACCCGCAATCTAAGTCGGCACTCCCAACCGCATCGATGCCTGTAACAATCACGAGGCTGCGCGCTTCTTGGCCGCCGCAATCTCCGCCCTCTCCTTGACGCATTTCGCCATCGCATCCCCGACCTCCGTTCCGAGTGCCTGAAATCCTTCGATGACGCCTTCCCGATCACCCTCTCCTGACTCCTGATTCATCTTCCACTTGCCGCCCATCCTCTCCACGTCGATCTGGATGCCGATGATGGCCTTCTTCCTCAGGTCAATATAAGCCGTTGGCGCGTCGCTCGTCTGCCACGGCTTGTCGTATCCCATGATCTGCGTCTCCCCGAAAAGACTGAGGTCAGAGAGCTGCTTCGAGAGAAACACATCCGTGGCCGGGTCCTTCGAGTCGAAGAAGATGGTGGCTTTGCCATAAACTTGTACGGCGGAGTAGTCCCACGTGGGCACCGTCTTGCCGGTTGCGGGCTTGGTCTCCTTGTAGAACTTGGGCGTGACGTAGTGTTGCACGGGGCCGTTGAATAGGACCATGACTTCTTTCTCGAGGCGCGGAAGGGTTTCCTTGGACGGGCCTTCCGTGACGTTCTCGATCATGGCCTTGGTTTGCGGGTTCGCGCGAGCCATGTGCCCACGCAGCGTGCCCAGCTCCGCTTCGTCGTTTTCATCCTTGATGTCTAGAATGAAAGGAATGTGGCTGGACTGGATGGTCGGGTAGGTTTGAGAATCAATGGCCGTGGTCAAGATTCCTAGCGGGTTGGCGCGAATGAATTCGCGCAGCGAAGGGATGTGCTCTTCTGCGTGGATGCTGGGAAGGTACATGGTGTCCAGAAGCTATGTAACGCTCAAACCAAGCAAGAAGGAGCCAATCCGAGGGGCCTTTTATAAATCAAGCCCATGAGTCACTCGGCCGTGCGGGTGGATTCGTTGTTAAGTACTGATACCGCGCGCAGGGCGCTAACGGCGGAACCTCGGCATCAGCCTACAGACATGGCCTATTTGAGTAATTTTACCAGAGGGAACAACATCGAACATAGCCGGCAATCAGCGCATCTGTGGATAAGATTTGTATGGTGCGGAGGGCAGCCACTACAGCCGTAAGTCTTTGGATGTTCCACGATTTCGCTTGTCCTTGTGTATTGCATCCGAGAAGGTTTGTTCGCTGTCTGTATGTCATGGACTTCAATGATTCACCTATAGTGAAACATCAAAATGTAAGCCAGGCTCCACCTCCGCTCAAAGCCTACTTTGCATCTGCCGCGTCCGGCGTCTCGGCGTCCTCGTCTTGAGCCTCGACTGTCAGTTCCTTCACTTTCCTCTTCTTAATCCCTCCCCCCTTCCTCGGCTCTCCCTGCACCCCCTCCCACTCCTCCATTATCGCATCTTCGAGCTTCGAAAACTTCCTCTTCTCTTCAATAGGCGACACCTGATAGGTCTCGCGCGGGAGGGATTCTTCACGGCAAATCTTGGTTCGCGGACCGTCGCCCATATCCGGGAATTCTACAATTGGCGACGGGTCGTAAACCCCAGTGGCTGTGGATAGTGGGCTCAGGTAGGCGGAAAACGTGCGAGAGCGAGAACTGCAATCGTGTTAGAAACACCACCATGGGTCCGTCCATATTACTCACAGGAGACTCGTGTTGCGCCCGTAGTTGTCAGCTTTGTTGGGCTCTTTCGGCTCTTCTAGCTGTTCCGGAGCTTGCGACTTTGCTTGTTGCTGTTGATCTGGCGCCGTCGCCGCGGCGGCCTGCGTCGCGAGGGCCTCGTCGAGTTTCTTTTGAGATTCAGCCATGGTTGTCACAGTGCTCTCAACGTGGACAAGTGTTGACCATGCGGTGGCTCTTGGTAGTCGGAAAAGTGTGTCTGGAGAAGGCTGGAAGGCTAGAGGCTAAGGTGCCAATGTCAGGTCAACGACAATAACCAATGCGGGACTCAGATTCCAACCCAAGGGAAGTGAGGTCACTTACTGGTTGAGTCGACCCGAACTCTTTGTGGTTTTCCCCGGTTCTCAACTATACCTGAGAGTTACTATGCGACCGGAGGTAGCGGGCAGTCGCGTAACCTCTCGGCTTTGCAGCCGCTCACTGTCATTCTATGTCAGCTCAACTGAAGGTAGTTGGAGGCAAACGATAAGCGATGTGTAGAGCGCACGAAGCAGGGCATGAAGGAATAATTTACCTTTATCGACGCGTCAGCTCTGCTTGCAGTTGGTGGGGCTGGCGCGTTGTTGTGGAGAAAAGGAAAGTGGACGAGTGTAGGGCGCCCGGGCTCTGACGGAGCCGGTGACGAGCACGGCCACATGGGGCTTTGGGTCACTATGAAAGGGCGCTTTGAGGGGGGTGAAAGTATGCATGGGTTCAGACTGCAAAGAAACGCAGCTAGATTAGGAGCTATCCGTAGGGCTTACTGATATTTTTTTTCAAGTACATGTTAACATGGTCGTAGATTCGGTTGCTCAAAGAACCTAGAGTGACTTGAATACCTCTGTCGTTCGAAATACCGCCATTTCCGACCCCAAAGTTGCAAAGAAGGCTATATTCGTAAGCTCAACGTACCCCCAAGAAGCACCGTCGCTGGTATCAAAGAATTCAAACGCAAAGAGTTGTGGATGTAGATGTCATTTCTTCATATCTCTATCTATAGGTGGGTATATCGTCCTCCGTCTATCCGAAGCAGAAATATTCAACTCCTTCTAAAATATTCCGTCTATCTTGATCTTTCTCTGCGGTCTTCCAATTTGTGAGGCTTTTCTCCATAAAGATATGGCGATACGAGAAATAGCCAAAAGCCTTCAATAAGCGGTATTGCATCGGCTTCGACCTCTAAGTGCTAGTCATGAGGTTCTCATTGTGCTTAGCACTAGGCATGCCAGCCTGGTCGGCCTTGCGAATGTCCCTCGCGCCGGGAGTGAGGTACATGTTGTCGACTCCGGTGAGCTCCTCACCCTCGGGAGGTACCCAGCCCTTGCTCTTCCAAGGCTTAACGTGGAAAATGTACATGGTATCAATCTCCTCGAGCGATCTGCCTTGGCTTTCGCAGACAAAGAAGAAGACAGTCAGGAAAGCGGCGAAACAGCAGCCTGCGAAGATGTATCCGTAGCGATAATCGATTGCACCGGCTAAAAAGAAGTTTGTTAGCCTTGTTCTTAAATTGCAATAGCAGCGACTGGGTGTTGATGGTCGTGAAATAAGGACTCGTGGTGGTGGACCCTTAGCGGGGGAAATCCGGGGTAGCCACGTGATCGCCCAAAACAACCACATCTCAAGACCGCTCAACACCACCACAACAACTTACTTATGTATGGAGTAAAAAATGATATCATAAAGTTCCAAGTCCAATTTGACGCAGTTGCCAAGGCCATGCACCTTTCGTCAAGTTAGCTGGAGCTTTGGTATGTTTCTGAAGTAGCCTTCGTATTTTTGAAGGATAATTCAATCAACATGTAAAAGACTTACTTCGCGCGGTACCTAGTAGGATAGATTTCTCCTACAACAGCCCAAGCCATCGGTCCTCCGGAGGTGTTAATAAACAGTATATATTGTTGTAAAAGTCAGATAAAACTTACCCCAGGTGGAGGCGAACGCAGCAATGAAGAGGCAAGCGAAGACGATTAAAGCAGTTCCCGCTTTCGGTGTGTTCTCTGGATTCTCTTGGTCTAAAACGAAATGGCCGACAGACGAAAACACCTATAGTTCCATTAGTAAAAGTGGGACATCGAAAACCAAGGTACTAACCATAAAGCACATGAACATCCATAGGGCGCCAATCATCAAGCAGGGACGGCGACCGAAACGGTCAACAAAGTACAACCCGGGCCAAGTGCAAGCAAAGTTGACTGCGCCAAGAATGATGCTCGTAACGAAACTGTCATTCAAGCCAGTGGCCTTAAAGACAGTGGTTCCGTAATAGAAGAAGTAGTTGGCGCCGACCATTTGTTGAAACATCTGAATAGCGACTCCGAGGATGGTGCGATAGGCCATGCGAGGTCCGGTGAAGAGCTCAACCCAGGTCGGCGCGCCACCTCCAGCTCTCTCGGCATCAATCTTTGCTTGGATCTCGTTGATTTCATTGTTGACGATCGAATGATTCTCTGAGACACCGTAGTTCCTGGCGATAGTCCTGCGAGCCTCTGCCTTTTTTCCACGGCTGTACTCCCACCGAGGGGACTCGGGGAGGAAGAGTATACCACCAGCCATGATTGCTGGCCAGACAAAGCCGATTCCAATTGTCACCCGCCAAGACGGAGGACCACTTAGAGACTTTGTTCCGAAGTTTATAAGGTATGCAATAAGGATACCGGCTGTAATGGCCGCTTGGTAAGCAGAAACGAGAGCTCCTCTGATCTGTCTTGGTGCACTTTCGGACAAAAACAGCGGAGTAAGAAGCGAAAGACCGCCGACTCCCAGACCGGCGACCCAGCGACCAAGTGCCATTTGATACCAGGTGCTGACCGTGCAGATCTGGACAATAGCTCCGACGCAGAAAATAAGATTCCAGAAGATAATGGAGTATTTGCGACCAAATTTATCGGCAACCGGTCCAGCAATGAGTGCGCCGATGAGAGTACCAATGCTTAATAACGCAACGATTACACCTGCAATAGAATTAGAGGTTGTTATGGATAGATGAGCTCCTAGGGAAAGTGGGCTAACCTTCGCGTGCGTTGCTGAACTTTGGGCTACCATCGGCATCGGTCTGGTCGGCAAATCGTTCCAAAAAGTCCGTCATAGCCGTGAAACCCGAAACTGATTGAGAGGAAAGGTTAGTATGTAGTATTGCTATGTAAGGTGCATGGGATGGAGTTGTGGTATATACTTTGGCCCGTGTCGTAACCGAAGATCTGGGGCACACTGTTAGTTCGTTGCGCAACACTATTAGAAAACCGAACTTACAAGTCCTCCGAAGGAAACCAAGACACCCATGTATATTGTGCGGAAACTGAAAATGTGTAACGGTCCATTGTCCTCTTTTGCCAACTCAGTGTCGAGGGCGGAGTTGGTGGCGGGGTTGTCTTGAACGACACCTCCAGCGGGAGGGTCTTGCTCGCGCCGAGATCTTGTTAGGAAGCCCATGCTGAACAGCGGAATGATCGGGAGATGTCAAGACAAATCTGCTACTGCTCATGGGGAGGAGGGGCCCCGTTATGTAGCACGCGGCTCCATGCCTCGTCACGCCGAAATTCTCCCATCAAGTATCAAAGACCTTGAACCGTTGCATCCTATGGTCGGACTCAGCACCGATGGGTGCCTTCTTTCAAGTGCGAAGACGTCATCGACAGTGGCAGCTGAATCTCAAACGCAAGGACGTTGGAGGGCGAAACGGGGTGGTTTAGCGAACCAAAGCTAATTTGATTGGCTGAAATGGTCGCCCCTACGTCAAGAATTTTGATAAGAGATTTCAGCGAGGCCCGAAGTGACAGACAGACCCACAAGCAAATCTCCCCCACGGAGAGTCCCCACCAAATCCCCAGCCCACGGTCGTTCTCCGGTGTGGGAGCGAAAACGCACAACCGGGGAGACGCGAACGCTCCATCGAGTTCATCAACAACTCTGTGGTGTTGCACTTCTGGCCATCTTTAGGCAGAATATGCAGCTTTTGAGAGATCATCGCGAGCCCTGTAAGGCGAAGCGCCGCCGCCACAATCCGTCAAACCATCCCGTCTGCGCCAGAGCCGCAAGCCATTCGCATTTAGCCGGCAACCGGCTCAGCCAAGGCCCGCCAGCCGACCGTAACTGACGCCGTCACTCCTCCTTCGTCGAGTACGAGTAGTTGGCCCTGTCCGTGCAGCCTCCGGCCATCGTCATACCCCCCCGAAGCGCATGTTTCGCCTTTGCCTTGATTGGCAGTAACTACGAGGGTGGGAGGAGTGCTCGGATGTTTGCGCGGCCGCTTCGATGCCCAAGACACAGTAATCCCTCAAGATTTGCGGGCGCCTGGGTCGCCTGACGCTCGACTTCCGGTGCTTGGGTTACAGCCGATCCCCTCGAGACAATTGTCAGCTTGCGGAGATGACCTTCGTACCCTGGCACTCTCCGCGCGTTGTCCCCGCGACCCCACGCGGCTGCCGGAACATGCCCAAATGCCGGGCGATCTACAGGCCATCCAAAACTTCAGAGTCGACACTCCATCATCCCTTGAACATGGCTCCAGCTGGATTAAACAAAATCAACTTCTTTTACTACGTTGAATATGAGTACACCTGCACTGCCACGCCGACAAGTTGACTTTCAACTGCCAAATCCTTTCACAGAAAGGCAGAACCGGAAGGATGCACGCCAACGTCAGCAGGAACCGTCGCGATCCGTGAGTTACCGTCTCAACGCGAAGAACAGCCTCGGTGTACCGCGGTAGCTTGCAGACTGCCTTGACGGCAATGACTGCTGCATCATTGCCTCCTTCTTACCATTTCAGGTAACGAATACACTGGAGACTTCATCTTTTGATTTGGTCTTTTTCGCACGCCACAACAATGCTTCAAACAGCGTAGTTTGTTCAGTGAAAGACTATACTTGGATCCGTTTTATATTGGTTCCAAGTTCCTACTTGCTACTACATGGCCAGACAAGCGTTCCTGCATGCAAGATACGGCCCGGTAGATCGGTCTTGGTGCATGTCACCGGTAACAGGCTAAATTTAACTCTTGATCCGTGAGTTTAAGCTGAAGATGATCTCCAGGGAAGAGCAACTTCAGCTCACAAATAGGGATGTATGTTTTTCTTCATGCGTTACGCCAGCAATGTTCCCTTCAACTTAAAAGTCCAGTAAGTCATTCTTATCTTAGTTTTCTTTAGTTAGTTCCATTCATTCGCCCGGCTTCGTTCTGTTCCCATATACATACTAACAAATTACCGGCCACAAATAGGATCAGCTCTAAACGTATCTAACTATAAAGACAATATTATGCCAATCCTAGCCCGCATATAATCCAGACTTATGCATTAATATCGGGTAGAAGAAACGCAACCGAAGAGATCTTTATCTACTTAACATAGAATCTATCGAGAAGAAGAGAGAAAAGACAATTTAGCAACGTAGCACTAGCCTTCCATCTCGAACATACTCTCCAAAGGTCTAAAAGCGTGACAATTCGATATTGTTCCAGCTAGTCTAATCACAGAGAGTTGCATCCTAGACTTGGAAGCCATAATACTTCAGAACCAGTCTAAGTACACCAAAGTACCGATGTACAAAGCACTCCCGGATAAAACACATCGCAACGTATACCATACGCAAATATGCATTTACCTAGAATTCAGAATTACACCTCCCAACCCGCCGACAATAAGGACTTTTAGTACTTCCCACTACGTTAACGATTCAACAATATGGAAACAGATTAAACTCTATCTACAGCCAAGACACAATTCCACAACACCTTTATATTCACCAATTTCGACCAGAGGATAGGTTAATACCACAAACAGGACTGGCAGCGAACAGAAAGGAACAACGAGAAACATTTACCAAACAGCAAATACTTTAAAAACAAGGGAAGTTATAATAAAAGTAAAACGACACCCTGATCAAGATCGATACAACTTAATCAACTTAAACTGAAACTTAGAGCCTAAGTTAAGTTAAATCTTAAGCTTTAAGTAAGCTCTAAGAGTTGTAACAGGAATACATAAAAGAAAAGTTAAATGAGTCTTTTGTACAATAACTACCCAGGTAATCGGTAACGCATTTCGCAGAATCTTCACTACGTCATCTTTATATAAACACAATAACTAAAAGCAACCACCTCACCAGATGTTATATCGATATTGCTGCTATCATCAGTCATATTACCAACGCCGATGGTGATCTCTTTCTTATCCTCAGCTGCCTCGGCGTGCTTCAGAACATTTGTCTTCTTCATCATCATCTTCATCTTCATCTTCTTCTTCTTCGGCTCCGTTGGGTAGGAGTTTGTACTCGTCGCTAAGCATCATAGTGCTCGTCGGGGGCTTTTCTTCCTCTCCTTCCTACTCTATCTCTATGTCCTCTCCATCACCATCACCTTCACCTTCTCTATCGCCGCTCCTTTCCTCGTAGGCTTCGAGCCTTCTGTTTCAGGATCCCCTTGTCTTCCCATTTCATTATTTCTTTCTTCTATCTGCCATGCGCCACGCTCTCCGGATGCTGGCTAGGGGTGCCCCTTTTCCGCTCGCGCAGATGGGGTCTTCCCTGGCGGGCACTGCTCTCTGCTGGGATCTCCGGCCTACTGCTGGGGCCGACGGCGTATCGGAGGGGATTGGAGGAGTCTGGTAGTGGTGATGGTGGTGGTGACGGCAGAGGTGGTGCTGGAGAGGAGGGGTGGAGGGGCGGTGCGGGTGTAATGCGGGTGCAGGTGCAGATGGTAGTGGCTACAAATACATCGATAGTATTGTGCGGTAGAAGCTGCAAGTATATATATATTTTCTCACTCCGTTCGTGATATCCACTGGTTCAGTCAATCAACAGCACAATCAAATACACCACCACCACCACATTCACTAAACCCACATTAAAGAAGTTGTATCCCTCTCCGCAAAGACCCACCATCACCTCCTCCCCTCTACGGGGCAGCGAAAACCCAGCACCACATCATCACTCAGCCAAACCCAATTTATACCTCAACACCCTCAACACAACATCAAAGAAACATCCCTCCCCACCAACCCCTCTGCACGCCATCTGGGTAAAATGCTGCACCAACGCTAGCATGTTGGGATCGATAACGGCATAGGAAGGGGTGGACGCTACTGTGGAAGATTGTTGCTAAGTGCCTGTGGAACGGTTGTGTGGGTCCGAGGTTATTGTAACTAGGGTGATAGTGCTAGAAAAGACGTTGGTGCGGTGTGTAGTATACTGCTGCCTAAGAATGAGATTGGAGGATTAGATATGGGCTAAACTGTACGTTTTGTAAAATGCTCAGCCGCCTAAAGATTTAGGGTAGTAGAAGGATACGAATGCGTTTATAGAAACCGTTCATATTCTTGACAGCAGTACCAAAGCACAGGAAAAGATATCCAGGCTTGGAACTCCATGACCTACTTCCACTCCCACGCAGGACATGCGCACTAGCAGCCCAGGGCCCAGGCCAGTGCGCACACCAAGCATAGCGCCCCCGTTAGCGCCATGGAGGATCAGCTGGCTAGCTACAAGCGGCGTAGAAGGCGGCCTTGTGTGAACGACATGGGTGGGTTCGTCTCAACGAATATTTAATTTTTGCCGCACGGCTATGCGTTAGTCAGCTATCGTGTGTCAGATCTGTGTTGGTAGATTGCTTGTTTACTTGCTTGGTTGCTGCTGTCGTGGAGTGAGAAGGACGCTTCTGCTGCCAGTTGTAATGTTGTAGAGTGCGTCTCCGGCAACGGGGTAAGCTGGGTTTACCGGGCTTCGATAGTGTTCCTACCATCAAGGGCAGTGACTACAGCGCGCCTGTCAAGAGCGGCACGTATCAGAGGAGTTGAAAGTGTGATGAGCGCAGAAAAAACAGCGGAAGAAAGGAGTATAGTGCGCGTAGATTCTCTTTGTAAAGGCAACATTGCGTGTCTAGGGAACGCAGCCTATCGAACGCCGGATCGGAGCGGAAGTTCAAGGGATGATGAAGAGCTCGTCGTTTTCCTCTGCCGAACATCCGTATCGACGCTTATCCAACCCTTAGAACAATGTTTGCCAAAGTCGCCGATAGCTTGCCGATCGGGGTGTAAACAAGGGTGAGATGTCGTGATGGCGTGGGGGAATGTTGGTAACACGGTTCGGACATCAAGGACAGTCGCCAGTGGTTGGACGTATTCGAGGAGCAGCGTTCGGTACAGTCATCGTGGGGTATCCGGTGGGGCCTGTTGGAGTCATTCGCTGAGTTTGCAACACAAGCTGTCATCTTGTGGAAGGGGTGTCCGATGGGTTCCGGCTGGCTACAGCACAGCTATCAGCGTCTCGCCAGTCCGCAGACGCTCTTACCCTTTGTTGAAGCTCGGAGTTGATCGAAGCTGATCTGTGATGGTGAGGTGTCAAATTCATCTCCACGTGGCCTTATCAGAGGAATAATTGGGTATCAGCTTTATTTGATTTTTGGATGATACTGCTCTTAACTCCCTAAAGCAATCTCGTATGCACCCCAACAGCCCTATTCGTTGATGCCAAGTCGGTCGGGTATAAGGTGGCTTCAGCCCATTGCGGCCCTTTTGATCCTTTCCCTCCTCGCCATAATAGCAATAGCTTTTCGTCTCAATTCCACATGAGAACAGTGCCAGACTCCAGATCATCGGGACACGGCGTTTCCGCTCGTATCCGTGACCGCTCAGCGAATTCGTGACCGTTTGGCATCAGTGAGTCGTTCCTTGCTCAAGATTCGATATCTGCATCCTCTCCCCGCGGCGGCGGCGCAGGCAATCAAGCGACGAGGCTGGCGCCGCCGGACTCGATAGCCTCAATCTCCGACTCGCTCCAGGGCAGACGCGCGAAGCGGTCGGGCAGCTCGCTGCGGTCAAAGAACTCGCCCTTGGCGGGCTCAATGGGTCCGAGCGCGGCGCCGGGCTGGCCGCCGATGTTTCCGCCCGAGTAGTGACGCTTGGTCAGCGGGCCATGCTGCTGGGCCTTCTGGCGGTAGCTGGCGAAGGAGTCGGGGAGGCTGTTGGTGGGGGAGGCAGGGTGGGCGTGCGGCGTGTGATCGATGCCTGCAGAGGCGGGTTAGTCGGCTTCAGAGAGAGGGCGGGGCTGTGCGAGGCTACGTACCAGTGGGAGTGCTTCGCCTGCCGAGGAAGCGAATCATGGGCTTGTGCTGGAGGAGACGGCGGGAGGCGCGGAACATTTTTGCGGTGAAATGTGTGGTGGTAGTGGGTGTTGCGGACGGGAGGATGCAGCAGGTAATAAGCTGCGGGCTCGGGAGTTTCGAGGGTTCCGGCGGAGTATTTACGGGCGAAGCTGGTGGGGCTGTGGGAGGATGGTGGTGCAGGTTTGGGTGACGCTCGGATCAGAGGTGGGAGATGGGAGAGAGAGAAAGTAGTCGAGGTAGGCGCGGGTCGAGAGAGGGAATTGGATATTTAACCGTGGCGGGCCAGTGGAGTGGGATGGCTTGGAACCAAGGGTCTGACCTCACCAGCGATTGTCGGCGCAAGAAGATGATAGTGGCGTGAGAGTGGGCGCTGCCAAGGTGCCGCCGTTCTCAGAGCAAAGCAGCCAAAGTCAGGAATCTCCGGCAGCGGCTCTCTGATTTTTTGGCGTCATTCGCATCACCTAATCTCGCGGCCGGGCCACCCACCCCACACCCAAGTGCGGAGTTGCACGCGAAACGCTTCCCGAATTGCTCATCTTTTCCACACCATGCATGAGCTTCTGCTCTTCGGTCAGGTGCCCCCATCGCGCCATGAGCAGCTGCTCAACATCCTCGCCGGTATCGCTGGCATGCAACCTCAGCGCTCCATCCAGCGCCATGTAGTCTACAAACCCCAGCGCGCCCCGATGCGCCGCCAGTACGCCCAGGGTGCCAGCCAGAACCTGCCCACCAACCAGCGCCAGCAAGCCCAGAACCCCCTCACCAAGGACCAATACTACTGGCAGATTGTCAGAGACGTCCACGAGGCCGACTTTGAAAACGGCCCCGACGCGCCCAGGAATGGAGACCAGAAGGGCTGGGCGACGCTGTTCCAGGACGTGCCAGAACCGGGCAAGAGACCCGCGAACCTGCGGTGGACGCAGACTACTGACATCTCGTCGGGGAACGCACACGCTTTCATGAAAGCCAGTCTATACAGGTACAGGTGTATCATTGTGTAGTCGTTGCGCGCAGCTAACCAAGCTCAGGTATGTCTCCGAATACGTCGACGAAGGCTACCAGTTAGTCCACAAGAATGCAGTCATTCTATTGCACCGCATATTGCGTTTCCCCAACCCCGATCCGTCCATAGACCATCCTTTGGAGAAGCTTCCGCCATTCAACAACCTTGAGCCTTTGGACAAAAGCGGCGGTTACGTGCTCCAAGTGACCGTCACATTACAGGATGGATACAAGCCGGAGACGCTCGAGAAAGGCAATGCTGAAATAATGGCGTTCAAAAACCTCATGAAAGGTGTCGTGGAACTCGACGCTGCAGACAGGCTGGCCATGGACACCCGAGTCAAGCCCATGACTGAAGAAGAGGAAATTGCGGCCGAGAGAGCGGCAAGAGAGCAAGCACAGGCACAATCGCAGGCGGTGCCACCGTGAGAGGAACGCAACACATGGCGAAGTCGACATCTGTCAGGGGATCAACATGCTCTGGTGGGTCGTGAACAGCGTGATATGAAGGCTGTGTTGGTCCGCTATATGAAGTGGTGGCCGAAGTCGGCATGAGACTCGTTTCGACATCGATCTGGAGCGGGGAGCACCATGAGATCCAAACATGCAAACCCGGTGCGAAGCGTAACGTTTCGCTCTCAGAGCATCAACTCCAAGGATTCGATAGCACTTAAACCACAAGAATTGTGCGACGGTAAGCAAGCGGGAATTGCTCTACCATAATAATTAGCCATATAAATGAAACATGCCCACGGAAGGGACAGTTGCGCTAGTGCACAGGTGAATGAGTTAGAGTTGCGTGTATCGTCAAATGGTACACGATGACGGCGGATGCGGCAGAATTGCACTTCATCCTCAGCTGAATCTCACTCAACCCGAACAACATATTAAATAACATCCTCCGCATCTAGTCGAGTACTTTCACTTGATGAACGCACTGCCATCAGCCTTTGTTAGCCTTTTAATTAGGCAGCAAAGCACGTGCTACCGCGAAAGCGCGCGCGCGTTGTTTGCTACAACTTCACATTCGTCGCATCCATCGCAGCAAAATCCACAAACACCTCACAGCTACTCCACATCACCTCCATCTACGAAAATGGGAGACGTACCTTCACGAAAGAGATCACGCTCGTCAGAGCGCTCCGTCTCACCACCGCCAGTAAAGCGAAATCAACCGTCCTCTACCACCAGTGAGCTCACTTCTGGCACAAGCAATATCATGGCGTGATCTGTACTGACATATCCAGACAAGGCAGTGGCAAACTTCTTTACCCCAGCATCACAAAAGCCAAAGACGTCGGAGAGCGTCTCTTGGACGGTCATAAAGGAGAGCCTGTTAATCGGACGCTATCAAGATCCCTCGCATGTCGCGGAGCCCGACGCGCAGCCCCGCAAGATAGCTATTTTTGACTTCGTATGTTGGATTACGGCGTGTTTCAGCCATGTCATTCCCAGCCGTTGGGAGGGTTTTCATTGATCCTTGGGCGTGCATTGCATAGGACTCGACCCTCATTACATCCGCATCAGGCAAAAGGTTTGCGCGCGACGCTTCGGACTGGAAGTGGTGGCATGCCAGTGTTGCCACCAGCCTTCACAAGCTCCATCAAGACGGGTATGCAGGCTGCCTCTAATCAGCTGATGACTCTCACCTACCCCTCTCTTTGTATCACGATGCTAATGCAAAACGCAGCTATCTTATCGCCATTGTCAGCAACCAGGCGGGCATAAGCCTCAAAACCAACAGCAAATCACTAAAGACCGAGTTGAAACGACTAGCGGACTTCAAAGCAAAAGTGACGACGGTTTTGACGCAGCTCGATCTTCCCGTGGCCATATATGCAGCCACGGCCAAGGATGAATACCGCAAACCACGCACGGGCATGTGGCGCCAGCTGCTCGAGGACCACTCTCTCAGCGCGCCTGGGGCTGTGAACATGGAACGATCCTTCTTCGTCGGGGACGCAGGAGGACGGCCAGCAAGCGCCAGCAGCGGCGCCCCTAAGGATTTCTCGTGCTCGGATAGGTTTGTACTCTCCAAAGACCAGGTTTGCAGAACGAACCCCTGACGATGTACAAGGGACTTCGCTGCCAACGTCGGTATCAAGTACATGACACCAGAGGAGTACTTCCTCGAAGAAGAAGCATCGCCGTTCATCAGGGACTTCGACCCGGCCAGGTACATGAAGGAAGTTGCAGGAGCCGCAACCAACGCAGGTATGTTTTCTTTTCCATGTCAACGGCGCTGCGAGGCAGCTGTAGGCGACGCGTGTCTCATATATGCGTGTCTAGTTCCGCTGGTGTTCACCAAGAAGAATCCCGTGGACATTGTACTCTTTTGCGGCAGCCCGGGTGCCGGCAAGTCGACATTTTACTGGCGTCACCTGAAGCCCCTTGGCTACGAGCGCATCAACCAGGACACACTGAAGACGGTAAGTGCTGCAGTGTTCCCAAGCCTCCTCCGCACATGACTTGCACCTTGCACGTGCTGTGCGACCACTCCGCCTGCAAAGTGCTGCGCCCTCAAGCACAACTGACACGTTCGCCAGCGTGACAGGTGTCTGAAGGCTGCCACTGATAGCCTTGCAGAGGGAGACTCTATAGTCGTAGGTATGTAACTGACATGGTCCAAAATGGCGTGCAAATGCCGTACTCGACGAGCGCGAGTGCTAATACTCGAAACAGACAACACCAATGCCGATCCCGAGACCCGCGCGCACTGGATCAAGCTGGCCAAGAAGCACGACGTGCCCATCCGCTGCGTGCTGTTCACAGCCTCGCCAAAAGTCTGCGAGCACAATGACGCCGTCCGCGCTCTCAGCGGCGAGGTAAGCCCCCCGCCCCCTCCTCGCCTCCTGCCGTGCGGAGCGTGTTACCTTTCGTTGCCAGGGTCTCCACTCGGTGGTGGTTGGGTGTTGCCTGGATGAGAAAAATAAAAAAAATAAAAAAATAAAAAATAAAAAATAAAAAATAAAAAAATAAAAAGGCACGCTGCTTACCGGTCGAGAGAAATTGAGAAGCTGACCGTGTATGCTCTTGCTTTTGCAGATGAATCCCGAGTCCCGGATCATGCTTCCGAAGATTGCCTTTACGTCGTTCACATCGCGATTCCGTGAGCCCAGCCTCAAGGAAGGCTTCCAAGACATCACGAAAGTAGACTTTACGGTACGCCTAGCTTTCCTTTTTATTCTGTGTTTTTATGATGTTCGAGACTGCCACCCGCCTTGTCCAGTCAGGCCAGACCCGCGTTCAGACGGATTACCGTTGTTTCTTCTCAATTGTCAGGTTGCGCTCTGGCGATCATCTGCTGACCCCGGCTTTTGCTTTTGTGCAGTTCGAAGGATCAGAGCAGGAACGCGCCATCTGGACCAAATTCTGGGTTTGAACGTTCGCGGCCCTTTTTCTTTTCTCTCCCCATCCTTCCCCATCCTTCCCCAGACTTGAGGCGACGCCGGGCGTGGTTGGACTCGGCGTGATTCACAGCATGTAGGCTAGAGGCACGGAGTACAAGCCGTTGGAGCTACGGCGTTTTACGGAGACATTCTAGACCGGGGGTGGACGGCTTATAGCCGACACTACACTACTTAGGCACGCCAACGAAAAGCATCACATCGAATTACGAAGCAAAGGTGTCCTACGCGCGAGTCCGGACATGCGGAAGTGCGACGCAGTGGGCAGCGCAGCACGGGGAATTGCGGGTCGCAGCTAGGTCGCCGCTGGGGAAGCGGCTCACGGAGTCTAAGCCGCGACGGCGGGCACTAGTCCAATACTAATGATGCTGATAATTGCCGGGGAAGTGGATATTTGGAAGAGTGGGTTGCGAATTGGGCTGTAGTTCGCATGTACGCGCGGTTGGCAATAGCGTTTAGCAAGTCCGGCTGGTGGGCGAAGTGCGTCTCCGATGCGGAGATGTTGCGCGTAAATACAGGCATTGGTTCCGAATCGCTAGGTATTGTCGTCATGGTCGCCGTGTGTTGATGCAAACAGCGCGGCTCATTTGAGTCTTGGGTGCGGCGTTGTTTGGTTCGCTTGGACACCTCGCTTTCGGATACGAGCGTTTGACGGCTCTATCTTGCTCTTTCCTCGTCGTTCGCCCAGAGGAAAGACAACCCGCAAGCACGCAGGCAAGCCAGCGGGTGGAAATCCCGAGACACCAGAAGCAAAATGGCCAGCGCCAGTAGCACAGCCCGTCGCGGCGGCAGGAGACCAGGATATCCTGTGCGCACAGAGTTACGGTATGATATCAGGCAAGAAAGACGCATGCACGCCAGATAGCGGGAGCGTATCAGATTTACGAGAGGCGCCGCCTGCCTCTGCTACGAGCGCGAGCCGCGTGAACTTGTGTCTGTATGTAGGGGGGGTCATCAGGCAGGCAGGCGGTTGGGCCGCACGACCGCGCGCGGCAGAGATCGCCCTCAGCACGCCCAACTGGGGGCACCAGGGCCAGGCAGACCGGCAGCGGAACTGGAAGGCCTCAATATTTTGTCTCGCGGCAGCAGCGCACGCGGCGAGCCAAGCTTCTAGCGGCGCGGGCGCTAGAAGGCGGCAGCACTGGGCTGCTGACGGGGTTTTGCGAACCCTTCCCTCTTTTCTTCGCCTCGCGAGCGAGAGAGCGGAACTGGCGGCCACCCAGTGGCGTGCACGCCACGGGCGGAGTCCAGCAGCACGCCCACTCCGTCGGCCACGCAGCGCAGTCGTCGGCGGCGTTGGTGGCATGGCGGCGGGGCTTTCCCTGCGTCGCGCCACGCGCGACGCAGGAGCGTCATTCGTTGGCGAGAGCGGCCGTTTGTCGTGAGAGGGCGTTTTTTTGGCGGCGGCGGTTGATGGAGGCACGGGGGCTTGGGGGAGGGTCTTGGGAGGAGTTAGGTTACCACGTTGTTGTTGCGCCGCGGCACGTCGGCTATCTGGGCGATCAGAGACTTGACGACGACGATGACAACGGCGACGGGAACGGAGGCACGGAGGTAGAAGCTTGGTGATGGTTACTTGGGGTGGTGACGCGCGGTCCGGACGCTAAGAAAAGGCGGGCGTTGCTCCAGGCTCTTGGCTGCAACGGCGCCAGGGGACTCGTTTGGCGCAGGCGCGCGCACGCGGCGGACGGGGACGGGGGCGAGAGTTTCGGTGAGAGCGTCTGCAATGCAGCTTTGAGCTTTTTGGAGCAGCTTTCTATCTCGGTGTACCTGACCGGGTTTGCGGGAAGAGGGCGCGACACGGCCAATGGCGGGCTCGGCAGGCACATCCCCGAGCCGGGCCAACGGTGTGATTTTCAATGCGAAACCGCCGCCGACCCAGCGCCGCGGGCGCAGGATCAAGAAACGAAGGGCCCTCTTGTGCTCGCCAACGGCCTGACGTAAAACGGAGCCCGATCGAGGGCCCATTCGAGAAAAAAAAGCTTGAGGCAAAAGGTCGCGGCCACTCGGGTATGACGAGGCGGGGTGCCCCAGACAACTGGGCAACTGGGGGACACACACACGCCACACTCTTCGCATGTAAATCTCTGCAGGCGCTATGCTGCTTTTTGTGGTCATGGTCATGGTCATGGTCATGGTGAGTGAATGGGGCTGCAGAGAGAGAGGGGTGGGCATTGGGCAAGGCGGCCTGGCTGGATGGTGGTGGGTGCCGGCGCATGTGCAGGCGGACGGCCCGCGGTCATGTTGGGGGACCCGCACCGCAGACAGACAGAGAGACTCACAGTACACACTCTGTTGTTGTTGTCCTCGTCTTGCTGCCGGCCCTCTTTTTTATTTTTATTTTTTTTACCTTCCACTTCCCTGCATCCATCGTCCTCCTCCTCTCACAAATAACTCCACCACCCCAGTCTCGTCGCTCGCTCGCTTCCATCCTTCGCCTCTCCGCCATCCCACCACCTCCGTGCCTCCTTCCCCTAGGCCCCCGCCTCACTCCCCACCATCCCAAAACACGCGACCAACCCCTTTCGCTGCGCAACGGCCTGCAAAGGGTGAGTGCAACGCATGACTTTCGCTGTCTCACGTGCGCTCTGCGTCTGGACCATGACCAGGCACTGACTTTGCCTCCCCCCAGAGTTTCGCGGCGATAGTTTATCTGTCAGCCCAGCGCTCCCCCAGCACCTACGTGGACGCATTTCCTTCGTGGCACCCTCCCAAACCCTCGCGTTCCGCCACCGCTTCCCAACGAGGACGTGTATACAGCAGGCCCCCGGTATCTGAATGCAGCCCGGCTTTTTATAAATGGTCATGGGTGCTCGGTAGACCGTATGCAGCAACACAACGACGACTCCGACAACACCAACACCACCACTACCATGCGCGATATGCGGCCCCTCGTGCTTCCAAAAATGGTCGCTGCCAGGCGCTCCCTCAGCGAAGGCAGCGACGACCGATCCTACCCCGATTCCTCCGCCCACTCCATAACCTCCGAGCCTTCCACGCCCTCCACCCCGTTGAGCGCCGTCTTCTCCACCCGCGGCCACAAGAGGCAATCCAGCTCCACGTCTTCTCTTTCGCTCTCGTCGACGCCCCCCTCCTCCTACGAACACCTGGATAGCATGGCCTCCGGAAAGCTCCCCCAGCTCGAGGAGGCGGACGAGTATGTCATGGACGAACTCATTGATGTGGACGACTTTCCCATGTTCAACAGCGAAGTCCCCACACCTTGTCTATGTATGTGCCGCTTGCCCATCGCCTATAGCATTGCCTTACTGACGCCGCCCCAGGTGACACGGAGTTTTGCGCGCACCAAGGAAGCAGCAACTCGGATTCTACCGTCTCTCCTCCCCCGGACAGCGGCTCTCTGGCCTACCACTACGACCTCTCCGACAGCTATTCCGCAGACGAGTTCGAGATGCCTCGTCGTACGTCGAAACGCAGAAGATCCGGCGTCGAGTCTCCGGTCAACAGCATCGCGTCGCGCTTCGGCGAGCGCTTCCCTTCGCTCACGCGACGGTGGAAGAACCGCAGCCGGGCGGGGTCCATGCTCTCCCGCGAAAACACGCGCACCTCCACCTCCACTCCCTCCGGCTACGCCTCCACTCCGTCCGGTTATGCCTCCAGCCGGTCTTCTTCCATGACCGGCTCGGCGATACCCTCCTTCACCAGTTTTAGCACCAGCGAAACGGAGCTTGCTGGAAGCCCCAGGGATTCCGTGGTGCATGAAGAGTACGAAGAGGAAGAGGACGAGTTGATCCTTCTGCCGCCGCCAATTGACATGGTTTCGCCGGTTCTGGCGGAGGATCCGATTGATCGCAACGCCCTCGCTTCGACACCCCTGCTCCCGCCTATGATGGTTGAGAAGCGATCGCCCAAGGAAACGCCCCTGCAGTCTCCCCTGCAGTCGCCTAGTATTGCCGCCGACTCGAGTGCCTTCTCGGCAATGAACAGCCCTCTGGGAACGCCCCAGCCACCGCATGTGCAGACTCCTCCGTTGTCCACGAAGGCATCGATCGCGTCGTTCCGACATGGGCGACCCGGCCAGCTGGTACCAGTGGCGGACATCCCACCAATGATGATTGCCGACGAGCATGACGAGTGGTCGATCAAACTTGGCCACGCCAACTTTACAATTTACCCGGAGCCGTACATGCCGGAGGTCTGCGACGCAGATGCTTGCCGCGAACTATTTGCAAATTGGGAACAAGCACGTTGCAACTTCACCAAGCATCAAGTACGCACCGGCGAGCACTTTGGCGTCACGTCCAAGACGTACCAGCTAACGGAAGAGAAATGGGCCGAGATCGACGCCGAGTGGAAACGCAACCACGACGCCGCGGCCGCACGTGCAGCCGAGCTAGGCCTCGACCGCGCCGACTGCCCGACTCCGAACGAGCCGGCGCCACTCATGAAAATGCCGTCGCTAAACGACGCGCAGGGCGCGGGAAAGTTTCCCAAGCTCGGTGACGAAGACATAGTGGGTCCCATGGTCCAGATCGCGGCGCGCATACCTCACACGCGCCCGTCGAAGAAGGCGGCGCTGCTGAAGTTCATTGGCGACCTCAAGCTGCCGGGCGCCGTCATCGGACGAGCTTCGCAATAAGCAAAGCCAAGGAAGAGAGAGAAAGAAAAAAAAAGAAAATTTAAAAGCCGCAGAGGCAACTAACGACCTGCCGTCTTGGGCAACTTCTCCATGAACCTCACCATTTTCGGACTGTAACTTTACACACCATGACGAGGTACGACGCATACGACGAACATTACTATTATTTATAGTTTTATATTGTTATTGTTTTTTCTACTTATCGGCTCCGAACGCGCCCCGGACGCGAGCTGTAACGTTCCCTAAGAGACGACGAATTTCATTTTTTTGTTAGTGGCGGCGAGCTACCTACTCTAGAGCGGAGCGGGAGGGTGGGGGTTTAACTACCCACCTACATTGTTGTGTTTTTTGTTGTTTAGTCTCTGTGCGCCGCTTTCAGCGTGCATAGGTTTTTTGTACGCCGACCGATGGCGGGTGGTTGGTCGGTGGGTGCCTGGGTGGCTGGCTGGGGTGGGGTGGAAGAGCATCTTTCCATGACTAGACTTGACTTGACTGGATCTTTTAACTACGTACGTACTTTACTGGCTGGTGGGGGTGGGCGGGAAAAGTAGGCTTGCTTAGTCTTCGACTTCGTCATTTACGGGCTTTTAAAAGTTCCCTCGTTGGGGGGTTTCTCTCTCTCTCTCTCTCTCTCTCTCTCTCTCTCTCTCTCTCTCTCTCTGTCTGTCTCTCTCTCTGTCTCTTCGTCTGCTTCTTCTGCTTCTTCTGCTTCTTCTGCTTCTTCTGCTTCGTCTGCCTCTGCTTCCCTTTTACCTTTTTCATTGTTGTTGTTGTCATTGTGCTTTTTGGCGGCTATACCCATCATCATCATCGGTCTCGTTCGAGCGAGCTCTTGAGCGCGCGCGGCGTGTGTGTGCATGCTTGGCGAAGCGCAGTCAGTTGGATAGGTAGAGAAAAGTTAAGAATGATGTTTATCTGTCTATTGGTCTATTGCTGCTGCTACTGTATTGTGTACTGCTGCTGTTGTGTGGATGTATGTGCTTTTTTGCAGTACTACTACCCCTCGCCATCTATCCATCCATGCATGCATGCATTCATGCATTCATTCACGGAATTGAGCCTCAGCCTCAGTATAAACAGCTCAGGTCCGCGATATAGGTGTAGGTAGGCAGGTAGTAGGGAAAGCCTGCCCGTCCGCCGTCGGACTTTCTTTCATTCATTTCAGTGAGCTAGGTCGCACGACACGACGCGATGCGTGAGCGTGAAGAATTTGCCGTCGTCGGTAGTTGCTCATTTGGGTTGTACAGGGCTGGGTTGGTTGGTTGCATACATTCATACTCACACCTACACTTACACTTACATTCTGGAACAGATGGGATATCCGGACGGATCGGGGCGGGGCGGGAGTTGGGTATGGAGGGGCTGGATCCGAACTCGGTTATGGTAGGGGTTATGGTTGGGATTGGAGTAGGGTTTGTGTCTAGAATAGCTAGCTACCTATGCGTATTGCATTGCGGAGGGGGCGGGGCGGGTTGTGTTGGGGGTTGTGTTGGGGGTTGGCGAGCTGCTGCGTTTCTCGGCCCCGGCCCCCGCGGGCTGGGTAGGGTAGGTAGGGTGCTATCACGACATGGCTGGTACCTACCTACCAACGGCAGTACCTATGCTCTGGCGGGGCTGAGAGAGCGCTGCTGTGCGTGCTGTGCTGTGCGTACCTACGTACATAATGGCGGTGGTGTCGTCGTCGTCGTCGTCGTCGTCGTTGTCGATGCCGGTAACGATGCCGGTGATGATGATGTCGTCGACGCACCTACCTAAGGTACTGCTAGGTAGGTAGCCATAGGTAGCCAGCCAACGCGCCAGCGCGGCAGTGGCAGCGGCAGCTGAAGAGTCCGTCCCGTCCATCCTTCCCGCAAGATGGCACGGCGGCTGGCTGGCGGGCTGGCTGGCGGCACAGCGGGTGAAGACGTGCCACGAGGAGCTGCTCCGCCAGCCGCCAGCCTTTCTGCTCGTACCCCGCCTGGCTCCGCTTCGATTATTGCACGCAGAGCTGTAATTTGAGTCGTCTGTGTACATACATACATGCATACATACATACATACATACATACATACATACATACATACATACATACATACATACATACATACGTACGTACGTATGTATGTACAGCAAGCGCCTGCCAGCACGCACGCACGCAACAGACAAACAAACAAACAGCAAGCAAGCGCCAGCTGTCCGCCCGCTCACTCGCTCGTTCGTCGTCGGGCTGCTCGGCAGACAGGCAGATAGGCAAGGCAGACGGGAGACGGCCCACGGGAGACGCCCGCCGCCAGGCCGCATTAGGCCGCGGCCGAGCGAGCGAGCAAACGAGCAGCGGGACGAACGCACTCGCCCTTGTCCCGTCACAGCGGTGCTATTGGTGGGTGGTATTGGATTTTTCTGGGCTCTTGTTGCCGTTCTAGGTCTTGCACTGGCTGCGCTGGCGGGTTGCGGATTGTTTGTTGTTTGCGCCGCAAGGCTGCACCGTACATACCACGTACATACAGTCTCCGTGGATGGATGGTGATAGGTTGGCTTTTGCCCGGGCTTATCCCCGCGTCTCTGTTGCTGCCCGTTGCCGTGCCAGCGTAGCGTACGGATTAACTAGCCTAGCTTCTTCTTCTCCGTTCGCTCCGCTGCCCGGCTACGGCTACAGTAAGGTAAGGTAAGGTAAGGCAAGATACATCAAGGTATAGTTAGGTGTCTATCTCGGCCGGAGCGCCAGCACATAACCCACTACCTACGTACGCGCGCAGGTGGGCGGGCGGATATGTACGTGGGCAGTGGGAGCAAGCCTTGTTCTTATGGGTGGATGAAATGGGGAGGGGAGTGCGAGTGGGAGCTCAGCTTCGGCTCCAACGGCAGACCCCAACGGCAGAGCACACGCGCAAACCACGTCGCTGCTGCTGCAATTTCTCATTTCTCGTCACCCAGCGGGAAATGTTTGTAGTTAGCGGCTGTGAGGTGGTGACGGGTCGCCGCGTTGCGTCGGGCCCGCCCGTGGGTAGAGTGAGTGAGTCGTGGAGTGGTATGTAGGGTACGGTACAGTAGCTACCCTACTCCCTCCACCTCGCGTGGTCGGCGTCGGCGTTTGGCGTCGTCCGTCGTCATCAGGCAAAGGCGGCTACCCGCCCACCCGCCGTGCTGCCCCGCCGCGCCTTGCCTGCTGCCGTGCTCCGAGACGGTCTCGGGCGACGGCGCGGAGGAGGGGTTGTTTCTCATTCTCGAGTCTCGGTAGCAGTGGTGGTGGTTGGTCGCTGCAGGAGCCCGCCGCCCGCTTCCACCATTCACACACTCTCTCCCTTCTCCCTCTCACTGGCTGGCTCTCTCTTTGCGGTCAATGATGGCCTGACGGGGCGTTTTCGGCTTGAGGGACTCGACCGCTGTGACTGCCGACGCCGCTGGCCGTCTGGGGCCGCCCGCCGCGCAAAGACCATGTTGCCCCGCCATCTGCCTCCTCCGCGCCAACGTCACTGGCCAGCTCCTGCGACACTTGCTCAGCGACTCCAAATACCGAGTCGCGCTGCCAGGAGGATCATCGTCGACCGCCATGATCGCGGATGTCGAGAGCGGCTCTCGAGTCGCGAGAGGGGTTCGCCCCTACTAAAGTCTTCTTTTCCATCGTCAGGGGCCATTTGCACGCTGCTGTCGACGATCCCCTCTATCTGCAGCCCAGCCAATACCCCTTTCGAGCGCCTCACAGTTGTCTCGCGTCGCGCGTCTCGCCACCATGTCTAATAGCAAGCCTCAGTATCACGTTGCCATCATCGGCGCCGGCCTAGGCGGGCTCGCTGCGGCCATTGGCATCGCGAGGGCCCGTCACAAGGTTACTGTCATCGAGCAAGCACCCGTGCTCGGCGAGGTGAGTGTGCGACAAAGGCCTCGAGGGATCTGCAAGCCGCGGTCGTGACACGGCCGGCCATGCCTGTTCTTTTCTTCTGCCTCCGGTGACTGACGCGGCAGTGGCGTTCCAGGTCGGCGCTGGCATCCAGATCCCCCCCAACTCGTCGCGCATCCTCAGGAGATGGGGCCTCCTCGAAAAGGTCGAGGCCGCTTCCGTGTCCCCCGCCGACTTTGTGCTCCGCTCGTACAAAGGCCGCGTCCTGTCCAAGCAGAACATGCTACCTTTTGCCAAGGAAAAGTACGGTAATCCCTACCTGCACATCCACCGCGCCGACTATCACCGGATTCTGGTCGAGGCCGCCATCGAGGCCGGCGTGCACATGCAGCTGGGCTCCGTCGTCGAGGCTATCGACTTCGAAACGCCGCAGGTCAAGATCAAGGGTAAGCCGGATTTCAGGGCGGACATTGTACTCGGAGCCGATGGCCTCAAGTCGGTTTGCCGCGAGCAACTGCTGGGACACCCCGATCCTCCAAGGCTCACGGGCGATTTGGCTTACAGGATCGTCGTCAAGGCCGAGGACATGCGTAAGCACGAAATCCTGCGCGAGCTGGTCGAGACGCCGCAGATCAATTACTGGATGGGACCTCACGCGCACGCCGTCTGCTACTTGCTGAAGGGTGGCGGGCTGTACAACATTGTCTTGGCATGTCCAGACAACTTGCCGGAGATGGTCAACACGCAAAAGGCGGATCTTCAGGAGATGCAAGCCTTCTTCAAGGAGTGGGACCCACGGCTCAAGATCCTGCTGGGGATGGTGCAAGAGACAAGCAAGTGGAGGCTGCAGAACAGCGAGGAGATGGCCAAGTGGAGCCATCCGGGCGGCAAGTTTGCGCTGCTGGGCGACGCCTGCCACGCCACACTGCCCTATCTCGCGCAAGGCGCAGCGATGGCGGTCGAGGACGGGGCGGTGCTGGGCGCGTTGATGGGGAAGATCGAAGACAAGAGCCAGCTCCGGGACGTGCTGGTCATGTACGAGACACTGCGAAAGGCGCGCACCACTCGGGTGGTCAAGGGCAGCACGGCGCTGCGCGAGGTCTTCCACCTACCCGACAGCGAGCGCCAAGGCGAGCGCGACAGGCAGCTGCTGCATGAGGCGCCCTTCGAGGGCTTCCCGAACCGCTGGGCGGACCCGGTGTTCCAGCCATGGCTGTTTGGATACGACGCGCAGGCCGAGGTGGAGGGGGCGTGGCAGACGTACAAGGCGGGCCGGTTCCCGCTGACATTTGGAAAGCATGGCGCGGGACGAAGGAGCCGGCTGTAAGAGTAGGGGTAGAGTGTCCGAAAGCGGATTCTTTGTATATAGTTTGTATAGTGACGATTTAGGTATATGACGATGATTATCCTCGTTTCTTTGACGATCGACGGGCACTCGCTTCCCGATCAGCAGGCAGCGGCGGCAGTTCTCCCTCGTGCAGCAGGTCAGCGTCATACTCGGCATACGCCACCTGCAATCTTTCGTTCCGACGCCAGCTGCCTCACCATCGAATCCTCCCATCGGACCTTCCAACCCTAAACTCCGTATATGCTGGGTCAGCCGTCTGCACCACCACACCCCTCAACCCAAGTCAGCATCATGACGGAGCACCTGGCCGACGAAGCGGCCGACAGCGTGCCCGCTCTTCCCCCCGCAGAGGACGACGACGACTTTGCCGACGACACCGACGCCATGATCCTGTCCGACGACGGCCGAGACCGTGTCTACACGCCCCCTCCGCGCATCGCCGCTCGCTTCTCCCGCCCACCCAACAACCCTCGCCGCAAGAGCTCCGCAGCCTCGTCCCGCCGCAACTCCATCTCCTCGACCCACTCGCACCAGAGCAACCTCTCGCTACGCGGGCCCGTCTGCCAGAGCAACCATGTCGCTCAGCACCTGCGTCGGGCTTCCATACTCGAGAGCCGCAAGGCTCGCCTGGCCGATAGGGCCGCCCACGCCGAGCAGGTTAGGCTGCGAGCCGCGCTGGCCAAGTCATCGCCACGCATCTCGAACAGCGAAGAGAAGGCTTTAGCCGCGCAGCAGGCTCGCGAAAAGCACCTGGCCCAGGTGGCCGCGGCATGCGCCGAAGAGGTCCGCCGCGCCAAGAAGGTCGCCGAGGACATGAAGGAGCGCAAGGCCGCCGAGGAGAAGCGATACCGCCTGGAGATGCAGGAGAAGCTGGCCGAGGCGGAGCGGAGGCGCCTGGAATACAAGCGGAACCTGAGACGGCCGCGCACGGCAAGCTCGCCGACCACCGAGTCCAAGAAGCCTGTCTCGGCTGTTGCTTCGGTGCTGGACGAGGATACGGCCGCCAGACGCATACAGAGAACCTGGCGGACAGGGAAGAGACGGCAGATGATCGAGTCATTCTTGGACCTGGGCCTGTCCATTGACAAGGTGCAGGAGACCAGCTTCGAGGAGATTAGCAACCTGCTGGCCGACGAGAAGGTGCTCACTCTGACGGCCAGAGTGCTGGACCTCTTCAAGCTGCAGGGCTCCGACGGCTCAATCGGCAACGACGCCGCTGCCATCAGAACGTTCCTTAGTGCCTACCTCATTCTGGGCCACCCGGCTGCCGTCCTGAGCAGCAAGGATGGTGATCTGGAGCAGGACCTCATCAAGAAAGCCAAGGATCTGGTTATTTCTTTTGAATCAACATTATCGAAGTTATGCTTCGAGAACCGATACACACCCCCGCCGACTCATCTTGAGACGGTGCTCCTGGCTCATGGAGCTTTCCTTACGGCCTTTTCGGATTGGAAGGCCCAAGATTCTCACACTCTTATTGAAATGATGGTTGCATCATTTGTCAACCTTGACGCCATTTGGCAAAGTGTCAAGGACGACACCCGTGGCGAGGTGGCCAACGACTATCGTGAAGGTATCCGCGATAACCAGGTCATCCTTCTTAGCAAGATCCGCAAGCTCGCTGGCCCCGAGCGGGCGAACACACTCATTAAAAAGGCCATCAACGAGAGCAGGAGGGCCAAAGCGAGAGACAGGCGCCGTCGCCCCGTGGGTGACGTGCGTCCACGTGCTGCGGAGAGCGACACCGCATCCGAGACTTCCGAGACGAGCAGTGAGGCGGCGACACAAGCAGCCGAGAAGGCTGCTGGAGGGCGCGAGTTTCTCCAGCAGGATGAGCAGGCGGATCTCGAGGGTGCGCAGGCTGATGCTCTCGCGAAGCTCTTTTCACCGATGCCGTCGAACAGAGAGCTTGTTCATGAACTGGCCATCGACAAGGAGTTCAGGATCGATGAAGCTCAGCCCTCGGAGATACGGGACGCTCTGAACCGCGAGATCTGCGAGAGCATGAAGCGCGCGTTCGAGCGTGGCGAGGGCGCCCCGTGGACGACTGCTATGGCGGAGAACATTAGGGGCAAGCTGCTGCGGTTGCTGAAGCCCGGAAACTCAATTTACAGGCTCATCTCCGAGGCCCTCGACCCGGAGTTTATTTACCAGCAGGCCACTAACGGCGTTTTCTCCTACGACAAGTTCTATTCGTTTATGGCTACGATCATGCCGAAGCTCTGCGCGCCGTTCAGAGACCAGCAGGTCAAGGCTCTGACGGAGGAGCTGCAAGAGTCGGGTGATTTGGACCAGATGATTGGGAAGCTATTCAAGCTTCTTCACATTATTGATTTGCTGTCTCTGGACTACCAAAACTATCTGCTCCAGACTATGGCCCCGACACTGCTCAAGGAAGCGCCCGGCTACGAGCAGCGTGCGTTTGCGCAGGATCTCGAGAGCGGCGCAATCACTCTCCAGAAGACGAAGAGATGGTTCAGTAGTGCGTCCGTCAACTGCCTCACCGAAGCAGACCGCCGCGACCCTATCTACGGCCCACCGACGGCGCAGAAGATCTACGCGCGCGGGCTTGTCGACCTCGCCATCGCCGCTCCACCATTGCAGGAGGCAGAAGTGCCCGAGACGCTGCATCTCGACCACGCGCGGCTGGCGCGGATCCGCGAGGAAGCGGTCAAAATCACAACCGTGGGCGCGATCCTGCTGACGGCGAAGAACCTGCTACGCCGTGACGTGCGGTCGCAGTGGAAGCCGCAGGCGGCGCGCATGTGGGCGCTGCTGAAGGAGGGGTACACGAACGCGGACAGCACGCTTCCAGCGAAGATGCTATCAATTCTCGAGAGCAGCCACGCTATGCCGGCGGCGACGCGGACACAGCTCGCCAATACGACGACGCGGCTGTTGCTGCAGGCGGCAGCGGGGCGGCTGACAGACCCGGTCGTCAAGGTGCTGTTCCAGCGCCTGAAGACGCACGTGCTGAACCGTGTGAGCGCGTGCACGAGCGGAGAGCGCGTCCGCGCCGCCAGCACGGCGAGTGAAGGGCTGGCCACGAGCGGGCTGCCCGAGTTTGTGGGCCAGGTCGGCGATCTCGTCGATCAGCTTATTAGCGTCAGCGAGGCGGACCGCAAGGCCCATGGCGTGTGGTACGAGCAGATTGCGAAGGAGGTGGAGCGCGTGGGCGAGGAGGACGAAGCTGCTGCTGCTGCTGCGGCGGCGGCGGAGGCGGCGGCTTCTTCTTCGGCTTCTGCTGCGCCGCCGATGCTGTGAGTGCGTTGCGTCTGGGGTTGTTTGTCTGCTTGTCTGTGTGTGTGTATGCTAGCTTTCCATCCTTCCTTCCTTCCATCCTTCCATTCGTCTTTTGGGGGGTGAGGTGGGGCTGGCTTGGCTCGCACGACAGTCAGTAGGCAGACGCAAGGAGAGAGAATTATTCATTCTTTTCTCTTCTTTTCTCCTTCTACTTCTTCTTCTTCTTCTTTACTACTTCTTCCTCTTCTGCCTTTGATCTTCTTCGACTTCTTCTACTTCACCACCTCCTTCTACCTCTTCAACTTCAACTTCACCTTCACCTTCGCCTTCTTCCACGTCTCTATCTGCCCTGATCGGGTAGGAGTGCGTGTGCTTGCTTGCTTACTTGCTTGCGCGCTTGAGCAAGTCTTTCTCGACTACAACATCAACAACATCACATCAACATCACATCAACAACGACGACGACGTCATCGTCAGTGTCTTTTAATCGCTTTTTTGTTTGCTTTTTTTGCTTTTTTGCTTTTTTGCTTTTTTGCTTTTTTGCTTTTTTTTTTTTTTTTTTTTTTTTTTTTTTTTTTTTTTTTTTTTTTTTTTTTTTGTCTTCTTGCTTGCTTGCGTTTGCTTGCGTGCGTGCGTGCGTGCGTGCTTGCTTGGCTTATTGTTGGCTTCTTTGGTTGGACTTTTGGCTCTTCTGGCTTTTTTGCTGGCTTGTTTTCTGGCTTCGATGGCTTTGGTTCGGTGGTTGGGATCGGCTTTTTGCTTTTGCTTTTTGGCTTTGCTTTTTGGCTTTGCCCCTTGTGATTGGCGGCGGCGGCAGCAGCGGTGCGGATTGGGATACGTACGTAGGCATTTGTGTGGGATTGTGGGATGGAGTGGTGGTGTGGAGTGCGGTGGGGTGGGTACACTACACCACTACTACACAGATGGCTACAGATGGGACACACATAGCGCCGCTATGTGTGGGAGGGTGGGGGTTCTGATAGAGTCTGTCACTACCTGCATTACATACTCAGTAGTCTTTCGGTCGGCTCGGTCTGGCTTGGCTGGGTTTGAGTTGCTTTGCTGCGGTTTGCTGCTGTTCGGTTGTTCATACTAGATTGACTCGCTCTCTCACACATACGCGCGTGCGCGCGCGGTTTTCGGAATTTGGATCGTATCGTACCGTCTTGTACCGTCTCGGATTGTAGCGCAATGCGTTGTGGTGTGGTGTGGTGTGTTGTGTGTGCTTTGTGTTTGTTTGCGTTTGGTTGCGTCTTGATGGGTGGTTGTGGTTGTGGGTTGTAAACTGTGTCTGGCTGCGTATAGATTGATAGACTTGCTTGCTTGCTTGGGTGAGCTTGCTTTGTGTCTAGTGGGGAAGTGCTGATGCTGTGGTGCTTGGTTTTCTAATAATATAATTTCTAGCGTTGGTGAGAGGCTGTTGGCTCTGCTGTATAGGTGGCTGGGAGATGAGAGAAGGGTGTACTGTATATAGTATCGCCTCTATATCTTGGAATTTTATTTTATATACTTTAAGTCTCTCGTAACTCGTCGCCCGCATGGGTCTCAGACTTCTACCCTACGCTCTCTACTTGGTTATCTGCCGGTGTTGGATGGAAATACGCTGTTGAATAGGAGGATCGGAAAAGTTATAGAATAGGGTTGTTGGCGCTGGTGACTGATGTAAAGACCAATGAAGCAGACACTTGTTGATAATTTGTTATATTGGGCAGAGCAGGTCTGCGGGTTCATATGCTTAGCTTCCCTTTCCAATTGACTGGGACCTAGCTATTAATCAGTCCGTTTCTAGCTACTTTGTAGAGCCACGTAGACCTAAGAACCCAGATGTCAACACCGTAACTCCAGTCCCGCATTATTTTTTCTAGTGACCAACCACAACACGCTTCACCGATACAGTTTCCGCTCCGTTGGAAACCTCACCTCTCCCGCGCTGAAACTGCAATGCCCTACCAGGCCCTTTGTCCCGTCATCCAGCAAAACCTCTTCATCCGCCATGACATCGCCCCACTGCACGGGCTTGAGCGCGGCGTCCACGTTGTCCTCTCCAGGGGGCGGATGGCACGCCGCGGCAATGGCAGCACTGCAGAAGCCTGCAGGCGGGATGCCAGGCTTGTTGGAGATGAAGCCAAGACACACTACTACGAGCAAAGCGAGCGCAGACACCACAATGACGAAGAAGATGGCAATGGCCGAGAAGCCGAGCGTGTGCAGGCCGTAGTCCGACTTGTCACCAAACTCGTCGTAGATGGTGATGTTGACGAGAAACAGACTCTGCGATACCAAGTAATGCATGCTAACACTCAAGACCAGAAGCGGGATCGAGAGCACATACGGCAGCTGCAGGTAATAAGTGCTGCGCTGGTGACCACGCGGACGCGTCACGCGCAGCCCCTTGCGGACGTGGGCGAAGTTGGCCCATTCCCGGGACGCGGACATGTTGGAGAGCAGCTGGTTGATCATGACGTAGCAGAGGGAGAGCGCAAGTTGCGGACAGTTGGCGATGACGATGAGGAGGACGGTGCTGGGCTTTTCTCCAAGGTTCAGCTTCACGATCGAATCGGGGAGGATGGCGCCGAAGCCTATCGTCCAGAGCCCTTTGAAGTGTATGCCCACGTCTTCTCTGTCGAGTGTTTTTAGGCCTTCTGTGAAGCCGATTATCATGCCCATTAGTACCCCGAGTACCCTGAGGCTGGTGGTCAGCTGTTTTGTCTGGACCCGAACATTTGAGACTTACAGGCTGATTGATATCGCCCATTTTCTTTTTGATGGTGCATTAAACCACCGGCGCGGATATTGCGTTGAGGAGTAGGCTCGTGGACGAAACTTCCATTCCGGTTGGACAGAACGTTTGCTGACGCATCTTCCGCTATAAAGAGCCAAGCCACCCGCTACTGTACATGGTCTCTCGAGAAAGGACGCGACCGCATCCCCTAACGTAACGAGAGTGGGAGTGTCGAAAATCTTCAACATTGCAATCATGGCCATTAGCTTCGCAGCATTTGCGGTGATGACGACAATAAGTATGGTCATACTGAAGTTTAAACTGCACATGTCTGGTGCTCCCTTCTCAGCCAAGCAGTAGGAAATTTTGTAGTTGAAGAGAATCCATCCTGTCGTGGTAGCATTTTTCTTGGCCTCGCTTGTGTCGCATCTGTTCCAGGCGTCTTCGAAGCATAACCAGTCGTCGCGACCGCCCGTGTAAACCGTCCGAAGCCCTGTCCGTTTTAGAACTGCCTTCTCCGTGTCGTTTTGTTCGGTTACGGCAAGCAGGTTTCGATACTTGCTCTGGAACCTAGTGTCGTAGTCCTGTATACAGTCTATAGTATGCCTTCGTAGCAGACTGCCGTTAGTAGCCTTTTCCTTGAGCTGGATTTCTAATGGATCGGACGTGTTCAACATGCTACTGTTGTTGGGAAGAGTGACAAAGTCTTCTGTGACAATCAGAACTTCGTATTCATTTACCGCAAATGAAGCGAAAACAGCAGAGTTGTACCTGTTTAACGTACCATGTCAGTATGGGGTCAGGAGTTGACGAACAGCTCCGTACATTAAATGTAAGGGAATAGATGAGAATCCCATGACCAACCAGAGGGCGGCCCGTCTTTTGTCGATGTATCTGAAATTCCTTACAGATGGCGCCCCAATATCAAGCCAACTGTTCCTCTTGTGTGCCTCATCAACTTCGTCTCGGGTTGGCGCAGCCAAGACTTGCATGCCATAGTTACTAGCACCCAACAGGAACGTTCCGAGTACGTTGATGACCAGATGAGCAACCATAATTAGCCGGTCGACGGTTTCGCAATCTCCCCGGTAGAATACACCCTTGCTATGTGCCAGGCCGAACTTGAAGCAAGCCCAATTCAAGAAGATGAGGTTTATCAGGAGCACTATTCCGACCGCGCAGATGCTCCGTGCGAGACCACCTCGCCAGCCTGAAAACTCGTAGATGAACAAGGGCCGGTTTAGCTGTTCTGAAGGCAGAATATGCACAGGAATTGAGATCTCGGGAGGTGGTGCCGGGGTTATGGGACCATGGCTATTCCCGTGTTAATTTTAAACGCGGGAAGATGGATACAGGATCTACCTTGGATATGGTTCCAGTTCCACATCTTCGAAGATCGAGCTGCTTTCCAGCCTTCGGTAGGTCTGACGCTTGGCGATCGATTGTATTTTGCCGGCCATGGATTTGTCCAATATTGCATGGCCCGAAACTTGGCTTGGATAGCAGTTTTGCGTTTGATTTGTGATGGAAATGACAGATTTAAGAAATGACATAAAGGACGAACGGCTGAACCCAGCCGTGACGCTGCGGAAAGCCTGGATCTTCTCTGACAACATTGCATAGTGATACAAGATAGCATGTTCCCGGTACCAGACAGACTTATGCAGCCTGTTTTCGCCGCAGCTCGCCGGGCTTGTGTCAAATATTGCGCGGATAGGTCGGTGTTCAGTGCCACTTAAAAGCAATCGTTTGCCGTTTCCTCAGGATCTCACAGCTGAGTGCGGAGCCGTGGTCTGTACGACGCGGATCACCGCTACAAAAGTACCCCTCTTTCCCGAAGAATCGAGCCATTCGTGCGCATTAGAAAAGGTTCGCGTCGTTAGCTACCGGTGAAGTATGTGTCAGCGACCGAATATTGACTGGACTTGAAGCACGACATCTTGTATCTCTCCACAAGTTTCAGGCAAACGTCAGCCTTGTCTCGGACCAAACAATATAAGTAAATTTCTCACGCAGAGAGCCGTCTAGTGACGTCTTTTTGCGCAATCGCCTCGTGCAGCCGGATTCTCGATAGTTAGTCTTCAGTACTAAATTTTGGGGTTTCGCACAATTGAGTAAAGGTTTAGGAGCGAACATGATCGTACTCGAGCTGTTCAAATTCACCTGCAGGAATTAAGCTCGAACACTGTAAAAAGAACTCGCGTGCGCATATGTCTTTTGCGGTGACACTGTACCGACAAAAGAAATGCAGTTTCGCGGACAGGTAACAGTGCGCCTTCCGATCCACCATTGCCGAAGCCATAAACATTCCACACTGACAAGAATACTCTACACAGCTTATACAATTCTCTTGTACATGACACTTACATATGTACCTGTGCCTGGCAGCTTTCTTGATGGTAGTCATGGCTGCATGAGTTGAAAACCCCGCCGAAGACAGACGACTCTGTACACCTGTGAGTAGCGGTACAGTTCAGTGCACCGTTGCACCATCCGCCTCGAGGTTCTGGCCGATATCCGGGATTTTCTCATCCTAATCGTCTGTTTTGTTAGGCCTCCCCTCTAAAGATCCGCAACTCTTCCTTCAGCTCTTCATTTTCTTTTTCAAGCTCCTTCACCTTTGCTTCAAGCCCTTCAGTCTTTTCTTGTGCACCAACGCTAAGTTCCTCGATGATCTTGAAGACACGCCACAGACGCAGGAGGATGACTAGAGATGCCACCTCCTCGAGGGTGCCATGAAGAACAACATCAAGAACGAAAGATGCAGTGATTACCAGGGCATCAAATACGTGGAACTTTGAGTTGAAGTATCTGGAAAACGTGAGCCGGTGGATTAAAGACGATGTAAAGATCAGGAACAGTCTTATCAAGACATACTGTAGTCCAAATGCCCAGATAGCTGCAAGCAATTCAATCATGAAGAGACAGGAGAATACTAGGCTGACCCATCCAAGAGCATCGAGAGCCTCATTCCAACGAGAGTTCGGACCCTTTTTCTCGCACGTGAACAGCTCGATTACGAAATCTGGAAGAAGGCTAGCTCAGAAGATGCGTCACGGATGGTGCAATGCACGAGATGGTGAATTACCCGCAATGATGCATGAAACGTCCAGGACTACAAGTGACAGGATGGCATAGTGGCCAAACTTGGACGTCAGGAAATGCTGTGTCTTGCGGCGGGATTGAGTGATGGAGGCGTCGGCGTGGCCGGTAAACTGGTTGAAGGTGCGGATGGGCTGCAGCAGAGGCTGCTCTTCGGCCTGGTTCAGCTGGCGTTCCTCGTCGTCCATGGTGGCTGAGGGAGAATGGGTGGGAGCTGCAGCAGCACGTACCAGACAGCAAAGAATATATAGGCGTGGGGAGAGTGGATACGGTGAGGTGTACCTGGACAACCGGGGCAAGAGTGGCGGTGCGTGTGGCGGTGGTGGTGTTGCGCTGGCGGCTACTTAGCGGCTCGGCGGCGCTCTCGGCGAAACCGGCCGCGTTCACGACGTCCGGAGCAAGTGCAAGCTCTGGAAACATCAACTGCAATCGCGCGACTTCTCCCTTTGCCTTTTGCCTATCGTTCCCTACAGGTTCGAGCAGCTTCGTCGCTACTGCCCGCGCCTATTTCATCTGCCTTGCTGCTTGCTCGCCGGTACATCTTTCCACGTCGTCGTCGCTTTCAACGGCTCATATCTAACGTCATGGACAGATCTATCCACCCTTACGATACCTTCGTGATCATGTCCGACACCGAAGCGCGCCCCGAGGAGGAGCGTCCCGCCGACGTGCCTGAGGAGGACGGCAACGACGAGGTACGACCTGCGACGCGCCTGCGCCCTCAGCCTTGCTTTGTCCGCAGAGCTCACTTCCGCTCGCGTCACATCGCACCACATTCGCCGCACGCTTGATCGTTTGCGCAATACGCTGACGGGGTTTTAGGAGGACATTGCCGCGATGAAGAAGCGCGTTCAAGAGATGGAGGCCGAGGCGGCCAAGCTGCGCGAGATGCAGGCGTCGCTGGACCAACAGAGCACCGACTTGCGCGAGAACAAAGAGGACATTGACGCCCGCAGCGTTTTCGTCGGCAACGTCGATTACGGCGCGAGCCCCGAGGAGATTCAGGCGCACTTCCAGAGCTGTGGCTCCATCAACCGCGTCACCATTCTCCTCGACAAGTTCACCGGGCATCCTAAGGGGTTAGTGAATACCACCAAGAGCTGGAATTTCCCTTGAAGAGCACTTTGTCATTGCAAGAGATTGCTTTTATTGTACCGGTGGAGGATCGCCTGGGATGTGGAGCGCGCGGCGCCTTCAGCATTCCCGCGAAGACGAGCGCCGCCTGTCCCACCGTCCGAAGCTGCATTCCTTGCGCTGTTCTTTTCCGTATCTATCACTGAAAGATCTTCGCTACCTGGCAAGAGCTGCGCAGCAAGAGTCGGAACGCTAATGGGCGTATGCAGGTATGCGTATGTGGAGTTCACTGAGCCGAGCCTCGTTGCTCAGGCTTTGGTATTGAACGAGAGCGTGTTCCGTGGTCGCAACCTCAAGGTCTGTCATTGCAATGTCTCCTCACCTAGAGAAAACTGAACCCAGTACCTAACCAGTGGATAGGTTGTTCCCAAGCGCACCAACCTCCCGGGCATGACAAGAGGCCGCGGTCGTGGTGGCATGCGTGGTGGTGGTGGTCGCGGTGGCTTTGGTCGCGGCGGATACGGCGCTCCTGCGCCTCGTGGCGGGTACGTCAGAACCATTTACCCAATCCGGAAATCTGCTAACACTTAGTTACTAAGTTACCGCGGTGGTTACCGCCCTCGTGGCCGTGGCTATGCTCCCTATTAGACCACTGTCACAATTGCGAAGCAGCTCATTCACGCGGCTCTTTGAATATCCAAATGCAGAAGTGGCGGTAATTCCGACGCCAGACGACAACGGTGGAGTCAGCACAGCACCTCATTTTTCTTTTTCCTTTACGAATGGAGTTGTACACATCATCTTCCCCCGAAGCTGTGAGCCGGATGGGCCGTTTCGGACTCATTTGGCTCGGACATGCGGCATAGTATTTTGACGGGCGGAGGAACAATTGGGAACTTTTCAGTATACCCTTCACATCCACATGGGGGGAACTAGTTTTGCACAGGCAGAAAAAAGGCAAGAAGAGATGGTTGGCTTCCTTTCTCGAATCGACTGATGTCTCGCCCGTCGTGCTTCTCGTTGTGTTTGTTTCCTTGTATGCTCATGGCCGCGTGGCACCCGTCGCGTTTGGTTGTGGTCAGTGCGTGCGTTGCGCGCTCTTTGTTGCTCAAACTGCCGGAACGTCACCTGTCACTTGTGGAGCAAACGAACGCTACGGTATACAGATGCTGCGATGCGGATAATAGGGGGCTTGCCTGGATGCTCGAAGCGTAGATGTATGGTGGTATTAAAGCTATGGAGACATGGACCTGGCTTCCTTGTGCTGGCTGATGCGGGATGATAATTTAATCCTCTTCAAGATTTGGTCGACAAACACGGCACAGCATTTGTACCAACACCAGTAGCAATCTCCCTGGCGCCAGCAGCTTCATCATGCGATATTTTTCGGCACCACACAGGTTTTGAGTTGACCGAGCACGGCTAGCAAGGATTAGTCTCACAGAACCGTATATCGTTTAAGGTTGGCGTGAAGGAAAGAAGGATTTTTATGGAAAAGAGTAAGCCTTTAGATTAACAGGACCTATCTAGAAGGGGATTCGACAAGACTTGGATACCTGGTGGCGGTTATGGGGCGTTGTTGTTTTCAAAATAGCGTGGGGTGGACCATTGCCTATCTTTGTGGCTTTGACAGATGCCAATGTCACTGACTCCTCAATCCGGTGATTCTTCGCGCAATCCACTTCTTCCGTCAATTTTGTCTGAGAGCATTGGGGTTTGTATTATGCACCGTGATAACGATGGTTCTATTTCGGGTTTGGGGTATCTTTGTCTTCGTGTCGAGCCCAGTGACACTGGAAGCGCGCCTTGTGTGCAGTTGTTCCTAATATTGGGAATGAGAGCGATTCTCATGCAAGAGCTTTTGTTTTGCCCATATGAGGAAGTTGGTCACAGCCAGAACCCATTGTTGTAGGTCCGTTCACTGCTGGAATGTTCGTCGTAGCATCTTCCGTCCCCGGCTGTCGCATTGCTGTTTAGCAACCCTTTGCTTAACCAGGAGTGTCTTTGGTTCTCGGGTATTCCTTCCCAATCACCTAGCCACAGAGCCGGTGTTGCGTTTGACTTGTGGGTTTCTTGCATCCTGGTTCTCCGGCATTGCCTTCAGACTTATGCATCCAGGCTCGGTAGCCAACAAGCCGTCATCGACATTTGCACCACATGGACAATCCAGCATCCCAAGAGGCCATGTATACACCTCTCAATCGCCTAACCAGCAATCTCACTTGCTCCTATAGCTGTCTGTCTCAACGCTCTCCCCATCTCCCCAAATCTCTTTACTTTCTTGTTCGACACCTTTCATCGCCTTGGCCACTTCCTCCAGCTTCGCTACCACGTCCAGCACGCCTGCATTCACGCGCTGAAAGTACCGATCATTAGCCTCGCGTCTCTTGCGAGCGAGCAAGATGTCATTTTCAGTATCCTCTTCAAGCTGACTCTTCGCACTGGTATCGGTCCCGCTCCTCGGCCTGTTACCAGCCGTCGCTCCGCCACTGCTGCCCAGCTTTTCCGCTCGGTCGCCCGCAAGCACGTTGCTTGCAGCCAAGGGGCGCTGAAGCTCTGCACTAGCGGCAGCAGCGCCGTGCGCGGCATCTTCGTCTTCGGCCTCGCTGCGGGCCCAGGCCTGTGCCAAGGCGATCTGCGCAATACGCAGCTCCTCAAGCGCATGGGAGTGACCTGGCCGAAACACGTGCGTGCCGTTGACAGCGCTAAGCTCCACCTCCTCCAGCGTGTTCTGCATCTCGGCCCATATCGCATCGGTGCGTTCCGCGCTCTGCTGTTCCACCTGCGCTTGTTGGGTTTGCTGCTGCTGCTGTTGCTGCTGCGGCTGAGACTGCTGCAACTGCTGTGGCCGCGACGATGATGCCAATGGACGCGTTTCGCTCTTGTCACTTGGGCTACTGCCTTCGAGCAAGGAGCGCTGGCGCGTCAGGGGCGCACGGCTCGTCGCAACGCCGCTGGCGGGCGGCGGTACAAGCGAGTTGGAGGAGTCATTTCGGGAGGGCGGACCGACGAAAAGCTGGGGTGCGGGGAGACGCTGGGTCTGGGATCTGTTTCCGGAGGGCCGCGAGGAGGGCATGATTGCTTCAGGACATTTTATCGTGCATGCGGATAGACGGACGAGGGGTGACGCGGGATGGCGGAGGTGAGATGGCGGAGTAACATTTCGCCGATCCGAGGGCTCGCGCCGAGCCCACACAAAGGTTTCTGAACCTGGCTTGCTCGTCTTTCGAACGCCGACACAGACGACGACCGCAACAACCACGACACATCAATCGGTGCGTAACCACCCCCATCCACGACCGCCCACCCGCCTTCGAGCCGCCTTTACTGACGTACATTTTTTCGCACATACAGTCACCATGGGTAAGGGCAAGCCTAGAGGTCTCAACGCCGCGCGCAAGCTGCGCAACCACCGCCGCGAGGGTCGTTGGGCCGATCTCCACTACAAGAAGCGCCTTCTCGGTACCGCCTACAAGTCCTCGCCGTTCGGTGGCTCCTCGCACGCCAAGGGCATCGTCCTCGAGAAGGTCGGTGTTGAGGCCAAGCAGCCCAACTCCGCTATCCGGAAGTGTGTCCGTGTCCAGCTCATCAAGAACGGCAAGAAGGTCACCGCTTTCGGTACGTCAAACTCCCTCTGGATCTGGTTGCAAGAAATTGGAGCATTGGCGCTGGACGCGCGAGGGTGGCAAAGTGGCACGATATGAAGAATGCGGCTAACGTCCATCCCACAGTCCCCAACGACGGTTGCTTGAACTTCGTCGACGAGAACGATGAGGTCCTGCTCGCCGGTTTCGGTCGTAAGGGCAAGGCCAAGGGTGATATTCCCGGTGTTCGTTTCAAGGTCGTCAAGGTGTCCGGTGTCGGTCTGTCCGCCCTGTGGAAGGAGAAGAAGGAGAAGCCTAGGTCGTAAGCGCCTCGCGGGCTTATCTCGTCTCTCTTGTCGTTTGCAAATGGGAAAAAGGAGAAGAACGTTCGTCGATGGAATGACTCTATGGCGTGGATTCTAAGGAAATTGGGGTTTCTGAGCTCGATGATGGCATAGAGTGAAAACTCTACCGACGGTTAGACACATGAGCATAAATCTAGCCGTTCAAAGCCACTGCCCTCCCGATTGTCTTCGCGGTTTGATTCATGAATGGCGCGGTCAGACTCGCGATTTAGATACACGTCAATGACGCGCTGCTACACGTACGACACCCGCTACCACGACACGCACAATCCAACAAACACCTTTGCATGTCAACCCATCTGGAAGACAAACGGAAGACCGCTATAGCGAGAAACCATCATGCCACGATCACCCGAGCCACCACCAAGATCTTCCATATAGTCCACTCTCGTACTCGCAGCTTGCAGCAAGCCAGTCGTCCGACGGTCTGGCAGTAAGCAAGCCTGATTGACCACGCAAGCGAGCGAACGAACGCCCTTTCCGTTCCCGCCTGCACTATCCAATTCCGCCCCGCTCCGCTGCACTCCGCTCTTAGGTTGTCGGTCACTGGATCCACTCCGCTCCGCCCCCCGCATTAGTGCATACGCCACGACTACTGTCAAGCTTGAGCAGTACGGTCTGTGGCTATAGCAATATTTTAGCAGAATTGCTGCCAATGGGCTGATTGGACAGGCGGAGGAAGCCGAGGTGATGTGCCGGCACCTCGAACCGAACGATCCGGCTTTTCCGCGGGGCAACCAAATACCGAAGGATTCTTCAGCCATAGGCTTGTACTCGTAGATACCGAACCTTAACCTCCGAATTGTGGTGATGTTTGTGCATGTCCCGTTCATCTATCCAACCGTTAGAGAAGATGACCATCCAGGCCGAGAACTCTTTCAAAAGCCAAAGACTATTCGATATTTGAGCCTACCTAGAGTTATTACCATAAAATTGAAGTGGATTAAAATTTACTTAACTTCTTAGATATGGTGGTAGTATACATGCTTTCCTTGCCTTTGACATTAGCAGTAACTAAGGAAAGAAGACTGGTGGCAAACACTAGCTAGTTTACTACCTATGAATAGAGCGAGTCGCGGTTTGGCAATACGAGGTCAATAGGATCCTAAGGCTTCCATGAAACCTCGGTTTTACAACGGCACTACCCCTATTCACGTCATCTAAAACCTGATAACCCTCAGCCACAATCGCTGTTTCACATTTTTCTGACTCTCAAAATGCTAATCTTTCGCTGATGACGCAAAAAGAACAACCGTAGTGGCGCTCTAACGACATCCCGGTTAGACACCTGCAGCTTCAATCATGAAGGCCGAATCGACGCCCAAGGTACAACGATCTTCTTCCCGTCAGCGTCGCTACAAGGCTGAACAACTCTAGTCGTCCAATACTATATCGGATTCTCGATCGGTATATTCGTCCTCTCCGCTGGCCCGGAATGTCTCGGATGCCGAAGCCGTAGAGCTCAGTGAGCTTGAGCACGAAGATGAGGCCAGACTTTGGCGCGGACCCGGCGAAATCCAAAACGAATACCAAAAGATTGATGAGATCGATGCGGCCGATGGAACCGCCGGAACTGAAAGGCCTCGCGTAATGCGCAAAAGCATGAAGAGTGCCATCAACGACTGGTGGTTCACAGAATTCTGCGCCTGGACCATAAGTGCTACTGCTCTTGCTGTAGTCATCGGTACGATCGGTGTTGCGGACGGCAACCTGCTGCATGACTTGCCAATCAAAATCACCCTCAATTCTTTCATTGCCTTCATGACTACAATCATGAAAGCTACAGTCCTCATCCCGGTTGCCGAGGGCATTTCCCAGCTGAAATGGTTGCGGTTCCAGGAGTCTGGTATCCTCAGCGACATTCAGACGTTTGACGAAGCAAGTCGAGGATTATGGGGAAGCTTGAAACTTCTCTTTACGACGAGGGGCATACATCTTGCAAAGCTTGGTGCATTCCTCGCCATTGCTGGAGTGGCGGTGGAACCGTTCACTCAGCAAGCAGTTACCTATCCTCGCCGATCTGTTCCTATGGAAGATTACAACTCCACTGTTACTGTCGCACACTGCTACAATAGCTATGAGAAGAGCCATGGGAGTGCGTGTACGTATACCTAAACCTCCCACTGTTCATGGCCTCTGCTTTTCCATCTCTTCCCCGAGAAGCTAATTTTTGTAGCGGATTATCCATCACTATCAATGAAATCTGCGATCGTCGCCGGCTTGTACGACATGGAACGCGATCCGAGATACAGCTTTCAAGTCACTGCAACTTGCCCAACAAGTAATTGCACCTGGGACCAGCCGTATCGCAGCTTGGCTGTGTGCTCCAAGTGTGCAGATGTGACTTCAAACTTAAGAAAGACATGCGACACCTACGCTGGCTACGCGCCGATTTGCAGTTACAATTTACCTAGTGGCTTTCGATTGGACGGTTCGAAGTTTGGAAATGCTTACATGTTCGGCACTGGACTAGAGGATACGATCAACTTCAACAATACGCAACCCACCATTTCCTCCATTACAACGATTCGAGGCCATCGCGATCAGCACTACAATCTGACCGGGGCCGAGGCGAATGAATGCGTGTTATATTTGTAAGTCAATATTATCAGTCTCTCGAACACAGACTTATAAGTTCAACACAGCTGTGTGCAAGAATACCTTGCAAAAAGTGAATCTGGCAACTACACAGAAGATGTTACCGCGACTTACATTCCAGACCAGGTACCTGTTCTCGGAGACGATGTTGTTATCAAGCCGCCAGGAAATGACATGGAATATACTGTTGATGCGTCCACATGGAAAGCACTCAGAGCGTATTTCAACACTTTCTGGGACGGTAATGTCGCTGGCGATCAGGGAAGGGCGGTTTCTGAAAACGAAGCTCTCCTGACCTTGTACCAACTGGATGATGGTGGGACCGGATTGGGCACATCGCAGCCCGGCGCTGAAAACGAGACCATCGGACTGATAGCAAAGAGCATGACTAAGGCGATTCGGACCCAGCGTCCGGTACATATAAGCGCCTACACCAAGACCAGCCCGTGTATTTCCAAAGCCTCGGGCATAATTCTCGGCCTCGAAGCGTACGTCCATGTACGCTGGCATTGGATGATCTTGCCAATCATGCTTGAACTGCTAGCATTGGCCTTTCTCATCTCAACTGTCATCAAAAGCAAGGATAGCGGCGTGTCCATCTGGAAAAGCTCGACTCTGCCTTTGCTGCACGTTCGGCTCGTGGATGATTCAAACCAAGCTAGTGTTGATGATCAGAATCAAGCTAGGCTTGACAACAGAAACCAAGCAAAGCTCTTGTCGGGCGATGTCACGACCCGCGGGAGTGGCAAGCTGACCGATTTGAACAAGTGGGCTATGAACTCCCAGGTACGGCTTCAGAGAAGCAATAGCGGGCATAGCGAGTTTCATGTTCAGGACAGAAGGAAAACTATGATTGATTCGCGTGTTTGAGGCTGGAAGAAAATTTAGACACCCTAATTTTTAATGGAGAGTCAAGCTTACTGGAATAAGCTTGATATCGAACAGTCCTTCACTGGATATATTCTCATCATGATGTGCAAATATTCGAGCATGACGCTCTACCAGTCTGCCCTTTGTGCGCCTTCTCATTCATGAATTGCTTGAAAAAGTGTTCGAAATGTTGAAAAATGATTTACGATGAAATCAACGGATACTTTAATACACCGGTCCTCTTCAGTAATCAATCAGATGAAATATACTGTGGAAGTATGAATGCAAACATAAAGTAATTTTCAGAGAAATCGTGGGAATGAATTAATGATAAAAATTTAGTAAACAGCACATGCCACTCGTCTTTCATATTTGTATCTATCAATTATTATTGAAAAGATGGGATCGAGTCTGATTGAGAAAGTACAGCTACCTAGGAGCTATTTATGCCTACAGGGTGGGTACCCTGTTGGCTACATGGAACCTGCTAGAATATAGCACTGTATTGTCTATGATTCGCACTTCAATAATTATATATGAAAGTAGGAAATATTTATCGCACATTAATCCCAGAACACTTTTACTACGTCAACGCAATAAGTGAATTAGTTTTCTTAAAATTTCATTATTCTAAGGCTTTAAAATAAAGAAAGTATTTAAGGTGAATTATACATATAACGTTTGCTATACCTAAGTTATTGAATAACAATGGCATGTCTTAATGCCTTCGCCCCGCTCAGTTCCAATGTGAACCCTAAGTGTTGTCCTGCGACTAGATATCAACATCGCAGTCGCACTGTAAGTAGTGAGATATAAACGGTCTTTCTCATGTTTATTTTGGCTTCTCCTCGCAGTCCATTGTTGCGATACTATTGAACATTCAAATAAATAAGTTGTAGGTAGACACGCGAAATTCATTATGTTGCTCTAGCAAATGCTTGCTCCTTTACACAGGGTCAATCCCTGTATTGTCTTGGTACGAGTGATCAACAAGAGTGTGTATGAATTAATGTTCGTGCTTCTGCCTAACTGCAGTATAGGTATTATTATGTTGTATAAGTCGTTCATCAAATAAGTTTCTTGTATAAGTATGAGGGTACAATGCAAGTTGCTACTTTAATATCTGTCCTTTAGATCGATCATTACACTAGGTCCTTCCCCGCAATTTTGGTTCCTGAATGTTTCTTACTTACACGGGATTTCTAATTTAATGTGTTTTGTTAGCTTCGAAATGGTCACTGTCACTGATCAGGAACACCGAGAAGTTTAGACTTCAATCATGCATTGTAGTCGTGATGCGGGACTAGCCCGCCTAAAGTAGTAGTGGTAAAGTATGTACAAGTGAAGGTAAATAAGAGACTAGCTCGTTTCCATTTTCCTCACTATCGAAGTGAAGTGTTTAGACCGTAAAGTCCTAGCCCATTTAGATGAGACCGACACCGGCGGCCTTCTTGCCAGCAGCGGAAGCGGAGGCAATGTTCTTGCCCTTGAAGTTGGAGAGGAAGCCAGTATCGGTACCGACAAGGGAGCCGGAGGAGCCGAAGGAGTTGACAACGCAGGAGCGGCCGAGGGAAGCCTGGCAGGCGGAGCCACCGGAGGCGAAGACCTGGCCCTTGTTCTCGAGAAGGGGAGTGACGACGTTCTGGAAGACGTTACCCTCAATGAGAGCCATGGAGTTGGAGGAGCCAATGTCGAAGGCGTGGCCGGAGTTGGCGTAGAAGTAGTTGTTGACGGCGTGGAGGAGGGTGTTGCCGCCGACCTTGGGGGAACGACCGGAGCTGTGGTGGATGTAGTTGCCCTTCATGGTGATCATGTCGTTGGAGCCGGTCAGGTAGATGAGCCAGTAGTGGTGGTTGTCGCAGGTGGCGGACCAGCTGGTGTTGCCGTCGAACTCGGAGTAGGAGATGGTGACACGGCCGGAGGCGTTGGTGCCGGCAACGAAGTGCTGGCGACCGCAGAGGGAGGTCTTGACGTGGTCAACCCAGATCAGGTCAGAGCCGGCAACAGTGATAGCATCACCACCCCAGATGTACTGGGGGTTGAGCTCAGTGATGTGGATGTTCTGGATGATGACGTTCTTGGCACCGTTGGCCATGCGGAGACCCTTGCCACGGATGACACCCTTGGAGCCAACACCGACAATGGACTTGTTGGAGGCAACGTTGATGGGGCTCAGGGCAGCCTTGTCGTAGGTGACGCTGATCGAGGTGGAGCCCGTACCGGCATTACCGTTGTCGCACCAGGAGGCCTGGTTGATGGCGTCCTGGCCACCATTGCCGGGGCACTTGTTGGAGGCGGGACGGCAGCCCGTGGTGGTGGTGGTACCCTCAGAGCCCTTGTAGTTGAACTCGCGGTCGAGCATGATGACACGAGCGGAGCTGTCGGTCAGGTAGCTGGTGAGCTCGGCAATGGTCTTGGGGTAGACGGGAGTGGCGGATCCACCGCCAGTAACACCCTTGGCGAAACCCTCGGGGGAGCCGACAACGCCAGCGGCGACGGCCTGGTGGGCAAGGCCCATCAGAATGGGAAGGAATGCAAGTCTCATGGTGATGAGTGTCTCAAGAAAGAATGAATGAGTGAGTGAATGAAGAAAGAATGAATGTGATGATGAGAAAAAGGCATTGATGGGCAAGACGGTCTGTATATATATTCATTTTGCCCAGCTGGCGCCGAGTCACCCGGTAGACGGCCCATCAGAAGAGATTCAACCGACATGGACGAGAATGAGGCTCCGGGGGACGGTCCGCCCGTCTGTGTTTGCAGGTCAATCTCCGGGATTCCACTAGCAGGGACGTTTAAGAGGCCCGTGACTGCTGCACGTTGCCCTGTGTCTCTACCCGCCGGTGCCAGCACCCGCCTTGGCGACCCCTGTATTGTCTCTAAAGTTCAGCACCACTCGCTTGTAACCTTTTAGCGTGTTTGGCCTAAAGTACCGAAGATTCCAGGCTGCTTCCACCAATAAGGCAGATGAGCACACTGGCCAGCACCTTCGGCTTAGGGCCGAGTCAATCAGGCCTCCTACCTTGCTACAGCCGCCCGTCGACTCGTCCACTGCCGATAACCTGTGGCTCAGCCGACCCGTGAAGTTCCGTGGGATACGCGCAGGGGTTGAGTCGTGCTCAGATAGCACGGGTCGTGGTGATAGTAACCCGGGGTTCGAAACGGGGCAGCCGGGTTGAAACCCAACTACCGCTTCGTACCGGCAAAGCAACGTTTTGCAGCCGAAACAGGAACGGGCCCCGAGCCGTGTGCGTGATGGAAGACGATGATGCGGTGATGGCGTTGGCTTTGGCGTTGGCGGTTTGAGCCACCCGCGCTGGCGACGTAGGTAGGTCAGCCCTATGCCTCCGTGTCGAGACCTGAGCCTAATTCTAAGTTTGCCAGGGGGTTAGATGATCCACTTGCGTCAGTTGCGCAGAGCTGTTGATGTCCGGCCGGAGTCGGAGATCCACCTGATGTGGAGAAGTAAGCGAATCTGGCCACACCTGTCGCTTGTACGTGAAACGTTCAACTCCTTCAGCCTTGCACCGAGTCCCGAGCGCTAGCCGCCCACTCTGTCACTCCTTTTCCCGACATCTTGACTCTTGACCGCCTGATACTCCCAGCCTCCGTATCTTCGGCCGTATCTTCCGGCCGGTAAACTCAATTTCTACTCCTACTCTAGACCGCCGCTAAGCTACTCCGTGCTATAGAGCTTAATTGTACGGTACCCACAATGCCTGAGACCTCGCCAATTGAAGCTGCTGGCAACATGTTCGCACGGCGACTTCCTTCCGCGCGACATTATTCTGAGAGACTCGGTCGCTCGACCATGGCAAATTGAAGAAAAGGAGGTTTCGAGCACTCCAGATCCACACAGGGCCCCAACTCCGCCAACGCACAACGACCGTTCCACCGGCTCAACCGAAATGCACCCCGCAGTGAATGGCTTATACCCACTGTCGTTCGATTCGAACTTTCGAAGCCTCACCGAAGCTCGGGCGAGAGGCCAGTGCGCACAAGTGCTTGGCCGTCAAACTGCTCCTCCATTACACCGCCGAATCCCTTCATGTGTTGGCAGTTGTTATTGCCCAACCGCACTGGTGGCACTGTATAGTGCTTTGGGCATTCGTGGGCGTGAGGCGTGCGGCGGTCTCTTAGAGACGCCGAGTAGTTGTCTACAGAATGATTGAACTGACCTGACCGCGAAATTGATTTCTGTCGGCAATTAAAAATTATTATCACGACAGCGGTGTCGTTGTTGACAGATTCTCAGCTCAGCCTCATAAAAAAAGGAGTCCGACAGGTTTTTCTGCTGATGTTCACCTTGGAAGTGGCAAACGGCCAAACGCTTCTCGCAATAGACTACACCTCACGTCGACCTTGAAGAACTTGATCTCGAGGACTTTTCCCCTCTTACGTCAAGAGCCGACCAGTGAAAATCCGGTTGGAGGGCTATCTCCAGGTGGCAAAACAGATGAGCACTCAAAGAATGGGCCGAATGGTCAATAGGGGTTGAAAGTTGTTGAAACGATGCCCTCGAGTTTCCGTTGAACGATGCTCAAAACACCACAGCCAGCTCAGAGACCACGATGGCGTAGGTCCCAGAGTTTGTGCCTCTGATGCGCTGTTTTGTTCTCTCGTCTATTCGCTCCAGCCAGACATTCTCGGTCTTTGGGGTTTGCCTCTCTAGCTGACACGTCCGCGACTCGAAGTCAGCTCAGAACTTGAATCGAGAGCCAATCAAAAAATCTCGATTCTCGACCATCGACAGATTTCCGTACGATTTGTGTGCACTCAGGAGATCAGTTCGACTTTACATCAGTCATTTGGGACCAAAGAACAATATTGCATCTTCATTTAACTTGGACAACGCCAAGGCAACTGCATTCTCAGCCAACCACCCACCTTCGCGAGCCTAACGCTCATTAGACTCGCATGGGCATCTGTAGCTCTGCGAACAAGAAGCCGACAACATCGGAAAAGTCGGCTATGGTCCGTCAGCTCGACGTCAACATTAGAATAAAAACATCGTGAAACTTGTTGCTCGCTGAAAAATCCGCCACAAAATGCCTGAAAGAAGGAAACTACACATCGCAAGAAACTTCAATTCAAAATGTCGGCGCTTTGACAGACCTGCAGTTTCCGCAAGTTTAAAGATCAAGCGATAGAAAACAAAGCAGCCACGAATGTTTGCAATCGAAGCTTTACGCCAGGAGTTGATCCGAGCAGTCCTATCCGGAAGACAAAGCCGAGCAACCATCACCTTAATCACGTACAGCCCTAACTACCTACAGCCTGCATACAACCACGACAAACTCCTCAAACCCACGTCCAAAAACCGCACATCCATCCCACGAACCCAATCCCACGCCAACGCCCCCAAACCGTCACCGCACCCACGCACCCCTCCACCACCTTCTCTCCTACCTATATCGCCATAAAGCCCCCCGCCATCCCAACCGCACATCACGCCCCCAGAGCACCAGCCACCAAGCCAGGCCAAGCCAGGCAACTGCAACCGCCGCCCGTATCCGGCGCAAAGACGCCGGGCGTGGTCGGTCCTTTCGCTTACGGCGCAGATCAAACCGCTGCATGGGGCAGGAGAGACGGGTTTAATTAAAGGGTGCGCGTGGTAGCTAACTGCTGCTACTCCGTACAATATTAGCTATAGCGCGCGCTGTTATAGCTTATGCTAGAGAGGGTGAAACGGTGGGAGAATTTTTTTGTTTGGGGGAGGGGGAGGGGTTGGTGTTTGGGAGAGTGAGGTGGAACGCGGTTGGTTTCTGCTTGTTTTTCGCTTTTGTTTATTATTTATCTTTATGCTTTTTTTTTTTTTTTTTTTTTTTTTTTTTTTTTTTTTTTTTTTTTTTTTTTTTTTTTTTTTTTTTGCTATTATTGAACGTAGAGATGGTTTATATCTCGGTGGAAAATATAACTTTATTCGATAAACACCTTATTAAGGGTTGTGATAGGATATCGAAGTACTTGGTGGCGTTTAGGCATTCGTGATCCTTGTCTTGGAGGTGAGATGGAGCTTTTAGGATAGAACACGGTATGGAAGTGGTGCTTTTGCGAGTATTAGAATCGTTAACTACGTTCGTATCTCCTACCCCGAGTTTTGTGTAAATACTAACTAACCTGCTGTTTACTTTAGTCATTTTTCTTTACTATTTGTCTATGATATTCCAGCTCATCACTGAAAAATATTGCTGAAGCTGCCTATTGATTCTCTTCTGGATTTACCTCTCAGTTTGCCCGGACTCTTCTCCCAAGTGGTCATCTTGCTTTTAGTCATGGGAATGTGCTTTTTATTTCTCGTTGGCGTTCTTCCGCTCCTTCCCGAAGGCTGGAGTAAGTGCCGGAGGGTATTGGTTCAAAACATCAACATCGCATTATTCCTTTGCTGAGAGCTATCAACGGCTTGGCCATCCGCTGCACCTAGAGCTGGAGATGGTTGTGAAGAGAAAAGAAGACAAAAAGAAAGCACCATGCAAGAACTGGACATCCATCAACGAACTTCAGCATCCTGACAAAAAGTCCTCAGCCCTCAAGGAAATTCCTGATTTGACCGAAAGTGAATTGTATCCGGGCAAGCTTACACGAGTAATGAGATCAATAGACCATAGAAGCTACAGAATAAACACGACCAGCGGTAAGGAGGTAAATGAGCAGACGTTCTTGGTTCGTCGTTCTTTTTTGAGCACCGCTAATGTGGTAGGTATGATGATGGCTCCAAGCCTGAAGTGAAGTGAACATTGGTCATTGCCCTGGAGGTACTGCCGTCGCACCCTCCGTCGCGCCTTCCTCCGTCGCGCCTTCCTCTGTCGCGCCTTCCCTCACGCCTTCCTCTCCGACAACACACACAACAAAAACTCTCCCAACGCAGTCTCGCTCACATCAACTCAACACCTCAAACCCAGAAGCAAACTTCGAGTCCACCCAAAGACCAAGCAACAGCACAACACCATGGCCGACCGACGGTAAGTGATCTAGTCTGAACTCTTCGCTCTCTCATTCCCCACGCCGCCTCAGCCCATCAAACACCTGCCGTTCGCCTCCACGCCGTCCACCTCTTCTCACCTTGCCTTCCCATCATCATACATACATGCAAGCAGAACGCCCGCTGACCAGGTGCATAGCAAACGCCCATCGATATATATAAGCCCGTTCGTCCTCCCCAGACCCGCGGTTTACCTTTCCCGGAACAAGAGTTCCAACATCGAGAAGGCCATCTCGGCCGTCCCAGGTCTCACCGCTCCCTCACCTCCAGACACGCCACGTCTTCGGAGGAAGAGCACCAAGCCCGGAAAGGCGTGCGTGGAGATGTCACACGAAGACGTCAAGAAAGAGTTCGGCCACGACCAGGAAGAGGAAGAAGAGGAGGAAAAGGTGCCCGAAAAGGAAGACAACAAGTCCCGGCCTTCCCACATCACTCGCAGCCAGCATCCGCTCCCCAATGAGCACTCCAACCCAGAACCGACGACCAAGCGAAAGGCAGCAGAAACAAAGCCGGCGTCGGAGCCCGAGCTGCAAGCGCCTGCAAACAAGAGAGCCAGGACGGAGACGGATGCCGAGCGTATCCGTCGACTGGAACAAGAGTGTGGCCAACTCGCCCAGAAGCACACACTTGACCATCACCAGATCGACGAGTAAAAGAAGAATTTATGGGACAACCTAAAAGAGAACACGCTTTATAAGTGGAGGATGATTGAGTTGATCGACCTGACATACAACAATGGCATTGAGGTACCTGCCCGTTTCTACGAGGCCCTGGGTTTCGAAAAATTCAGATGATAATGAGTGTGGGCCTTTCTCTCCATGCCTCTTTCATTTACGGTCTGAATGAGCTTGGAAAGGTGATTTTCTATTTCATTGAAGGCAATATGGTGGTGGGCTTAGGAGCACAAGCTCTTTTAATTTTCCTGGGCTTCTGTGGAGGGCAACACAGCAGTGAGTTTCGGAGTACATGCTCTCTTTCTTTTTCTTTGAAGGCAGTACGGCAGTGGATTTAGGAGCACCCACATGCTCTCACTCTCTCTTCTTTGAGCTTCAGCGGAAAGTCTGGGCGGAGAAGTTGGTCATTTTCCCGAGGACCAGGGCATTGGCTTACAAAACTTGCCTACCTGCCTACCTGCGGATCGAGTTTCTTTCCTCCACTAGCTTCAAACTAAAAGCAACATGCTCTTTTTCGGTATGACAGGGTCTATTTTTTCTGCAAACTTGGTCTCAAGGTGCCATCTGTGCGGTGCTATGTGAAAGCAAACAAGCAATTTATCAGTGTGCCTCCCGCCCTAACGCCGGATATAATCTCTCTGCCATCCTTATCTGTACAGTCTCTCTGAGCCTCTGCCAGATCTACACGTGCGTGCATGCATCAAGCATGTGCACCACCAGCAAACCCAACCCGTTTCCCTCCTATCTCTCCCTCTCAGCCCAATCAAGGCGTCCGACTATAAAAGTACGCCGGAATCCCCGCTACAAACGCCACCGCCGAACTGACAACCACAAAATTCACAAGCCCGCTCCACCCTCCGCCCAACGGATCCACCACCTCGCGCTGCACGCCCCTACGCCACCGACTGCGCGCCACGCTCGCGGCAACGCTCTCCTGCGTGCGCGCATGCCCGCGCCGATCCCAATGCGGCACGCCGGCGTCCCAGCCGCGCGTCGCCTGGCCGGGCCCAAACCCGCCCCCGGTGCCCGCCGGCCCCGCAGCCGCATTCCAAGCCTCAGCGGCATCCGCGGCCGCAGCCTCGTACGCGGCGTGCGCAGCGCCTGCGGCGGCGGCGCCGCGCTTCTCGGCGTGGGCGCCCCACGCCCCGTTGCGGTAGAAGGAGGGGGGCGGGCCGCGGAACTGGGCGCGGCGGCGCGAGAGGCCGGACGCGGGGCGCGCGCCTGCGGGGCCCGCGTAGGCGGCTGCCCCCCCGGCGCTGTGGTGGCCGTGTGTGTGTGCGCTTTGCGAGGGGATGTTGTGGACGCGCTGGTAGTCCCGGTCGTAGCGCTGCCGTTTTTCCGGAGACCCCAGCACGTGGTAGGCTTCGCTGATGTGGACGAAGCGGGAGGAGGCGGCGGGGTCGCCGCGGTTGCGGTCGGGGTGGTGCTTTTTGGAGAGGGAGTAGAATTGGCTTTTTTCGGGGGGTGAGTGTTAGCGTTTTTCTCTTTTTCTTTTCTTTTTTCTTTTTTCTTTTAGAGATTGAGGGCCAAGTACCGTTTTATGTCGGCGGGGGAGGCGCTGGGCGATAGCTCCAGGGCTTGGTAGTGGTCGGGTAGGCTCTCATTGCGGGGGCGCGAGGCGTGGAAGGTGCGCCATTGTTGTTGCTGCTGCTGCTGCTGCTGCTGCTGCGGACGGCATTGGCTGGTGGTGGGGAGGCGGAGGCGCCGTGGTGTTGGGAGGGGGTGCGCGGGCCGTGGCATGCTTCATGTCTGGGTGGACATGGGGTTGTAGGTGTAGGTGAGAGAATTGAAGCGGCGCGAGTGATGGATGGCGATGGATGGCGATGATGACGTCCGGCGGAGATTGGGGATCTAATCTGATCGCGTAATCGCGGTTCTGCGCGAATTTTGATCTTATCTGATCATCTCGTTTGATCTGTGGCACTCCGAGGCTTGAGCGAATGTGCGGCGGGCTGCGGAGTTGGATTCGGGACTCGGGCAGGAAGCAGATGCAGTCACGCAGTCTCAATAGGTTGATACTCTTTCAATTCCCCAATGGCGGGCAGTAATGTAGCTACTATCACTTTGCGCAAAAATGTCTACCCCGCAGTAGACCGCGCTTTCTCACGCCGCCGCCGTCAGCCCTACCTAAATACCGCGAACGCCGCACCAACGCCTATGCCGATGCTGAACGCAGTCGGCCGCTGCCGCATAAATCCGCCCAATTCTCTCGCACCCCACTTCCTCAACCACGCCACCCCAACATGACGGCCCAAGCCACCGAGGCCATCAAGGACCTCAAGCGTACGTTGATCCCACTTCGGCACAGCTCCACGCGCCCGCGCTGACGCGTCGAACCCTCCAGTCGAGGAAGAGAAGGGCAACCTTCCCGAGGGCGCCTCCAACGGCAATGTAGAGAACAACAACAACGAGTCGGGCGACGAGAGCGGCGACGAGCCCGGCGAGGCCGCCGCCGCTACCGGCGGTACGTGCTGCCCCTCCATCCTCTCCACCTCGCAGCTCGCAATTTCCTGACATGACCTCGCAGCGGCCAAGAAGAAGAAGAAGAGAAAGCCGCGCAAGAAGAAGAAGGCGGGCGCGAACGCGTCGACGCAATCCGACCCGCCGCGGGTGCCGGTCTCGCAGCTCTTCCCCTCCAAGACGTACCCGGAGGGCCAGATTGAGGAGTACCGCGACGAAAACACGTTCCGCACGACGTCGGAGGAGAAGCGGCACCTGGACCGCATGAACAACGACTTCCTGAACGAGTACCGCCAGGGAGCCGAGGTGCACCGCCAGGTGCGGCAGTGGGCGCAGCGCACCATCAAGCCGGGCATGACGCTCACGGAAATCGCAGAGGGCATCGAGGACGGCGTGCGCCATCTGACGGGCCACCAGGGCCTGGAGGAGGGCGACAACATCCGCGGCGGCATGGGCTTCCCCACGGGCCTGAGCTTGAACCACTGCGCCGCCCACTACACGCCTAATGCCGGCAACAAGATCGTCCTGCAGCACGAGGACGTCATGAAGGTCGATTTTGGCGTCCACGTCAATGGCCGCATCGTCGACAGCGCCTTCACCGTCGCCTTCGACCACAAGTACGACCCGCTGCTCGCGGCCGTCAAGGACGCCACCAACACGGGTATCAAGGTACGTGCTCCACGCGGAACAGCAATTACACCACCACCAAACCCCTGCTAACCCCTCCACAGGAAGCCGGCATCGACGTGCGCATGTCCGACATTGGCGCCGCGATCCAAGAAGTCATGGAATCGTATGAAGTGACGCTGGACGGGCAAACGCACCAAGTGAAGTGCATCCGCAACCTGAACGGGCACAACATCAACCAGTACGAGATCCACGGCGGCAAGTCGGTACCGATCGTCAAAGGGTCAGACCAAACGAAGATGGAAGAAGGCGAGACATTCGCCATCGAAACCTTCGGCTCCACCGGCAAGGGCTACGTGCGCGACGACCTCGAGACGTCGCACTACGCGAAGTGCGTCGACGCGCCCAAGGTCGCGCTGCGCGTGTCGTCGGCCAAGACGCTGCTGAACAGCATCACGAAGAACTTTGGCACGCTGCCGTTCTGCCGTCGCTATTTGGACCGCCTGGGCCACGACAAGTACCTCTTGGGCTTGAACAACCTCGTCCAAGCTGGCATTGTCGAGGCGTATCCTCCGCTCTGCGATGTCAAGGGCTCGTATACCGCCCAGTATGAGCATACGATTTTGCTGAGGCCCAATGTCAAGGAGGTTATTTCTAGGGGCGACGATTATTAGATTGGTGATGGTGATGGTGATGACGAGACGATGAAGCAAAGCAATCAAAATGGTGCTGTTGGCGTTGTCTGTGTGCTGGTGTGCTGAGTGCGCGCAGTCCGTGTGTGCAGTGTTGTGTATTCATCCAGTATCCAGTGAGCTTGCTCGCAGTGACATGCGTGCATAGAACCCTCATAACAATAACTATAACATAGCAATCCACCCATCACTGCCGAACCAGTGCCGATGCACTTAATACCTAGTAGAGCAGCAGCGGAGAGAGAGGTAAGATATAGGGAATACTTGTACCCCTTGTGACTGTGACTGCGACTGCTGCGATGCGATGCGAAGGCAGAGTGCACTGTGGTAAGGTACCGCGTGCGGTTGTTTGTATGTTTGCTTGTTTGCTTGTGCATGCCGTGTATGTACTGTACTGTAAATACATACGTGGTTGAGTGACGGAGGGGTGGATGGGTGGTGTGAGAAGAGGAAAGAGACGACTGGGGCGTATGTATATAAAATCGAGGTAGATGAGCGGGGTGAAGTGAGGTTAAGACGCACGCGCAAGCAAGCAGTCAGGAACGGGAATAGCACTTTTTCTTCTTCTTCTTCTGTACAACCTTCCAACAAGCCTATATAAGCAAAAGCAAAAGCAAAAGCATACCAAAGTAAAGCAAAACAGCGCTACACCACCAACCCATGACTCCCAAAAAAACTCCCATATCACGTATACACACCCTCGCACACACCGCACACTACTTCCGCTCGGCACCCGCGCCCGTAATCCTCAGCGCAAAATTAACCACCACAGCGGCCAACAACGCGAGGGCCAGCACGGTCGGGCCAAAGCGATCATCAAAGCCGCCCTGGCCGCGCTGGCGAATGCTCTTGGCACGCCAATGGAACGTAAACAGGGCGTAGAGCATGGCGGCCATGGCGACGAGCGTGAACAGGCCGGCGCTGATCTGGCCGACTTTGTCGCCGAAGTTGAGCAGCCCGACGGCCAGCCCGCCCAGGATCACGGTGAAGTTGAGCCAGGAGAGGAAGGTGCGCTCGTTGGCGAAGAAGACTTTCGGCTCGACGCGCGTGGGCAGCGCGATGCGTTTGCCTGTTGGGCGTGGGGGGTGCGGTTAGTGCTGTGCTGTGTGCGTGTGGGTGGTGGGTAAGTACCTGGCGCGGTTTGGAGGAGTGGTTGGCTGGACATTGTGTGTGTGTGTGTGTGTGTGTGTGTGTGTGTGTGTGTGTGTGTGTGTGTGTGGGCAGTAGCCAATTGGGATTGAATCAGTGCGTGTGAAAGGTGAGCAGGAGAGAGAAGTATAGCGAGAACGAGAAGAATATTTTGAGGCTTGGTTGGTTGTGGTGGAGGCCGATGGTGGTGGTGGTGAACGCACGCACGAGGCTTGGTCAAGAGCCGTGATTTGATGACATGCCCACTGCCCAGCAGCGCACACGCCCCGTTCCATCCCCCCCGCCTGGCAGCCGCGCGCGGGCAGCGGGCACGGGCAGGGCTTTCCCCGTTGGATCGCAACCCTCCCTTCTTGCCTCTCCCGGAAAAACCCCAAAGCACGCGACTCCGGACTTCCAGCCTCGGCCTTTCGCTCCCACAAGTTCACTTGCTCACCCACCCACGCACCCCACCTTTACATACAACCACGACCGACCGACGCTTCAAGCCCGCACCATGACTCCCGTACGCCCTTGGTCCCCCGCCTGCGCGCGCCGCCGCTGCTGCCGCCCCTATTGTGTGTGAGAGAGCTAGGCTGATTGTTTGTTTGCCTGCGCAGCCCGTTTCCGAGACCCGCCTCAAGCAGATCGCTACCGATGTATGTTTGTTTGTTTGTTTGACGCCCCTGCATCCCTGCGCCCCAACGCCCGCTGACCGTTTGACGCTGTGCTGTAGGCGTGCGAGTCGGCCGTCGGTAGCGCTGAGAGCTACATCCACACGAGCACCCAAGAGTGGAACAACACCATCATCGTGCGTGCAGCCCTTGTCCCTGCCCTGCAAGCAAACCTATGCACCTCTTCACCGCGGGGAGGTCGGGTCGGGAGCGAGTGAGTGAATGAGTGAGGGGGGATAGGTAGAGGTGCAAGGTGGACGGCGACGCCCAACCCAACCCGCTCCTCCTCCTCCTCCTCCTCCTCCTCCTCCTCCTCCTCGCTCCCGCACCCACCCGCATACCAGCCTAAATAAATAAAGAAGAACGCACGCGCTAAACCTTCCTCCGTTTCCCCCTCGCAGAACTCGATCCTCAAGGCCCTGATCAGCGAGACCAGCACCGGCCCCAACAACCAGCCCCCCTTCAAATACGCCGTCAACAGCACCATCATCCAGCACGCGCCGACGTTCAGCAAGGCGGCCGACTCGAGCGCCGACGACGCCGCCTCGTCCCTTTCAAAGGTCGGCAAGCGCGGCATGCACAGCGCTGCCGGCGCGTACTGGAACAACGAGAAGGACGGCATGTGGAGCTTCAAGTATGATGGCGGCGAGAAAAAGGGGCTCGATGTCATCATCAGCGTCATGTGGATCGCTATCTAAGCTGCTGCTTGCTGCTTGCTGCTGCGAGGATGTGAGGGCGTGAGGGCGTGAGTTGACTGGCAGGGCGAGATAGGGAGAGGGGGAGACGGGGAAAAAGGGAGACAGAGCGTGTGGTACTGCTGCTGCAGCAGGAAAAGGAGAGCGGTCAAAGAAGGCGGATGCAGTCACTGCTGCTGCTGCTGCTGCTGCCCGAGACAGGAGGTTGTTGTTGCTGCGGAGGAGGGAGGGAGAAGGGGCGGGGGGCGGTTACGTTGGACAAATTTAAGTACAGCTAGTGCGAGCATACGGCCGGAGCCTGGCGTTCCTGAGGACAAGCAAACAAGCAAACAAACAAAGCATCCGGATTAGGGCTGCCTTGCCTGAGGCGTGTGGGTGTGGGGGAGAGGAGCATCGCGGGGCGACATGGATGGCTTAGGTAGTTGCTGCTGTCTGTCGGCCTTGGCCAATCTTGCCCACCCATACCTTAGTTATGTGTGGCGTAGATTTTCATTTCATTTCATTTCGTTTTTGTCTTCTTCGATTTTTCTTGTCTTTTTTCTTTTATTTTTATTTATTAAAGATTGAGAAAGCCGTTTCTACACATTACCTTACCTTACCTACCTAACTACCTACCTACATACCCTCCCTCCCTCCCCCCCCCCCCCCCCCCCCCCCCCCCCCCCCCCCCCCAACAGTCCCTCACAACTCGGCACAACAATCCCACACAAACTCCCCCCACACCCCCGCCCACAAGCCCGGCCGCTCCCAAAACGGCGCGTGCCCCAGCCCCTCCAGCCTCAGACACCGGCCTTGCCACAGCCGCCCCCAGCGCAACCCGTCCAGATACTCGAGCCGCACAAACGGCTCTTGCGCGCCGTTCACGACGCCCACCAGCACGTCCGTCCGGCCAATAACAGCGACTTGGTCCGCTCCCGCGCCGGCTTCGAACGCGCTGTACATGGTCGACCGTGCAAGTGGGTCGGTGCGCCGTGCTGCGGACAGCATCCAGGGCATGTTGGGCGGGCCGTACGCTTCGTAGGGGAAGGTGGCGTACGCGGTGTCGGGCCAGGAGGCCTGCGAGGCGAGGTGCATGTGCTGGGGCGGGACTTTGGCGTGCGGGTCTCTATCGTGGAAGGCGGACCGGACTTGGGCGAGGCCGTTGGCGGGCGGGGTGCCGGTGAGGAGGATGCCGTGGATGCGGAGTGGGGGGCGTTGTTGTGGGGTTTGGGTGGTCTGCGCGACCATCTCAATAGCGACATGCCCGCCCAACGAGTTCCCGAATACTATCACGCTGGCCACGCCCAGCTGCGCGAGCACCTCGAGCGCGGCGGCCGCGTAGCCCGCCTGCGTGTACGCCTTCTCGACTGTGCCGGCTGGCGCGTCGCTGCTGCTTCCGTGGCCGGGCAGGTCGAGCGCCATGATGCGGTGGTGTTGAGCTGTGGGGTGCGTGAAGAAGTGGGTGAAGATTTGGCTGCTGCTGCTGTTGCCGTGGAGGAGGAGGAGGGCTGGTGAGGGTTTTTCTGAAGGGGGGGAAGGGGGGGTCGTGTGTGTTATGGACAGGGTGCCGTAGATGGTTGTGGGGATGTGGGTTTGCGTTGGTGTGGGTGGTTGTGGTTGTGGTTGTGGTGTTGCCATGGTCGTGGTGGATAGGTCTGTTTGGTTTGAGAGAGTGGAGGTTGTGGTCGAGGTCATCTAGGTAGGAGTATCAGGTATCGTTGCTGAGGAGGGGTTAGAGGAGAGGGGTCAGGCGGGGTTGAGTTGAGTTGGAGCTGCGCCGGAGATGGCATGGTCTGCAAGGTCTGCGTGCGACATGTCGTGGCGTACGAAGGAGAAGGACCTAGGTAAGCTTATTTGTTCTCAAGCATGGTTAGTTGACGGATTCAGAAACCGACGAGGACGGTGTTGTTGGTTCTTGACATGGGCACGTGGGAGGAGGTCATGCAGGCCTGCGGGGAAGCTTCGGATGATGCGGGATGATTATACCTAGGAGCTGACGTCCCTGCGTCTTCTCTCCTCACCCTCATCCATGCACTCCATGCTGCTTGCTGCCAGTGCGGCTCCGAGAAACCACCTAACCTCCTCGTGCGTAGGTGGCGCTGGTTCAGAGCTTGCGCTTTGCACCGCAGCACCGCAGCACCGCAGCACCACTCTCTCGACTCCACGCAAGTCTCTGCGTCGTTGACCGTTGACCGTTGTCCTCTCCAGCCCCGGACCCAATGTAATTATCCCACGAACCGTCAGACCCGATGGCCGACCGTTGGCGGGGCTTGGCATATGACTCTACAGCATAATGCCAGTGGCGAGACCGCAAATACGACCGCCCTTAATCTTACTGCGCGCCATCTAGTACTAAAACGACGCAGCCAATGATCGGGGGGAAATGGTCTGTAGGGGCGCTCTTGGCGCAGCCATGTTCCTAACGTCAGTCACTGTCTGTACAGGTTATATCTACATGTTTGTTTGCCAGGGACATGCACGTGGTAGGGAACTACATACGCGTGTACAATTAGGCAATCCTTGCAGGGGATATGTGCATCCTCCGCATCCATTCTGTTATGAAGGCCGCTTTGTCCACGCCGGACAGGGCGGGACCCCCCCAAACGGGCAGGCGGGAGAGCGCTCAGAGGAAAGACCAAACGGTCGCTCGCAATGTCCCTTGATTCTCTACTGCCACAAACTAGGCCTGATACAGCAGATCGCTGGAGCTTTGCCCGGCCGTTCGTAAGGGGCGGCTGAGCGAATGATCAAAGCTTCGTCTTGGTAACCCCCACTTTACGCTCGACGATGGAGTAAAGATCACCCAAATCAGCCTCGCCCGCTGCCATTCAGCCTCAACCCATCCCAACTCCCTCATAAATTACTACGCTAAAAATAAGCATTGGACAGAACGCACCTGTTACGCACCCTTTTCCTATTTCAGCTGCCGTCGTGGGGTGCAGAGACCATCTCCCTTGGCTTCGTATAAATACTCTGGCATGGCCAACTACCTATCCTGACCTATAGCCGCGAGCTCCAGACTTTCGGCACTTCACTCGACAAATGGTTCGCAAATCGCTCGTCTTCGCCGCCGTTGCGGCATGGCAGAGCCAGACGGCGCTGGCGGGCGTGCTGGACCTCATCAGCAACCTCCCGACGGGCTGGTTGGAGGCTAGCCTGCCGGAAGTTACCCATCGCATGACGCTGCAAATCGGCCTCAAGCAGCAGAACCAGGACAAGCTGATCTCCCGCCTGTACGAGGTCTCGACGCCCGGGCACCCCAACTACGGCAAGCACCTCGACCGCGACGAAGTCAACACCATGGTCCAGCCCACCGAGGAATCCGACAAGGCCGTGCGCGACTGGCTGGAGTCCGAAGGCGTCACGGACATCCACAGCGACGGCCACTGGGTCACGTTTTCCACTCACGTGGGCGTCATGAACAAGCTGCTGGACACGACGTTCAAGTTCTACGACTTTGGCGGCACAAGGAAGCTCCGTACCACCAAATACTCGGTCCCGGACGAGGTCCACGACCACATCGACCTCATCTGGCCCACCACCTTCTTCGGCCAGACCAGAGGCCACGGCTCGATCAATGGCCACGGCACGGCGAAGGGATTGGACAAGATCCCCAACTTGGAGCAGATGGCCGGCAACGCTACCCTGGACGTCGTGTGCGCGACCGCGACGCCCGAATGCCTCAAGATGCTCTACAACATCGGCAACTACACGGCGGATGCATCCTCGGGATCGCGGATCGGGTTCGGCAACTTCCTCAACGAGTCGGCCAGCTACCGGGACCTCGAGCTCTTCCAAGATGCGTTCAAGATCCCGGGGCAGAACTTCTCGGTGGAGCTCATCAACGGCGGTGTCAACGACCAGGAGCCCGGCGAGAACCACGGCGAGGCCAACATGGACGTGCAGACCATCAACGGCGTCTCGCACCCCCTCCCCATCACCGCGTACATCACGGGCGGCAACCCGCCCTTCATCCCCAACCTCGACGAGCCCGAGGACAACGGCAACGAGCCCTACATGCCCTTCTACCAGCACCTGCTGAACAAGACCAACGCCGAGCTGCCCCAAGTCATCACCAACTCGTACGGCGACGACGAGCAGACGGTGCCGGCGCCGTACGCGCGGCGCGTGTGCAACATGATTGCGCAGCTGGGCCTGCGCGGCATCACGGTGCTGGAGAGCAGCGGCGACACGGGCATCGGCGGGCCCTGCCAGAGCAACGACGGCAAGAAGACACTCGAGTTCACGCCCACGTTCCCGGGCACGTGCCCGTACATCACGGCCGTGGGCGGCACGACGGGCGTTTCCCCCGAGAAAGCCTGGTCCGGCAGCACGGGCGGCTTCTCGGCGTATTTCCCGCGGCCCGCGTACCAGGACGAGGCCGTCACGACGTACCTGGACAAGCACGTCAGCGCTGAGACGCGCGCGTACTACAAGCCGTATTTCAACGCGTCGGGGCGCGCGTTCCCGGACGTGGCCGCCACGAGCTTGACCCCGGACTACGTGGTAAGTAGCTACCCTCCTCGCACACATTCGCAGCGCACACAAGCAGCCCAACTAACACCCCTCCCCCGCAGATCGTCAACAACGAGAAAATCGAGCTCACAGGCGGCACCTCTGCCGCGGCGCCCGTCTTCGCGGGCATCGTCGCCCTGCTCAACGACGCGCGCCTCCGCGCCAACAAAGCCCCCCTCGGCTTCCTGAACCCCTGGCTCTACGCCGAGGGATACAAGTTCATGACGGATGTCACGGCCGGCGCGTCCGAGGGCTGCAATGGCGTCAATGGCCAGACCGGTGAGGAGTACGAGGACAGCGGCATCATTCCTGGCGCCGCGTGGAACGCGACTGAGGGCTGGGACCCGGTGACGGGCTTCGGCACCCCGGATTTCGCGAAGCTGTTGGAGGCGGTCGGCGGGCTGTCGTAGCGTGAAGTCCGTGAGGGGTGCGGCGTTTGGTGCCGGTGCCGTGGTTGCTGTACATACATATCCCTAAGGGCGTCTGCGTGTTGTTTGTTGAGGGTGCTTTGCCCCCGGTCGTTGGTAGGAAAGATAACCATTTCGGCGAAAGTACCGGCGAAAGTTTCGCCGAAGCCAGAACGTCACCAACTGAACTTTCGCCGACTGCCACTCTTCACCATCCTTGTACGACATGGCCTCAGGCGTGTCCTCTAGTCTCCGACCATACCGCTCGTCAAGACGGCCTCAGCCGTGCGAAGAATGCCGTAGGCGCAAACTGCGCTGCCAGGCCGAGACGGGATTGCCCTGCCGCCGGTGCGCGCAGGATGGCATTCCTTGCACCTTCCAGAGCCCAAGGTCTCGGCGCACTGCGCATTCGACGTCTCTACCCGTGAGCAGTTGTCTTGGGAGCCCTTTGGCGCAGTCGGTCATGTCGGCTGGCCATGTCCCGCAGGAACACCAATCACGTGCATCCAGCGGAGACGCAGACCTGTCCATTGCGCTCGACCAGTCTTCCCAACAGTTGCCGGAAACGAGACTGGCGACGCAGTTCGCTCAGAGCATTGATAACATACAAGGGCATTCTGCGCAGCTCTTCGGGGCCTCTTCTGAAGCAGATCCTTGGCTCTTGAGACACTGCCAGTTTGATGAGTTCGGCATGCAGAATTTCCATAAACAGCACTTCCGCAATGCTGGCGGCGTCCCTATTGCTGGCTTGATTCCGGTTCATTTCTCGATAAGCCCCGACGAGCTTCAAGAAAGCGCCAGAGCTGAGACTGGAGTTAGTACGCAGCACGATCGTGGTGCTGAACTTAGCCAGGTTGTGCCATCTGAATACGGCCCTAGGCTGGTTGCGTTGTAAGCTGTTGACCTCTCCTCAGGAGGGGCTTTAATACTAAATAATCTGGGCAGATTTTGCAGACGCGTTTTCCCGCTGCTGCCTGTAATATCTCGGTCTCAGCTGGGCATCACCCCCGAAAGCCCGTCACCAGGGCTAGATAGGCTCGAGAGTGTGCCGGTTCATTTACGTGCAGCTATATATGCTTCCGCTCTACCTTTTGCAACAGATGACAGCCACCTTTCAGTTTGGCAAGCTTACAGCAAGCCGTCCCTGGCTCGGCTATGGCGAATTGTGTACGAACTCATGCTAGAGGAAATCCACCAGCCCCATCTTTCTGTATTGCAAGCACTCCTACTCTATCTACACAAGAGCCCGACTGATGAGCCTAGCTGGGCCTTGCCGGACACGCCTTTCCTCTGGTCCCTTGTGGGCAGTACGGTTGGCCTTGCCACATCACTGGGCCTCCAACTTGAATGCGTGATGTATGGGCTGCCCAGCTGGGAAAAAAGACTTCGCAAAAGGCTTTGGTGGGCCGTGTACGCGGAAGACAAATGGCGCTCGCTTTTGATGGGCCGCCCGCCTTACATCCACCGCGACGAATGGGACGTCGACGAGCTCCAGAGCAGCGATTTTGCTCCTTTCCAGGACCACGCATACATACCTTTCCAATGGTTTGTCGAGCTGACCTTGATCGCTGCGTCGGTCCAAAGCGATCTCTAGTAGGTTCTCTTTGCATCTCGGATACCATGTTGCTGACACCGAGTAGCTCACTGACGGCCTGCCACGCGCTATCGGGCGATCTGAATGCATCAATTGAAAAGGCCAGACCGCTGCTCGATCGGCTAAGCACCTGGCGCTCCTCCTTCCCAGACCCGTCATCCTGCCCGTACGCCATGCACTTCGCATACCTCACCCTCGTCGTGTACGTCTACCGCGCCCTGCTGCGCCCGACAGTGCAGTCGTCCCGGCCACCACACATCATCGACCTGGAAGATCCGGCCCTCGACCCGACTATCCCGCTCGGTGACTTTGGCTGGGACTTCTCGGACCTGCGCGACGTGGCGCCCTTCCCGGCCGTCGATGTCTCGGACTCGACCTCCCGCGCTGCCGTCGCGGACGAGGTGTTCTTGACGGCGGAGAGCTGCGCCGCTAGGGTCATCTCCTCGGTTCGTGGCTTGTCGTTCGCCGACGTTGATGGCTTCTGGCCCGCTTGTACGCGCTCCTGCTTTCCAACCCCACTCTACCTTCATTCAGCGTCTAACACCCCATTTCCTCGCGCAGGGTCCCGCATAGGCTTCGCCGTCACGTCCAACTTCGTCTTGCTGCTTCTGGTACAAGCGCCTAGCGCGCAGCACGTCGCGAAGACGAAGCAGCTGCTCGATCTCTGGGAACGCTCTTTGTGCTCGCATGGCCGGCTGTGGCCGTTGGTGCGGCTGGGGCTGGCGAGGCTGCATGCTTTTACTTCGAGGGGGTTGGCGAGGAGTTTTTTCCTCGTGGCGCATGGGGGGGAGGTGGGGAGGAGCGCGTAGTATGTGGTTTTATGTATTGAGGATACAGAATTAAAAGCTATCAGTGCTTTTTATTAAACTGGCTCTTTGTCGCGTCAGTAGTTAGAGCTTTTTTAAGCAAACTTTTGACTCGGTTCGCGCACTTTTCATCATATGATTTGAGAACTTTCATCGTTTTTAAACCTACTACCTAAGCTGTGCCATCCCGAGCACTCCGGTATGCCTGTAGAACTTTCTCCATCCGCCCAAAACACAAGTCCATATATTCCTTGGGATGCGTGAAGATGATGCGGAACCAACCCACTTCCTCCCCAGCAAAGCCCAACGCGTCGGCAACGAGCAATTTCTCCGTAGTAAACAAATTCTTCAACAGGTCATGGTCGTAATCCTCGTCGGCCTTGGATACGGCCGCGCCCAAATTGACCCAGAGGAAGAAGCCGGAATTGCTACCCGGCGCGTACGTGATGCGCTGCTCCGTCAGCCAGTTTCTAGCGTAAACGTAGCTCTCGGCCAGCCTAGCCTGGTTCTGACAGATGTAGGCATCGGTGAAGCAGTCGTTCTCGAGAATCGTGGCGGCGATGGTGTCGGAGGGAGCCGGAGGGAAGCTGGCCAGACTGCAGAACCCGCATTAGTTAGTGCCTCTTAAGACGGATTCAAGATGATGGCTTGGGGAGCGGGACTTACGAGATTTGGCGGAGCGCCTCGCGCAGCTCGGGGTTGTGCTGGTCGATGACACAGCCGAGGCGCAGCCCGTTGGCTCCGAAATCCTGTTCGGGGGGCATGGGCTGGTTAGCGTCGACTTGGGATGTAGGGGTCTGTTCCAGAGGCGCGGAGAAAGGCTTACCTTGCTCATCCCCCACATGACGTGCACGAGAGAAGGGTCGATGATGTCAGCCGTGTCGATTGACAGAACAGACGTGAAGGCCGCTGCGCTCGGCGCCTCTTCGTTCTCCCACACGGAAAGCGCGTAGATCTCGTCGCTGATGAGGTGGATTCTGTGCTTTTGGCACAGCTTCATCAGAGCAATGATCACTTCTCGAGAATAGCATTGGCCTGCGATTGCGTTAGAGAGGGCCCTGTTGCTTCTCAGTGAAAGGCTTACCCAGCGGATTGTTCGGCGTGCAAAGCACGAGCGCTTTGATAGGAACGCCATCTTCGTTGGACCGGAGTAGCTTTTCCTCATACTTGGCAACCGCTTCAAAACTAAACGGGTCTGTCGTCCCAAACGCAACTCCAACCGTCCTCACCCTGTCCACACGCCTAAATCAGCAGATGTCCAGCACTATGGATCGGGGGTTGTACTTTGCCTTGGCCCAGAAGTCGCCGATGAAAGCTCCGTAGTGAGGCCGGCCAATGAGGAACCCGTCTTCTTCGTTTGCGAGCGTCAATGCTAATAGTTCGGATGCACAGGAGACTCCGACACAGGCACGGATGTGGTCGCTCTTGACTGGTAGGTAGGGATGGAAATGGCGGTTCACGAAACGTGAGATAGCTGCCCGGAGGCGTTTCGATCCATGTGAGCCGTCTCCGTACGTAAGATTGAAGCTCGACAATTCGAACTACCATAGTCAGTAACTTACGCTTTGATGCGCAAGAGGAAAAAAACATACCGACTTGTTGATGAACTCGATCAGCTCGTCGTGCATCAGTGTCTATAGGAAAAATTAGCTTGGTTGATGCGACAACAATACGATATAACGCCTACATTTTCTGCGAGCCCCAGGCTCAGGATCCCTCCAGGGTTCTCTCCCGGTCGATAGATGTCGCCTGTTACATTGTGAAAACCAGAGTGCCCGGCTTCCACGATCAACCTGCTTCCTCGAGCAGACAGGTTCGCGTGGTTGGTTTGGTGTCCCATGCTGATGTTGATTGCGGATGCTACACAAAGGCCGTGTGTTTTAAGTACTGTGATGGAATTAGATATGACAGCAGTGACTCATCATCCTTGCCCGATACCGCAGATGGCAGAACTACTCCAGGATGAATTGCGACGGGTCGGCGGGTCGCGATTCCTCAGCCTGCAGGTACCTATTCCCTAGCTTATCATCGGCCAAACCTTAGCGCGAACGCATGATGACTCGTCTATGTACTAATGAATTTTCTGTTGCTGCTGCATAAATCGTAACAAGATGAAGGGAAATGTGTGTCCAGCTTCTGCGAAAACCCTGAGAAAAGTCAGTTCCACAGCCGAAGCAATGTCTTACCCCGCACTTGATCGTGCATGTGTATGCGTAGACATTTCGCCGAATATTAAGTAGCGCGGCAATTTCGCCGAACAGACCACAACATGATGGCGGAAGCTATGAGCAGCATTAGGCTTTATCCTTTGTCTGTATAATTCCTACCCGAAGGAGTTGTTCAATGAGCATATAGAAGGCGCTGTGCATGCATCGAGTTGTGGTGAGTAAGCATTCCAGGTACTAGTCGTTGATATCATGTTGAAGCTGATATAATTCGGCGAAATTTGTATGCGCTTGCATTCATGTGTTCCATCAGAAGAAGCGGGGGTTGTGGTGAGTAAGAATTCACAGAACCCTGTACTGAAAGGCCGTCCAACCGACATCGTCTCCGGACATGAAAGCGCTCGCCGCTTACGCTTGTCGCCTGCTGCATCGCAAAGATCGAACTGTTCTTCTCTCTATCTCTTCATGCGTACTTGTTGCTGCTTTTCAATTCCCATTCAATCACAACCCGAACTGGAAGGCAACATCTTGCCCAAATCTTCATACAGCAAGAGTCTCTTAATGCGTACAGCTAACAGTATGAGGTTGGGACAGACCGGGTCTGTGGAAGACGTCGCGACGCTAGACGTCGAAATACAAAAAGCCTCGTCAGGAGAGGAAGCAAAAGAGAAGAGCAGACAAGAATCTCTTGCTATCAATCAAGGCGGGAGTTCGGAGCGTGTCTCTGAGCGCAGCATCTCCATCGATCCCACAAGTCTCTTTGATGAAGGCTACCCAGAAGGAGGCTTAGAAGCATGGCTGGTCGTGCTGGGCTCTTTCTGCGGAATGTTTGTAGCTTTTGGGATAATGTTAGTCTGAACAAAGACCTTGGAGTGCGTACAGTAGAGCTCACACTGGTACAGGAATTCTATGGGTATCTTCCAGGCCTATATCGCCGAGCACCAACTCTCCCATTATGACGAAAGCACCATTGGATGGATTTTTTCTACGTACACGTTTCTGGTCTTCTTCTGTGGCATCCAAGTTGGACCGATCTTCGACGCTTATGGACCAAAACTGCTGGTTTTGGCCGGAAACATCCTCCTCGTTGCAACTATGTTTCTCCTTGGGCTCTGTAAAGGTATGTTTTCCTCAGTATTGAGATATCTGTGACTATTTCTGACTTGGCTTCAAGAATATTATCAGTTTATCATAGTTTTTGGTATACTAGGTGGCGCCGGGACGTCTCTTCTTTACACGCCTTCTATTGCCAGCGTTGGTCATTTTTTCTCTCGGAGACGTGGGCTAGCCACCGGCATTGCTGCCGGCGGTGGCAGCATCGGCGGCATCGCCTTCTCGCTCATGCTCCAATCTCTCCTCCCCCGCCTTGGCTTCGCGTGGTCCACGCGTATACTCGGGTTTGTGTTTATCTTCCTGGGCGGCATCGCACAGCTACTCATTCACCCTCAACTTCCGCCTCGGCCCGGAGCCAGTATACTACCAGACTTTAAAATCTTCAAGGATCCAGCGTTTGCAATACTCACCGCCGGTGTATGTTTTGTAGAATGGGGACTTTTCACGCCGCTCACATACATCCCATCATTCGCATCATCTACTGGCGCCTTCGACACGGCTTTCGCATACCAGCTCATCGCTATTCTAAACGCCGGTTCGAGCATTGGTCGTTGGGGTGCTGGATACGCCTCGGATCGCATCGGCCGATTCAACTGCCTTACTATCACGCTTCTCTTATGCTTTACCATCACGATCGGGGTGTGGCTACCGGCAACACTCTTAGCGCCCTCCACTGACAATACCGCGCTTGTCTCCATCAAAGCACTTACCGTAACCTACTCACTACTGTTTGGCATCGCATCGGGCGCGAATATCTCGCTTACGCCTGTATGTGTTGGCCAACTCTGTGAAACTCGGCGATACGGCTGCTTCTACGCTACTTGTTACACCGTCGTGAGCATGTGGACACTGCCAGGCATCCCAATTGCAGGCGCTTTACTCGAAAAATCAAAAGGCCGGTACTGGAGTGTCGCCTCATTTACGGCAGCGGCGTATGCTTGTGCCGTTGTTGGTATTCTATCGGCACGGGTGTTGAAGGTCGGTTGGAAGGTTGGAGTCAAGTTTTAGACAGATGGGGCAATGAGAGTTTCATTCGAGTTCTTCGAAGATCCCTTTCATTAAAACAAGAGATCATTTTTTTTTTTTTTTTTTTTTTTTAGATTTCGTTATCCCAGTGCAACTCCGATTCGCCGAAATCCACATGGTATCATTGCATCAGGAGAATTTATGCAAAATGTGAAGGTTACCATTGAGAACACGAATTATCACGCCACAGAGCGTACTCTAGCTCTTTTGTGTCTTTCCACAAAAGCAACACCTACTCTTTGTCAACGCTGTTGATTAGCCATGATCTAAGCTTGATTTGTTTGTATTCTACTTTGCACTGTTCGAGTTACTTTGAATCACTTATATAAAACTCTGAGCTCCGCAACGCATCAAAACTCTTCTCAAGTTCTTTTTGGATAATGGGCCACAAAGAAAAACTTGCTTTGAACGAGAGCTTTCAAATAAAACACGCACAGATTACCTATCTAGGCCAAAAGCACGTCATTTTCCTGCAATGCCGACCACAAAATTAGGACGCCAAGGACTAAATCTCATGTAACACTTCGGCTACTGCGGCCGAATGGCTGCGTCTAATCTGTGACACAATTCTCGGACAGACGGGAAAATCTGATAAAAATTTTCAAGGTCCGCTTCCGGCGCAGTCAGATTATGGGTACACAAAATGGGTATAAAAACGACGAGCAGGTCGCATCTAATCAGATAAAACAAACCATCTGAGCCCCTCCAGTCACACGGTATGATGCTGCCGACGAAAGCCGAGGACAATGTCGATGTTAGCGCGAGCTCAGTGCCTCTTCCGCCCGACTATGGCCAAGACGGCAATGGCCAAGACACTGGTAAGGTAATCCAGAACAGTGAAAAGGAATACTTCGCTGACTTTATGTAAAAGTCGACACCAAACACCTCGAATTGCTCACTGCCGCTGGCATCACCGCCGCACCTGATGATCACGATCTACCATGCCTCACACTTCGTATGTGGGTGATCGGGGTTAGTTTCTGTATCTTTGGATGCGGATTGAATACACTGTACACTTTCCGATACCCGTCCATATCGATCTCGCAGTCCACAGCACAGTTCCTTGCATACCCGCTTGGAAAAGCTTGGGAACGGCTGGTGCCAGATTGGACGTTGACAATATTTGGATGGAAGCTTCGTCTTAACCCGGGACGCTTCAACTACAAGGTACGGAACAAAGACGAATGTTTGACCTAGACGCTAACAGCGTCAAGGAGAACATATTGATATTTATTCTCGCGAACGTAAGCTTCCAGACGCGTCTGAGCGCGGATGTCTTGACAGAACAGCGAATCTTCTACGGCGTCAATTGTGGATGGGGTTTCGAGATTATCATGACGCTCACCACAATGCTCTTCGGACTCGCCCTAGCAGGCCTGTTTCGATCTGTTACTGTGGATCCGCCAGAGATCCTTTGGCCTGGCGTGTTCGCAGATACGGCTCTGAACCACGCTCTTCATTTCTCCGAGAAAGTAAAGGGTGCAGTGTAAGTGCAACAACACTCGTAACCCGTTTTACACAAGAAGGATGGCTGATATTAAACACAAAGAAAAAAACTACAAATGTCCCAATTCACCTTCTTCATCATCGTGTTCTGCGCATCCTTCATCTGGTACTGGTTTCCAGATTTCCTCTTCCCGGCTCTAGGATATTTCACTTTCATCTGCTGGATAGCGCCGAAGAACGTGGTCGTGAACCAAGTCTTCGGGATGAAAAGCGGCATAGGACTGCTCCCTCTAACCTTCGACTGTAAATATTCTCGGCTGAGCAACTCTATACAAACACCGCTGACGATAAAAACAGGGAGCCAGATTGCGTACGTAAGCTCTCCACTGCTGACGCCGCCATGGGCGATTGTCAACATCCTCGCCTCTCTTGTTTTCTGGATCTTCATCGTGTCGCCCGCGCTCTACTACTCCAACACGTGGTCCTCGGGCTACCTTCCTCTGCAAAGCAACTCCGTGTACGACAACACGGCGGCAGAGTACAACGTTAGTAAGGTGATCGATAGCAGCCAAGGATTCCGCTTCGACGAGCAAAAGTACCAAGCATACTCTCCGGTGCGTATCTGCGACATCTACCTCGTATACTTGAGCTCGTAACTGACCAGTTTAGCTGTACATGCCCGTCACGTACGCGCTTAACACTTTCGGCCTAGGATTCGCGACCATCCCCGCCTTGGTGATATGGCTATGTCTCGAGAAAAAGACGGAGATGGTACAGGCACTTAAAAGCATCAGGAAGAAGCCGCGAGGCGGTGACTCCGGATCGAACGCGGCGCCGTCATGGTGGTATTTAGTGTGCGCAGTCGTGTCGCTAGCACTTGCCATATTTGCGTGTGAATACTGGCCTGTACAACTCCGCTGGTATGGCGTAATATTTGCATTCGCCATATCTCTTGTCCTCTACGTCCCGGTAAGCAGCCCCGTGTCCAGCGTTTTTATGTATACGGCCATGCAACCTAACACCAACGCGCAGCTCACCCTGATTTACGCAACCGCAAACACCAAGATCAGCATCGACGTGTTCTGCCGAATTATCGCAGGCTACGTCTTTGAAGGCCAAGTGCTCGCAAACCTCTGGTTCTTCAACCTCGGGTACATCAGCAACATCTGTGGGCTGCAGTTTGCGCAAAACCTCAAGCTCGGGCTATACTCCAACGTATGTTTTCCCCTTACAACAACTTAAACTTCAAAACCACTCTGTACTTACGACGCCCAGGTACCGGCGCGAGAAATGTTCCTTGTGCAATGCGTCGGTCTCGTGCTCTCGACGCTTGGCCAGGTCGGCGTCGTCAACTGGGTCTTCAACCACATCCCCAACATCTGCTCCTCGTCTGCGCCGAACGGCTTCTCCTGCCCATTCTCCCGCACGCACTTCAACACCAGCATCATCTGGGGCGCTATAGGGCCTCGGCGCTTCTTTTCGTCCGGCTCGACCTATCATCCGCTGCTTTACTTTTTTATCTTGGGCGCCATACTGCCTGTGGTCGTAGGGGCTCTTAAGAAGAGGAGTCCGCAAGGCATATGGCGCCATGTTCATGTCCCCCTCTTCCTTGGTGGCCTAGGCTACATTCCTCCCGCATCGGGCACTAACTATGGCAGCTGGGCTATCGTTGGTCTGCTGGTGGGGTTCGGCGTCAAGAGAAAGGCGCCGCAGTGGTGGCAGCGCTACAATTTCGTCTTGAGCTCCGGGCTTGATTGTGCTGTTGCCATTGCTGGTGTCGTCATCTTTTTTGCCGTTTTTTATACCGGTGCTTCTGATCGTTTCAGTTGGTGGGGAACTCAGGTTCATCAGGTATGTTTCTTCAAATCATTGACTTATTGTTTGTAGCTGCTAACTCCTGTTTAGAATACTTGTGACTGGGATTCTTGTTCATATCTTTCCCTTAAAGAAGGCGAGAAATTTGGACTGTAGACAATGACTATTTTGCCACTGAACTGCGCGCGACGGCGAAAACAAGGATTGTCCGCTCCCTACTTATAAGCCTTCCGAGGCAAGCAAAATGTTAGAAGGTATAGATATAGATAGCTTATTTACCTGCCTAATCGGGTAACACCTATATAGAGAATAATACCTTCACATTCTCGTTCAACATTTATTCTACCACTCTATATTATAACAAGTGTTAGTGTTGAGAATATTCAGCCGTTTGCATTCCGCATGGCGAAGGATAATTTAACCGCCCTAAATAGATATTTTGACCGCTCCACGTAACATATAGTTTAGTAGCCATGCGCTAGTTTTTTTTTTTTTTTTTTTTTTTTTTTATATATATTTTAGCTTCCTCTATAATAACCTTCGTATAAGTCTGACTCTTATACCCTTGTATTAAACTTCCTAGACTTATAGATCTTCGATAAATTTATATCTAGCTTATATTTATCTTTAGTTATAAGGAGAAGGCGGAGAATCGAAGTTACTTCTTGTGTAACGACGGAAGATCTTTAGTAAAGGGGCGATTAAATTATCCTTCGCCATTCCGCATATACTTAACTTAATCTCGGCATGTCTTTTTTTGCACAAAATTACTTAAGAATATTCCCTATGTTAGTATATTACTATATATAGCTTCACAGCTTGGAGCTCTTACTCCTGTTTAATCAAGTCTTGTTCGATCGGTCTCCATGGTGGTACTTTATAGTAGGTATCACGTGGCAACTCATTCCGCCCTGAGTTAAACCCGATTAGGGTCGAAATGGGGCTTCGCTTATCCTTATCTACCCCTCTTACCAACATCATGCGCTTTATAACGTCTACACAAAACCGTCCGGTTCCGTCCAACCATCGTTAGGCTGTAAATTCCAGTCCAATCAGAGGACTGGATGTGGTTACGGACCGTCAGTTCAGCTGTGCCAACTTGGTGATGCTGTGCTCTGGTGGTACTTCCACGCTCGTCTACAGACAAGCGTGGAAGTCCAAAAGAGCGGCTAGTCACCTGGCGAATGAGCCTCGCTCGCTCATTAGATCTTTCCCACCAGCTCCCTGGAAGAATCTCTGTACACAACAGAAAGTAGAACAGGCAACCGGCCAGACTCCTCTAACGACGTCGGTACAGCTGCAGGGCATCAAGGACAACAAAGATCCGAAAAGAGTTGTTCACAGCGCCAAAAAGACCAAAACAGGCATAGAAAAGCAGCCCGCATCTTTTGAACGGACAACCAATAAAGTTCCTCCAACGACGTCGGTACAACCACAGGGCCCCAAGAAAGGCAACAAAGGTTTGAAAATAACTGCCCGCAACTTCAAATGGGCCGCAAAAGGCGTAGGAAGACGACTCGCATCTATCAAACCTACCAAACTCAAAATCAGCGAGACAGCGGTTACTCATGAAGTAAGGTCCGAGCTGCTCTGCTCATTCAATTGGGCGAGGGATACTTTTTCGATCTACGTGCCTGGTCAGTTAATGCTCAATTGATGATCTGCTATCCTTCACAACCTCCCTTAGTGCTCGTTTCCAGATTTGTGTTAGCTATGCTATACTAATAGCATTACAGGAAGCCCCCCAGAATGGACACCGCCTACTTTGCCGTTCTGTCTTTCGGAAGACAGGGGATTTTATTTCAGTGACGAAAACGTTGCAAGAGTACCGTCTTGCCCTTATACTCCCTTCTTCAAAGCACTTCAAGTCATGCGTCCTTCATACAAACTCGACGACGTCGATATCATCACAAATCGGGGCGCCTTTCGGAAATTATTCCAATTTGCAGCAAATAAAATCAAAAGTAGCTTCTGCATCGACTTTATTCTCGTCCACAACACGCTACTGATGTCTCGCCGATTGCGTAACGGAAGAGAATACCGAAAAAATGCGAAAGATCCAGGCTGGGGACATACATTTGAAAAAGAGTGTACTTCGCCGAAGTCTGGATTGCAGGAGAGTTCCAGCCACCACCGCGCCATTCGATATAATTTGGGTGACTTGAGCTGTGTCGTTCAGTCTGAGATTGATGCTTTCTATGATAGCCGTCAATCACAAGAGCCAGAACATACTGTAGGATCGTTCGAAGACGAGGAGGCAATTTCTACTCTCGCAAATGCTGGCTTCTCAACAACACCCCAACATAGTATAGACGATGCACCCGGTAAAAAGGTTTCCCGAAAAGTTTCATCTGTTAAAGCGGCATCGCCACCAACTGAAAGCAGAGCACCCGGTGGATTGGCTGTCCACAAAATTGGATCCGTGACACCGGCATCGCAGCTAGCTGAAATCAAAACACGACCGCAACAAATTAGACCGGGCGAGGTCATACCACAGCTGTGGTTTGGTCGTACGCCCCAACTAATCATGGGTATCCGCAAAAACTCCAAGGGCGTTTTCAAGAAAGTTAACATTCGGGATTTTACTCCGTCTTTTCAGGAATGGGAAACGAAAAACCAGGACGCACTGCGTAAGCTCACCACCCTATTACGACGGTTAAAGACGATTGCGAAAGCGGCACAAGGGCGCGTATGCGTTGCCATCCTTGACAAAAGCATAAAGCCCGCGCGGCTCGTGATCCACACCAGTACTAGGAAAATAATTGTGCCTCAGGAATTCCTGAGCGAGTTCTGGGGTCTATGAAAATTGGTCTGGATGCCTTATTTTCGTTGCGGTCTTCCTTAGCGAGAGCTTTCGACCTTCAGTCGTACTGTCTGCTCTTCCGGAGCCGCTGCGGTTCATTCTCCTGCGCGGTAAACGCGATATGTCCGACGTCGGCTTCCGTATGAACGTCTGCAATCATGACCTTGACATTCCGCAATAGATGGGTACGCTCTAAGCCATCCAAATGGGATCCTCCATCCATGGCGGCAATATATGGGTTGTCGCGCGCGAGCGACGAGGCGTAGCCGAGGATATCAGGAGCGAGGATGATGGCTTTGAGGTAGAGAGAGATGGAAGCTGCAATGACCAGGACAAAGGAGACGGCGATGAGGAGGACAACCCACGTCCAGTGGCAAACATACTTCTGGCCGTCTTCCAGAGTGACTAGTGCGCTGGTCGTGTTGAACACGAGCCATTGGGAGTCCCCAGTTGTTCCACCAGTACTGGCGTTGTCGTAAAATCCCAGGTCGCGGTCCAAGTCGCCCATAACGTATTGTACGCCATACGTCGACTGCCAAAATGTGTTGATAGCGACTTCTAGGCGCTGTGACAGAACGTCCCTTGGAACCTCAGTGAGGTTTACGTATGTGATTTTCTGGCCCTGCGGTCCCTGCCATTCAAAATTGGTGTTTGGATCGACCAACCATTGCTCGAATATCGAACTGCCCGACACCCAGTCCGACTGGTCTCTCGTAAAAGCCTTTGAAATATCCAACAAGGTGTTTCCTAGGAAGGGTGTAAAATAGTAATCTCTGTAGCAGCGGTCGACTTCCACCAGGCGCATAGAGTCAGCTCGACAGGTTTTACCTTGGCAATCAATGATTGTCTCATATTCTTGTGCGCTTATTGAGCAGTTGTTTATTGACAATTCGGAACCCTTCACCCCTTTATCGCCCAAGGCTGCCAAGGATGCCAGAGTAAAATTTGCTTTAAACCCTGTAATGGACGGTTTGCCATATCTCGGGGGGTCTTCAGCTGAAGGTTGGCAATCTCGAACAAATGGCTCGAGATAAAATTGAAGGCTTTGGCTTGCGGCCTGGGCCCAGATGGCGTTATCCGCATAGTACAGCCTGTTTTCGCCGCTAGAGCAGCTTACCGTCCATCGATGAGAAAGTGTAGTAAAGTTGTATTTCCCCTTCTCGGGAAGCCCGGCCACGGGGACACCAAGTAGCGATGAGTAAGTGATCGGAGAGGAATGGTTCACACTTCGCCAGAGTTTGGAATCAGTATCAGATGAATCCAAGAGCGTATAGCTGGGTATCTTGACGTTGCCCCAAATGTCCATTCCAAGATCCTCTGATGGCCTTGATGCTTTTGTTGTTAGGATGGATGATGTAAAAAGGGCATTGAACGGAGTTAGCTCGAAGCTACTGCCTGTTCCGCTTCCCATCCAGGAGAATTTACTTGCTTCGATAGGTAGATATTTTAGAGTCGTGTTATAGTTTGTCATGTGAGTCGTTGTACTGAGGAGACGGAGAGCTGACTGGCCTCCAATCGGGGATAGACACCAAAGGATTATGACGACGAATCCTAGGAGGTCCAGCCTTTGCAGGGATACCTGTCTCTCGATGGCTGCGAACAGAGATTGGCAACCGATCAACTGCTCTAAGGTCTTTAGGCAGTAAGTAAGGCGTCATTTGTGAGCTGCTAGGAAATTGGGGAGCTTACTCCTAAGAGAACGCCGCGCTCAGCTCGATATAAGCCATATGTTCTGAAGAACTTCCCCATCAAAGCCGCGAAAACAATCGGAAATATAGTAGGCGACACCAAAAGAGCCTTCTGAACCTTCGATCCAAACGAAGACGTCCGCTTCTGGTCGAGAGTGCAAGCAATAATAGCAAGCACTATGTTTTAGAAACTTAGCTTTATATAACAGATCAAGAACGAGGAGATAAATACCAACAAAAAGCAATGGAAGAATAGAAAGCAGAATGTCGAAGACCAGAACGACCCATCGGCTAGCAGTCCATCTGCCGAGGCTTGCTTCTCGTACTGGTTCACTTTCTCTTCTCACAAGTACTTCATCTTGCCTTTTCACCGGACTGGTGGAACGTTCTTGAGCGACCAACGGCGTAGAAGGGTTGGAGACGGAGGGCATCTTTATTCTGATACTATAGAAAGTCAGACTCTCATGAGCCTTAAAAGATAGTAATTTAATCAAGCGGCTGGGGGAAAGAGCTTGGAAATATATGTTACTTTTGAAGGGGGCTGAGCTTTTGGTACTTCACGTTACACCGCACTCCTAAAAATAGATGGAGCGGCTGCCTTGAGTTCGTACATATACACTAACCGCAACGGTAACCACTCCGTAGCTATTGGCCCATCATAACCATATACCGTACTTTGGGGGCCAAAAAAGCGATAGCTATCGAACAGAGTTTCAATAAGCAGTGGAATTTACCCGGCGTCTAGGATTTTCCCCAGGTTTGCAGGGTCCCTCACCAATCACAGCACTGACGTTTTGCGAGAAAGATAGAGGTAACTTTAGAATAGTTATGTACCAGGTGATGGAAGATGCTTATACAGAATTGGGTAGAGGATTTGCTATTTGTAGATTATTTTTTTCGTCTGTACTACGTAGCTCTGAGCTTTAGGTCCCGATAAAACACTGCATGATTATCGTTCTGCTTGGACACGGAGCTACGCTCCATTTTGACTTGCCTTATCCAAGCGAGCACAGGAGTGCTCTGCTTCTTTGTCCTCGCTGTGGAAATACTATTTTCTCGTCGCTTATTTTGAAAATAATCGAATGCATACATACTGCACATATGTTCGGCTCTGCCAAATTGAGAGCTGGAAGCAGCAACAAAGTGCCAATTTCAATCTCGCCAATTCAAAATAAAGCCTCTACATCACCAATAAAACTACGCTTGACGAACCAAGAACCTTAGCGGCAAAGGCGGCGAAATCAATATAAAAGAATCGACCTGCCCTGCAGCAAACCCATTCACGGCATCACTGTCCGCAACCGCAAGGTCAAACCCCGGCACCACGCGCGAAACCACCATGCGCAGCTCCATAAGCGCCAACCGCTTTCCGGCACAGTTGAACGCGCCTGCCACAACCAGTCAGTCAGCCACAAAATACCGCTACAAGCACGCACACTCCAGCAAGCCCGTTACTCACCTCGCGAAAACGGCATAAATGCCGCCGTCTCGGCCCCCGTCCCCGCCTCGTTCCACCGCTCGGGCACAAACTCGCCCGCCCGCTCAAAGTACCGCTCGTCCCGCTGCAGCGTATACGCCGGAACGCCCACGATCGTGTCGCCAGGGATGTGGACTTCATCAACCCTCAAACCCTCCGGAGGTGTGACGCGGGGTAGGCCCCCTGGTGCGGGAGGGTTTAAGCGCAGGGCCTCATTGATGACAGCATCGAGGTAAGCGATTTGTTTCGTTTTCGCGTAGCCCCATTCATTGTCGCCGTGGGGAAAGGCGGCGTCGAGCTGGCGCTGCAGTTTTTTGAACACGCGGGGGGTGGTCGCGAGGTAGTAGAGCGTGGTTGCGAGGGCTGCGGCTGTGGTGTCGCTGCTGCGTGTTAGCCTCGTACTGGATATGGTGGATGGGGGTAGAAGATACTGACCTTCCTGCGATGATGATGAGGCGCGCGTCTTCGTGCAGGGCGCCTTTCCCAGGCGGGGCGGACTGGTCGCCTTCGTATCTGGCTTTTAGGAGCCAGGAAATTAGGTCGCTAGGGTTTTCGGCCCTGTTAAGTGTCTGGAAAGAGACACGAATTAGCAAGTTATGTTCACTGAGCTAAGTCTCAGCAGTCAAGGCCTTACCCGCTCTTTCTCGTCGACCTGAGCAGAACAGTAGTCCATGAACTCGGTGTAACCACCCATCGCGCCGGGAATGGCACCAAGCATAGCGAGCAACCAAGGCACGGGAGTGAGCAAGCCGATTGCGGTAATGGAGTCGTGGATTCCTTTAATAGCGGGATGTTCGTTGCCCGTGTCGAGGGTGTGGAAATCCTTTCCAAGACCAACGTCGCCCATGACGTCGAAGGAAAAGAACATTGCCCACTTCGTTGCATCCACTGGCTTGCCCTGCTTGGCCCTCAGTTGCGATATCAGCGCGTCAGTCTTTGCTTTGACGCGAGGTTCGTAGTTCAGTAATGCTGGCTTCCGGGTCAGTTCTCAGTGAGGCGGATAACTCTTCAGTGTCATTTACCCTTGGAGCTGAACGAGCGGTCCCAGGCACGTCTCCTGCGCCTGTGCACTTCCATGTCCCTTGTAGAATTGATAGAAACTTCAGTGACGTCGGTGGAAACTTGGCTATACCAAGGGGATTTCTGGCAGCGGGAGGGCGGACCGTAGATGAGCGGGATAGCAGAAGCTCTGTTGATGGAGATTTCCCGCGGGCCTGGTAAGTGAGTCAGCTCCTATAATGTCGAATGCACAACGACATTCGTCGTACATACCAACCCGAACAAAATCCCCATGTTGTCGATGCAGCTCTTGCACTTCCACGTAAAGCTGCTTCCGCTTCGAAGCCAACCTCATGGCATAGAACCGCGACAGCCTCGCAAGGATCGGTCCAGGGAACCGCCGTAGTTGGTGGGAAAAGAGCCGGTACAGAGAAATGCTCGTGAGCACGCCTGCGTTGAAGGATATGCCCGCAACCGCTGCCCTCTTGCCGGATTCATACACGTCGAAGCCAGCGACGGTGACATAAGCATAGGTAAGTAACACCACGGCAGAATAAAAGCACCCAATGAGGCGCCATCCTTGGTTGTCCATTTCGAAAGGGATGCAGCCCAGATGGAAGCATACACCTAGACACCAAGCCGTGCTCGCCATGGGCGCCAGTCCTGTGGACAAGGCGCGTCGAAAGATCTCAAGTGACAGCCGCTCCATTATTAAACAAGCCAGTCGTAAAGCAAACGTACAAAGCAGAACAAAGGTTTTGCGAGGAAACTAGTCCTTGAAGGATGATCTAGCCCTTGAAGTACGCTTTTTAAGTGACGGTGCCCCCACGCGGCACAAACACCGTTTCAGTGATTGGCCGCGGGTGTTGTACTCTCCGGCTGACTGTGCTGCAAGTGCAAGCATTGTCACCACATGATTTCATCCATGACTGACCAATCGGAGCTCACGTGCGCTTGTTAACTGACGTAACCTAAAGCTGGAATCCGGGTCATTTTAATCGAGCTTAGATCGTCTCCCAAGGAATAGGAACCAAAAACAAAATAATCTATATATGAGAATCCCCAAAGACACGAAAATAACAGATCCCACTACTAAGTCGAAGCCCGAACCTCATCTGACTCACTCTCCTTAGCCGCCTCAGAAGGCGGATCATGGAACCGAACACGTCGGAGCAAACGCTTTGGATCCTTAATCTCGGTCCTGGAATGGAGGAAGCGGCTGTTGTCCATCAGCAGGACGACGTTCTCGCTAAATACCTCGTCAGGGAGGCGGAAGCCAATGGCTTGAGGGGATTCCAGGAGGCGTTTTAGCTCGTAGACAGCTTCGTTCGCAGCCGGACTATCACTGGGCGGATCAGCGAGGATATCAGCACGGAACCTCAGCCTGAAGCGGCCAGTAGCGGGATCCACATCAACAATCTTGCCCCTATTCGTCTTGCGGCCCTTGTAGAACTCGGGCGGGACATTGAGCTCGAACTCGGTGTTTAAAAGCGCGTCTACGGACGCGGACGACAGGCGCGAAAGCAGCGTTTCGGCGGGCAGGAGGCGGAAAACGCCGCCGCCGAGCTTGTCGGGGTGCAGCACGTGCAGCCCGAAGTATTTCTGCGGCGTAGGCTCGAAGGCCCCGTCCGTGTGCCAGGCGAATTCGCCTAGGCTGTGCGAGATGCTGTGTGCGGCGGCGTTGGTTTTGGCGCTGTAGACGCCCGTGGGCTTGTATGTGACGTCCCACTGGGATCGAGGTTAACTCTGTGCTATATTCGTGTGCTCGATGTGTGTGTGTGTGTGTGTGTGTGTGTGTGTGTGTGTGAACTTACCAGCGCGCCCTGCGTCCCAGAGTGCGTGTCCGGAACGCAGCCCATCGCCTGCACCAACTCGAGCATGAACGCGCTGTGCGGGTCCTTGAAGCCGAGTTTAATAGCTACGAGGCCCTGCTCCTGTAGGGCGTGGTCGAATGTCGCCGTCATGGAGAGCCCGAGCGCGCGGGAAGGAACTTTGAACCACGAGCCTAGCGGGAGCTGGAACACTGTGTCGTCCTGTGGCTGGGACACCGCGGTGGTGGATTTGGGCTCCGGCTGCACGAACGGCATGCGCTGCACGAGCGTGCGCAGAAAGTGGTAATCGGGCGGGGGGAGGTCACCAAGGTGCCGGGGACTGCTGCTGCTGGACTCGATGGCCGCGGAGGATCGGGGCGGTTGGGTCGATATGCACCGCGCGGTCTGGGCTGCTGCGGCTTTGGGGAGTCGTTTTGGGTGGTTAATGGCTTTTGTGAAATGGACGCTGTTGGTTGCGAGGCGGTGCTTCGCGGCTAGGAAGGCTTCTGAAATGGATGCCATCTGGATGGTGTTCAGAGATTTTTGAGCGGAAGCTGTGTTTGGTCTAACACTGAAGTTGTAGTTGGCGTCTGAAGTGAGCTCGAGGGTAATGAGACCTAGGCCAATTTATATGCTCTTTCCTCTGTCCCGTAACCTCAGGGGTGCCGCTACAGACGGCTTCTCACCTTGTCCATGAAAAAGGTTCTGGCCTTGCTATCACGGAAATTCATTGTGCCAAGTCGGATACCGGTATAGATGCCTGCAGGACGATGTGGCCTCGAAGAAGGAGACTGCTTGGCGTAGCGGGTTGAGGTTGGGTTTATATGCACCCTGTTGCCGGCAGACCCATTTATCGTGTGGAATCGTGGTATTATCGTAATTGGAACCTCGTTGTATTTGCGCTCGAGTTCTGGCATGTGATGGTGGTAGAAGCCCGTCGATACGGCCGCAGGTTCCGAGTTGTTGAGCTGCACACCCTCTTGGCTTTATAGATTCTTGGCTTCACGGTGCACGTCGCACCTGCGGATGTTTGTGGTGGTGCACGAACGGGACCAGACTTACCGAACGTAAGTGTTAGACAAAGGCGGCCCTGCGCGTTTGTTGCGTAGGTTTTAGTGTCGTCTATGATTGACGTGATGAGGACAATGTTTAGTAGAAAGGCGTTCTCGGAGTAGTCTCTGGCAATGACGTGACAAATAATATGTGATGTGATGGGGTAGGTCGGCACTGTTGTTGCAGGTGCAAGGTGACTTAGCGTCATTGCCGCATATACTATCATGTTTAGAAGACAAGGTATTTTTTGCCCTTCGTTATACCACGGGTTACTTTTACGTAAGTTGAGGCTTTAAATAACGCGGCTGTCGACTACTCTAGTAATGCGAGATCCTGGGCTTATAAATATCAAACTGAAAGGGTGAGGCGAGAGTTTAATGCGTAGCTTTGAGTAGTAATCCAATAAAGACTCATACTATGAGAACGGTATAGTCCTGTTTATAAATAATTTCGTGTTTCTTTCATTTTCGTTTACTGCCAATTACCTAGAAGCAAACCTTAGTACCGGGATAACGGGATATTCACGGAAGCTACGGATAGATGCATACTAAACTGCGGGGCCATATTAAGAACCCTTGCCAGAATCCCCGCATGCTGGTGACAATGCCAAGGCCCCCTTAAATTACACCAAGATTCTAAGCGTGTTGTCCTGCAGCGACACGAAACATAGTCGGCAAACTTGCTTGTCAGTAAATGGCGCAAGGAATACTTCTGTGGATCTATTTTTATGTTTATCTCTTTTTCGATGTACGCTGCCGGGATGCACTTGAAAGCGTTTGCGGGGTTTATTTGCTCCGATATGTCTCTTCAGATTTGTTAGAGGTAGGATTTAAAGTAAGCTCAATAAAGTATTCGACAGCTCTGAACTGTACAACAACAGAGTAGATGATAACTAGCTAGCAGATGACTGCGAAGGACCTGTAACAGTATCTCGCTGCAATCGGCTATCTCGGAAGATAATGCAGGCTCGCTGACACTTCCGGCTTGGCACGGGTATGCGGATTCTTGTGAAAGTGGCACGCAAAGCTAAGCGAGTGCCATGTATAAGAGCGGTTGAACTCTTTGCCGGGCAGAAGTGAAGGGAGCGAATCAACTCCCCAGCGACGCTGAATGACAAACAACAATTCTACCGGGCTCCTTGTCATGTGCTTTTCAAAAGCCCATAACTACAGTAGAAAGAACATGTCTTAAAGCCCAACAGCCTAGCTGCCGTACTGTACCCTACTTAATCCCATCCAATCTTCTCATCAATATTTGTCTGAGCTGCGCTTGAGCCTTTCTTCTACCAGCAAAGATGGCCGAAGAAAAAGCATCCAGCCATGACCAGCAATTTAGAATCGCTTTACCATTGACAGCAAGTAAGTTTTTAGCGCGAACCACTTCGGCATGTCCACACGTAGCCAGCTAAGTGGGCGAAACAGACAGTCAAACCGAAGCAAATCCCCAATCCACCGGTACCGCTGCCTCGAAACCATCACCATCACGGGCCCTGAGGGTCTGGCATAGCCTGTTATGGCTTATAAAAGATCAATGGTTCCTCGTCGTGATGTTGATTCTAATCCTCATCGCATCACAAGTACAAGTCCCTGGCTCACAGCAACGAATTAAGCAAAAAATCATCGGATATTTAGCCGTCGCTCTAATCTTCTTCATCAACGGCTGCACCATCCCTTCAAGGGTTCTCCTCCAGAATATCAAACGTTGGGACTTGCACCTCTTTGTCCAAGCACAGTGTTACCTCCTCACCTCTGCAATCGCGTACGGCATTGTCAGCGCCTGCGCTACCAATCCCAAGTTCATGGATCCGGCCTTACTGATTGGAATCATCGTGTTGGGATGCCTTCCTACGACGTAAGAAAGGGCGCCGAACTCTCTCTCTTTTGATACCTCATTGATGCTTGCAGAATCTCATTCAACACGATCATGACGAGAAAGTCGAACGGAAACACCGCGTTGACGTTGACGCAGTCCACTATTGGCAACTTTCTCGGTCCGTTCATCTCGACAGCTCTGATAAGAATTTATACTTCCACCGACGCTTGGTATACGGAAATACTTCCCAAAAACATGGGTAGTTACGGTGAGACCTACCGTAAAGTCTTCGCACAGCTTGGATTTTCAGTCTTCCTTCCCCTGGTAGGTTGCCTTGCTGCAGTACATGAACATCTTCCCTCTGTCCTTCTGCCCAAATTTAAAAGCAAGTGCTGACAATTGCAGTTCGTCGGTCAAATAGTCATGAATGCATTTCCCGCCCTAACCAAAAAAGTCTTCGCCGACTGGAAAATGAGCAAGCTCAGTTCGCTGTCACTGCTCACGCTCATCTGGCAGACCTACGACGAAGCCTTCCAATCACGAGCATTCTCCACCATCAACGCTGACAACATGATATTTTTCGTGTTCATGTCTTTCGGTGTCTTCCTTCTCTGGATGGCACTGAGCATCATCTTCTCAAGGATTTGGTTATCCAAAGAAGACACAATATCCGTGGCGTTTTGTGTACCTTCAAAAACTCCTGCTATGGGTGTACCCCTGACGACAATCATGTTTGCGGGCATATCGGCCGTCGACCAGTCCAAGATACACATTCCGATGGTCATTTTTCAGGGCATACAGACGGGCTTGAGTTCCTTAATAAGCATTCCGCTTCGGATGTGGCAAGCGCATGGGAAAAATCCAGCCACTGAGGAATAAAAATTCCTAGAAGCTAGCGTTATCGAATATTATAGTCTGTCTTGTAATCAAGAATCAGCCGGTACGTTGACTACTACCGGAACCCATATTAATTCCTTATTGTTATCCTGCTATTGTCAGAAGATGGTACTCATCGAACGCTTCACTGGCCAAGTTATTCCAAGGGCTATCCAAGACCTCGTTATCGTTGCATGTGTGTTGATCTATTTTTTTTTTTTTTTTTCTTCTTGTAAGTGTATGGGTAGTGGCAGTAGACCATATTTACTAGAAGCTTTATTTACCCTGCTTCTGAACTAGTTCAACAACAATCAGTTGGGCTCACATAGTACATTGAGCCAACCATAAGTTTACCATTACAGCCCACAGCAGTCTTGCCCAACCACGGGTTCACAGTCAAAAACAAGACGTGAGTAATGTCTTAAGGTATGCAAATCGCCGCACACAAGTCCTCATCCATTGCAGTATACCACCACGACAGTAGTGTCGTGAAGCAGAGCCTCGACAGTTCGTAGAAATTGTCCCACATCCGAGCTTTTTACGGCGGATATAGCTCCTCCGGGTCGACATCAAGCGCCCTGACAGGTACTCGATAAATGACCGGTAGATCAGACGGCGGCAACGAAGCGCCAACGAGCCCTTACAAGACCTCTTTGTCCACGATACCGTGTTCTTCGACCCACGCTCTGAAGCGCACGCGTACCGCATCCACAGACACCCCTTCTTGTCTTTGATTACGGTCAGGTTTCAGGTTGAAGCGGTGGAAGAGTTCGCGGTTCGGGTTAAAATCGAGCGGCGCGTGGGACGGCGAGTCATCGTCGACGTCGTAGGTGCAGTCAATCTCGACGTACTCGCTCACGACATTAAGGGCAGGGGTGGAAGAGGCGTCAGTATAGATACTTTAAGGATTATGGCGAAGGCCCAGCTGGAGTTGCCGGTCACGATGGCGTAGTTGACAAGGTCGTGTAGGCGTTTGCAGACTAGGCGCAAGCACTTCGATCGAAGGCCGGATCATCTCCAGTATGTTGTAGGATGTGGCGCGAGATGTCCATCATGGTATACTTTTGTAGGTGGAGCTTGGGGCAACGGTGTTATCTCGGCCACGTTGTTACTATATTGGGAGTCGGTTGGCTCATGGCAAACGCCAACGGGTCACCGTAGGTAACGGTGACCCGCTCTACACCAAAGCCCTCCATCTTTTTACCTCACCATCTCATTCTTCGATTAAAAATATTACGCTTTAGTCATCGTCGAGTTTTTTTTTTTTTTCGGAAGCGCCTACTTCTACAACACCTCACTGTCTGCTGAGCCATTACCCGACGAGGTTCCTGCGCCATCTGATAACCTAGATGGTCGGCGACACTTTCCTCGTATAAGCTAAAAAGTCCGTGTCCCTGCGCCTCCAGTGCCCCGGCCATCGCCGAAGCCTTCCCCGCGGGAACCACGCAACCATCCATGGACCGTCGGCCCGCTCTGATCACAACACGGCTGCCATGGGCCCACGAATCACGTTTGCTTCCGCGGAGAAGAACGAAATTGGAATGCCTAACATGAACAGAAACGTAGAAGCTCCCGTAATTGGCAAGCAGCGAGTTTCATATGAAGGCACTGATTGCATACTTGTCTGTTTTGCCATGTCCGCAACCATGCCGCCCATCAGTGGACCGTCGGCCCGCTCAAACCACAACACGCTTACCAAGAGCCCAGAAACACATTTGTTCCGTGGAGAGAACGAATCGGGATCTTGACATGAACAAACCCGTAAAAATTACCGCAATGGCAAGTGGCGGGTTTCAGATGAAGACACTGATTGCATACCTGTCTGTTCTACCACTATACACCAGACGCTCCATTAGGGAGAGTCGGCCCACTCCCCTTCTATATGATCTTTTTGTTTCATGCCCCGGACTTGCGACTGCATTGGCCTCATCGCCAGGTTCTCGAACGATCGACCCCCTCTTATGCGGAGTACATATGTAAGTCGCCCATCTCACATCGATCTTCAGTTAAACAGTTCAACTCCTCTACATTCTTTTACATCCTAAATCATTCTTTCAACACCCATCCAATTATGAAGAACTACGCTGCTCTCGGCGCGTTCCTGGCGCTCGCCCAGCAGGCCATGGCCAACCTCGACGTTGTCAGCCTCACTGCCACCTCTGAGGCTTGGATCAAGGAGGCTACCGCCACCCTCGTCCTCCCGAAGACTCCTGAGTCCATCACTGGTGATGTTTCCTTCTGGAGTGCCATCATGATGGAGAACGAGGCCTCGTTCCTTCAGGGTGTTACCGAGAACGCGCCTCAGGGTCTGGGCTACTGCGAAAACCTTGGAAGCCAATGGTGCAACTTTGCCTACTGTCTCGTCGGCTCCAACCCCACCGTTGGCGATCCCGTCAAGGCCTCCGCTGGATCCAAGGTTACGACGCACTGTAATTATGCTCTGACCTTTGGCTTTCATGGGCATTACAACTGACGCACTTCCAGACAAGTATAACTCTGAGACGACTATGTGGGACCAGGACGTCTACGTTGATGATGAGCTCGTCTCCAACGTCTCTACCAGTATGTTGCGAAATTCAAGAACGATTGTTTCCGAAGTTGTGGTGCTGACAGTATTATCTTCACAGGCAAGGGCCAGCACGGTTGGCTGTTTTACATCTCCGTCGAGTGTGCCAGCGGCACTTGCGACACCGCTCCCGCACACAGTACGTCTCCAGCTTTCACTGATCTAAAACGTGGCGAAGAAAGCTCTAACCGCGAAACTACAGGCTGGGAGGATGTTTCCATCGTCCTGAACGAGGCCAACCCGAACTTCAAGCACGAGGGAAGCTGGGACCAGGGCGCGACCGGTGGCGAGATGTCTACCACCGACGGTGGCAAGACCTGGAACTTCTCTACCCTCAAGATCCCCGCTCTTGATGTGCAGTACAACGCTTAGACCATCGGTGATGCTGGGGTGCTTCGCGATAAATATTTCCATTGAAGGTAAGAGATAGCATCTCACCTTTTGAACAACGAACATATATAATACCGCGGAGACTTGAAAGTGGTTTTTGTGATCCATTCAATGCGCTTACCCATTTACATGGTCATCAGCCCACTAGAGACTACTGCTACGCTACCATCAGTCCCCAAACTATCTACACTCACCACCATACCCTCCTTTTCCCATCCCATCACCGGTGCCTTCAGCTTCACGTGCCACGCCTCACTCACATCCAAAACGCCAATCATGTCACCCATTTCAGTTATGGGTACCATGTCGCCACATTTCTTCCACTGCCCGAGCCCTACTCCTTCGTGGGCAAGTCGTTGTAGCTGAAGTGTCTCATTCACGCCCCACTCGAGGTGGGCGTATATGTCTGCCCGACGACGTCTCAGGATGAATGAGACTAGGGTCTCTATGAAATTGGAAAGGAGGATTATGATGGTGCCGATGGACAGGATTAGGATGAGACCGAAGAGTGAGATATTTGTGTAAACTGTGCTGCGGATTTTCTGTTCCGGAAGGCACTGTCAGCTGATTCAAGGCAGTGACGCAAATATTATAGGGTTTGTGCCCCTGAAGGCCTACATACATACCTGATTGTTGCAAAGGTACCGTTCCTGCTTATTCTTCGGCCGCTTGATATGCCGCGCAACAGCCTCATCAGCCGAGCCTATCGCGATGTCAACGTACGTGGCCTGAATCCTCGCAAGAGCAATGTTGAACCAGCTCTCGACCTCATGCTGCCATTGCCTTCCCGGCAAAGGGCCCTGGACACCGTCGAATAAGCTCGTGCGCGAAGTTAAGGCCTGCGAGCCCAGCGAGGAGATGATCGACTCCAAGCTCGGCTCGCTCTGCATGGTCGCTCCAACAACCCAGTACAGCAACTTCGATTTGACATCATCGTCATCGCCAGCGAGACTTTCTGCCGGGCCCTTCACGTCTATCTCGCTTGATAGCGGCGTGCATGTTCCGTCGGCGAGACACCACTGCTTCTGCGACGCACATGCCAGCACCGACACCGGCGTGTCTTGCTTGTACGTGCGCAGCTCCTGATTGTTTCCCAACCACAGGCTTGTGCGCGTCGAATTGCTGGGCTGGTGCGCCGCGTACCAGTCATCGCTGATTTCTTGGGCGAATTCAATCTCGTTGGCGGAGAGAAAGACGAGTGCGATGTCCGCGTCTGGGTAAGCTAGCTCGGGTATGGGATAGAAGGTCGAGCTTGTGTCGTGGTATGTGCCGTTTCCCCGGCAAGCTTTGCGGTGGCTGCTCGAGACTGTTAATGTATGCGATTTCTTGTAGAAACATCTTTGGGATTTTTGCCTACCTGACTGTGTAGTCTGCGTTCGTGGCCGGTCCGTCGTCCAGTCTTGTGGAATTCGCCCAGTATTCGTAAGTGAAATTTCGGTTGTAGCTGTAGCGCGTAGCTTGCTCCCCATAGTGGTATCTTGCGAGGGTGGTTGTGCCGCTTTCACTCGTATGGTTATGCAGTGTTTGGTAAGGCTCTACTTTTAAAGGGGAGCATTGAGTTTTGTATCTGAAGTAAATGTGTTGGCTTGAAGGAAGGTTGACGCCCAGGTCATCATGTAGGTTGATGAGGCCGGAGTCTAAAATAAGGGAGTTGTTCGGCCTGGTACAGATATCGCCGCCGAACGGGCAGCTGGCGTTTCTCGTAGTCTCTACACGAAGTCTGTTTTTAACATACATGCTACAGCTTTCGGGATTGGAGTGATTATAGCATTGAGAAGCGTAGTTCGTGTGAGCGATATCTCGTTGCCGGGCGTACGGAGCAATGACGGTGTATAGGTCGGAAATCGATTCGTCTTTTGTCACATACATCATTCCGCAATAATTGCTTCTAATGAGTACCTCGCTCCCCATTGAGGAAATTCTAGACGAGAAGCCAGAGGCAGCGGCGAAAGCGCTGATGATAACTACCGTGAGTATGAGGAGAGGAAGTACTCGGCGGTAAGGCTGTTTAGATTCTCTCTTCCACGCATTTAGGATCGATATAAGGTTCCATGCTCCGCTGGTTCCGTTGGCTGCGTTGCGAAGGGTCGCCTGGATCTGATGATGGAGACCATCGCGAGGTGATTCGGTTGAGCGGTAGTAATGAAAGGCGTAGCAGATCAGGCGCCAAAAGCTCGTTCCAATTAAGGTGACGAAAAGTGCGATAAACGCAATCAGGAGAGCGCCGTCTCTCCGATTAAGCGTCAGTGTGGCACCGAAAATACGGCCATAAGTCCAGTTTGTCCATACTCCTTGGTAAATAGTATAGTCGTCCGGTAGGGCCTTTGAATCCATGGGGAACAATTCAGTGTCAGGGGCTGAAGGGAAATCGAAAGCAGCACAAGAAATGAAAATACTTTGACATCTTCGAAGAGAGGGTAAAAACTTCAGTAGTTCAGGACGAAGTTGGCTGACTGATTGTTCGGATGCATTGCTTTGCAAGGGTTTCAACAAAGTCCTATTCTTGTTTTGGGGGCTGAGTGTCGCAGAGCTTGGCCGATGATCGATGATTTTTTGGGAATTGCATACATAGCAACACTTTATTTCTACCATACGACTTCATCTAGTAGTGGGGTAGTGTACAGGGTACAAGCGCGTCGGAGCTGAATTCGGTGGCTAGGACTTAGTTTCTGGGTCGTAATTCGTGGCCGCCGCAAGTACGAAAATCTAAGCTTTTTATGGCAATGACATTTGTCTCCCACAACAGCACCGTCCATTTACGCGCCGAAACCCTGAATAGTATCATGTACGACAGTACATAACCGAGCTCGTGTGCGGTGGGGACCAGTCCTAATAGGAATGTCGTTTCTGCACCCAGCTTACTGTATGACATCATGTTGGTTTTTATAGCTCTGGCTAAAATCACCCTGCAGAATTGAAGCGAGATGCAAGGTATTACTTGCGGCTGAAGCCTAGCAGGCGCCAGATATTAACCGAGTAGTCATTAACTTAGAATTTGTGAGCCGAATAAGCCCAAAAACCCAGCGAATCGCATACTTACCATTAATGATTTAACCTGTAAGTAATGAAGTCTTTTCAGGTATGGTGCCCGAGTTTAAACCTTAGGGCATATTGCAACACCTTGTTATTACCATGTGCATGCTGAGTCGTGACTCTCTCTAGAACATGGAAATAACGTACCCGCTACTACTATTCTCATAGCTTTAACTATGCAATATTAGTAGATCTCACTGCGATCTCAAAAGTAAAAATAGTATAGTATCTCAGCTTCGGTAACCTTTTCCGCTTCCGGAGCGGCCTTCCGCATGCGCAGGGGTCGCTGATATCAGTTCGTGGGATAATAAATCTAGGTGCATAATTTTCCGGAAGCCGGAGCTGATGGCGCTATGTAAGAGACATGTATTCGTTAACTAGGAGTGTCAATGGCTCGTAGGCATCCATACCATTTCAAAAAGGAAATAAGCATGTCGAAAATGAGAGAGACGAATTACATCGCCTGCAACCGGCTTCACAAACACTGCGGATGTTTGAATGGACTAAAGCGAGAGGAGCTTTTGCTTCATGACCAAGCTGTTTGTTCACCTACAAAGATATAACAATAAAAGCCACCGCTAATATCTTTCAACAACTACATTTCTGCTTTATAAACAGCTAGCAACATTGCCGGGGAAAACATCCATTAGCCAATCTCCTCGCGCAAATTCCAGTTGAAAGACAAAAAGATCAAAGAGAGTCTTGCAGACTCAACACTGTCCAGCGAGTTCATAGATACAGTGATGTACTAGCTCCTACTTAAAGCACCACCAAACACCAAAGGAGAAGAGCACATCATACGCACAGTAACAGCGACATAGAAGCAACCCTCTTCCAACTTTCCCCGCAGACACCGAACACAGCACGCTCGGCACGACGTAGGAAACCCACTCACCAGCCCACCCCCTCCCACCCAACTCTCGCAACCCCAGCCCAGGCAGAAAAAAGCACGACTCAAACACCACGAGGCGGATAGCGTTCCGGATAGTCGCATTTCCGCGAGCCGTCGGGGAAGTCCTGGCACTCGAGGAAGCCGCAGCACTCGCCCGTGAGCATGCAGCCTCCTGAGGGATCCTTAATATATCAGCCGTTTATTTATCTTATAAAAAGCGCACGCGCAACACGCAGGTAGATTAGAGAAGGAGACGATACGCACCGCGGCGACTCGTGCATTTGAATTCCTTCCCATCAAACCCGTCTTCGAAATCAGAACTGCTGTACCCGTCCGTAGTGTCGAGCTGGGCCTCAGTCTCGGGCTTAGCCCTGCGCTTGACTCTGCGCTTGGCCCTGTGCTTGACCGGACGAGTGGTCGGGCGATGGATCTGCGGCTCTGTCGTCTGCGGCTCGACGCGGTGCTCCGTCTGAGGCTCGAGCTGGGACTCGCTGCGCGGCTTGATGGCTAGGACGGCCAGCGTGAAGAAGAGTGTGATGAGCGCGACGGCGAGAAAGAGGCGCATTGTGGTGGTATTGATCGAGCGCGGTCTGGAAATCTTGCTGGATGGCTATCTCAGTCCGCAGAGGCCACTCGGCGGCGTTTTAAAAGCGTGGTTGCCTGAGGGTTGGGTATTTCACTTGCTGCCCTTACATCATCCTGAGTGTGAAATTCTGGTAAATATCTCTCTTCTGCAGAACTGTGGTTGAGAAAAGCGTTTCATGCTGGCTGGCTAGCAGAGTGCGGGACGGCCCAGCCGGAGCGTAGGTACATAGTCCGCCAAACGGATCGCAGACAGGCGGATCGAAGACGCCCGGGTCAGGGTCTCGATTTAAGCTTCTCGACGCCAAACCGGACTAAACATGTGCCATAATTAGCCAAGTATAAGGGCTTTGTTAGCGAACCAGGAATTAAATATCTCGTACCACACATTCCTCACCACCAACCTTCATGTCGCTCAAAAAAGCGCAGTTTTTACCGTCACGAGACGCGCCATTATCGAGCCAGACAGCCCGCGGGCGAGTGCTAACTGCTGTGCGCTTAACGGCTTCTCCGCAAGCCTCTCGCTGTGCCACAAGGTGTTATCTTTATACCTAGGTCAATCCGTCTCTCTAAGGCTGGAGACGAAGATGCGAGAGGAGCAGGAGTGCTGATATACGGAGCGGAGGCAGGGAGTGGAAAGCCTCGCTTCAAATGAAGTTCTCCGCTCAACACCATGCCAAGACCTCGTGATACTTACAACAGCTCGATCAACCAACCCAGGAACTAGACTAGACTACCCCCAGCCACGACAAGGACCGGTCTCCGGTAGCCGGAAACCCGATGAACCACTATCCAGCAAAGCGACTAGGTAACTTGGCTCTGGCAAGCATCACCGCTGCTGTTCCAGTTCATATCCGGTATAGGAGCGAGATGGCGGCGCGCAAACCGTCTGCCTTACTTACTTACGAAACACTCCCCACCCCGCTGAATGCCGCAAGCCCTGTTCTGCTCGTGAAGTACAGTACTGTACAGTATGCTCAAGGGACGGGAGCCGGTGATGCATGTCGAGGAGTGATAGGCTGCTTGCTGTTGCTGTCGTTGGTGGTCCTGGGCTAGGTATGGATGTGTGTGGAGTAGATGAAGAGAGAGATGGGGGACGTGGACATACTCAGCCTACATACGCCGCAGTTGTTAGCAGCATTCCATTCGCTTGCATCACACTAAACAAAAATGCGTCTTCCACTGCCATTGCAAACGCACCGGTAATAGGATACTGCAGGTATTACTAGAGCCAATGTCGATACAATTCTATTCTTTTCTACGTACCAACATCACAAAATATCCGTCAGCCCTCCCAAGTCATCGCGTCGTCACATGCAATCGTCAACTATTTAACGCCGGGAATCACCTTTGCCTCGTTGGCGCCCAGCTCCTCCTCCTTCCACCCTGCCGTGGTGCCCGTCCCACCGCCGACCTTGCGCCCGCCCTCGGCGCGCTTGACGCGGCACCACATGCCGACGTCGCGGTCGAGGACGAACTGCCAGATGACGCCGACCCAGCTGGGGTGTTGGGGCAGGGGGTCGTAGAACTCCTTTGCCATCTGGTTCAGGCGCCACAGGCGCGACCACGGCACGGCAGGGAAGTCGTGGTGCTCGTTGTGCAGGCCGACGTTGTACGTGAAGAAGTTGAGCGGCCCGTAGTAGCTGAACGTCTCGGGGACAGGGGCCAGCGCGGCGGGGTCCTTGGCGTCGGGCGATGGCCGCTCGAAGACGTAGTGCTCGGCGATGAAATGGCCCGCGCAGGGGTGCAGCGAGCCCGCCAGGAACGACGACGCTATTAAGTACCACAGCGCGTTGGCGCCTGCGGTGCGCACGAGAACCACATCGAAGAGCACTTGCACCAGGATGTTGAGCAGGTGGATTCCCGTGATCGGGATCTGGTAGATGAACATGGGCCGCAGCGCGTAGAAGAAGATCTGGAAGGTCGCGAAGAAGGCCTTGCCCAGGACCGAGTCGAGGAAGACGGCCTCGAATGCGGTGGGCAAATCCGTGTCGAGCCCGTCGACGCCGAGCGACTTGTGGTGCGTGAGGTGGTAGGGCTGGAAGGCGTTAGCATACCTGTTCTAGCCAATGTATACGACATCCTTTATGCTGGTTTCCAATTATCCAATGGCTTATTCGCACTCACCCTAAACGATGCGCTATACGGGATGCCAATGGGCAGGTTCGCAAAGATGGCGAGGAGGCGGTTGGCCAGCGGGCTGCGGAAGGCGAGGTTGTGCGAGATCTCGTGGATGGCGAGGAAGATGTTCTGGTTGGCCGTAGCGCCGATGATGTACGCCGTGAGCCAGAAGGGCCACGAGAAGACGGGCGAGTTGCGCAGCGCCCACGCGCAGCCGACCTGCAGAGCAACGACGCCTGCGACGACGTACTTGGTCATCGGCTCGGGACCGCATAGTTTGGTGACCTGGACGAGGGTCAGCAAGAGTTCATCAAAGTGGTGAGAGCGGACGTGGTTGGGGCATTGTACCTCCGGGTGGGCCTTGATAATGGCCATTCGACGCGTCCGGTGCGGCTCCTCGGTGTAGGTCCAGTAGAAGTCGTCATGGCCGGCCCCTCCACCCGGCGTGGGCTTCTTCTCCTCGACGGCGGTGGCGGTGGTACTGGCGACGGACGAGGAGCCCATTGTGGTGGGAGAGAGGGAATGAAACGGCTACAACGACAACGAAATAGACGAAAGGGGCCAGCAGAAACGACCGACTGACGGAGCGGGACAAGGAACACACAAAAGAGGGCAAGTTGTGGGGGAGACGGTTTGTTGTGACGCGGTACTTTTGTACTTCCAGGTGCAGCAGTTATCGATAGCAATCTAATCAGGCGACGCTCAGTCCATTGTTTCAGCGTGCGCGTTGCCCGCTCCGCTTTTCTCCGCCACCAAACCACCAAATCACAGCACGGATATTGCTATCAAACACTACAGTACACTACAGACACAGAATACAATTAACAATCTTCATCCCTCACAGCTTCGCCTTGGGCTTCTCCGTCTTCAGCATTGCGTCCGCCACCATGCGCCGCTGAATCTTACCCGTCGCCGTCTTGGGCATGTGGTCCGTGAAGAAGACCTGTCGCACCGCAGTCAGCCACAGTCCTCTCTCTCAACTTCATCGAAACAACGTAAACGTACCTTCTTGGGCAGCTTGAACTTGGCCACGCGCTCCGCCAGCCACTTGCGCAGCTCATCAGCCGTCAGCTTCTGCTCCTCCTTGAGCACCACCGCTACGCCCACGTCCTGCCCATACATCTCGTCGGCAATGGCAAAGCTGACCGCCTCGCCCACTGCCGGGTGCTGCGCCAGCACGTTGTCCAGCTCGATCGGGCTGATCTTCTCGCCACCCTTGTTGATGAGCTCCTTGATGCGCCCCGTGATGATGACATAGCCCTCCTCGTCCTGCTTGCCCTGGTCGCCCGTGCGGAAGAAGCCGTCCTTGGTGAACGACGACTTGTTGGCCTCGGGGTTGTTCAGGTAGCCCTTGGTCACGTTCTCGCCGCGGATGCAGATCTCCGCCTCCTTGCCCTGCGCCACTTCCTTGCCCTCCTGGTCCAGGATCCGGACCTCGACGCCCTGGCCGACACCGACAGACCCAGGCTTGCGCGAGCCCCGGTGCGGCAGCTGGTTCGACGTCATCTGGTGGGAGGCCTCGGTCATGGCGTAGGCCTCGAGGACGGGCGCATCAAACGCCTTCTCCAGGTCATGGAAGACCTTGGGCGACAGGGGCGAGGAGCAGGAGCGGATGAAGCGGATGTTGGGCTTGGGGCTGGGCGGCGGGTTCTTGAGCAGGATCTGGTGGATCGTGGGTACGGCCGTGTACCAGTTGGCCTTGTGCTCGATGAAATTGGCCCAGAACTCCGAGGCGGAGAAGCGCGGCGGCACAACAACAGAGCCACCCGAGTGCAGCGGCGCCAGGAAGCCGGCCAACAGGCCGTGGACGTGGAACAGCGGCATGACGAGCATGGTGCGGTCCTCGGGCGTCAGCTCGTACGTCTCCTTGACGTTCTTCATGGTGCGCGTCAGGTTGCGGTGGGTCAAGGGGACGGCCTTGGGGCGGCCCGTCGTGCCGCTGGTGTGCAGCACCAGAGCGACATCCTCGGGTTGGGCCTGCTGAACGGGCTGGCCTCCCTTGCTGGCGAGCTTGCCCTTGTCCTTGACGTCCAGCACCACCTCGCGGCCGTTCCAGTAGCACTCGGCGATGGCGGCCTTGTACTTTCTGGCGGCGCGCACGGCGGGCGAGTTCTGGGCAAACTGGCCCTTGGGGACCAGGGCGACGGCGGAGCTCAGGTCATCGATGTAGAACTCGAACTCGTCCTGCTTGTAGGCGGGGTTGAGCGGGGCGGCGATACCCCGCTGCCAGGATGCGGCGAGGAAGGCGACGATGAACTCGTAGCTGTTGGGGATGGCAATGGAGACGGCCGACTCGGCGGTGATGCCCAGGGCGGCGAGCTTCTTCTGGAAAGAGGCGACTTCGGCGGACAGTTGCTGGAAGGAAACGGTCAAGGCCGGCTTGCCGGGGACAATGACGGCAGTTGACGACGATTGCGCCGAGAAGGCGTTGGACAGGGTGGTAGCCATGTTCACGATACCTATCGAAGGAAGATTGACGGAGATTTTTCAGAGGAGACAGAGATATATAAGGAGAGCGAAGCGGGTGTTCGGCATATCTGAAGCAAATTCACCTTGAGAGGTCGCCCGATCCCGCCCGATTACGTCGCGCACGCCATATCGTTGGTCGCGACTGGGGGGAGACCGGGAGACGTGATCGACGCCTTGCCGACCAAGCTTTCGCCAAGCGACAGCTACCTTGCACCTGCAGTGAGCTTCACCTCACAAACAACTCTATAGACTCTGTCAACTATGGCTCAGAACAATAACAATAATAACAATCCCCCGTCGCGGGGCCTGTCCTCCTTTGCCGACCTGCTCGGGTCTAGCTCCGCCGCAGCCATCTCCAGCGCGCCCGTCCGCTACGCCCAGCCCTCGACCGATGACATTGCTGCTCAGCAGGCCGCCGACGCGAAGAAGATCCGCGATGGTAGGCCACTCCGCTCCTCTACTGCAAGACGAGAGAATAGTAACTCACGCAGCCCGTCGTCTGAGCAGCCGCGCTGCGCATGCAACCCTCGTCGATTAAGCGCCCCACCGCCCAGAAGCCCGCGCCCGGCAAGACGGCAAAGAGCAAGCTTGCCGTGCCACCCGTCGAGAGGTCGGAAGTGACGCCCGAGATACTAGAGCCCGAGTCCGCCCAGGACACTGCGAGCAAGAAGAAGACGATCCAGGACTTTCTGGGCGACGACGACGACTACGACTTCGGCCTGCCCAAGGCGCAGCGCGGCGGCCGCAAGAACCGGAAGAAGAGGAAGAACAAGGAGGTCGAGGTCGGTGAGCCCGACTGGGACGAGATCTACGACCCCACGCGCCCCAACGACTATAACCTCTACTTGGGCAGCACGGAGCAGCTGCGCGCCGAGTCGGACTTTACGAATCTCTTGCACTACCGCCACGACGTTGCCAGGGGCATCAGGCCCGTCTCGAGCGACGACGAGGACCGCGCTCCTCCCCGCGCTCTGAAAAGTATGTCGAAATCTCTTGCGGGAATATCATGGCGGGTACTGACTGCCGCAGAACAATTCGCCCCGCCCTCGAGCTACAATTTTGCGCCACCGGCCGAATTCACCACCCCCAGCGACACGGCAGCGACATCGACGCCCGCGGAGGTCCCGAGCGACAACACGGGCGAAGACGCGTTTGCGCGGCGCATGCGGATGAGCGGGATGGCGGAGGCGCCGCCCGAGATGGGACAAGACGAACCGGTGCCCACGCCGCCATCCGCCGAAGCACAACCCACGCCCCCGGACACCGCCACAACTGCTTCCCGCGCCCCGGCCCCTTACGACTACCGCGCCGGCGCGGGATCCATTGCCCGCGCGCCCGTCCGCTACAGCTTCCCCTCGGCGCCCGCAGACATGCCCTCCACGGAAGCAGAGCTGCAGTCACTGGTCGACGAATCGGCGGCGGCGGCCTCTTCAGCCGAGGAGCCGCAGCAGCAGGGCGAGCAGCCGCGCTCGAACCGGCCGGGTCAGGCAGGCTTCGCGGAACGCATGCTCAGCAAGTGGGGGTGGAGCAAGGGCAAGGGCCTCGGCGCCAAAGAGACGGGCATCATCACGCCACTGAGCGTGCAAGCCGAGAAGCGGAAGAAGCGGCCGGACGCCGAGGGCGGGGGGTGGGCTACTCCTGGGGGCAAGGGAAAGATTGTGGGCGGGAAGAAGGCGCAGAAGGCCGAGGGCGAGGAGGGCGACGACGCGGCTGCCAGCCCGTTTGGCGCTATGAGCAATGTTGTCGAGTTGAAGGGGATGGTGGAGGGGTTGGATCTGGCGCGGGAGATGGCCGAGGGGCAGCTGGTCGGCGAGATTGGCGACGAGTGCGCCGAGAAGTACGGCAGGGTCGAGCGGGTGCTGATTCATGCGAGCAGTACGGCGGAGCAGGTGCCGGTGTTTGTGAAGTTCACGAGCCAGCTGAGCGCGTTGAGGGCGGTGAATGCGTTGCAGGGGAGGGTGTTTAATGGGAATGTTATCTCGGCGCGGTTTTTTGAGGGGGAGAGGTTTGAGGGGGGGATGTTGGATTAGTTTGGAGAGGGTTTGCTTTTTTTTATGTTTTGTGTTTGGACTTTTATTGGAGCGGGCTGCTTGGGACAAGATGGAAGGGAATGATATCATGGCATTCATTATGCGCGAAGAGCGGAACTGCCTTTAGTAGGTAGGCAGGCGAAGAAGACTCCTCATCGAAGTAGGTACTCTTACTCTACACGCAGGCAGGCGGACAGTCCACTAGACGCTTTTGCTTGTTGCGCCGCGAGGTCGCGAGACTCGCTTGGGGAATTTGGAGAGTGAGGATGTTGGGCATCCAATTGCCGTCTCTTGACGTACGTGCTGCGTCCCTGTCTGTCTGTCTAGCTCGCTCACTCGGTACTGCAGGCTTCCCTCGACGTCGTCCGTTCTCTCTCTCTTCCTCCCGCTCTAATTTACACCCCACACCCCACACCTCACACCACACTACAGCGCCTTCCGAATCGCGCTCTTGAACGGGTAAATGCGCACCTTTTCCCACTCCCACACCCCCTCCCGAGCATACACATCCGCCTTCAGCCGCTCCAGCACCTCCTCCCGACTCTCCGCCAACGCAAGCATCACCGACCCCGCCATTTTCGGCGTCTCGCCGTCGGGGGGTGGGAACGGCGCGGACGCGTCCATGAAGGCGCCGCCGAGGAGCCAGAAGTCTTGGGGGGTGTGGGTGGGCGAGAGCAGGGTTTGGAGATGTTCTCTGTTGGGGGGAGGGGGGGCGTTAGTGTGGGTTGTTTGGGGAGGGGGAGGTGAAGGTGGGGGGTTTTTTTGAAGGAGGGGTTTTTAATGGGTGGGGGCACGCACTGCCGCACGGCTAGGCGCCGGTCCAGCGCGTCGGGCTGGTCGGGCAGGATGACGAGCCATTCGTGCTTTTGGGGCGGGGCCGTGGTGGTGGTGGTGGAAGCGGAGGAGGACATTGTTCGGCGTGGCCCGGTGGTGGCTAGGCGGAAGCAATGACGGAGGAGGGATGCGCGCTGCGGCAGGAGCATGTATGTGTTGTTATTGTTGTTGTTGTTGTTTATATGTGTGTGGGTGGAAGGGTGGAAGGTGCGAGGTGGTTGGTGTGAAAACAATGGATTGGAGAGGTGCGGGGTGCGGGGCAGACGCCGATTGCGAGTGTCGGCTTTTGCTATCAAATCAAATACTCCTACAACAAAACAACCTAGACACGCGACGCGTCTCCGCCAGCCCATTGGCCTCGCTGCGTCCACCTCTGCGAATCTTCACCTGCTTGGCATCTCTTCTGAGCAGACTCTACATACAGCTGCGCGACCTGGACCTGGCCCGAGTTCTCAGTGTCAATCACCGGGGATAAATCCAATCTCCGACACGGGCTGCAGCTCCAACCACCACAACCAGCCCACGAACAAAACCACGAACGAACAAAAAACGCGTCAAAACACACACACGCACGCACGCAATGCACCCGCACCTGCACCGCACCACCTAGCTAGTCCAACCAACCGCCCAACCATGACCACCACCGGCGCAGAAGCACCCCCCCTCGCCCTCCTCATCCGCAACGGCCTCGTCATCGTCCTCTTCCTCGCCATCCTCGCCCTGTCGCTCCGCCTGCTCTTCGTCATCGGGCCCCTGCGCCCGCCGCCACAGCCACGGTATCGGGGCGGGACTACCACTACCAACAACACCAAGCCACCCACCACAACCAACGCATCCACCAACAGCAACGACAGCGACCCCCTCGCCGCCTACGAAATCGACGACGCCGACACCAACGCTAACAACGCACCACAAATACCCACCCTCCCCACCCGCCCGGGGCACATGCTCATCGTGCTGGGCAGCGGAGGCCACACCGCCGAGATGCTGGCGATGCTCGAGCGTTTGGACGCGGGCACGTTCGTGCGGAGTTGGGGGCGGCGGACGTGGGTCGTGGGCGAGGGGGACGAGCTGAGCGCGAGGCGGGCAAGGGAGTTTGAGGCGGGGTTGGTGGGGCGGGTGAGGGGGGGTGAGAGGGGTGAAGGGGAAGGTGAAGGTGCTGGGGGAGGGGAGGGGGTGAGAAGAAGGAATGTGAGGGTGTGGGATGGGGAGGGGGAGGAGGAGGGCGGAGGGGGGGAAAGTGGTGCAGACACAGGCACAGGCACACATACAGGCACGCACGCGCTCGCTCCCCTCCCCCGCGCGCGCCGCATCCACCAGCCCCTCCACAGCACGCCCCTCACAGCCCTTTACACCCTGATCTCCGCCCTCAAGCTCCTCCAGCACAACCCACCCGACATGATCCTGACCAACGGCCCCGCGACGGGCGCCATCGTCGTGCTGGCCAGCGTGCTGCTGCGCGTGCTCGGCCTCGCGGATTTACATGGCTTGCGGACCGTGTATGTGGAGAGTTGGGCGCGGGTGCGGGGGCTGAGTCTGAGTGGGCGGTTGTTGGTGCGGTTGGGGCTGGTGGATCGGTTCGTCGTGCAGTGGGAGGGGTTGCTTGGAAAGGAGGGGACGGGGGGGCGGGGCGAGTTTAGGGGGGTTTTGGTTTAGGTGGTTGGTGGGAGTGGGGGTTTGGGACATGGCGCGGTGTTGGGGATGGTTGCTGCTCTTTTTTGTTGCTCTTGTACACACACACATCGATATATCTACACAAACACACCCACGTAATCTGCACGTCCCGCCCCGCCCTTCTTGCTCCCTACACACCCTCCCCACTCAAGCAGCAGCAGCCCTAGCAGCCTTCTCCTGGGCCTTCTTCGCCGCCATCAAGCGGCCAATCTTCGCCAGCGCCGTCTCGGGCAGCTCCTGCCTACCCTTCGCACGGTTCTCAATGCGCTGGCGGGCATGCAGCTCCTTCAGCGGCGTCATCATCTGGCGCGACATGAGGCGCTTCTCGCGGACAGCGGCGTCCTCGCCCGCCTTGCGCTCAACGTACGCGGCGTCGTGGCGGTCGCGGAAATAGCTGAACGGGTTGCGCAGCTCGTCGATGACAGAGGCCGGCATGGGGGGCCGCAAAAGCGTCGGCACAAACGTCGCCGCCTCGCTCGTGATGCGCAGCGTGTCCGAGTCGGTGTCCTGCTCGGCGGGGGCGGGGGCGCGCGGCCACGGGATGTGCACGCTTGTCCCGGGGACGTGGCGCGTGTACGTGTCGCGGCCGAAGCGGTCGACGCCGGCGCGGCGCCGCACGACGCGCTCGATCAGCACGTCCCGCGGGATGTTGGTTTCGGGGTGCGGGAGCGGGTACACCAGGCGGATGTCGGCGAAGGGGATGCGCAGCTCGACGGTGCGGTAGGCGCGTGGGTCGTTCTCGAAGTCGCGCATGTATTCGGGGACGGAGACGTCGGCCTTGGAGGGTTAGTAGGTAGGTAGGTAGAGAGAGGAATAGCTCAACTCACCAGGTTCAGGCCCTTGACATGGACTGCCTGCGCCTCATCGTCAACATCGCGCACCTCGCCAATCTTGCCCGTATCCCTGCCGCGCATAATGGCGACGCGATCGCCGGGGGCAAACGGCGCAAACTTGAGGCGCGTGTTGGGGTCCGTCTTGACGGGCTGCAGGCGCTGCGGGTCGACGGTGCCCCAGAGGCCGTAGTTGTCGCCCACGTCGCGGCGCGGCTTCAGCGGGCCCAGCTCGTAGTCCTCGCGCCGCCAGGCCCGCTCCTGCTTCACGCTCTGCCGCACCAGCGCCTCGATCTGCTGGTTCTCGCGCCGCTCCATCCGCCGCTTCACGGCCCGGTCGGCCTCTTCTGCTATGCGGGCTTTGCGCGCCGCTTGCCGCTTGGCCATGGCGGTGCGCTGGAGCACCTTTTGCATGGTGGTGGTGGTGTGTCGAGTCGAATGGAATGGAATCGAGGAAATGCGTTAGGCGGCGCTGTTGGACGGGGGCGCGGCAACACGACGAGCTACAATGGCTGTTGTTGTGTCTCTTTTTCCTCGTCTCCGCCGCTCCGCCGCCAAGCTCTTGCCCCAACCACCAACTCTCTAAAAGATGCCGCTGCTACGAAGCAACCTCACCTGCTTCTACTGCGGCACAAAGTCCAACCTCAAGCGCGATCCGCGCATCCGCGAGTTTGCCTGTCGCGAGTGCGAGGCCGTCAATTACCTCGACGAGGTGCGTTTGTTTATTCCTCTGCTTTGCTTTGCGTAGCTAATGCACCCTCACAGAATGGCCACATTACCGACCCGCCCGTCTCCGAGACGGCTGCCCCCGTCCGCTTCGCTCACCCTCTGCCCGCCCGCTCTGCTTCGCCCATCTTGAACCTGCACCCGTCGGACCAGACCATCTTCTGCGCCACGTGCATCAAGAACCAGCACCTGCTGACCCAAACGCTGGCCGCCTACCTCCCTCCGCCCTCGGACCCCAGCTATGACGCCTACGAGAAGTCGTACCCCGAGTACCGCCGCAACCTCGAACGCCGCTACCCCCAGGTCTGCGTCCACTGCGCGCCCCGCGTCCAGGAGCGCATCAGCCAGGCCGGCTACGCCGCCAAGACGGACCACCTGCGCCGCCTGATGGACCGCACAAAGCGCGCCGACTTTCGCAAGCAGCCCGCCGCCGTGCCGTGGCAGTCGTGGGTGCTGTTCTGGGCCGGCATCGCCTGGCGCGTCAGCGTCGCCACCCACCTCGTCTGGAGCGCTGCCGGCGCCATGGTCAGCTTCAAGGCCTGGGACCCCAAGGACCGCACCCCGCTCCAGAGCTACTACACGTGCGGCGTGCAGGCGCGCAAGCACGGCGAGGTCGAGCCGCTCTGCGTGTCGACGTTCAACCCGGAGATGCAGCTCGCCCTGGTCTTGGCCCTGGGCTCGTTTTGGTGGAACAGCAAGCTGAGCGCAAAGTTCAACGGGGCCATTGGCCGGCTGCGGGGCTTGGGAGACCACATGAAGCTGCAGGTGCTGGTGCTGCTGGTCCGCGGCGTGTCGTGGTGGGTCTTGCGGGATCCGGCCGAGACGAAGCTCACCCAGCCCATGTACCGCGCGCTGCACTTGTTCGTCGCGTCGTTTCTGCTGGTGACGTCGGTCGTCTCGTGGCGCGTCGTGCAGATTGACCGCAACCCGCGCATCAACTTCACCGAGAAGCCGAAGCCGCTGCTCGAGGAGCCGCTCGACGACGACACGCCGGCGGGGCCGTACAGCCACCCCCAACCGCCGCAAAACTTCAACTACCAGCCGGCCTACCAGCCCCCCTTCCCCATCGACAGCCTCGCCCAGGGATCCCCGCAGAGACCCTCGCCGCCGTCGCCGTCGCCCTCCTTCACCACGACCTACACGGCCGTCACGACGGCCGCGACGACGCGCCCCTACGATCCGCGCTACGACGACGAAGACACGATGGAGTGGACGCCGACGAAGCAGACGCAGACGACGCTGTTCGACTTCAAGCCGCGGCGGCAACCCTCGCACGCACAACAGCAGGCCACGGCCATGCTGAGCGGCGCCGAGCAACAGCAGGCATCGCCCTTCTTCGGCCGGTTGCCCCCCGCGCCCTCGTCGCAAATCCACAGCAGTCTGCTGCGCAACCCGCTGAAGCAGCCCGGGCAGCCGGTCGTCAACAGGACGCCCCTCGCGAAGAACATGTTCGGCAAGATGCTGGGGAAGCCGCGGAGCAAGTTTGGCGGCATGAACGACGACGCGACGACGGTGGTCACGGGGGCGGAGGACGACGACGACGACGATTACGACGATGACGATGGCGCCGCCAGCGTGGCTACGATGCAGCAGCAGCAGCAGCGGAGGAGAAAGGGCGAGCTGCCGCTTGCGGGCCCGACGTTGAGAATTAAGGAGGATCCGGTCGATACGGGCCTCGAGGCCATGTTCACGAGCGTGTTTAGTATTGGGGATGAGCCGGCTGAGGTGAGGGGGCGGACTAATGCTAATGCTAATGGGGGTGGGGGTGGGGGTGGGAGAGGCTTGTTTGGGCTTCCGAGTGCTGGTGCTGGTGTGAGAGAGGGGATGGGAGATGCTCATGGTGCTGCTGAGGGCTGGGGCATGTGGCGCGTGGTGCTGACGCTGCCGTTTGCGCTGATGGGCGTGGCGTGGGCCGTCAATGGCGTTAGGGCTTGGGTTGTGGGGTGAGTTGGTTGAGTCGCGATTGTTGAGAGGAACGAAGGATTGTACTGCAGTAGGTAACCTTTTCTTTTCTATTTCTATTCTTTCTTTCCGTGGCGTGGATGCGTGGATGGTTGCATGGGTTGGGTGGGTGGGCGCGTGGCGCGTAGGTGTATTGATTGATGGATTGGGTTGGGGTGGGTGGGAGTTGGGTGGGAGTTAGGGTTTGCGGTTTGCGGTTTAGAGTAGGGTAGGGTATGTAGGGTATGGTAGTGGGATTTCGTATGTTGTTTTTATGTTGATGTTGATGTTTGTTTTGTGCAGTGTCGTTGTGTCGTTGTGTCGTTATTGTGGGGTTTTATGCATGTGGATGGGCTGGACTTATGACTTACGACTGAATGGCTACGGTTTTCGAGCGTACGCTAATACTATATTACGTATCGTCGTTGCTATCATAGTTATAGCATCTTTTCTCAAGAGCCGGCAGGGATAACGTGCTGCTCGAATCGAATCCTCGTTACTGCTTTTCGTGGCTTTGTTGTTGAACGTTGGTTCCTGTATCGTGTATTGCATGTATTCTATACGCGTGCCGGACTAACCGGACGTAGTGTGACGTCGTGTACACGGATATCGTTGGGTTATTACGGCCCTACGGGCATGTGCATGCTCTGGGTTTATGAACTCTTAGATTTTAGAAGGGGAGTGCTGTTTTTGGTGTGTCCGCTTTTTATAATGCTGGTTTTTATTTTCTACTTCATACTCTACGTATCTTACTGAATCGCGTAGCGTATATTACCTTTTTATATCTATAGAAGGACAACTCCTACCTATTAAGATAGGCGACAGAGGTGGAGAAGCGGGGGGACCGGATAGCGGTTTAGGGATGGGGGCGGAATTAAGGCTCAAGGAGGGGGCCGTTAACTTTGGCATATATAAACACGCTGTTTCCAGCGAACGTTAGAGTAAACCGTCAGTCTCTCCATTGCCAGCAAAATCCAAAGACTGAGCCTACGCAAACTACTTGCAAAACAGACTTCTCTGAAGGTAAGCATACACGAACAACTAAACAGCCACAATATGCTAACATTACTAGATGCACGTCAACACAAAGCTCCTCGCTACCGCGCTCTTTACAGCGAGTCTTCCCCTTGGTATTCTTGCCGAAAAGCCGCATTGCGAGACGTCGACTGGCAGCCCCGACACGCGAGATATCACCGATGCAATCAACGAAATGCACGGGTGGACGAGCGATGTTTGCGAGAATGGCAACGGCGTTAAAAGCAAGTGCACGACGCTTGTCAGCCATAAGTCAGCTGCCATCTCTCTCTGCGGCGACGCAGCCTCGCTTTCCTGCAAGGGAATCGCTTCCGTCGCAAATGATATCCAGCAGGCTTGCTTGTCGGATGGCAAGGCCGGTGGCTGGGTAAGTGGCTCGTACACTGCGGCGGACGGTTCAACGCCTGATTATTGGGTCGAGGTTATTCACTCGTAATGGTTTTTTAATTGTTTGCGGGGAGAGTAAAAGGGGAGGTCTGGGGTAATTAGCATTGCCAACTTGATATAGTGCGAAACTAAAGTTGAGCCCGGCTAATAGTGAGAACATATGGGAATTGCGACTATGGTTGATTTATAAATGGAGTCGAGCGTAGATACCAAGTGACGACGAACCGGCTGTCGAGTGAAGTACCAACGAGACGCCGAGCAGGAATCCCGGTCTAATAATTAAAGAGAAGAGACTTCGTATCGGGTAAAAGAAACATATCTACGGACCGGAGGTGTCATTGTTATAAGCGTAATTGGGAAGAGATGATCTATGTACGTATATACACTACCCACTAGCGCTGAATTGTGCGTAGGGCCCTTCCAAATTCCGCCCCAGGATCGGTAGTCATTTCTTCACTTTATATCAATCAACGCACCCAAACACGTTACTGACAAAGATTCATGTCAGCTCTGCTTAGTATTTAAAACTTTTTTGACAGAGTGCATTTCTTCAGTTGCCAATCTGACCAGGGTTTCCCAGTAATCGTAGGGACAGTCATGCATTCGGCTTCCATTTCTAAATACTACGAATACTTTATCTTCCACCTCTATTTCGCAGAGCTTCAACTACGTCAAAGTAACCTCGCTTAGATGCTGCTTCGAGTGCAGTCTCGCCTCCCAGCTCACCGGCAGCATTAATATTAGCCTTTGCTTCAACAAGCGTTTCGACAACCTCGAGATGACCTCCCGTAGCTGCTGCTTGGAGGGCAGTTCGGCCTCCCCATTCATCTGAAGCGTTAACATCTGCACCTGCCATAATCAGAATCTCTACTACCTCGAGATGCCCCTTCCTGGCTGCTAGCTGCAGTGCTGTTTTACCTCCCCATCTATCAGCTTCGTGGATGTTCGCATTTGCGGTTAGCAACTTCGCTACGACCGCAGGATGTCCGTTCTCGGCTGCTGCTTGAAGCGCTGTCCGACCTCCATTTCCAGCAGGGGCGTTGACATCAGCTTTCAGTGTTAGCAGTCTCTTGACAACCTCCAGATGCCCGCCCTTAGCTGCTGCTTGCAGTGCTGTCCAGCCATCGGCTCCTCGTGAGTTGATATCGGCCTTTGCAACCAAGAGCCGCTCCACCACTGCGAGATAGCCACCTGCTGCGGCTGCTTGGAGCGCTGTGCGGTCCCCATTTTGTTCCGTAGTATTTACCTCAGCTTTTGCCGTAAGCAGCATCTCTACCACGTCAAGATAGCCACCACCAGCTGCTGCTTGGAGTGCTGTCTGGCTTTCGTTTTCAGTGGAAGCAACCGCATTGACATCGGCATTTGCCAAGAGCAATCTCTCCACCACGTCGAAATGACCACCGCTTGCTGCCGCTTGGAGTGCTGTGTAGCCTCCCTTTCTGGCAGCGGCAGCATTTACATCGGCATTTGCAGCAAGCAGGATCTCAACTATGTCAAGATAGCCACCGGCTGCTGCGGCTTGCAGTGCTGTCTCGCCGTCAAGCTTAGCTGCAGGAGCATTTACGTGTGCATTTGCAGTAAGCAGTGCGTCTACGATGTCGATGTATCCACCTACACATGCTGCCTGGAGTGCTGTACGGCCTCCATTGCTTGAAGCAGCGGCATTGACATCAGCTCCTGCTACAAGCAACGCCTCTACAACGTGGAGATGACCCCCTATTGCTGCAGCTTGCAGGGCTGTCAGGCAATTTCGTGAGTTGATGTTTGCGTTTGATGCAAGTAGCTTCTCCACCATGTCAAGATGCCCTCCTCGAGCTGCTTCCCGAAGTGGTGCGCTTAGACGTTCGGGTGTGAGCTCGTGTCCTTCTAAGATGGTACAGACAAGGCTAGTAACTCTTCTTCCTGCTGCTTTTGCTAGGAGGTAATCCAGCTCGTGGTCTGGAAAATGGACACTGCTGTTTTCTATACACCGCAGAAGAGCAACATGGTGGAGGCCGAGGATGGTTTTTGTGACAATTCTGTCGCGGTTGTTGAACTGTTCGGATGTCCATGGTGCTTGACCAATCCTGTGTTCAAGTGGCAGTGTTGACTTCCATAAATTCCATATCTCGGTGCTTTTTTCATCAAAGGCAGTGGTATGCGACAGCCAAAACTTAGATGCATACTCCAGGAAGGGGTAAGCTAGTATCGTTTGTTCAGCTGATGGAGCGTCGTTGTTCCCGGCCATATTGCCTATGAGTTTGCCAATGGGCATGTCGGCCTTGCCCTTCTTTAGCCGTGCCATTCTTGACAATGCAACCGAGACGTTTCCATAGCCTGCATCGCGAATGGCTCTGCTCACAATCACGTCCGATCTAATTTGAGATTGGTTTTGAGGTTTGGGCCGCTTTGCGAGCTGCGTCTTGAAATCGTTGAAATTGAGGTACGTTACGCATATTTCTCCGGCTTCGCGGTCAGCGTCCGCTAGCTGAAAGTGAAAATCCCTCAACGGCTCGTCTATACAATCGCCTAGGAGAAAGGTTTGTACTGTGTAGTGTGTGAATTCCAGTGTACCGTACTCTTCATTCACAACAGCGAGGCCTTGACACCAGGGTCCAAGCCGGGAAATATCGTTGATGAGCCGTTCCGGCATGGAGAAGGGCTGTAAAGGTTCCACGGCAATAGCTTCGCGAAGCTCCTCAAGTGTCATCGGCCTCTTTGCGCAGGCAAGCCAGCGGAAGATCCTCGTTGCGATAGCTTTGTTTCCGTCGGCATCGATGCGGCCCAAAAGTCGCTTGTATGTTTCGGGGAGGTCTTTTGGGAGATTTTCGAGAACTCGGTAGATGTCGTTGTCGCATTTTTGATTGCAGACGTCTTGAAGCTGGAAAGCAACCCATAGGAACCTATCTCAATGTATTAGTATCAGTCAGAAAATCAGTTAAAAGTCTACTTACATTCCATCTGCTCCCTGAATGAGTGAATCCTGAATCTTTCGCAGTAGGCACGAGCTGCCAACTGCAAGCTCTCCGTCGTCTACCTTTTCCTCGACGGTTCTCTGGATAAACAGTTTCATGTCCGACTTGATTGCTTCCGAACTCAATTTAATATAGTTGATCGTCGGATGAATTCTCTTCACCTGCCGACTAACCGTATCGCGGCTTGAGATGAGAAGCTTTGTCTTTCCAGAAGGAATAGCCATAACCCTTTGCAAGGTTTTGGAGAGCGCATCCTGCTCTAGCTTGGGACACTCATCTATGGCATCGATAACAAGGTAGCGGGTCGATGACTGTGAAAGTATTTCTTGGATAAGAGCCCCCAGGTCATGCAGGTCGGGAGAACCGACTTTGAGATAGCTTGCCAGACGGGACTCAATCTCATTAGGCATCGTTTCCGGGTCAAGCAGTTGCTTCACTAAGGAACTCAGGATCGATGTTGCTGTCAGAGATCTTTCGTCGTCATATTGGCAGAAAAAGTACGCAACTTTGCCCTGGCGGCTATATCGCCGAGCAAGATGAGTAACCGCATATGCGCTGAACACATTTCGTTAGCGAAGAGCTGAAAGCAGTTGTTTGTAGAGAAACTGACGTGAGAATCGTCTTGCCGGAACCAACTGTATAATGAGATTAGAAGGTAGCCATTGCATCTGCAAACTGAAGCTTACGTTTGCCAGAGCACCACAGTAAAGATGAACCTTGCCGTAATTGCCAGTTTTTGAATTCCGGAAATTCGACAAGCCACTCTCCCGTTCCAGCTTGACGTTGCCTACAAGCTGCCTTGAAGGCACGGGTATAATCGAAGTTCGAGAGCTTATCTAAGAGACTTTGCCTTCGAGCTCCTAATTTCTAGTCAGGGTACTGTATATATTGTGCGAAAAGCAAGTTCCACATACTGATAGTTTCCTTCCGCAGTTCAAGTCTCCAGTCTTGACTCCCGCTGATATGGTTTGCAACTTCTTTGCGATGACGGGCCTCTTCGGCTCTGTACCGGTGCGCGCGTCTGCGCTCAATCGTCTGTAACTGCTCTTCAGTTTGTCGTCTTTGTTCGGAAACCTCAATTTTGGAACTACTCCTGATGTTAGCCTTGGTTTCTAGATAGGAGTGTGGTGAAGACGAACCTCTGATCCAGATTCAAAACAAGGATGAATGTAGTCTTCTGTCTCTCGAGGGTATCCACGACCTTCATCACATCTCTGCTTTTGAACGGCCACGTCAAGGCTCGAAGCCCTAGCTTCCTCATCGCTTTTCGTCCCTTTCCAGGGATTAATCGATGTAAAAGGCATTCCAGCTCCTCGGTGCATCTCTTGATTGTTGGAGTCAAGTTATCAGTGATGCATGAAGCACCAGAACCGGATGTGATTGCGTTGGCTCTTTTTTGGACTTCTTTTATTACATCACGAAGGGTCATGATTTCGTCGGAGAGTTTTTCGATGTCTTCCCTGGCGCGTTTGACATCATACGCATAATCTCCACACAAGCAAATGATCCTGCTGGAAATCTCGATAAGAGCAATGACGCCTTTGATGCCGCCAATGGCCTCCATAGCGGGTGTGGCGCCGAGGAGGGAGTCTCATACTTTGTTGGCCAAAAAACTATGAATGGGTGAGAGGCTAGCGCGAAAACCGATAGAATAGATAACGAGAAAGCTTTTGATGGCAGCGGACGGGGTTAAGCATCGTAATTTCGTAGATTGCGACGGTGCGGGGATCGGGGATAAGTAATGCTACACAACATTCCCTGTTTACTGCGTACCCTAGTACCACGTAGGGTTGAGCGCATGCACCACCGCCCCCACCCTCTCTCAGCTGGCATGATCTGAACCTTTACTTATTTAGGAAGTTCAGCTACGTTTGTGCCTGTCAGCCGATTGGAGAATCGAAACAATTTATTGTAACTACAACAGCACCCTCTATTGATAACAGCGGGGATGGACGTGTGACGGTACACGATATCCGATAATTTATGCCGCTTCCTGCAGGCCGAACTTAGTAACATATGCAGGAATGTACTCAAAGGTATAATATCACACTCGATAGCCAACACTGAAAAATTGTATTCGAGTAAACCCGCCTACCATGCAGTCGGTAAGATAAATGGATCAATTTCACGGCAAGAAGGTCTTGAAACAGTGGCTGTGAGGCTCCCGATGGTGTGGCAAGGATGTGTGGAAAATCTGCGGCCTGCAAGGCCAAACGACGTGTGACTTAACAAGAAACGTCGACCTATTTTTTACCAGGGTCCAAGAATAGCATCGCTAGGCAGACGTACAGTGTGAAAGAGTGCATCTGACGATGACGCACATACATAAAATCCTGGTAAAAGTAAGACAAGCGTCCAGACCAAGCTGGAGGGCCCCGCGTAACCGGCAGCAGCCAAACAGAGCAAAGAAGTGCATTTCGGTGAAAAGACTAAACTGCAAGACCACTGACAAATCTATTATAATCTGTCCTCTACGTCTTTCAATCTCGATGACACACTTTGTGACCTCAACAAAGCCCTTCATCCTGTGTTTGGTTCATTCCAGTCATACGAGCCCAACTATATCTTTTTCAATTTCGTGCCTTCCTCTCCCGCACAGCCCAATAGATCCCAAAAGTCATCAATATGTTAAACACTACATAAACAGCCAAATATCCAAAATTATGCCACCTTCTCTCGACTTCAACTCCATAACGTGCCAACAGTGGGTTTGCATCAAGTATGGGACAATACCTACAGTCGCTGGTTGCATAAATGTTGCTGAGGTACCCGCCAGCAAGGCTGATAAAAGGGTTCATGTAGCTTTCGCAAGTTTGACCTTCCGGAGGGTTGATGTGAAGGAATTCACTGTTGGAACAATGGACCTGAGTATTGGCGAGGCCTGCAGCTACTGTGCCGTCGATAAAGTACGTTATAGGCGACGCGCGATAGACAAACTCCCAAAAGCGGGGAAGGTCCTTGGGTGGTACGAGGACACTGAAGTAGTTAGTACGTGTTATTCGTTGTCAATACAAGAGAGTAAGACCTACCCGCAGAATACAAGCGATAGCCAAAAGAACAGGGTCGCAATTTGCACGGCCGTCTCTTCGTGATCCATTCCCACGCCTACAGCCTGTGAAAAGGTTGATATCCACAGGTTGAAAAGCCATATCACGCCGAAAGCAAGACCGCTTCGCTCACTTGATCCAAGGCTTGGATCGTGATTTTTCCATAGGCCGGTAGGGTACCACCAGGTCACGAAAATCCAAAGTGTTGCTATCGTTTGCCAGAAGAGTTCGACAGTAATGTGGGCAAAGATCATGACGGCCCATGAGTACGTCTTCGATCTTCTCTCTCGGGCTTCGAAAAGTGCTCTTCCGGATGTAAGGCGCGGAATGACTTGTTGGTCGAGGGTGCTAAAGAGTTGAGTAAAGAGGAAAACAGAGAAGAAAATGTTAGATATGCCTTGGATGTCAAGGGTGGTGTTGAAGAAAGAAAGGCCGTTGCAGAGAGTCTTGAGATAGTAAGCTTCTTTAACTTTTGAGGTTAATTATCTGAGTTTTGACTTACCACACCAGCACAGAGGCCAACTTTCGAGTATAGGTATACCGGGTCGCGCCAATACTCTTGAAATACGCGCTTTGTGACCAGTTGCAGCTGGCGCGGGTAAGATGCCGCAAACTGATCTCTTTGTACCACTGCCTGTGAGTCTGCAACACCAACTGCCAGCTGCTTCAGGCCCGCATGGTGGCGCAAGACTTCTTTTCTTTCAGCACTTCGAGCCCAAACCTCACACCAATTCTTTGACGGATGTGCTTGCGAGGCATCGGCGTCCTGCGAACATCCCGTAACATCCAGTACCCATTCTGCAGGATTCTGGCCAAAGCCACATGCTGATGCACCGTTGCTTTCGAAGTAACTAGTCAGTTTCGAGAAGTCTGGTCCGATGTCGCCGAAATAAAGCGTCTTCCCAGACCTGTCCAAAAGCAACAGACGATCGAATACCTGGAAGAGTTGTGAAGATGGTTGGTGTATAGTAATGAGAATAGCTTGCCCGTTGTCTGCTAGCTTGCGAAGCAGCATACATATTGACCAGGCCGTTTGACTGTCAAGACCAGAAGTGGGTTCATCTATCCAATGATTTAGCGAATTGAGATTTGAACCAGTGTCGCTTCAATATTCAGTTGCATACCTAGGAACAAGAGTAGTTCAGGTCTGGCCACCATCTCTACCGCAATGCTGAGTCGCTTCCGTTGCTCGACATTAAGGCCTTATCTGTTAGCTAAGCCTTGACTAGAGAAATTTTATATTTTACCTTCACCTGGAACGCCAGTAACAGCTTCAGCATATGAGCTCATGTCCAAACTGTCAATGACGTGCTGAACATGGTCTGATTGCTCGGATGATGCCTTGCCGCTGGTCTGCCGTAATTGTGCGCTGAACTCCAAAGCTTCGCGAACTGTCATAGTGGGAAGATGAATATCCTCTTGTTGAACGTAGCCTGTCTTTCGCTGAAAGTCTGCCGCACGTTGCTGCTTGCCGAGGAAAATGTCACCTGTTACTACACCTACCCTTGTTCGACAGGATAAGATATCGAGGAGGCTGGTCTTGCCTGCACCGGTAACGCCCTAGCCACCATCGTTAGGAAGACCATGATAAGAAGCAGGGTGACATACCATTAAAGCAGTCAGTGTGCTCGGTTGGACCCAACCTTCGATGTCATTCAGGATTTGTCGCGTTCCGTTTTTGGTTTTGATTGAATAGTTGACATTGCTCCAATGGAATGTTGACTGATCTCTCGTTTGCTCTGAACACTCAGTTTCGTCATGAATTTCTGTTGTATCGTGGAATGGCGTCTGTTTGTGAGCGCTTTCGCCATTGTACGCGTTGTGGGAGAAATCTGCAAGTTGTATCGTCTCTTCATCATTGACGACCTTTTTGTTCTTCCGGTTTGCTTTTTGGAAAAGGAGCACTTCGCCCCGGGAGATTTGGGCAGGGATATACTCAGTCGCGACGAGGTGAATTGTGCAAAGAATCACCAGCATTGATAGTATTATACCAATATTCCTGGCTGCGTTAGCGAGAGAATTGGTAAGCCGAGGAAACACTTACCTCCAGAGATGGCTTGTTTCGAATCCGTATTTCGACTCGATGAAAGCGGAACCATCGACCTCAAAGTTTCCAGGCCTTGAGCCAATTGCAGCACAAACTTTGTGTTCCAAGTCATTTTCGGCATAACCTGGTCCGGCAGGTATGAGGCTTGAACATGAAAAGCGACGGCCAGTGAACTGCCACTATTAGAATTGTTGGTAGTAGAGGATATGCAAAATACCTCATTGATCATCAAGCTTTCGTAGGCAAACGCAATCGGGTTGAGCCGTCTCAACCAGCTCAGCCAGGGAACCATATCCTTGACAGGGATGATAAAGCCCGTATATGCGCTGAACAAGAGGATTACCATAGAAACGGGCACCATTGTTTGCTCAATCGTCCTTGAAAGTGATCCAACCATTCGGAAGAACATTGACATGGTCAGTATGGTGGTGAATATAAACAGAAGATAGGTGAAGAAAGCACCCGCAGTCATCCGCAGGTTAGTCATGAAATAGAGGGTGGTGTTGAACATGATGCAAGTCAAGATCTTGTTTGGCAGGTCGCAGATGAGGGAAGCGCAGCTCTCTGTAAAGGGATGGTAGAAAGCGTATCGATTGTGCTTTTCGACAATGGGTCGCTGAGCCCACATTGCCATGATCTTCCCAACATATTAGCAATGATTGAGGGAGTAGTCAGTGATGTGTATACCTCGAATGCAGGTGCATATGCGTTGATCATAAGAGAGAAAAAGACCAGTACGGCGCGCTTGTCAAGGGCGTCGGTGTCTTCGCCCAAATTGAAGTAAACACTGCCCACTACGATAGCGATTATAGTGTTTCCAATGATACCAGCCAAGGTCGGTACGTAGTTGTTGCGGAGCCTTTGAAAACCTCTTTTGATGCAAAGCCAAATCTGAGCCCAGATTGGGAGCAGATAGGTCAGTGTTTCACGGCTGCAGGATCTTTAGAATAATGACCTCAACCAGTGATGAGAAGAGGCTTACCGCAAGACGTCAGCATTGTGCACTTGGAGTACCTCCTTCGAAACCGTGTTGGGTTTGTCAATCTCCTGGAGAAGTGCCTTCGCAGCAGAACTGCGCCTCCAGACCTCCATAAATTCATCAGCAGAGCGAGGCACGCGGTTTTCGAAACCCTTTCTCACATGGCGCTCTGCTGGATGCGTGAGAGAGGTTAAAAAGTCAGCAGTCGTTGCACGAGGAGGTTTATCGAAGCCTAGCTCAATGAAGTAATTTGCGGCGAGCCAAGCGGGACCGAAATAGATCTGACGGCCTTCATACAGCAAAGTGACTTTGTCGAAATTCTGCAGCAAATATCAGCTTTTAGTCTTATGTATGAAAATGTAAAAGTTGACATACGTCGTATATGGCGTCCGAAGCCTGGTAAATGCTCATCACGGCCGTCGATCGCAGGTTTGTTGTCGAGTTCCTGATCAATTGGACGAACCCGAGGGCTGTAGAGCTGTCGAGGCCCCGCGTACTGTTGTCCCAGAACTGAAATTTGGCTGCACTGATGAACATCTCAGCAATACTCGTTCGTCTTTTTTCCCCTCCGCTAATTCCTCGAATCATTGCATTGCCGACGTTAGTATCGAAAGCAGCATCGAGATTGAACTTTGAAGACGCATCCTTCGCAACGATATGCGCTTTCAACTTCCTGTCTGAACTTGCATCTCTCGTTGCCGCTGCAAATTTGAGAGTCTGACCCAGAGTAAGTTCTGGAAAATGTACGTCGAGCTCTGCAAGGTACAAGCAGTCGCCTTTGAAAGTTTTATGCATCTGTTGGTATGATATGCCTGGAGATAAGTGTTATTGTTTTGTTCGTGATCTGCGACGATATTTACTCTTTAGAATAACACTCACTGTCATAGTTGATCTTCGATACGTCATCAATCTCAAGTCCGCGTGTTTCTCCTGCCAAAGTCTTCAGAAAGGTAGAGCAGCCACTACCAGGTCTTCCGAGAACAAGCAGCATCTCACCACTGCGAACCAATCCGGTAAAGTCTCGCAAAATGATCGGCTTGTTTCTCTTGTGCGAGTCGCGTCGTCTGAACAAAAGTGACAGAGATTTTGGTATGTCGAGTATGTAAGAAGCCACCGTTTGTTGGTACTGGTCTGAAGAGGTGAATCCATATACATTGAGGTTCCGAAAGGTCACGCCAATCTGTATGTCCCCTTCGCGTTCATTGCCACAGGTAGAGGCGTCGGAAGGAGATGGTTTCGAGGATTCGTTGTCATCTTGGTACGATTGTGAAGACATTCCGAAAATATGATCTGGAGGGTCTACTGATAGTTCCATGGTTTGATGTAGTTCATCGTTCCTGAAGTTGAGGTTCATCAAATCTATGAAGGTTGTTCCTTATCCCACGCGGGGCCAATCAAGGTGTTACACAAGAATTTTGGGGGCGCAAACACAGCCCTTGCTTGCTTTGACGCTGTAAGAATGGAAGCGGCGCAGCATGCTGACTACATATGTTTGCTGCACATGTAGCAGAGTTCAGCTTTCAATAGTTTCACAAACTTTCTTTTTTTCACCATGTCTTTCATACATGTTTCCGGATAGCCGGGGCAATCCGCGCCACTATTTTTGGAACCAATCAAAGCTAAAATCTGACTCTCGGGGGAGTAGAAGCCGTAGAGCCGTAGAGGCTAGAATGGATGATGTCATCTGCAGTGCAACTTGCGCGCAACAAGCAGTGGTAATACGGCAACGGGTTTTTGGTGGTTTATCTCGAAATTTACCCTAAAAGGTCATCGCTTCTAAAGGCCTCTACTAGGTGCAAATCGCAATATCGGTGTGTTGTACATAGAATGAAAATAATGTTCAATTGCAGTGTTAATAATATAATTCTACTCCTGCGACGCCATACTCGAAAATTGCACTGGTTCCAACGCCTAATAGCAACGAATTTCCCACCCTATTGTTCTCAAGTTCTCTTCCTGATGCGAAATGGGATCGCATTCTTTGGTTTTTCAACACCCATGCCAAATTTCCAGGCGCCCATTTCCAGCGTGTGCGGAAGTAGTTCTATGTCAAACTCTCTTGTCATCAATGAGATAGTGAACAATATCACTCTTTTAGCTAGGAATCGTCCTGGGCAAATTGCGTTCCCGCCTGTTTTACGTCAGTGCCTAGCTACACAAGCTGGAAAGTGTAACGTACCTCCGTACGGCATCCAAGATGCTTCGAGTCCTTGCAGGGAGAAAGAGGGTTTTCCATCAGTGCTCTGTGGATCAGCCAGATACTTGTCTCTCGCCATCGGCTGCACTGGACCACTAGAGATGTCCTGAGGGTAGCTTATGAACCTATCGGCCCAGAAAGACTGCACTGGATGAACGCCGTCTCTGGTGTTCCAGTAATTCTCGTCCATGTGCGAGATGCCGGAGCTCACCAAGGCGGCAGCTCCTTTTGGCAACCACCATCTCCCAAGGGAAACGTCGGCATGAGGCGAGCTCACCATGACGCAGACGTTAACGTAAAGTCGGAGTACCTCCGCCTGCACCGAAGACAGTAGCGGGCTCTTAATCAGTTCAGTGACGTTCATGTCGAGCGGTGCGGTTTGGCCGAAGTCAACTTCAAGATTGTCGCGTACGCGTTCGAGAAGAGCGGGATCCTTGAAGATGTGATACACTGAAAGCATTGTAGTGGGAATTGCGTTTCCAACCGTGCTGCGGCTTCTTAGTACCTCTTTTGGTTAAGACGGAGCAGATTAAGAACACTTACCCCCACACCAAAGCTAAGTCCGCAGATGCAAGAGCATCGTCGTCATAGTTATCAGCCTGAAGATACTTCTTTTGCTGATATCGTATCAACTCAGAGCCCCAGAACGGGTCGCCATCTCCGTCTTCATAAACGCAGTCCTCGGTAAAGTTTGCTCTCGCATACTTGTACCACGACTTCAGTTGCTCGCGGACCCTTTGTCTAGCTCGATACGGCTCCGGGTGGATAAAAGAAGGTATCATGCGAGCGAGCCAGGGAACCGAATCGTCGAATTTCCAAACATCCTCAATGAAGGTTGGATTGATCTTCAATAGCGAAGGCCCGAAGATTGCTTGAAGTAGGGCCGCGCCATGGATGGTGCGGAAGAACTCCAACAGATCTGGCATCTCCGTCCACTCGTTTGAGAATGAAAGACCGTCAAATCTCCTGACAAGATCTTCCGTAAACCGCCGTGTAGTCGGAGCAAGTGCCGGCCCAGAAAATGCCTGTTTGAATCCTTGGTGGGTAAAACGGTCTACACGATTTCTCTCCGGAACGTTGCTGCCCGGAAAAGGCTGCGGAAATGCGCCAGAATTATCAGCTTGATAAGTTGCGAGCGCACGTTCGTGCATGCCAAAGAAGTGTCTTAGCACGTGGACGTAGAATGGTATCGGGCTGGAAAGAGACTGCGATTTCCAGAGCTTCCGTACGGCCTCGCGACCTGAAAAGAGATAAAACTCTTTCCCTGCTATTGTAACTTTGGAAGGAGTTGGTTTGCCGTCATATGAACTGAGACTTGGTCAGTGATCTGAAGTGTTACGTTGAAGTTAATATCAGTTTACCTAGCGGTTTGTAGAAAAGCAGCATTGTTGACAAGATACGGAATTGCGTTTCCAAGCCATGGAATGAGTGAAGGGTATGCCGGTGGAAGTTTTTGTTCAGTTGTACTGCGATGCTGCTGATGGTACATGAAGACGCTAATGGCATATCTGAAGACGAGTATGGATATCAGGAAGCAGCCGATTAGTGAAACTCTATGAGAGAGTCCAGCTTGATCAGGCCATGACAGAGAAGGATAACCGAACGGAAGGACCGTTAGCACTGAGTCCACAGAATTTATTGAGAAAGACATGGTAAGACGATGATTTGCGAAGGAAACACTGTCAACATCATACTCTCTACCAACCAGTATTTATCTATGCCTTTCCCCTGAGAAATGTCGGAAGCTCATAGCCATCCAGCTCGTCTTGTCAGTGCTCTGGCGGACGAGACTCCGACAGGGCTACCTAGGTATACGATGCACAGCTCTACATCTCACTCTACATTGTTGGCTTTTCGGCTTCACTACCCATTTAGGGAATTATGGAGGGTGTGCTCGCAGTGTGTAGCCCATATGAAGCATTTTTAGATCCAACAAGGCAGACTTCAACTGTTTCTGCGAACCTAAAGGACCTCACAGCCACAGAAAAACTGCCCCTATTGGGCAATATCATAGTAGTCAGATACGATAACAAACTATTGAGCCACGCTTGTAGGGGCTGTAAAACAGCAAGTTACTCTGCTGACGTGAGTGATGTGTCTCTTTCTATTTTTCCAAAAGTCAAAGTCGCCTTGACAGTGCCCGTGAAAACCCTCAGCGGTGTAGTGCTATTATCAGCGAGGCGAAGTACCAATAACGTCAAATCCCAAGCACACATCTCTCGGCCGAATCCCAACCGTTAGGGTTTACATGGGTATACATAGAAGCTGAAGGACGAGTCATCCTCCATCACTGCGTGTTTAGCTATGTTTGCTTTCTATCTCAGCTCAAGCTGCCCGATCCTGCCGTTGCCTATTTTCAGGCCCCAGAGTTGCATCGTGCAGTGTTGAATGGCCGTTGAATCCTGGTTTACAACCCCGCGTCTGAGACCTAAGTGCATATCAATGTTACACGGAAGATGGTTTGAGTCTACCTTGCACTGCGCGCCTGACTACTGAGTGGACAAGGATCGAGCTTGCAAACTAGTTTTCCAGCCCCCACTTCGTGTGTGAGAAACTAGCGTATGAGACGGTGGCAACTTCAGCGAAGTTTATCTCGATTTCATCACATTCAGAAAAGTCTATTACAGTGGCGTTGTATAGATTGTAAACGCAATTCAAAGAGTATTTCATCTGCAAAGAACAAGCGAACCGCCTTTGAGCACTATCTTGGTCTGGACACAGGCATCATATTGCATTCGTCACGTTCGCCCAACTGCCGAAAATAACAGTCCTTCAGCCCATTTTGGTTTCTCATTCCATCACACATCTTGCGAGCCGGTCCTTTGACTAGATGAGGTTTCCATCGAGTTAATTTTGTTTTTGGGAGTAGATTCAGGCTCGTATTCCGTAATGAAAGTCGGGCTAAACCTTCCCGATGCCGGCATTGGCAGGTCGAGATCACTGACAGTCTCGGTGGTCCTGATAGAATCGAGGATACTGTCATGGAACCGCCTCGCTCTTCCTCGGAGCCCTGAACTTTTCCGAGATGAAGAAGTCTTCTGTTCTTGGTGTGCTTGCTCTCTTTGTCGTGCCTCGTTTTCGTACGCTCTCTTTTCTCTCCGGGCAAAGAGTGCTCGGAATGAGACTAGGCAAGCGATTATGAATGCTGCCTAGTGTAAGCCTTCGAACAGCGAGTAGACAAATAATACTTACAAACTGAGTACTCGATGTAAAACCAAAACCACACCCAGGTAACATTCATATCCATTCTCTTGTTCTCGTTGATAGTTTTGTAGACACCACCGAAGATACTTCCTCTTACGATGGTTACTGCGATAGTAAAAGAAACAAGAGAAAAGATACCGGAGAGTATAATCTTCTTTTTTAGAGATATGCGCACTTTCCAGAAGATGACGATCGGGAAGCAAATAACTATGCAAGTTAGTATTTCTTAGCAAGCAGTCGATTAGGGGTAAACATACTGAGCGCATCTGAGACACAATCTACGATGCAGGATACCTTGAAGAAATCATAAGTCTGCCTCAAGGTCTTGTACTGAGGACAGATGATCATTATGTCTTTTATGGGACCAAAAAGACAGTGGAATTGCATGACCCCAATACTAACCGCTCCGCAAGCGATAGTGATTAGGAGCACGACCCACCAAAATATGAGGTAGGCGGTGATCTGATTTCCAAGGCGTTTGAAGAATAAGAGGAAGTTCAGCTTGATAGCCCAGATCCCGAGGTAGGAGAAAAGCATGGCAGATCCAAAAGCTCGTAGGCCTCTTTTAGCGTCCCTGGGGAAATTTGGATCTGGCTGTAACTCTCCCTTCGAAACCGCCATCAGCATGTAGATGTATTTGAGGTATGCCTGACCCAAGGCCGCTACGCAAAGTAGCAAAACCCAAGCAAACAGCATGACCCAGTCATCTACGAGTAGGCGGCGGAAGCACATGTACCGTACGTAAATACGGCCTGCGCAAGTGAAGGTACAGATGACGAATCCGGCCCATATTATGCCCTTTTGATGTCAGTGCACGCGTAAATTTTGTGTTGTTGGATGTCTGGTCTTACGTAGAATGCCTCCAAAGACACCAAATGGGTGAGTGTCTCGACCGGCTGGTAGGTCTGGGTAGTGGTTGAGTTCTCCATGGCGGCTTCGGCTGCTCCGGCCCCTAGTCTGGGCTGCGATTCCTATATGATGAGCCATCGGCGACTTTGGTAGCACTAACAGTGTCGCTTTTTTGGGAATGTGTTACAACAGGTCGAACATTAAAGAAGCAGTCAGCTTACCTACCTTGTGTAACACGGCCGGACGTAAGCCGTGCCGCGCGGTAACAAAGCTGATCCGGCCCGTGCAATCCATGGAATGCCGCCTGCCGCTCGCTAGGCTGCACTGTGGCTGGTAGCTTGGCAATGGTGAAGCTGCAGGCATATGACGAGACGCGTTTCCACCTGCCTGCTGGACGCGCTCAGCTTCTCGCCCACCCACTTTCCTCCTCCTCTTCCTCCTCCTTTTCCTCCCTCACCACCCACCTTTCACCTTGACAGAAACATCACCCACCACCCACCATGGCTTCGGGCGCTATTGTTGCGGCCAGCCTGGTGACGACATACGTCTTTCTGCGCTTCCTGCTCTCATACACCCATGACGAAAAGGAACCCCCCGCAGTCGCAACCGAAATCCCCTTCCTGGGCCCAATCATTGGAATGGGCAAAAAGTCCAAGTTCTACACCGATCTCCGGTAAGTCGACTGCAAATTCGCTTCAATTGGCCTTCTTCGCTAACTCCGGCACCAGCGACAAGTACAATCTTCCCATCTACACCTTGCGCCTCCCCGGATCGAGAATCTACGTCGTCAATTCAACCAGCCTAATCCCCGTCGTCCAGCGTCAGGCCCGAATTCTCGATTTCGCACCCATTGAAGCGAGAGCGGCGATAAACGTCATGGGAGCGACACCGGAAGGCAGAAAGATACTGAAGATGGATCGCAACGGTGTGGGCGAACATAGCTACGCTATAGAGTTTGACAAGGCAATCCACCCTGCCGTAACCCCCGGTACCAACCTTGATGCCATGAACAGGCGTTCGGTTCAGAAGGTCTCCGAGTTCCTTGACACATTGGCTTCCCAGACTCCCACGACCATGATGCTGTACAAGTGGGTTCAAAAGGAAATTGCCTGGGCCACGACGGAGGCAGTCTTTGGTCCCAAGAACCCTTTCCAGGACCCTGACGTTTTAGATGCGTTCTGGTAAGTACCTTCAACTTGAGTTGAGCTATAATCTTACACCAAGTACAGGAAGTTCGAACCGGGTATTGTAGTCCTGTTGCTTCAACTGTTGCCTTCCATCCTAGCCAGAGAGAGCATTCAAGCCCGCGAAAAGCTTGTCGAAGCGTTCATGAAGTACTACGGCAGTAAAGGACACGAACAAGGTTCAGCACTTGTCCGTGCAAGGTACGAGCACAGTGCCGACTACAATGTCTCGCTCGAAGACACGGCGCGATTTGAGCTAGGAGGTGCTGTGGCGATTCTGACCAACACCATACCTTCAGCGTTCTGGGTCTTGTGGCACATCATCTCAGACGCTGCCGCTCTAAATGAATGCAGAGAAGAACTATACCGTCTTTGCAAAGTCGAAGGAGACAGTGTCTCTATCGACATAACTGAGGTTAAATCTCTCTGCCCAATCTTACTTTCCACGATGCAAGAAGTCTTGCGTGTCCACGGCACTGGTACTTCTGTTCGAGTTGTCCAGCAAGACTACCTCCTCGACAACAAGTACCTCCTCAAGAAAGGCAGTACTCTGATGATCCCGGGCCCGGTGCAGCACAGCTCAAAGGAAGTCTACGGCGAGAGCGTCAGCGAGTTCAATCACAAGCGCTTCATACGCACCGGCACAGGTGATCGCCGCCTGAACCCGGTTGGATTCCGCGGATTCGGCGGTGGCTCCACACTCTGCCCCGGTCGCCACTTCGCAACCACAGAGATCATTGCGTTCGTGGCCTTGATGGTTCTCCGCTTCGACATCAAGCCGAAGAGCGGCACATGGGTACGCCCTACCACGGACAAGGCAGGTATGCAAGCTACTGTGCCGCCACCTGACACGGATGTTGAGGTTGAGATCACGCTGCGGGAGAACGAGTTAGCGGGAAAGCAGTGGAACGTGATTCTGACGGGCTCAGACAAGGCCATGGATCTTGTCGCTGAGGATGCTGGTCAGCAGTAGAGTTGACGGAGCAAGGCGACTGTTAGTAGAGAAGGCACTCCCCGGTGTATAGGAGAGAAGCTGGGTTGCAAAAGAAGTAGCAGTACAAACTCTTGATCTGCCATTGCCAATTTCTCAGACTTGCTCTCGCTTAAGTATTTTTCATATTGTCCGGGTCGTCGTTATAGTGTCGCTCACCGGCGTAAGCGAGTCGCGAGCTCGAGCTTGCCGACCGACAGCCCACATCAGCAATCAGCAGCGCACAACCCCACCACCCCACCCACCTCCGCATCTCCGCACCGGAGCACATGCAAAGCTTGCCTGCCTGGGCCCAGACGCCCTGGCCAAGATCGAAGACCTGCACGCAACACCAGTCCTCCGCGAGCCATGCAGTCGACGATAGCCGGGCGCCAGAGGATCTCCGGTCCTGGATGAAGACGCGAGCTCCGGATCGTACGATGCGCAGGGCAATGGCGATATGGCAATACATATGGCCGCGAGGTGTGAGTGTGAGGATCTGCTTGAGGGAAGGAGGGAACGACGAGAACATGCCTGATGTTATGAATGAATGGTTGGGAAAGGCGACGTAGCCGAGCGCGCTGCTAAGCAGCTACCCGGCAGAGGACGCCAATGCGATCACCACCGCTTCCCTGCAGGAGAGGGTCCTGACAGACGACTCACGACATGCTGCAGCGTATGTATGACACCGCCACGCCCGCCTCCGCTGTACTGTGTAACTGTGGCGGCGGTTGGCGGGAGAGAGTCGCGGCTTGTAAGTGCCACGCGCTACCTACCTTTGTACTCTGCCTCTGCTGTAACACTTGCCTTGCGATGATACGTAGTTGATTTGGGGCGTGAGAGACTGCTGCTCCCTACTGTCGAGCCTTCGAACCGCTCATGTTGCTCTCACTTCCCGGTCATTTACTTGAGGAGTCTTGGTTTGTATATGCGTAGGACTTGTCAATGGGATAAGTTGCTGTTCTGTAGAACAGTAGTAGTGTGATATTTACTGGCAACGAACTTTTTACTGTGGTGTCTTTAAAGCTCCGTCTTGGACATCTCGCTCGGGCACCTAGAAAATCTCCCAAGGAGATCAAGAATAGGTAAGGGCTTCTGTCATGAATCATTGCCATAGAGAAACTATTGACGTGGAAAGATATGTCCTAAGCTTCCATATTAAGTGCTTTTTGGTCTCAGACTCGCTCTCCCCATTACAGCATCCCTCCATTAAGAACTCCCAGCAACTTCGACATGGAGCACCCAGTCATGATCCACGCCACCGCTACTCGGAGACACAAACTTCTGCTGCCCCGTCAATGACAGAAGGCTCTTCTCCGTGGAGTTGCGGAACTCCCCCTGCCGCGGGTCGTACCACCGGGCGTTAACAGAAGCCCCAGGCTTATCGAAGTGCGCCGCGAGCGCATCGAAGTCAAGCGTAAACGCGTCACCGTAGCCCGCGTAGATCCAGTACTGCGAGTGGCTGACAAGCCCAGCCACGTACCGGTCCCCGGTGTAGCTGAGCACGTCTTCTCCATCGGCTCCACCGACGATGAAGCTCCGGTTCGGCTGCATGCTGCCGAACGTGGATTTGTCCACCGACGAGAACAGCTTCTGCACATACCCGGCTTGCGTGGCGCCAGGGTAGCGAAGCGCATCGTGCCAAGACTCGTTCGCCGGCTGCTCCAGCTGCGGCTCGATGTACAGGTCGGGACGCGCAAGCTGCTGCACGGGCGCGTACATCTGCCAGATCGCCTGGGCTCCGTACGTGAAGCCGCAGGACCCGCTCAGGTAGGCGTTGTAGAAGCCGTGGCGGACGTGGGAGGCGTTCCAGAGCGGACGGGAGGAGTTGAAGCCGACGTTCGCGCCCTCGTAGTGATTTTCGAGATCGACGACTGGTCCGGCGAAGGCGGCGCGCATGTCGGCAATGTTGTCGTAGTTAAGTGTGCTGTCCCAGCGGTAGAGGGCGTCGAAGTGCCAGTCGATGGTGTTGTTGTCGGGGACGTCGTGGCCGGATTGCACCGCGTCCATTGAGACTTCGCCGAAACTGCCGTTCATGTACTAAAGAGATGGTTAGCCACTAAAAGAATGCTGACGATCACGGCAGCTAACTCACATTGTGGCCGTAAGCCTGCGGTGTTTCAGGCTTCTGGATGTAAACATTGGTAGGATGCCACGAGACAAACGACTCGAATCCGGCCTTTGCTTCAGCGTCCTTGAAGCCCTTCACCATACGAGACCAGATACGACGGCTATCGGTGATCGGTGCAAGTAAAGATTGCGGGTCCTGACTCTGATCCTCTCTGTACGCATCCTGAGCAGCCGAGGCATTGCACGCCCAAAGCCCGTTCGAATCACCACCAATGAGCTTCGGGAGACCAGGATAACGCCTCCCCACGTAGCTGCCGTAGAACTCCGCCGACTCTTCGTCGAAGATCACGGGCCCGTTGGCCCACGCACAGTTGACCCAGCGGCCCCAGGTCGGCACCAGCGCGACGAGGATGCCGTGCTCGGCAGCGCGCTTGACGGCCCAGTCCACGTGCGCAAAGTACGCTTCGTTCGGGCGGCGCGGGTCCGCGTCGTGCAGCGGGAGCTCGCCGTAGAAGTTGGGGGCCGTGGTGCCGTTTAGCTCGGAGATGACGACGGATTGGATGACGTTGAAGCCTTTGCTGGCGCGGTCTGCGAGGTAGTACTCGATGTCGCTGCGGTTTAGGCGGTGGAACAGCTCCCATGCTGTGTCGGCTTGCCAGAAGAAGGGCGCGCCGCTGCTTGTTCGGTAGAGGTATCGCCCGTCTTTTGGAGCGGAGATTGACAGGTCTTTCCATGGGACGGCGGTTGTGTTCTCGGCGGACGAGAACGTGCACCCGAAAGAAAGGAGCGCGAGGAATGAGGTTGTCGCCCGCATTGTTAAATATCAATGCCCTTCTGGCGCTTCGGTCGAATGAAACGGAAACTCAAAAGAGACAGTGCCCTCGGAGACGGTGGCGCATGCCGGAATTTATAACAATCGCCTTCCAGGCCAAGCTTTGGTCAGAACTTGCCCAAGTGTTCATCATGAGGAGATGGTCGGGGGATACTGACGTCTAACCAGGCACCCGGGCTGCCGGGTACCGTATCCCGGCTGCGCCGGCCCCGCGTCCACCTGATGCCCCACAGACTTCGGCCGTGGATTCTGTGGAGCCGAGAGGCTCAAAGGCGCCGAGGCGGTCAGATTTAGCCTAAATTCTGCGAGGTCTGAGCACGCCGAACTTCGGATATTTAGTCTGGTTTCATGTCTTTCTTCCTCGAGCGACGTCATTGCTGTTCATGAGATGAGAAATCGCCTCGTGCAGCCATTTTTGGCTTGTGAGCAATACGGTACAGTTGCTAACATCGCAACCTCACGGGTACTGATGTTGATATCAATGGTAAGTTGGAGATGGAACTCGATCTGCTCTTTGGATGGGTGGCTAGTTGCGAGAGGTAAGACAGGATACCCACCCTCTCCCTATAAATGAGTGACTGAAAAAGAGAAAAGTGTTCTTTAAGGACCGTGGTTATGGTTTTGTTGATGCCGAGAAAACTGAAAGACAACGCGGTGCAGTTGCACCATCCAACGAGCTCTCCAGCTGAAACTCTTTGGCCTTCCAAATGTCTCCGGCTTCGAACTAAAGGAACCGTACTTGAGTAGGTGCCCTAGAACTTCTTCATCGTGCCTTTTAGTTGCCTCTTTGAATGCAGGTAACCACATCCTTTTTCTCTGGCGAGTAGTGATTATCTCTTTCAGTAAAAGTTCAATGACTGAAAGGCTCCGACCGCGACAAGCCCACAAAAGTGCATTTGGAACACACAGATGGACCGAAATACTTGCTTTGGAGTCAAGCAGCTGCTCAGCTATGGAAAGATTGCCGCGGTATGATGCCTCTGAAAGTGCGGTCCTGAATTTTCCTTTGCTGCGGTTGACATCAACTCCTACAGCGAGGAGTGCCCGAACGATTTGTAAGTGACCTGCTTCCGTCGCAACTTGGAGTGGTGTTTTGGATCTGTGGATGACCTTTTCTGCATTTGCATCGTGAGCCAAGAGAGTTTTGACTATTTCGAGGTGGCCCTTTGCGCAAGCCTTGTGAAGAGGGCTGGCATTCTCGTCAATCTCTCGAATATAGTGCCTTGTCCGCTTTACATAAAAAAACTTGTCTATCTCGTTGGATTTAAACGGCCAACACCGCTGTACGTCGTCGTCGTCTTTCTCCCTAGTAGGACGCCATTTCCCGGAGACATTGATGGGTGCACCTGCTGCAAGCAGTATTTTAACAATTTCAAGATCTCCGGACCCGCAAGCTTCGATGAGTGGATGCTGATGATATCCAGTGTCTTCAGTAACATTTGCACCAGCCGCGAGTAGCAACCTCACTATCTGCGCTTGCCGGGATTGAACGGCCAGATGCAAGGTTGTGGAGGATGTTTGTTCGCTACCGTCAGTTTTCAGAGCCAAGTCGGCTTTCTGTGCGATAAGTAGTTCCACTACTCCGTAGTGGCCTCCAACGACTGCAGCACGCAGGGCAGTTTGACATTTTCCTTCGAGAATGTTGACATCTGCACCGGATTGCAGTAGAAGCCGCACCATATCGATATTGCCGCGCCGTGAAGCTGCTTGGAGCGCAGTGCCGTGATAGTGGCCGGTCGCATTTACCTCTACGTCGCGCTGAATGAGTAGCTTGACGCACTCACGGTGATCGAGAAATGCAGCCATTTGGAGAATGGGGCCGTATCTCCGATCATGAGCCTTTTGGTTTGGAAGTTGGGAGAGTAAAATTTGCACCACAGCCGTCGGGTCTTGGACAAAATCTTCACCAGGAGGTTCTCCTCTCGAACGCGTGCGTTGTTGTTCCATCAAAACGGAGAGTGCCTTGTCAAGCAGCGGATGTATAGCGCTGTCCACAGGCTTCAGGACAGCCCCTGCATTAATCAACAGCATCAAAGTTTCCGCCGAGCAATATTGTGTGGCCAAGGTGACGGGACTAATGTCCTCATCATCTAGTGCGTTTGGATCCGCACCATGTTCGAGCAAAAGTTGGAGAGTCGCCGTTTGGTGCTTAACGTCTCCTGTCCTCTTGTAGCTGTCAAGGTGAAGCTTTAAATTGAAGTAATCCATATGATAACGTTTGATGAACCTTTTGAATCCGTGAACGCATGCTTGTAGAGCAGTAAGATGTGCACCTTCACCCTTTGAGTTGGCATTCTTAGTGTATGATGGAAATACACATTCAACTGAGTTTACGGATGCGCCCTGGAGGATCAAATAGGCGACGACCTCGTCGTGGCCGCCACCGGAGGCGACGACAAGCCCACGGGTAAGAAGCGTACTGTGGTGCTCAAATGCTGTGATTTGTGATGTGAGGAGCTTGACCACAGCCAGGTAGCCATTTCGAGCTGCAGAATCCAAGGTGTCTTTGGGAAAGGTTGCTTCATCCTGTAGAGAGGGCTCAAAAAGTAGGTGGCGGATTATATCTTCGTGTCCATTTGCTGCTCCAATTTCGAGCCCTTCTATTAATACCTCGCAATCAAGGTTGTTTTGGTCAGGCTCCGGAAAAAGGGAAGTAAGAGATGATTTGTGTCCAGATTTGCAAGCATCAAGGAACATCTCTACCATATCTTCTTTAGTAATCGAGAGATCGAAACCCATGAGGAAGCTGATTATTTCCGGTCTGTTGTTCTTCACGGAGTCTTTAAGCAGGCCTATTATTGTTCTGTTGAAATCGGCGCTTGAATAATGTAAGAAGGCTAAGTCGAGGGCTCGAACGACAATGCTAACGTGGCTGTTCTCGTACCCCGTAGTGAGAAGAGTGCTAACTACGTCGTCAACAGGCCTCTGTGCTGTCGCGCGTTGCAAAAGTATGTCTACGATCTGGACAAAGCTATTGCTTACTGCAAGCTTCAGCGCTCCATGGGTATTCAGCTTGGTGCTTTCTCTGCTCTCAAGAAAAGCATTTACAATATTCGCGAGACCTTTTTGTGCTGCTGCTTCGAAAGCGGCATCAATATTATCCTCTGACATATGCAGAATGTTTCGATGCTGGGGTAGACACTCGACGACGTGTTGGTGACCCGCACAAGCGCTAGCTTTTAGAACGCCAATTTGAGGACCAGCGTATTTAGCCGGCGCTGAAAATTGTACAAGTTGCTCGTTGCTTGCCGTGTCTTCTCTAGTTTCTGCTTCGAATACTTCTAGGAAATCTGAAATCCTTGAATAGTAAAACAATTCTTGGTATGAGTGTCGGTAGTTGATTGAGGGTTTAATTCCCGACTCTCTAAGCGGCTCTGTAGATTTTGAACGACAAACCGAACGCCTAACAATTCCTAGAGCTGCCAGTGGAGGGGCTGCCGTTGCAGCGGCGGAAATTACGAAATGCGTAACCATTCCTGGACGTTTTGTTGCAGCGGCGAAAGTTGGGTAACCTCTGTTGCGAAAGAAGGATTTCATCTCTCGGTGCCTACCTTTCAAGGCGGCATACGCGGCATCACTTACAATACCTTTCTTATAGAAGTCTGCCCCAGCGTCGAGCAAAACTTCTATCGCTCTTTTTTAGCCATGGAAGGCTGCAGCCTGCAGCGCAGTCCTATAAAACCTACTGGATTGATTGACATCTACTCCTTCATCCAGTAGGAGCTAGATAATACGCGTATATCCTTTCATTACAGCAGCCTAGATCGCGTCGCCCATTTGGCCACAAGCATTGACTTTGGCACCTCGCGTCAATAATGTCCGGATGATTCGCTTATGATTCATCAGGCTTGCAGCTCTAAGAGGAGATCCTAACAAGCCTTCCTATTCCAGGTCAAGCCCGTTATGAAGAAGGTACTCGATCATCTCCTCATGGCCATGAAGAGCAGCTACTGCCACGCCATCTCGTGGCCAAAGCTGAGTAGGGTTGGTGGACTTGCTGGCGAAGTAACGGAGTACTCCAACTTGTCCGCTTCGAATGGCTTTGGTAACTTTGGCCGTCATCCTATCTGGCGAAACGTTGCTGTATAAAGCCACAAATTCAGGTTTCTAGAGCCATACCACGATATTGAGGAAGCCAGCTTGTGCAGCTCCTTGAAGAGCCGCGTCATAATTACTCTGGCTGCAAACATAGCCGCTTTTAAGGACGAGCAATGCGATGTTTTCGTGGCTGCCGTGGAAAGCGGCCTCGAGCGCGTTCGAGAACGTGTTGTCCGACCGGGCTGAAGCTCCTCGGGCTAAGAGAAATTCTATAACTGCTGTGTGTCCTGCGAAACAAGCGGCAGCTAGGGCGCTACCGTGCTCTCCGCAGGTGATTTCGATGTCGGCTCCTTCACGGATAAAGCGAGAGACGATTAGGTCATGGCCAAAGGCGGCTGCAAGGTAAAGGCCTGTTTGGTCGTTCAGATTTTTTTGATTCCAATTTAGGCTCCCAAGGGCCCTGGAAGAGACGAGATTAAGTAGCCCTTCGAGACCGAAGACGGATGCGGTGAAAAGCGGTGAGATGTTTGAGCTGCTAATAGCATTCAGGGCATGTTTTTTAGGACCTTCCTTGGAAAGCTCCTGTGCAAATTGTTTTGCATAGTCAAGCCAAATGATGTATGATAAGCTCTCATCAGCACCATCATTGTCGTTGATAAATCGGCCATTAGATGGAATAACTAATCTTGATCTGTCACGTAGGCACTTTTGTAATGATCAGGTCAATACATAGTGCCGTAGCGATAAAATGTCCCCTCCAAAAGTGGAACAGCATTGTTGTGATCCGGTGGGCCTTGCATGCACACATGAAGACAGCTTGATGCAAGAAGCCGCTGGGCTGAGAGTTCTGAGAAGATAGCCTTGGTGCGAATAAACTCTTGAGCTGACTGGTGGGCAAACCGGAGAGCCATAGATTTGGGATCAATCACAACCAGGTTGAAGCAAACATCGAGCAGACTCGAAGCCTCAATTGGTGGCTGATTCGTAGGGCTCGATAGGCAAACAGCGGAGATGATAGCTGTTGCTGTTAGGGGCTTTTTGGTAAACAAAAGACAGGAGAATACCCGAATAGCAATGTCGCGTCCGACTTTTTCGGATTCTAAAATCCTGGTAACGATATAGGCAAAAATTCCGTCTAGATTGGTCAAGTTTCGTTTGCGTATCGTGCTTATGATGTCTTGCTCGTGCTTCATGTGGCAGAGATACTCGATCTGAAGTGTGACCCAGAGAAACCTGTTCCAATTAGCAATTAAGCCAATACAGTGCCAACGGTACTTACATCTCACCCGCGCCATCGATTAATGTCTTCACCACATCATCTCGCAAATCTTGCGATGCGCACCCATTGAGAAGCCTTTTCTCTTGTATAACCCTGTCAACTTGATCGCGAACAAAGTATTTCACGTCTTTCTGATTGCCTTCTGTTTGGACACGAATCTTGCTGGCGTCGGGTAAGAGTGCGAGGACGTGGTTGTTATCACGGCTCGTGATGAAGACCTTGACAACATTGCTTTAACGAGATACAAGCTGGTGGAGGGCATTGAGCAGTTCGAACCGCTTCTTTTCTTGCACTTCATCCACGGCGTCAACGACAATTGTTACTGGATCCGTGCTGATGAGAGCCAAAGTCAATTTTAAAGAGTCGCTGACTTGCAGCTTCAGCAGCTCGCATCCTCCGATTTCAGCCTCTGCCTGCCTTCGCTCATATTCGGATAAGACAGTATCTCGAACTCTTCGTGGTGGCTGGGATGATACACCGAGCTGCCTAACTATACTGCGCAGGATATCTTCCGGTTGACGACGTTCGGGCTCCGCTTCATAGTCGGCGCAGTAGAAGTATGCAAACGGAGCCGTTGCCGGGTTCGCTAAGCGCTCGGAAAGCAGTGAGTCAATAACCTTAGAGGTAAGCATGCTCTTTCCACATCCAGGAATACCGTGAACTAGCAATATTGATGACGAGCTTGACGTCCTCCACTGGCGATACTTGGGATGGTCCAATAACCACTGTCCTGTTTCAGCGAGTCGGCGTTCAGAGTGGTCTGCATGATGTTGGTAGAAGCGCGTAGGAGAAAGCCAGTTCACCAATTCTCGGTATTTGCTTTCCTGGAGAAACTTCTCTGAAACTGTAGCCTGGTCTGAGAGGCGCATCATAACTGTCTGGAGTCTAAGTAACCTCTCTGTGTCGGCCAGCCCAGCAAGTTTCAAGACCTCTGATTCCTGGGCAAGAACTCTCTGCATGTGCGGATTTTCCATACTCCGAAACGGGCTTTTGCTGATGCGGATAGCAGTGGAATCATGGTAATAACGCACTGCTTCGGCCAGGAAAGTCAAGATTGCTGCGTAGAGGCGGGTCAAGCTTTCCTCGAGAGGCCCGCCTACAGCTGATCCTTGTTGAATGTGAAGCTGCTCAAACTCTTGGTATGAGGCAATGAGGCGTGAGATAGTTTCCAGATTGGTGGCCATGGCGCCAAATATCCCTACGTCATTGACCGTAGCCTGCAGCAGGAAGCGCACGCCGGCCCACGGTAGTGATGCGTGAGACATGTCAAACTGGACGGCGGCATCTCCTACTTCCCTGAATCTGTCGACCCATTTTGTGATTTTTTCCAGCACGTCTCGGATAAATATCACATCTCCGCTTGGTTTCTTGAAACGCCATCTTTTCTGCATGCAAAGAGCCCTCTTATCCTCGCAGGTACGGAGTACAGCCGCTAGTACATCGTGCCTTTTGGTCTTTGTCAAGTTCAGGCTGGATACCAGAGCAGGGTCCACGGCGTCGAGCGCTAATTTCCAGTAGTCACGGCTTAGTGGCGCGGTCGGTCGATTCGAAGCTGCCATGCTGGAAACAGAGAGAAAAAGAAAATGTAGTAAAAAAAAGTGTAGGTGCAGGTGCAGGCCTTAGCTGGCATATATAGGCTGCTACTACGTTTCATTTGGTATTCTTGGACAAGGCTGGAGGTGTTTCCCCGCAGATGTTAGCGAATGAATCTGCATCGTTAGTGTTGAACACAAAACTGGGAGGTAACATTTCAAAGGGCTTCTTGAAGGATACACTACCTACGCCAAGAGCGTTACTTTCGGCTTCCTGGGTGCCACAAATGTTCCACAAACATTATCGCTTCCCCCGTCATTACTTCGACCACAGAAGCCTAAGCAAGCTGGTACGGCTGGGCGGGGGTTGGTGCGAGAGGGGTCATGGTTGAGCAATTGACATGTGAATGCGCTGTGAGAGCTTTGTGCGACAGCGTGCCATGGCTGTTGCGGGGACATGCGCAAGCGTGAGCAACTTGATCGCCGTGAACAGTTCAATCAGCGTGAGTAACATATGTGCTCGTAGTGGGTTCAATGGAATCTGCGAACAGGAGAGCGGAAGAAAGGTGTTCCAGAGAGACACATTGGAGGTAACCTCGGTCTATACCTTATGTAGCTAGCGCGTGGGCTTAGTCAGACACGCGACAACATTCACGTCCTTTTGCGGCATCTCCGCACTCCGCACTCCGCACCCTCTTGTTCTTCGTTTCACTGTCAGCTCGTTCCCGCCGCATCGGAAACAGCTGACATCTCGATATATGTTCTCAGCTATGATGAGTCGCGGTCAACTGCGTGCTTGCTCCAATAGCCAGTCGTATCACCCTTGTTTGCTTTGATCTCACGCCTTTTCATTTCGGTCAGCCTGCCCAAGCGAACAAACCACCGAGCGACAATGTCGCCACTTTATAACATCCAGTGTGCTTTGGCCCCCACTACCACGCCAATGGTATGATTACCGGCTGAAGGGTATTCATAGCTCTTCCCTCTAGCCAATACCATAGAAAATTTCGAGCACGCTGTTGCAAGGATCGGTACCGATCGCCCCTGTCTCGTCAATCTCATTCTATTAGTTACTGGGGCCTGAAATACAAGATTTGCTTTTCCCAACCGCTTGTATCTAAGGTTATCTTGTTTGGTTAGTACTTAAATGTGGACCCTCACGAAGCCTAGTTTTGTTTTCGACAAGATGTTTCTTTTCTCAAAGTCAACCGCTGGAAATTCGAATTATGAATGACAAAAAACCTAAATGGTGGACGCCTTTCTTTTTAGGACGCAAGATCTCCTTTGCATTTTTGATCGCATACATTGCCCTTATTAGTACACTTGCAGCTCTTTATCAGTTCTCAAACACGCATAAAGGCATTGCAACTGCGGATCCGAAGCAATATCTCCTCTGGCAGTATGGCCCAACCGCCAGTAAGCCAAAGTCTACAATTTTTGCTAGTGTGCAGAAAGGCTAATATGGTCTAGTCTTTACCATCGTCGCGGCATTCTGGGGTCAGGTCGAATACAGAGTCAAGCAACTTATGCCTTGGAAGACAATGTCTAACCCTCGAGGCTCTAAACCGGCAGATCAGACCCTACTCCTGGATTTTGTGTCTCCTCTTAACGTTATTTCTTTCGTGAGAGCATTGAGGTCCCGTAAAACAACCGCAGTAGCAATTGTCATTGGTGGAGGCTTCGTACTGAAGCTGACGACAATCTTAACCACTGGATTGTTTATCTTGCGGTCCACGATAATGGAACACACTGTAGCAGACATGATGGCATCCATTTTCTTCGTTGGTATCGATCCAAGCGATTTTCACTCAGTAATCGTTGATCGCCGCGCTTTCTCCAGACTCTACGGAATTCAAAAATTTAGCCTGCCGTATCCCCGCGGAACGACGTCGTGCTACGCCTACCCAAATTTTAATGCATCCAAAGGTAAGCGCCGGTGTTTTCTCAAGAGCCTCAGCTTACTCCTACCAGTGCCCGACTCAACTTTGCACTTGTCCGGCCACGTCGACGTGTTTCACTCCAACTTGGACTGCGAGTCACTGTCACTCCAGCACGCAGAAGGCACTCACGTAGCCACGGGGACTAATCTAAGCCTTAGCTTTTTCTCTGAATCGTGCGGACAAGTCGACTTGCGGGCCACTTATTCCCCCCAAGGGTTCTTTCTCAAATGGAACGTCTTTGAGCCGGAAGATATGGGCTGTGCGGATGACGACACGCGACTGGTTACGACTTTCGGCAAAACAACTGCGGATAATACATCAGGGATCATTCCTTTGCATTTGGTAAATCACTCGACGATTCTATGTCGATGGAGCTACGGAATATCCCCTGGTCTGGTGACGGTGAGGCCGAACTCGACAGCCGTCGAGACAGTAAACATTGAAGTGACGCCAGGCACCAGTCCTTCACACCTACCGGGAATTCCACCTGGGAATCTTCTCAAGGCGATACACAACAGTTGGACGAGCTGGCGGGGAGATACGTCAATAGACGACCTGACCTACAGTACCATTTTGGTAATGACTGGAGTGACTGGGGAGGCAATGGCAAAGGATGCCACCACTTTTGCCAATGCGGTAAACACAGTTTTTCAAGCATTCGCCGCTCAGCTGGCCAATATTCACTTCACAAAGCCAACCAAACAACCCATTAATGGAACAATAACGTACAAAGAGAGTCGCCTCGTCATACGGCCGCTGCCATTTGGTTTTGTGGAAGGGTTGCCTGTGTTGATGGTTATCCTTACTGCCGCCTTAATGCAGGTAGCCCCGAGGAACTGCCTCTCACGGGATCCGGGTTTAGAGGGTACAGCGGCCATCCTCGCTCGCCCGACGTCACAAGCGCACTGCACGGTACAGGATCTTCTCATCTCATGGCCATTAGGGAAAAGCTTCTTGGATACGACTTCACGACATTAACGAGCCATACTGCTTCCGGTGTTGAGTTCAGCATTGAAAAATCAGCTTTAGTGGTTGATGAGGAGAAAGAGCAAGGAAAGACCGTTCAAGCAAATGAAGAATGTAATATGGGGAAGATCAAGTGGTATCGTCCGGTGACCGTCGCTCTCCCAACGCAGTTCGCCGTTGTTCTGGTCCCGCTGGGTTTAATCGTTTTGCTTGAAACTCTTTACCAGCAGAGCCAAAAGAATAACGGCATTTACAACGTCTCATCAAGCGAATATATCCACTACGCCTATACTTACGACCCGACCACGATTCTGGTCATTGCCGGATTACTTTTCTCAGGCCTGGATTCGTCAGTCAAAATGTTCCAACCGTACCAGTTGTTACGCCGGGGCGGTGCATTGGCTAAAGACACACTGGGAGGAGATTACATGGGCAAATTGGGAATGTACTGCATCTGGAGCTCTATTTGGCGGAGACATCTCGCTGTCGCAGCGTCCTCAGTAAGGATGTTATTCGTACCACTTCTCACCATTGCCGCGAGTGGAATGTTCTTCGTTGATTCGCTACCACGAAGCTACGGCATCCCATTGTCCACTTTGGAACCTGTAAACACGAGCTTCCTCGCACAGAACAGCGTGGGCTGGGACATGGCAAACCTCGTCCTGGGCGAAGGTCTTGGTCAGCCTCTTTTTACCTATGATACGTTGGTTTTCCCCCTGCTGGAAGTACCTTCTGGCACTCAGGAAGGCTCAATTACCGCTCGTATTCCTGCTTTTCGCGCCCAGTCCAACTGCTCAGCAAGCATCGCGTCAAACGTTTCAGTGTCCAACACAGGCCGCATTGCTTTCAACGTCGGTCTCCCTGAGCTTTGCAGCCTGGATAATCCTGGAATCCAGCTCTTCAGTAACAGTACTGATAGCTTCTACTTCGGCGAGTGGATCGATCTGGCTGCTGCCTCTGACCCGCTTTGCCCCAGCAATGTTGCTGTTTTTGGCCACACTGCCCATGGTGCAGTTACAAATCTCAGCATTCTCGTCTGCACGCCTTATCTGGAGACAGTCGACGTCGATATAGTCCTCGACTCAGCGGACCTCTTATTCAACCTTACAAGAGCCCCGCCAAAGCCTGTTGAATCCACGGCCGTTTACGTGCAAAACTTGACGTCGCTGAGAGATATTGCAAAGAAATTGTACAATGGCTGGTTCACGACACGCCGAGACTCAGGACCCTGGCGCATCAACGATACTATTGCCGACGGTTTCTTCTTCACGCTTCTCAATGATGCAGCTCCTGCTGACCTTGTTGCCAACGACACCAACTACACACCGCTACGCGTTGCCGTGGATCGAACATACGGGCGTGCCATGGCTCAAGTTATGAATACGCAGCGTGCACAGGGGCCAAGCGGAGCAATAGAGGCGACTCTAACCGTGCCGGACCGCGTTCGCCTTAAACAAGGCCCTATCTCTACACGCATCCTCGAGGCTTTCCTGGCTGTCTTGTCGCTCTGCGCGATGCTGGCTTATGCCGCGCTTGACACGAAGCAGGTGCTCCCTAACAACCCGTGCAGTATTGCAGCCGTGGCTAGCTTGCTGGCAGGCTCTAGCATTCTCGATACTTGTTTCCCACCCGGCTCAGAGTGGCAGAGAGATGGTCTTGGAAAGAACATGACATTTCGACTGGGGTGGTGGCCTCACGGGAGGTTTGGATTGGACATTGAAACAGTAGAGGAAAAGAAAGAGGAGTCGTAACAGTAACAGTAACTATTTCGGACTGCGCTACCTTACCAATAGTATCTTCTACGATACTAAACAGATTTAGCTAGTCCGCAACGCGGTTACCCTTGAACGAAGAACCGGAAGTTGAACTCATCAAAGAACGCTTTCCCCTTGAAGCTAGGCCCGTTTCATTTCAATGGCCTTCAACTCCATCAAGTCTAGTGCTCCGCGGGCTGCTTGATGGATTCGTCAAAGAGCGAGTCACTCTAATGCAGCCATGTCCTTTCAGCTCTTATCAGCTCTTGATATGCATGTCCGCGTGGCCCTAAAGACTGCGCAGGCACCAATGGTGGCGCATGTGGGCATTATCTTTCCAGGTGATGCATGTAATCAATAACAGCCACCAACACGAATAACATTGCGGACATCCACAGTGGCTCGTTATTTACAGGGGGTATTAGGCTATATGTATCAGGCGCATCTGTAAGCACCATGTGATACTGCATCCTACGCAAGCCAGTATACTTATGACGTTTTTTATCCAATGGGATAAAGGTTTGCACCACACCATTTAGGCGCCATATCAAGCTGAGTTCCGGTCAGCCATTTTGGGACATGTGACGTTTTTGAGGGATGGTTAATGGTCAATTGTCTTTGTTTTGAACTCGCCTCGGATAGCGGACATCGGCTCCGGCCGAAAGTTTCTATCGCTTTGCTCCATCGTTTTTGCTACTTAAACGTCCAATTTGTCTTTATCACTCCTTCACACCTGTTTAAAATCTCCAACTTTCTTTGCCAGTGGAAAATAATTTTCTGTCCAAATATCGACGGAATTTGTATATCGATTGAATATTCATATCAGCGAAAGCTACCACAGCGTTCACCGGAAGACAAGCCACATTCGGACAGGAGTGCGTACCTGCGGAGAACCTATCGATAAAAACTAGATACGCGAAGTCCAGATAGACTGGCCGACGATCCCGAGAGCTGCTTTCTAAGAAGAGTGCCATCACGACTCTCGCTTACTTGCCTACGCAACCCGCGGAGCACGCCGGATCGTTGCAATGGCATTCGTCAGGGTCTCCGATTTATCTGATGAACATCAAGTTCCGGTATACAACGAAATCGAAGACAATGAGTTCCGGTTGTTATACCTTGAGCCAGGAGAGGAAATAGACGAAATTTGCTGCAAGATCAGGCGCTGGCCATATGGTATCTCCCCAAAATACGAAGCGCTCTCCTATGAATGGGGAATAAAAGAGGGAAAGCAAATTTCCTTGGACGGTCACCAAGTAAATATAAATAAAAACCTTTCGGACGCACTCCTCGCCTTAAGGCTTAGATATAAGCGACGTATTATTTGGGTGGACGCGCTTTGTATCAACCAAAACAATCATACGGAACGGAACGAACAAGTTGCGAAAATGGGACAAATCTATCAGGACGCTGACCGTGTCGTTTCTTGGATTGGTCTACCAAAGGCGAAAAGTACTTCTATTATCGCTTTTCTGAATGATGCCGCGTCATTTCTTAAAGGTCTTCAAGGCGAGAGACCTATTTTGTCTCCCGAGGATCATCGCCAGTTTCACCGTTGGATTACACGGCCTATAAAATACCCGGAAATTCAACCAACCGATGTACAGCTGTTTGCGGAACGCAGTTACTGGAGACGAATGTGGATCCGTCAAGAAGTAGCACTAGCAAAAGAAGGCATTATTCAATGTGGAAGTAGCCACGTTAGCTGGACCGACGCTATCGAAACCAATTTAGCTATATCTTTTCTCGAGAGCGATCATCTAAAACACCTTTTGGGAGATCTGCATTTTATATACCTTATAAAAAACGAAACCATTCCACTATTTGAAAGTGGGGAAGGGGCTTGGCTGCTAAAACTTCTTGAGGAAGCCAGGGAATCCGAAGCAACAGACCCCAGAGATAAGTTCTACGCTTTATTAGGCTTGTTAAGCCAACATCCTCAGCCCGATTACTATAGGCTTAAGCCGGACTATTCACTCGACATAACCGGTGCCTATACATCCGCTTTTGAATACTGTGTCTTCGACCGGCACGGGAGGCCCCGCGGTAAAAACTGCCTAAGTATTCTTTGTTATACTAGGCTCTCATCAACCTTACGTCATGAATGTCCCCATGAATTTCCAACATGGCTCGTAGATTGGTCAGACCAATTCGTTCAAACGCTGGATCCATCGCACTCAAGTAGAGACCCTGGAAATTATTGCGCGAGCAAATCAGAAACACCAAGAATAGAGCTTAGTGCCGACAAGAAAGAATTGCGATGCTTCGGCCTGTGTTTTGGATGCATAAAAGAGGTTGGGGCTCCAATAGACATGTACACTAACAACGGACGCAGAAAGGTTGCTCAGGACTGGTATCGAATAGCGAAAGCCACAGGAGATCATATGAATCGACAAGAAGACCTTCTATATGCTTTCTGCTGCGACTTCATCATGACCAGAGATAACGGAACTAGTTTGGAACAAGCCAGCCTAGCCAGGAACAAGTTCAAAAACCTTCTCCGAAACGACACTCGCAATGCCCGTAAAGCACTGCATAATCAATTAGTTCATGCACAGCATTTGGAATTTTGCTTTGCAGTTTCGGAGAAATTCTCGACGAATACTTTTCTATCCGTACCTCAAGAAGCATGTCGGAACGACTTGGTCTGCATTCTCTTTGGCTGCCCAGTACCCGTGGTTTTACGTCCAGAGCACGGCGGATTCTACAAGTTTGTTGGCCAATGTTATGCTCATGGTTTCATGCATGGCAGAGCGATAAAGGGCCTTCGGAGAGGGTTTTACGAGAGGGAGGAATTCAAACTGCGATAGCAGAGAGTCTGGTAACTACTGGGAAAAACACTAAACACCTAGTAGCTCCTGCAAACTCGGCGTCGCTGTGTTCTCAATTTCTTATGTATTCTATAGTGTGTCTTTTTTCTTTCATTCTTTCCATTTCAACGAGAAGTCAAAGTACCGGCGTCCTAACGTAAATAGTTATCTTCCAATGTTATCATCGTTTTTCGTAGCAGCAAAAAGCAACACTCTCCTCTCCACATAGCTGCGGTTAAAGTAGACTTTAAAAAGTTAGTTCATGCTGTTCATTTACTGCTCTACCCTTTACAGACCCTAAAAGACCATTAATTCACCAATAACAGTATTAAAGTCGCGATGACTCTAGGAGTGGCTATGCTTTTCCGTCCGGCAACTACTATTTACCGTCATAAGTAAATCCATTCACAGGTAGAAGTTCAAGGTCCTCTACTTGCAGAGTCGACTGACCGCACTGGAAACATAGTTAACCGGTAGATACTAAAACCTCTATAATATCTCTTTAAGCTTCTTGCACGGTTACAAAATTCCACTTCTTCCACTGAAAATAGATATTTCCATTCACGTTCGAAGAAGATACATAGTAGGGTCTGAATTAGTTTAGTGGCTTCTTACAAACCGTAAGGCCCTACGCCCTAATACTAATCGCTAGGTCGGTATCCGGTGACTTACTCTCAGCCGGCACTACCGAGGCACGCCTAGAATAACAACCCTTCGCCAAAGATATGTGTCAGCCAGGATCACTCCGATAACTCTCGTTTTTTCAGCCTCATTATCTAGTGGTTACACAACAGCCTTACCCCCTGTACTACTCATTTATCTACTGCAAGGAAGCAATAATCTTAAAGAGAAAACGTGTTCTTTTAGATAGCAGCATATATACCTCCATAGGTAGTAGTAATTTAGGAGGACAAGCGGCGTCCAATTCCTCACGCCCAGCTTTACAATATGTAAGAATACTAAATAACGAGGTTACGCACTAGTATTTAGTTCTATCAAGAAGTTTTTGCGTCAGCAGCTTTATATATTGCGCTTGTTAACCGCTAGTTACTTAACGTCTCATTAACTCCGCTTCACACTATCCTGCTAATATCATCATGTCACTCGCTGCAGCATCTGTTGTAGTCCCTCTGCTTACTCATGTCGATCACTACTACGTATTGAGCACGCTGCAGTTGCTCTGCCTGTTGCAGTCGCCTACTCACGCGATAATATCGTATAGACCATCGCCCGCAGTATACCCGGCGGGGGCCAAATTTTAGGCAGCCATCGATGGAACCTCGTATAAAAGGACATGGAACCTCGTATAAAAGGACATGGAACCTCGTATAAAAGGACATGGAACCTCGTATAAAAGGCCATTACACTCTCAAATCTAGCTACGACAGTAGACAGCGCCAGAATGGAGATAATAACAGCTAAGAATTCGGAGCCCTGCGCCGACACACTAGGGTTCCTGTGGCAGCGGGCACTAAATCAATCTGATGATGATCTGAGGAAGACACTGCTTTTTGCGAAAACAAACAGACGCGACGTTCTCAAGGCCATCCGCAAAGTGGTCCAGGAGAAAAGGGGCCAATCTCTTTGGAAGCGCTGGACTTACGAAACGGCCGCGAAGGACGTCGTTATCGTCCGGGACCTCCTCGAGAAGATTCTCTGTTGGTTGGACCTTATTCAAGCGAACACTGGACTGAGCCCCCAAGACTTCTCGGTGGACTCGCAAGAAGCATGGCGACTCATCTGGTCTCCGTTTCGGTTCCTCTTGCAAAAGCCTGTTGAAGATGGCCAGGCTTTTGGAGAAATGGTCAATGACTTGGCGGGTGCCCTCTGTTTGTTGGTGAGATACCAGGTTTTGGAAGCAGAACGACAATCGCAGGCCATTGGAGACACATCGAACTCTGATGGCGCAGTAATGTCCGTCTATCATGCGGTTTATAACATACTCGCTCATTATATCCGATTTAACAACAATGAATCGTCTGCAGGCGGCGCTGGAGACCAAGTGGACACGCATCAGTTGAGGGAGAAACTATTCCAGGCAGATTTAGATGCGAGAACCGCCATTGGACAACAGAGTCACCGCACCTTGTACTTAAGGGGAACTTCGCCAGAGACTGTTCATGAAATTGGCATCACGGACGAGCTGATGTCCAGCCTGCATCAATGGGGTGTTCCTGCGCTTCCGGAAGCCGTTGAAGACCATTCCACACCTGATATTCGACGCGAGCTGCTCGAGACAGAAGGCTTCCAGTCCTGGTGGGAAGCAAGCACGTCGTCAATCCTGTCTTTACCCAGCGCCGAGAGCGAAGCGGCGAATATCTGCCAGACGGCCAGGAAGCTGCTCTCGTCGGCGCCGGCAGGTAATTGGACGCCTGCTCCTGTAGCTTACATCGACTGTAGCAACATCTTCTCGGCACTCGAGATCCTGCGACATGTTGTCGCCAGTCTCACATTGACTAAAGACGGGAAATGCTGCGATGTCCTCGTCACGGAGTGGCAAATCAAGCAAGCTGCATGTCAGCAAAACGGAAGTACAGTCGATCCCTTAAGCTTGGAAGACTGTCTGCGTATCATTCTGGAACTCACATGTGCCAATCCAATGTCTATCCTTCTGGATGGCGTTCAGGATGTTGATGCCGGAAAGCTCGCCGAATCTCTTAATGAACTGGTGGACAAGTCAGAAAATGCCGTCAAGGTCTTGCTAGTGACAGAACCCAACTTCAAGACAGAACCACTTTCGGGCTGGCAGAGGAGTGGACCTGCTTTCCACATCCGTAATGCAAAGGCACAACCATCCTGGAACGATCTGGAGACCCATTCGACCACATCGCCCCCTAGTGTCCATAATTCAGGGCCAACTATTTCAGACCAGCAAGCCACACTCCTGGAGGTCATCAAAACAGGCGACATGGCCTCTATTATTTCTCATGTCCACAACAAACCCAGTGTCACGGACGCGGACCCAGCGGACGCCCTTTCAACCGCTGTTCTCTACAACCACACGGACATACTCACCTACCTCCTTAGCAACGCCGCAGCCAATCCGCCATCGGCTTCTTCATCTTCCGACGCGCTCAGCTCTGCGCTCCTTACCGCCGCCCTTACTAACCACATCCGCTGCTCCCGCATCCTGCTCGATCGCGGGACCGACCGCGCGGCAATGCACGCAGCACTGCGCGCAGCCGCCATGCGCGGCCACTCGGGCGTGATCAAACAGCTCATGGCCTATTTCAATGACAAGGACGCAGCAGCAGCAGCAGCAGAAGCCCTCCCACTCGCCGCCCAACATGGGCATGCGAGCGCCGTGCACGAGCTCCTCGATGCCGCCGGTGGTGCTGATGTTGCTGCGCTCATCAACGACATTATCGGCGACGCTGTCTGGCTCGCTTCAGCAGGCGGCCACAAGGATGTTGTCGAGCTACTACTGGACCGCGGCGGCAAGAGATCACTGCAGCCACAAAACACCCACGTCGGGGTAGTTTCGATGGCCCACAGGAGGCGGGAGTCGCATTGGGACTCGCTACTGCGGTGCACATCGCCAGGCTGGCTGGAGGAGAGGGCAAAACGGCGGAACTGGGGCTGCGGCATTGCCATCGGCGAAGAGGACTCGGGGAGCGAGGATGGGGATGGAAGAGATCAGGTAGATGAAGAGAAAAAGGAGAAGAAAGAGGAGAGCCGACAGAACCGCATGGCCGCCACGCAGACAGAGGGAATCCTCGCTGCTATGGTTGGCGGCAACTTGTCGAGCGTGGAGAAGCTGGCGCGGCGCGGAGGCGCAACGTCCTATTACTACACGCAGAGGGGGAGGAGGCGGCAGCTGCACGCTCTCGAGGCGGCGGCGGCGGCGGGGAGTCAGGCCGTGGTCAGCTTGTTTCTGCGGCAGCGCGAGTTGCTCGACATCCAAGCCGAGCACATTGGACTCGCGTTCGCCGCAGCCGCGAAGAACGGGCATCTGCAGATTGTGCAGCAGCTTCTTCTCGAAGGAGGGGGCCTGGACATTTCAGAGACGGCCGCGTCGGATGCTTTGAAAAGTGCGGCTCGCAATAGCCATGCGCAGACTGTCGAGTTTCTATTGGATTATGGCGCAGCTCATGAGAGAACTAAGGAAGACGTTCGGATCGTGCTGGAGAATGCGACTGGAGAATGCGCAACTTTGGTGCTTAAGTTTCTTCAGCTGGATCAAAAACAACACTCGGAAGACAGACTCAATGAGCTTCGTCAGGAAGCATTGCGCTTTTCCGCGAAACACGGGAAAGCCTTGGTGCTGAACAGCATAGTCAGCTCCGGTGTAGCGCTGGAGAAAAGTAGCTTCACGAAAGCCATGGAGCAAGCATGCCGTTCGGGACATACGGCTGCAGTTTTGGCTCTCATCAACAGTGAAGCCGGGGGAAAACTTCTCAAATTAGGCGACTTGAAGCAATGCCTTTTGCTAGCAGCTCGTGGGGGACATGCGGAGGTGGCGCAACGTTTGCTTCCACACATGAACCTCAAGAAGGCTACCAAAGTCATCAGGCGCTGTGCTGTAGTCGCCGCTGGAAACGACCACCTTGCATGCACACAGGTGCTCATGGCTGCCTTACAAGAGAAAGATTGTAAACAGGCCGCACGCTGGGCCTTCGCCGCTGCTGCACAAAACGGCCACGTGGGTATGGTCCTCTTTCTTCTCAAACGAGGAGCCGACCCGAACAAGAAATCGATAACTAGGGCTATGAAAGAATGCATCAGCCGTTTCAGGCCGCAAGGCCTACTGTCTCAGTCAGAGTTAGAGTTAGAGGCCAGACTGGAGGAGATAAGTCGTTTCACGCTGCACGGCCTGCTTTCCACATCAGAGTATGACGCGTGGAAGAAAAGCGGTGAGGCTGATACGAGAGCGGTAATCTGCATGTTACTTGATCATGGCGCCGACGCCAATGCCAAAGATGGAAGTGGCAATTCTGTTCTTCATACAGCAGTCCAGAACTGCCCGGTAGAGGTGGTCAAGTGGCTTATTGAGCATGGCGCCGATGTCAAGGCAGCGGCCACGGGTTCGGACTCGGTCTTTGTCGCTGCAGCAGGTAGGGAGTTGGACTCGTTGGCGGTCATGGAGCTACTTCTCCAAGCAGGTGGACAGCTTAAGCCGAGCGGTAAGAGCAGCATCCACCCGGTTCTGGCCGAAGCTCTCGAGTTCTTCAATGGAGACATAGGCCCGTATGACTATCGGAGCACCTGTGACGATCCAGACGGCCGCTTCGAGCTCGCAGGGTCGATCCAGTACGTGCTCGAACAGGGCCCTGGGGCCTTGATTCGGTTGACGCTCCAACTGCTACCGGCGGAAAAAGCAGTGGATTCGCGGTATGGCCTCTTGCTCCAGATGGCAGCAGCCGACGCCAACGCCTCCCTCGTCGAGCTCCTTCTCGCACGCGGCGTCGACGTGAACGCTGCGGGCTTCTACTACGGCACCGCCCTGCAGGCCGCAGCCCGCCACGGCCACGAAGCCATGGTATCGCTCCTCCTCGCTGCTGGTGCCGACGTCAACGCCCTCCAAGGCCGCTACCATACTCCGCTGAGGGCCGCAGTCGTCGGGGGACACACGAATATTATCCGCGTTCTGCTCTCGCACGGCGCCGATGTGGCCCTCGCCTTCGACACGGAGCGCGACAGCTATTCAAAAGAACCGGCCGCTAGTGCCTTGTATCTCGCCGTCGAGCGTGGGCATTTGGCCGCCACCGAGCTCTTGCTTAATGCAGAGGGCGGCGCGCAATTGCATACAGACCAGCAGCAGCATGAGAGCCGCAAGCCGATGCTCATGGTCGTCACCGCACGCAACAACGTACGCATGGCCGAGCTGCTCGTCACCTCGGGAGCTTCCGACGTCAACGTGCACGGCAGCAAGCGGGACATAGTTGACAAAGAGGCGAGCCCGCTTCACATGGCGTGCGCAGAGTGCCATATGGACATGGTGCGCGCGCTGCTACGGCTTGGGGCCGACGTGAATGCCGTCGTCCAAGGGGAATGGCAGCCGCCGGTGATAAATGCCGCAATAGAGTACTGGGAAACGCGGTCGCCGCTGATGACAGCCATATCTTGCTTGAGCTCCAAACAAGGAGGTGCTGCTGCTGTTGTGCACGAGTTGCTCAACGCCGGGGCGGACACCAATCTGCCCTCTGGAGGGGAGGGGCGCACACCGCTGTGCGAGGCGGCCTCGGAGGGGGATGTCGAAGTGGTGGAGATGCTGGTCAAGGCCGGGGCGGCGCTTTCCTACAATCCGTTGGGCGAGGCGTGTGCCCGCGGTCATGTGGGTGTCGTCGAGTATCTCCTAGAGAGGGTCTGCGGGACCGAGGTCGAGCAGAGCTGGTGCGCGGATGGCATGGGCGAGGCAGCCGAGAACAGGATGCACAAGGTCGTGGAGCTCATGCTGGAGTTTGTGGCGGCCGACGCGTCAACGTTGGTGTCGGCTTGCACGGCGGGGCTGCCGTCGCTGGTGTGGATGGTGCTCGAGGCTGGAGTGCATGTGGACGCGCAGGACGAGAGCGGGCTCACCGGGTTGCTTGCGGCCAGGAACCCGGCGGTGGTGAGGATGTTGTTGGAGAGCGGAGCCGACGCGAGGTTGAAGACGCGTTGGGGCTGCGGCCCGCTGACGGAAGCGTTCCGCGACGAATTCCGCCAGAAGCTAATTTGGCGGCGTTCACCAGACGCGTCTTCGTCCACCGAGGAAATCGTCCGTCTTTTGGTCGAGAATGGTGGTGCAGACGTCAACGAGGACGAGGGGCCGGTCGGAGAAGCCAAGACGGCGTCGCCTCTGCAACTGGCTGTATATCTCGGGAGCGAAAAGACCGTGGCTCTGCTCCTTGACCACGGAGCTGACGTGAACAGGCAGTGCGGCTCGCTCGACGCGCCGCTGTTGTTGGCCGTGGAGAATGACCAGGCTGCCATTGTTCAGCTTCTGCTGCAAAGCGGCGCAGATTCCAATTGCCCACGCGTCTCGACCGACGCGCCCCTCCACGTCGCTCTCAGAAACAAGTCCAGGCCTTGCGTGCGCCTTCTCCTTCGCCATGGAGCCCATCCCAATGCAAGAGGTGCGCACCACGACACACCGCTGACCCTGGCCATACAAACGGTAGGCATCCAAGGTCTTGGACATAAGGAACAAGAAACTTGCCTCGACGTCTTCCTAAGAGAGGCGTCAGGTGTGCGTCTCACCGAGTCCGACCTTGTCGCTGCTGCTGAAAGCACATCCTACTCTGCCAACCTCCGCCGTCTACTGGACCTCTTTGTCAAGGACATTCCCGTCTCCGAAGCCGTCGTCGTCTCCTTCCTTAAGAATCTTCACGGCCGCATGTACAGCGAAGAGGACCGCTCTCTTTTCCGCGACCTGCTAGGCCACGCAAACGGCATCGGCATCACCCCGGCCATGGTGCAAAAGGCACATGATTTCGATACGCTGGACTTCCTGTTCACACAATGCGGCCAGCATCACCCCGTCTGCGCCATCACCCCGGCCGTCTTGGAAGGCTGCAAAAGCATCGTCACTATCTTCTACCTCCTCCAGCGCGACAAACGCCTCGTGCCCACGCAGCTCGCCGCACTGAATGCTCTCCGCGACGTCTGCCACTTCTTTGAAATTCGCAGAAGCGCTGGCTGTGGCTGTGCGTGTTTAAAGAGTCCGTGGCGGACGATCCCGCGCGTTCAGGTCGTGCGACTTCTATGGGAGCGAAACCTGCGCCTGCCCGTCTCCCTGGACATGCTGGTCGCTACCTTGAACGGGGAAGAGTTTGCTTTTCTGCTCGCGCGCGCCAAGGACAACAACAATAACAACCCGCGGGAACTCTTCGTCGACCAGGATACCATCTTCGAGGTTGTTAACAAGGGCCGTTGCACAGAGAAGCTTCGAGTGCTGTCAGAGTTTTTCCCGGACCTGAGGCTGGAGAATAGCACCATAGCGAGACTAATAGAGCAAAACAGGTGGTCGGAATTGGATGTTTGGACCGCGTTGCTACGGTATCAACCACAGCTGGTGGTTACTGAGGAGGTGTTTTTGAAGACGTCGCTGACTGAAGAGTGGGTGGGATTGATGCGGGAGTGGAGGAAGCGAGTTGTTTTTACGGATGAAATGAGGAAGCACGTGGAGAAGAGACTGGCGAGCCGTAGCCAGGCTGCCTTTAAAGAGTCAGTATTTTCGTTGGAAAGGAGTAGTGGCTGGGGAGAGAGATGAGGCTCATTGACTTGGCTGGTGCTAGGTATATCTACGATCTGCACGAAATTTAACTTATCCAGACGTAGCACTGCCCCGATAGTGGATTTGAAGTCTGCGGCGAAGCAAACAGCTAAAACCCACTCTAGGCAGAAGTCACGCTATAAGTTTTCCAAAAACACTTCAGATTTTGACACCTTTAACACTCTTCACGCGCAGTCACTGCCTCTAAACCACCATGGCAAGACTTTTGGATTGCCCCACCGAGATCCTTCTTGATGTTTTCGGTCATTTGAGAAATATCGACCATGTCATCCAATTGGCTTTGGCCTGTAGCAGGCTCTATCGCGTTTTTGATAACAATCGCATTGAAATCGTAAAGCGCGTTATCGTAAGTTCTTTTTCCCTGACTAAAGGCTGCCTTCCCTTTCACGCCAGAACATCCACATCAGTGACGTGCCGATCGAAAGGGAAGATACACTTGCGCTAACTTCTCCTCCTTCCCAGCTTCACTCCGACGTCCACAAATACGATGTCGCACTCTGCCATTTCAACGACACCTTCCAGGCTTTCTCCTCAACACAGCTGAACCACCCCCGCGACTGGAATGACATAGACATGGCCGCCTGTCCCTCTTACCTCCGCTTTGACGAATGTCTCAACGCAACGGACCTTACCGACAACCAAGTCCTGGACGTGCTCGCCCGCTGGCACGGCCTTAAGCCCCTCCGCCACCTCTACATCAATTGCGCCGTCCATGCATCCTACATTAACCGTCCCTGCCACACGGGCGGCCAGCACTACCGAATACCCTGCGCTAATCTCCAGCCCGTGAATGTTCTCGAGCTGTATCGCACCTCACATAATTCCCCACGAACAGAGTGCGACCGGTGCACTAAGCTCCAGCTCAGCGATGCTGAGGCCGCGCGCTTCTACACGGCGCTCACCAAGTACTGGCTGAACATCATGTGCGAGCGTAGCTCTTGGGTCTACCACTACGGCCGTCTATCTGCAAAAAACGACGTGTACAAGCGGATCGCCGACGTCTGGTTCAACCATGGCGCTCAAAGCAAGGAAGAAGAGCATGTAGCCATCGACCGTGCGCGGCAGCAGCTGGAGTCTCTGGGTCGGCAGGATGGTGGAGATGGCAGCGGCCGATACTCGGCAAGTGCCAATGCAGACGGCAATACGAGCCTGTTACAAGAGAGCCTTGAGGTGCTCGAAGTCTACGACTTCGTCTACGGCTACCTTATGCAGAACACTAGCATTACGCATGGGTACTACAGCTGGCGGCATGACCACGGCGACGAAGACCTGGAGACTTTGGAAGACGACTGGACCACGTTCGTATTCCGAGCGCGCCTCGCCCTTACCCCGCCAGATATCCTACAGCTGCTGGCCCTTACAGCGCGTTGGATATCCGACCCGACGAGTAAGTGGTCCACAGAGCGGAAGACGCAGTACCTCCGCGAGCGGGGCGCTTTCTGCACGCGGGGACTCCACGGATCCGTTTCGGTTCAGGACGAGAAGAGGAACAACCGATGGTATTGCTATGATGTTGCGCATCTGGAGAGAGCGTGCTTGTCGCAGCTATGGGCACGGAGGAGAGGCCAAGTGGATCCCGCAGACGTGGCATTGGGTTGGGATCAATATCGCGCGTGGAGGTGGCCGAATACCGCTCGTGGAAACTTCCGGAACTTGCTCGCCGATGCGCTCGCTCAGCCCGCCGCGGGTGATCCTGGCTTAGGTAGGGTCGTTCGTCAACGAGTACCGATACCATCATTTTAATCTATAAGTTATTAACTTATAGTTCTTAAGATATATTAAATTTCGTAATTATTTATTTATTTATTTATTTTGGTTTAACATCCTTTTAGAGTTGGGGACTATTAAAGACGAGCTATTAAAGCTAGGTCTAGGAAGGAAAAGTAGCTAGGGAGGGGCTTTTACCTTATAGCTAGTTCTAGGTAGGTACAAGCAACGGTTCGCCTTCGAGGGCTAAAAACATAAAAGTAGGAAAGAAAGAAAAGGAGTAGACGTGCTCGACGTTTTTATACCTCGTTAGAGGCGTCGGTAAGGTACTATAAGCGCGTAGTAACCTTAGTAGATTTAAGAAATTAGACCGTAGCCGTAATATTCTTTATTTTAGAGAAAAGATCCTTAAAGTTTAGGTTATTTTATCTTAAAGCATCCTTTAGATGAGCCCGTTAGGGTCTAAATAGAGGGTATTTTAGTAAGAGATATTCTAGGGTCTAGATTACCGTTCCTAAGTATCGATACTTATCCGTAGTAGTATAGTTAAATTAATAAAGGTAGGTATTATAGACTGTAAAAGAAATTAACCCGTAGAGTCGGAAAGACCTTATAGGAAGAAGGCCTATACAGGCCTAGAGACCTTAAGGGCTTAGTAACTATAAGGACTCGCGTCCCGTAAGGTACTAGTAGATATATACTAGGTAAAGCCGTAAGGGAACTAAGACTATAACTCTAAGAAGCCTATACGGGAATATACCCTATAGGGCCTTAGTCGACTAAAAGGTAACGACTCTAGAAAAGCCCGTAAGGAATTAACGCCCACAGGGGACGAAAAGTAGTAAACTAATAAGTAGACCTATTGTTACGGGTTTCTAGCGCGTTTCTTATAGTTCTTACTAGTAAGCGCTAGCTAACGGTTTGTCTTTATTTATTATTTACTAATTATTATTTATTTATATTTCTGATAGTTTGTCTTTATTTATTATTTATCAATTATTGTTTACGTTTATCTCGCTCGTTATCTCTCACTTAGCGCCTAGTACCTGCTAACGAGCTATATATATAGCCGCCGCCTCTCGTTCTCTTCCTTTCCTCTTCGTACTACGTCTTGTAGTTAATCCTACATAATCTGATTTGAATCCGCCTTACTGCCGTGATACTATCCGCCCCCTTTACCTTCTACTTTCCTCCCAGATTGACACGTTACATATAAACTAGTAGCAAAACTCTTTGAATAGTCATAGCCTGCATATCGCTTGGGGCGATCGGTCAGGGTAAATGAATACAACTTAACTCAACTCAATTCTAACGCCTAGGCTAAAGAGGCCTCGTTACATAGAACTACTTATCGCTAACCTGATCTCTCTGTGCTGCAACTCTTTGATCACGTAGATGATTCTGAAATTGCTGTGTCATCCTTAGTACACTTTTAATGTGTCTAAGATGAACCCGACCGGATGGGTTGTCGTCGGCCTTAGCTAGTGCTCGCGCTGAAGAGATGATGTTCCTGATCTGCCTGCCATCAAACTCATAGTCAAAATCGTCTTTGATCCACTTCTCCACTTCTTTTTCATTCTCAATGTCATTCTTGTGCTGTCGAATAAACGTGCGGAAAAGTTCCTTCAGCTGGTCGGTTGAGAGCTCTTTGTATCGGATTGCAAGGTGCACTCGTGATTGCACAGCAATATCGAAACTCTTGATTCGGTTTGTCGTCAAAATAAGAATACCATCGTAATATTCGAGTATACGGAGGAAGACTGTAGGTGATGTTATTGGAATCCAATCTAGACAAGAACGGAGAAACGTACCTGTCACGAGAGTGTTCCGTGTTAAGTCCCCTTTGTCAGTGCCTCGAGACTCTAGAAAGACATCCGCTTCATCACTATTGATTCATGTAAGTTAGCTCAGTTCTGTGCCAATTCAAATTTTACTTACAACAGGAGAACAGCCTCCCACATTGCCGCGAGCTTGAATATTTCGCTCAAGCTTTTTTCCACTTTGTCTGGCTTAAGACCTATGTCGCTGACGCTGACGGCAAACAGCGGCTTACCGGTCGCTTGAGCGACACTTTCGGCTGTTGATGTTTTCCCAACCCCTGGAGGTCCTGTGGCCAAATATAAGTATAATCACAACAACTTCTTCGAAAGAACTTACCGTGGAGGAGAATTACCAAGCCTTTCCCTTTCCCTTCAATCCAGTCTTCATTGCTCATTGAACTTTGTGAACCATGCTTCTTCTTCTCATGATTTCCCACCAGTCCTCGGATCAGATCCTTGGCATTGGGATCCATGATCAGATTGTCGAAAGCGTCCTTCCTAATTTTTTTCTTTATTTCATGAATGGACTGCAGAGGCATCTGCGCCCAAACTTTTAAATTCATGATGTACCCTAAAACCCTTGAAGGACAGATGATGTATTGGTCATCCTCTTCGAAAGGGGTGTTCCTATCCCATTTGTCATAGTTGACTTTCATCATGTTCTTCAGTTGATTGTTTCGTTTGCATTCAGCGCAGGTGCACTCGTACACACTTTCCTCGACCGCAAATGAACCAAAGGGCCAGAAACCTTGGCCACTGTACTGCAAGTACGCCTTGTGGTCAATGATGACAGGCCCGACAACCTGTTTTAGCCAGTTAAGAGCTGTTGTTCTGTTTGTGTATAGACTAACCTTTGAAGTTCGCAAAATGTCAGAGCCATCGTCGTCGCTATTTATCGTACTCGATGAATCGTACTCCTTCTTTCAAGAGAAAAAAAAAAAGGAAATTGTTAGAAAGTCGCCTACGAATAGCACAGATTACTCACAGCGAAATTGGTAGCCCCTAACGCTTCTCCCAATGTAAGCTGGCGGCTGAACACTGGCCCATCGCACCAAAATAGCTGAGAGCCCTTCTGCGAGATACAGAACTTCCGGAACACCTGTCCGCGCTCCTTTAGAAACGAAAGAATGCTCTCCTCTTTGGCCTGATTAGCAGGATCCTCTCCAGTCTGCTGCAAGCTTGAGTGATATTTGATAGGGTAAAACAGAAGCGTGTTGATGGCTTTGGGACCAATGTACTTCTCGATCTTGAGAGTACCGGGAACTCGATTAAAAGTTTCGCCATTCCAATCATAGGACCAACATGACAGCTCGAAATAACTGTCAGTTCTTCCATTGCGGCGTGTAATATCAGAGTATTCGCCTGCCTCTCTCGTGATGAACGCCTGTGGACAGTCTTGGATTGGTTTAGCAAAAACCATCTCGCCGGGCGGGAATAACGTCCAGAGGTATTCGTACTCCATTTCGCCGGTTTGGGACAACGATTTTCGCTTCTCGAAATATGGTTGAAGTTCCGGGCACAATCTAATCTGTTCGAGGAGCAGCGACAGGTCCTTCCGAGCCTGCTTCGTGTCTTCTGAAACACTTTCATCCGTGTCCAGTGCAGTCTTGTTCAACTCGTCCCAGTCCCAAACTAGCGGCGCGAAACTCGGTGAAGGGGGCATACGGCTTGAGAATGACCTGAAGTTAGACTGAGAAGATGCCCGGCAGACATTTTTGATGATTGCTTCCAGATTTGCCGAGTTTATAGTAACCTTGGTATTTTCGTACTTCTGCTTGTCGTCGAAAGTTCTCAGCCATGTGAATGCGTATTCGAGTTCAGGCCCCATCTCTTTGCTTCTCGATGCCATCTTTGACTGACCTTCCTCCCAGACGCCGGAGCTTTCGTTATAACGCGAATCTAGTAGGCGTACGCGGGAGTTTGGAACGTCTTCATTGACGTCGGACTTCGGACCGGATTGTTCATCGGAAGAATCTTCGCGCTCCCCATCCTAATCATAATCTTCAGTTAGTTGATGGGTAGTCGAAGGTCTAATCTACTCGTACCTTATGTGAATCAACTGCGTTCAATGAATTTTCGACCTTCTGACCTTCGTGTTTGGCACCTGAACCAGAGCGTGGGAGATCCGTTGCCTACTGAGTTTAGTTTGAATACACAAACAAAGAAGTCAAACAGACCTTCTGGCACGTTGTATCATGGGCGGCTATGCTGTTCTCTAAAGCCGTGATTTTCTGTTCCAGGAGCCTAATGTACTTCTTTTCCAAGGACGCAAAAGCGTCGTCGGCTGGGCCCTTTCGCCGAACAATTAACCCTGATCCCCTATTTGCCAAAGGGAAAACTTACTTTTGTTGATTCTGACATTGAGCGCCGCTTCTTCTAGAAGAACCCGTATAACTCCCTGTAGTTGACTAAATGATGAGAGCACTAATCTGTTGCATCGAAGAATGTTCTCAGTTGATACTTATATGCATCGACCTACTCATGTAGGACATGGAAAGCCGTATTCCCGGATAAAGTCTCACCGGCAGTATGCAAGACTTTCAGCCAAGCTTGCTGAAGTTACAATCATCCACAGCTGGGAAGCCGGCATTCGGGCCAAGGAGCTTTGTTGACTGCACTGTAACCACATTTGTCTCAGATCCAATTCCAAATCGATACACCGGTCAGCAGCTGCTCATGAAAACAGCAAGTAGCATCTTAAGCGACCACAAAGCTGTAGATTTCATTAATGCAGGTGGAATGGTTGGGCATCAATACCATCATCTCAATATGCACGCCACTATTGAACTGGCTAGGACCTTCCCGAAGTAGAACATTATCCGAGAAAACTATTATTAGAGTACTCAGGGGTACGGGTAGCTTTTCAGCTCCGCAATATCAAGATGATATGATTTGATGCAGTCTCAGCTCGTTTTTCGCCAAGGTGAGGTCCTGCAGGAAAAGAATTACCTGACATACGTAACCCTGTCAGCCACGTCGACTACAGCCTATAAGCCTTAGTGCCCCTATCCCACCCTATTAAGACTATCATCTCAATATGCACGCTACTATTGAACTGGGTAGGACCTTCCCGAAGCAGAACATTATCCGAGAAAACTATTATTAGAGTACTCAGGGATACGGGTAGCTTTTCAGCTCCGCAATATTAAGATGATATGATTTGATGCAATCTCAGCTCGTTTTTCGCCAAGGTGAGGTCCTGCAGGAAAAGAATTACCTGGCATACGTGACCCTGTCAGCCACGTCGACTACAGCCTACAGGCCTCAGTGCCCCCATCCCACCCTATCAAGACAGTTGGTTCTCGAACACTGAACCTAGCATGAGGCATTTAAGAAGTGGGAGCGGTGTTAAAGTATATTTTTCCTTCGTTCAAGCCAACGCAGGTTTGCTTCACGCGACAGATATACAATGTCCACCGATGAATGGAATACATTTTTCCATGACAAAAAGGAAAGGTATGTACACTCTTGGCCCGCTCACAATGCCGGATTATTGACATAATAGTGACCACATTACCGCCATTAGCACGGCGCGAGATTCATATTTAGCGCAAAGAGAATGGTGGAATAAAATCAGTCGCACTCTGCCCAAAGACCAAACGGAAAGGGTGGTTGCTGTTGTGGAGAAGTATGAGCATGAACATAGTATGTTAGCTCTAGAGAAGCTGGTCGAGGGATTCCTCGCCGATTTCCAGGAGAGAAAGAGCCAATTGGAGCGTCAGAGGTCCCGTGGTGGAAGAAAATTTTCCCATGGAGCTCAGGCCTTCCTCAATAACTTTTCGGAGTTCTTGACATGTTATTCTGACGTTGTGAACATCGTCAAGTCCGCAGACTCTCAATTTGGTGGGGTAGCAGTGCAAGCTCTGTCGATCTTTCTAATCGTAAGTTTAAGATCCGTCGTGGTTTATTGATTCAGCATAATAAAACATTTGATAGGTCGCAGTAAATAAGCAGCAAAGGGAAGATCTGATAGTCTCCTCTTTGGAAACAATGAAAAGCCAGTTTCCTCGCTTGAAAGGCTGGGGTAACATCTACCCGACAGAAAAGATGCAGCAATTGATTGTTGCTGTTTATATGGACGTCATTGAGTTTGCTAGGGAAGCAGTCAGTTACTACAAGCGTTCCACGTGGGGTCAGTCTAATAGAACTGAAGCGTGTGGAGGAACTCAACGCTAATGAAGAATCCAGCCCGGGTCTGGTATGCGATTATAAGTCCACCCCAGCGGAAGCTTCAAGCAAAAGTCGACCTAATTCTAAGGGAGCTTTCTGAGGTAAAAGAGGAAACAAATTTTCTACTAAGTCAGCGCGTTGGAAAAATTGAGAGAGATTTGGGAAAGGCCAATGAAGCATTGAATGACATGCAGAGACGTAAGTATAACCAAACTAATTACTGAAGTACTAAAGAAACCTAACAAGATCTCAGAGGCCCACCAAGCAGAGAAGCAAAAAAATCGAGAACTGTTCAACAGCTTCCAAGAAGCGATGTTACCAGGAGGATATTCAAAGTCAGAGCAACTGGAAACTTGCAAAACACAACTGCAACATCGGTTCACGCGGAGAGAAGTTTCTTTATTCAGTCTGAGCGACCTCAAAAAGGATTCGCGCTACGAAACGTGGTTTCAGAGCACGATTGCGCAGACCCTTGTGATTAGGGGATCCACGAGTCGGGGCCTTAGAACACCGCTATCATGGCTAAGCAATGCGGCCATAGAGCTTATAGAGAAGCTTGAGTCAGAAAATGCGGTCGTGGCCTACTACTTTTGCTGCCTTGAGGCCGATGGGACATCGCAAAAGCTTGGAATGGCTGATATCCTATGCAAGGTTATCTACCAGCTTTTTGAGGCAAAACCCGACCTACTCCAGGATGAAGAGCTTGAACAGAATTACTTGGTTCCGATTAGGAACCGCACTTGGGACAATAAGTATGTATGCGAGCTTCTCGTCAATATTGTTAAAAGGATTGGTATCGTATACCTGGTTCTTGACAGACCGGAGGATTGTAAAGGGGGAATTCGTGTCCTTTCGCGATTGTTCGAGAAGGCTAAAGAAGCTGGATGCATTCTAAAAACAATGATTGTTTTTGATAGGGATCGAACAGATTTTAGTCAAGTTGAGGAGCTACAGGATGCAGAGGGTTTTTCTTATATTGATGATTTGAACCAATGCTAGTTTGTTAAATCGAGAGAAATTTTCTAGGAAGTTATTTAATAAAACTTATGTTAACATCTAGGTGTAAGACCGTACTAGTAAAGAGGGGACGCGGCTTAATTATAAAAGAGTATCTAGTAGCGAGCTTTATATATATAAGGGAGGAGAATAGTTATATACTTATAGAAGGTAGTAGGGTTAGGGTTAGGGTTAGGGTTAGGGTTAGGGTTAGGGTTAGGGTTAGGGTTAGGGTTAGGGTTAGGGTTAGGGTTAGGGTTAGGGTTAGGG